TAATATCTAGACATTACTGGGATGTTTGTGACCAACTCTTAACCAATCAGCTTAGGTTGTTACATCAGCTTCCTATTAGAATCGACTTCCGTGGGAGTGTCGATTCGGTCAACTTATCAAACAATAACGCGTCAGCTTGGTTTCCTCAGCACACAGGAGAATAAGAATAGCATTTCTACGGTTGGAGGATATTTGAAACTCAAAACCATCGTCAATCAATATCAAAGTCACAATCTTCAATAAGAAAATCATGACAGTTCTACTATACGGAGCTGAAACTTAAATAACAACTAAACAACCATCATCAAGAAGTACAAGTATTTGCAAACAATTGTCTACGTGAGATATTCAATGTCCGTGGGAGAGAATAAACCATCTTTCAGTCGAAATGGAATTAGGGAAAGACGTGGAAGGTTGGTAGGACACACATTACGGAGCTCATTAAACCATATCATGAAGCAAGCGCTAACTTGGAGTTCTGAAGGAAAAAAAGAATAGTGGAAGACCAAGGATTCCATTGGGCCGAGAATAGGAAGCGGATATAGAAAGGATGAATAGCAATTGGGGATAACTGGAAAGGATTGCCCAGGACATGGTTGGGTGGGGAATGCTGGTTGGCTGCTTATCTCCTCCACGAAGGGTGACTGGAGTCAGTGAGTTAGATAAAAATTTGGTAAGAGTTTAGGAAGTAACAGTTTGAGACATTGCGATAAAAGTCTTAATTTAAAGATAAAAGTCGCCAAGTTTCAATGTCCATAGACCATATTTACCTAGTGAAACAAAATCCGTAAATTCAATTTTATTTGCGTAATTGTAACTCAAGGCGTGCTCCTCGATTAAGAATTCTGGAAGACTATGAGCAAATTACTTCCGAAAACATTTCAAGTGTGTCATGCAATCAATCATCATCCTAATTATAAGTACGAACATCTACTGACTTGGTATATTTAGATGAAACATTTTACGTCCTCTACTTGATTGAGGCTGATACGATATAAAACTATCGTCAGTCAAACGCGTAGAATTCATAGTCGCAGATGAAAGGTCGGAAAAGTAGATGAAGAGATTATCAGAAGTCAAAAACGTACCGAATAACAGGAGCATGTATTGTTTTTAGTGTAGTCTTTAACGTCATAATCATCCACTAAACCTGCAGGTAGTAAGTTACACAATTGTTCAATCGTAGCATACCACGTTGTTAACCTAGGAGGTTCTATGAGGTCCTGATAAAAAATAACCTCTTCCGGCCCTTTAGAACCTTCAGAGGCTTCGTCATGACTTTAGGGAGCCGTCCTATCATCCCCTGTAATAAGATTTCCTTCTGGAGTTCACTTGTAATTTGATAAATAAATTGCTGTGGCCCTTCATTTTCTTGCCGTCTTCCTTGTCTAAACCTGTATTCTTTTGTTGCCTACAGTGTTCTTGGACGTTTCCGTCACTGAAATATCTGTGATTACCTGAAATGACAGATTCTTTTGATTATCGCTGGTGTTCATCGTTTTTTAATGTTTATGTGATCAGTTCGTATGTCTAATGCATGTTTTGAAAGCACCTCAGATCTTATTCAAGAATCTGCCTAATCTTTTGATAATTATTCGTGGTCTCCATCGACTTAGGTACCCTACGATTTAATAAGTACCTTACTCTTCAGGTAAAATCTGCGAACATAGCTACTCCTTCTGTTGCCATCTACACTTTTCGGCGGTAGCATCACTTTGGAAATCGTCCAGGCGCTCCTTCCAACCTTAACCTTAGCTGATAACTTCCTACCTGGCACAACATGGTTGAGGGTAGTTCGGCAAGATGTTAAGAACTTAGTGACTACTTTACACCGCGTCCTATCATCTCCTCCTTTGAGCAGCAGATATTAAGCGTAAGTTACAACGTTGCTCACTAGTTCTATGGTGTCAATCAGCAATATGCTGTCCGAAACTCTTAAAGAACACGGTTCGGCCGGGGACGAAATAATATGTTTACTGTGGGAATCTACGAGTTACGCAAAATGACCACAACTACAAGGCTGAACCATATCATACCGATCAGTTGTTTCTGTGTACACCATCTTGAACCTTCCCTAGGTGTTACATGATGAATGTGAATCTTCTAAGTGATTGCATGCTCGGCTTTAAAGATCATGCGGTTAGGAAACAAAACCACTACATATTTTCGAATTTAAATCACAGAATTGTTTGAGCAGGTGTTATTAAGAATTACTAAGGTCTCTGGCACCACGAAATAGCTAACAAAAATATACACAACTTATCGACTGTTTCTTCTGCACGGTATATACGGTATATGCATTCAGCCACTTCGTAAATGCATCCACGACATCTAGGAACATTTTTCTTCAGATGCAACCAGCGAAATCTGCGTGGAGGATATTCCGAAATCTAGCTGGCTTGGGTCACTGCTGTGGTTCATATTCCAAAGGGATCCTAGCAGCCTACAGGCAAAAAATAGGTACGGCATTTGTCTTCGATAACTCTGTCTAGTGAAGGCCAATATGCGCGACTCTGAGCGAACAAATTCATCCTATTGGTCCCAGGGTGACAATTGTGAAATTGCATGAGAACATGTTGGCGGTGTAATTGAAGGATAACACTTCGGTCACTGACCATAACCCATGAGTGAACATTTGTCAGTGAGTCACGTGGACTGAAGTACTTCAATGTTCTCCGTCAAGGCGACGGTTTGGTCATCTAGTTGGAAGATAGCTACTAACTCTTTTGCCACCTTCAGTGGTTCCTTCGATAACTTAAAGGGTGACTGGTAGCTCATTGGTTGCATTATCCAATACTTGATAAACTTCTCTTTAAGTTTCCACGTTTGACGCAAGTATATCTTCTGACACTTTTGTCTGGGAACCTATTAATCTCGATAAAGCATCGTTTTGTTTGAGAGTTGTAATAGAATGGCACTTGACCTTGAATCGAAGCCCAGAAGTGTGACTGCCCATCGTTGTAGTCAGTTAGCCGTGTAAACAGGAATTCCTTTCCTTGACTCGGATACGGCTAATAATGGCATATGGTTTGTTAATGGAGTGAGTTGTCGTCGAAATATCATTTTGTGGAAATTTTACAACAAAAATAATTCTCAGAGCTTCTTTCCCAATTCGGCTGTAGTTACAGTTTATCATTTTAGATGACCTGGCTGCATGAATGACTTGAGGAGTTTGAAGCAACCACAGTAGGCGAGGAAAGATCATGATGAGTGAGAAGGTCGGAAGCTACGAGTTACTTGATTCTCTTGAGAGCACGTAGTGGATTGTCTTCGACGATTCCTACGGCCTCATATATCTATCGCCGTCATAAGCGCTAATAAATAAATCCCAACGGTGTATGAATTCTGAAGGCAGCACGAAGCGACAACTATAGATTATTATTGAACAGCACAAATAAATAGGCTCAAACACACCAAGAAGATACAATCAGAAATGTAACAAAAAAGCGAGCGTATACAGAGGCCAACTGGAAATAGAATAAAGAATCAAATGAAGAGTCGACTGAATTGAAAAGAATCAAAGATATATATATATATATATATATATATATATGGGAAAGTGATTTAAGTAATTAAAATTTAATTTAGAAGGAGGGGTATGTGTGCGGGCTGTCATGTGATCAAGCACAAATATTCATACAAACGTGATAATAAACAACACCAAGACATACAGTACTTGTGAAATATGTCCAGTCTATTTCGTTCAGCCTCACCAAGAGTTTTTGCTTTCTATGCTCGTTGTTTCCATGATCATTTGAATTAATCTATTACTGAGTAGCGACCAGTGTCCGTTTAACAAGTTACTCTCAGTGCTAATCGAAATCTACCCATAGGAAGTCCTGTCACGTGCTCTCAACCAACCGCGTAAATTATTTGGTTAGCCCTCCCATATACATGTAAGTACATGTATGCGAATATGTCAACTCTACGTGTACGTATCTTTTATTTCTACTGCCAGTGATCGATGTCATATTGTTGTTATGGTCTATTAGTTGTTGATTTTCTTGAACAATGTTCGCATGGTTAATTGACCACCATCAGGAGAATAAACCGCTTCATAAGTCATGTGTCGTTCTTCCCCAATTTTCTGTCGCATCAGAAGATATCTAATGAATCTACTATACACGTTTACACATTGTGCTTTTTAACTCTGTCTGTTCAATTACGCATCGTTACCTCGAATTATGTCTCGTAGTTTGGAATTACTGATTACACCAATATAATTGTAGACCTACTTTCGAAACGCGTTGATCATCCAGTTTATCGACAGTTTGCAAGCAACATTTTTAAGCCCTGTATATTTATCTTTGTATATGGTAGCCCATTTTTTTGTGTTTAGTTCTAAATAAGATCAATGTTGATGAAATGTTTACATTCTGGCCCATCATAAATGAAATAGTTTGGGTAACTAACAGCACTTTAGTCACTGGTATCATAAGACGTCTTGGATTATGAATTGAGTTCTTCGAAGAAAAATCCAACTGATCGGCGGCCCCAGAAACGTCGAATAGTCACATCCTTTCTGGCTTAGGACAAATGAGCCACTTAACGAAAAGGGAATGTGATAATTAGGAGTATTTGAATTATAGTATAAACTAGAAATCCCAAAAATAACACAATGTTATCAAAAAGTACTAGATGAGCACGAACGAATGTATTGTATTTGGAATTCGAAACCAAACACAAAAAGATCATTGGCTCATATAAACACCACAGAGAGTTAACAGAAGACTCCAAATGCTGGAGCGCCACAACTCGATAGTGTAAGGTGACTTGAACCAGGTTTTTTTGAAGATGGTGCCAAACTAGTGGTTCGGAAACTGATAACATTACTTGGGAAGGTTTGGGAGACAGTTCTGAAATTAAGCCATCATCGTTTCATTTTAAATATGCCTACTTCTTTATTTAAACGGATCTGAGATTCATTGATATCAGGGACCAAATATTGTTGAAGATCAGCCCTTTCTGTTCTATTTACAAACGTTTGAACTACTTGTGACACTGACCTTGTGGCTCGAACTTTAAACTGGTGGCCTAACTAGTTATTGTTTTCAAACACGGTTTGTGACCTGTAGGTTTGTTTTTTAACGTTTGTTTCCTTTCTCGCTCTCCGTTCCCAATGATAAAGCTAGCGCACATGTGAAATAGTTGTGTATAGACATGAATTTACAGGAAAGTGATATTTATGCGCATGTTTATCTTAATGAAACCTACGTAGGTGTTACTGGTTAATAGTTGTCAAAATACAATACTGGTGGTATCTTCAAAGTACTTTATTCTTAAATTCATGTTTTCGAACTCAGCATTGAGTTCGCTACCGAAATTTGCGTAAGCTATCAACTCATAAAATTTCTGAAGCTCAACCAAACCCGAAAATACTAGGTAATGTTCATGGGGATTGATTTAATCACTGAATGTGACCCGATACCTTCTGTTCAGTTTTCGGTCAGTCTTCAATAATGAGTACAGTAGGTTGATAAACCTGTATAAATCCTGACAAATTGCCTTCCAGCGAAGGTCCAGCTTCTTGAAAATGTTCACAGATGCGGCTGATACCACTTGTTCGAGTAAAACGTTCCAGCCATTGACCACGTTGAGCACGCTCTCCATGGAATTAACTTCTAAGCCCCATCTAACTGATTTGTCTAAGTCAGCTTGGAGATGAAAACGATCAGCCTCACTTATGTTATCCAGATTTTGACATCATCCGCAAACAATAATGTCGACAACTTAAGCAATAGCGGTAATTCTTTAACATAGAGGAGAAAAAGTAGAGGTCCCAAGATGGTGTCTTGGTGTACACCACTTTTGACCGGCTTCCATTCGGATAGCGTTCCATTAACCCTCACTCTGTCTGCGGTCATATAAGAAGTTTCCTATCGATTGATCTGCAGCACCTGTTATTCCAAAGCTCGAGAGCTTCTACATAAGACTTAAGTGTGAAACCTTGTCAAACACTTTGCTGAAATCCATGAATATCACATCGACAGACAGGCCGTCATCTAGGGCTGTTATGCAATGCCTTTTCGTCGTTTCTGCCTACGCTCCCACTGACTGCAGCCATGATGAAGTAAAAGATGACTTTTACAGAAAACTCTCTGAGCTTCTTCAGAAAGCTAAGCGCTCAGACATAGTAGTCGTAGCGGGTGACTTTAATGCCCAGGTAGGCAGCTTAAATCAAACAGAAAGACATTTAGGTGGGTGTTTTAGTATTCCGGCTCAACGAACCGATAATGGTGATCGTCTGTTGCAACTATGCTCAGACAATCGTTTATTTTTGGCAAGCACTAATTTTAAACATAAGGAGAGACATCATCTAACATGGCGACCACCTGCACCAAACCAACGATGGACTCAAATAGACCATATTGTCATCAGTCATCGTTGGAGAGGCTCAATAGAAGATTGTCGCTCGTATTGGAATACTTGTTTAGACTCTGATCACGCTTTAATACGAGCGCGCATTTGTCTGCGCCTCAATGGACGCAGGAAAGTTACACTAGGAAGACCCATTTGGATTGAACTGGAGGACGAGAAAGCCAAATGCGAATTCCAGAAACAACTGAGTTCACATCTAGGCAGTTCTGTAAACAAGACTGACCCAGATACTGCTTGGAAAGACATGCGAACAGCTGTGGAAACAGCAGTAACATCTATTAGTCATTTAAACCATAGGGCTCCAAAAAACCAATGGATTTCCTCTAAGTCTATTTCACTGATGGATTCGCGTAAACTCATCCCATCAGGCTCTGAACATGACGAAGAGCGTAAACAAATTAGATCTAGGTTAACTAAAAGTCTAAGGAACGATCGTGAGCAGTGGTGGGCAACGAAAGCAAAAGAGATGGAAAAGGCAGCGGCTGTAGGCAACACCAGGCAACTATTCAGACTAATAAAAGAAACCGGAATTAAGAAGTCAAGTGTAAGTGAGACAATCTCGGAAAAAGACGGAACTCTTATCTGCTCTCAACCCAAACGTTTAGAACGATGGGCGGAACACTTTAAGGAACAGTTTAGCTGGCCTTCAGCTACTGCACAACTACCCACTATTCCCAGAAAACCTGAATGGAACATTGAAGTAGGCCCCCCGACCCTACTTGAAGTTCAAAAGGCTATAGGTAATCTGAAACGAGGAAGAGCAGCTGGTCCAGATGGATTGGCTCAAGAGGTCTTTAAATATGGTGGTCCAATTTTAGCGATTAGGTTGACTAATATTCTGGCTAAAATCTGGGAGACGGATGTAATCCCATCCGACTGGTCACAATCACTTATTGTCCCAATATATAAGAAGGGGTCAAAATCATCCTGCGATAACCATAGAGGGGTTAGTCTGACTAACATAGTATCTAAAATACTGGCCTCAATAATTATCAGTCGCCTAACTAAGACTCGTGAACTGCAAACACGAGAAAATCAGGCTGGCTTCAGACCTGGTCGTGGCTGTATCGACCACATATTCACCATTCGTCAAGTTTTAGAGCACAGACATGCTTATCGGCGTCCGACAATGGTAGTTTTTCTTGACTTGAAAGCAGCATTTGACTCTGTAGACCGAGAGGTTCTGTGGCAGTGTCTGTCATTGAAAGGTGTATCTGAGAAGTACATAAACCTTGTGAAGGCTCTTTACTCGAACACTATCAGTCGAGTGAGAGCTTATGGCAAACTGTCATATGATTTTACAACCTCAAGCGGTGTCCGTCAAGGCTGTCCACTATCCCCTTTTTTGTTTAACTTCATTATAGACCTGTTGCTGGAAATAACACTCTCTTCGACTGAATTTACAGGAATTGATCTCCTACCAGGGGGACCACTAAGCGACTTAGAATACGCAGATGACATAGTCCTGTTTGGTGAAGACGCTGGCAAAATGCAGAGTCTTCTGTTAGAACTCAGTAATAATGCCAGGATGTTTGGGATGCGTTTCTCCCCATCCAAATGTAAATTGTTACTCCAGGACTGGCCTACGTCAACACCCGAACTAAGGATAGTGAGTGAAGTAGTCGAACGCGTGGACAACTTCACTTATCTTGGAAGTCTGATCAGCCCTAATGGGTTGGTGTCTGACGAAATCTCAGCACAGATTCAAAAAGCTCGTTTGGCTTTTGCCAACTTACGTCACCTATGGCGAAGACGAGATATCCGTCTATCAATTAAGGGACGAGTATACTGCGCATCAGTTCGCTCTGTTCTACTTTACGGCTGTGAAACATGGCCATTATGAGTAGAAGATACTCGTAGGTTACTAGTATTTGACCACAGATGTCTTAGAAATATTGCTCGCATCTGCTGGGATCACCGGGTAAGTAATAGTGAGGTTAGACGTAGGGTATTAGGGAACGTTGGTAAATCAGTTGATGAGGTGATGAATCTTCATCGACTGAGGTGGTTGGGCCATGTGTTACGTATGCCTGAACACCGATTACCACGACGCACTATGATGACTAGTATTGGGGATGGTTGGAAGAGAGTTAGGGGCGGCCAAACCAAAACGTGGCATCATTGTTTGAGGTCACTAACTTCTAGCCTGTGCCATGTTGGCAGATGCAGACTACCTGGTTGGGGTCCGCGTAACTATCGTAACCAATGGTTGGAGACTCTAGGTGACATGGCTCAGAATCAATCACAATGGCGTAGGTGTATACACTCTTTATCTTCCCTTAAACTATGAGATTAAAATTGCTTCATATCTCTCTTCCTTCCTATACTATATCCTTATATACAACCTTTCTTTATATACTACCATTACTAAAATAATTACTTCTATGAATCCGGTGTTCATCTTGTTGTGCTAACGAGGTATGGCAACTTGGACCGATGCATATATGTGCCTGGTCCTACGTTGTAGCTGACTGACTGACTGTTATGCAATGCTCTCTCGCAGTGAGTAAGTTGGTGAAGCATGAATGCTTGTTTTGAAACCCATGTTGCTCGGGAGTCGACAGACTGTACAAATCTATGTGACTTAGTAACTTAACCTGAATTATCTTTTCAAGTAACTTAACGACTATGCTGGTTAGGCTGACAGGCCAATACTTAGATACGACCCGTCCCTGACCATCCTTAAATATAGGACTGACTATCGGGTTTTATGGTCCTGCTCCTGGGTTGGGAACACCCAATATAGTTTTTTCTTAGACTTGACATGATGAAATACCGCTCGATGCTGTGATCAGCTAAAAATCGCCAATCGCTCATGCTCAGTGACCTGACCGTAGCTGCTACGGTGACATGGTGAACGCAAGTAGACCGTATCATCATCATTCGTCGTTGAGGAGACTGGTGAAAGACCCAGTTAAGGTGGGTGGTTGGACTGATCACACCGTAGTGCGAGGACTCATTTTCCGGGTTTAACTGGACGTAGTAACGTCGAAAAGAGGACACACACATTCGTGACAACATCTACGTTGGCTAAAACTCTGGTGTTAGGGAAAGTAGACTGGCTGGTCAAGTCCGTCGTTCTGTCGTAAGGATTAGTTAGAATTGTCAGATGATACGTCTCGAGATCAATTGCATTATCTTAATACCATTCCATTTTCTTCACACTTCAGTCTCACTCGTTTCATGTGAACTACATTTCTCATTTCAGACATTCTGCGATTTATATTGTCATCCACCTTGCTTTTACCTTACTAGTTTTTTCTTGCTGTGCTGATGTGCAGCGTGGTAGCAAATCAGTACATATCCGTGCCAGGTTTGGGATCGTCTGTTTTGAGCTCTATTGTCGACTATGCATGCGTGTCATAATAAAAAAGTCACAAACAAGACAGCAGCTTGATGTGTCGCTGATTTATAGAGTAGAATCTTTGTACAGTTGGAGCAACACCAATGAAGTACATGTAAAAATTATTACTCTTACCACCATAACTACAACTGAGCAACTTCAATAATTTTTATGCTCCAAGTCCTAAACATTAATTACTGTCTATTTTTCAATTTTCGTAATAGAATTTCTTTGATATCGCTACATTGTATAATTTAGAGCACTTTACTTTCGAAAACTAAAGGCATTGTAAAACAATATTTCTACTTTAATTATGGTACATTTTTACATTAGAGCTCATCTAATTAACTTATAATTTTTCTAAGCTTATTAAGCAGTATCTCCTTAACGAAGTTTTTATTTCCTTACCCTTAGATTTACAGATGAATTATGGCTTCGCGGCATGTTCCTTACACGGATATGTCAGATATGGGACGGGCAGCACAGGAGGTATGTATTATTTCGAGTTGCTTGCTCATCATTATATAGACTGAAATACAACGCGCTGCCAATCAACAGCTAATTGAAGAAGGTAGAGTAATTAAGCACAAGGAGCTTGAAAAAATGAGACGTGAAGTATGTATCGAATAATCTGGCTTGATAAATTCATTTTAAGGAGGAAAATAAGGATGACAGTAGTAGTGAGCGTCCTGACGTTATCATCAAGGTAAGTCCTTGCTATTGCTTTTACAAATAGTTACAATCGTGCATATTTTAATTTCTTGTATTAGGAGTTTTAGAAATTTCAAATATCAGGTAGAACAATAAAACATAAAATGTGGCTTATGTATCAACCTAATTCGCCTCGCTTCACGACAGGCTAACAAAAGGGAATCGAAAGGCGGAAAAGCGACAAGGTCAATATTATTGTAGATTATGGGAAACTGCGAAGACTAGTAACCAGAGAATGGAAAGTATACAATAATCCTCTTTGATATTTAGATTTACACCATTCACTGCAATCAATTTTAAACTGTAGCACCTAGTATCCACCAATTAGTTACGAATATTTCGTGATCGGTAGACAGTTTTCCAGTTCCTTATACACCTAGGACTACGAGTTAATGACTTCATGAGCTGATGTTATGTATTGTTCTCTTCACCTTTAACCAACGTACTTCCATACTAGTTAGCTTATTATTGGTTTGAAACTTCAAACTTCCGTTTCCCATGTATGTGTTTTTGATGTTTGTGTGCTTGTAGTCACATTTCTTTGAGAAACTAGAAACAAACCATTCAGGAATCAATTTAAGGTGATATTAAGTCGGACTTGTGTTGATTAAAAAGGGGATGAAAGATTGTCTTTGTTTTCCATCATTGTGTTGTGTGTTGGAACGTTTGTTGATAGAGTTTGTTTAGTCTTGTATATTAATTAGTTATTCTTTTGTTTTCATGGTACAAATGTTCCGACTACTCATTGATCAAAGCGGGCCTTAAAAAACCATATTTACTGTTTATCATGCACGTAGGTTAATAATGGAAGCACTTCACGCTTGAGTAGCCAGCGTTCTTCGGCCGATTTAGCATCATCAATCAGCTCAAGGAATTTGGATGCACGTGAGCTACGAGCCCAATTACTGCAGTTGGAAGAAAAAGTTAAGGGGGCAATGTTATCAAATGTTCAACTAGACAATGACAAGCAACTTTTGAAGTACGTACTTGCAATGTTAACCATTCTAATTATTACCGTCTAAGGTGGTTATTTATGACTTGATTGCTTCCTGGACCTTCCAACGCTTGATATTTATCTACTCTGTCAAATTGATGTATATTGGTTGGTGCACAACTTCCCTCGGTTATGTTTTAGTGTTAGAGGGTATCAACGAAATCGTAAATGTGCTCCCCGATTTGTGACTAATGAGATGCCTATATCTGGTTCATTGTAAATATGTTTTAATATGATCTTTAACTCTCTTTAAACAATATAGTTTTGTTTCAGTCGAGTGTATTATCATTACCTAGATGTTGAATACTTGTTAATTGATTATTCTGACCAAAGGACGAGTGTACTATTTAAACAATGATTGTTATCTAGTATATAGATACTTGTGCTCAATCTACTCGGTTAATCTGGTTTTAATAGTTGAGATCATGAGTCAATTGTAGCTAGACCACCAGGTTTTCCATGGTGTTCTAACTTCAATTGACTCATGATCTCAACTAATAAAATTACTATAATATCCACAAAAACCCCTTCTGATATGAATCTGATTTTGCCTAAAATGCCTCTGTGTATCTTTTTATCACACCATAATAGCTCAACGGTGAACCGGTAACACGTTTACCAACGATAGTCTTGCTAACAGCTTCTTTCTGCTAGGCTTCTTTAATGGGTTTGGGAAAATTTGTTGTTACCCATTGTCAAAATTGGTAAGCAGAGATGGATAGTGGCTAGCAGTGGAATCCAGGACGCGCGTTTCGTCCTATTTGGGACTCGTCAGCTGGATGTACCTGCGTCTCAGGGTTGATGTTCACTCTTGTACTCGAACCCAGTGCCCTCGCTTCAAACGCCATCACGTTATCCACTCGGCCACTGAGTCCTGATAGCCACTTGCTTGTGCGATGGGGTGAAGTTTAAATTCATTTAGTATAGTTTGTTTGAATCTTCCCATCGATGTGTTAGGACTGCAACTGGTCAATCTCTAATTGGCATATGTACATAGTGTGCGTATTGCCTCGATATACCTTAACTCACAAGCATGGACGAAACGCGCGTCCTGGATTCCACTGCTAGCCACTATCCATCTCTGCTTACCATGCTTGTGAATTAAGGTATATCAAGGCAATACGCACACTATGTACATATGCCAATTAGAGACTGACCAGTTGCAGTCCTAACACATCGATGGGAAGATTCAAACAAACTATACTAAATGAATTCATTGTCAAAATTGTTTAAAAGCCACCCAATTTTTCAAAATTCTGTTTCTCTCACTTGTTATGAAAGCCTAAAGTTGGTTGGTCTCAGTTAATTTTCCTCATTGTATTCAAAATTAACTGAAACGAGTCTTTATATGTTAACTAACCTAGGTGATATTTCAGAGGTCAACTACTTTTATTACCTACTTGTAGGTTTTCTTTTTTCACACTACATTATGTCTTCAGGCTAAGTCGGTGTGAATATGATTTATGTGCTCCATTCATTACTCAGTTACTTCATCTTTAAGTACATATTGACAAATTAAGAATGGATAACTTTAGGTATGTTGTGTTTACTAATTCTGATACAGATGCACCCAAATATGCATCTGGTCAAATATCCAGCTTCCATATATTCCGATCATCTCCTACAGTTCTCCTATATTTTTATGTTTCCCACTCACGTATTAAAATCGCTCATTGCAATCACTATAGATGTTCATCTAACCTTTTGTAAAAGGTTTTGCAGTATTTAATAAGGCCTATCTTCCACTGCTGCAAATGGGAATCTTGTGTCGTGGTCTTCACTTTTGGCGAACAACATGGGACTTCTGTTTTAAATTTGGTTGACAGCTGTTTTCAACCTCTAGTTTCAGCACAGTTCATATGGATGCTTGTTCAAGTAAATTTACCGTCAGCTACTCAAATATCTGTGAAGTGAATTTTACTGATTCACCATATTGGCTAATTGAAATAATGTGACCAAACACTTAGAGTAGTAACTACATTACAATTTGATAAGGACTTAATGGGGTAGACAAACATGACATTTCTTACTACTCAGTGATTGATCAGTTGTTAGCATCCCAAATGTACAAGAGGTCAGTCGCCGCTCGACGATAACGTCTCACTATGAAACTGGGTGACGGGGTTTCGAATGCTACAAGATCAGTCATAGTCACATGCAACGTAAAACAGTGCGTCTGTTCATGTTGCTATACCATATTAGCTCAACGAAACAAAATTATCAAGATAAATTGTAGATCGGTGAAAGAAGTAGCAGAAAATATTAGGTGCATAGAGGAATACAAAAGATGTATGGTGATTTCAGGGTTCAGGAACTTGAGGACAATAGGGGGTTAATGCACCTGTGTCGTTGCGGACAATTCTGAACCACATTCAAAGTTCAATTAATGGTCACGATAGTCGTACGGATCCCAACTAGGTAATCTACACTTACCTACATGACTCAGTTCAAAACTCAATGACTTAATGAACTGATGCAACGTTTTGGTTTAGCCTTCCCTATCATTCTTCCAATCTACTCCTACACTGGACAACATCGTCCGTCAAGGTAGGGGGTGTTTGGGCGTACGTAATACATATCTCAATCACCACAGTTGATAAAGATTCACTATCTCACTAAGCGACTTGTCCTCTTTACCTAGTCACCTAAACCTAACCTCACCATTGTTCACTTATTGGTCCCAACATACACGATACGAAAACGGGTCTTTATTATAGAAGTAGATCGATATAAACTAATTATGAAAGAATTTTGAAGAATCATTAAATTGCAGTTGGTTATTTATTAGTAAAATATATGAATATGCTAGTATAGAGAACTGGTAGACACGGTTAAATGTAATGCACACATCTAGAATCTGCCCACGTTTTTCCAACTGTCTAGATAAACGATCTGCTTTCTTTTTGCTTTCTACTTTCTCAAGGTATGAAGTTGATTTGCTCAAAGATAAATTGGAAGATCTCACAGATGCTTATGCCTCTTTGAACAAAACCTTCTTAGAAAACAAACGGGTTTGTTATCATTGGTATAATTTGACAAAGATTTTTTTATTAATATTGGCGGATTTGTGGAGATAGTTCAAATCACGAACTGGTCTTAGTTAGACCACCATTAAAAACCTGGTAGCACTTGAATGGCCACTTCGTCCTAGTGTGTGACTACTCGGCAGTGCGTACCCACGACCTTGCATTTGGGGATCGAACCTAAGATTTTTGGTCTTGCGTGCATACGCTTAATCCTTAGACCACTGAGTCAGGATCCAGTGGTATGAAAGTCTAACTTCAGTCAATTCACGATATTATACAACCCTCATCTATTGCCTAGCTAATGACTAGCTTCAAGATGAAACTCCTAGAGTTCTATTAAGAAGTTGTAACTAGTGGGATTCAACTGTGTCGGCTGTGGGACAGTTATCCACCTCATGCAACGAATGAAAGTTACATAGTACATTTTTCCTAGTCATTCAATGAAAGCAGTTTAGTCTTTCCAACTGATTGGATTGCTAGAAATCACAACAGATAAACATGTTATATATTACTTTGAGGCCGCGTATGTTGATAGCTTTAATCTTATGCTGTTTTATTTGTAGATATTTTCATCCTACCTATCTCAACCTTTTGTCGCTCAAACTCATTCTTGTTTGATACTACATGGTTGTAAGTAGTCAGTCGAAGGCTCTGAATTTAGGTTTAATGTTTGTTAGTTAAGTGTACCTGTAATTTTGAATGTTTTGATTCTCCGCACCGGATTCAAATCTGAATCATTCAGTTTCATATTCAAAGACGTTAATCCTAAATTACTTAAATCACAACTGACCTGTTATACTTAAATGTTTATATTAGCCGATCACTTAGTGATAACCACCGTCATGTTTGTATAGTCCTAAGAGTGTTGATCAAGTTCTTGTATTTATCTACTCACTTTAATGGATTATCAGTATTCACCTTGGTTCCTGTTATTCATAGTTTTGTATGATCCCACCATTTACCTATCCGATTTTCTCTCTGTCGTTCACGCCCACACATTCCTAATTTTTAGGAATTAGCTTATCAAAAAATGCAAATTGTTGAATTAACACATCGTTTGGATTATGCACGTCATCAAGTAGAAGCACGTGATCAACTAATTGTTGAACATGGTTTAGTATTAATTGGTGGCACAAATGCTGATGACAATTCTACGCTGTCTAACATGGAAGAGTTAACAACAACCAATGCACATATATCATCTACGAATAAGGGAAAATCGACGAGTAATAATAGTAATTTAGTAATGATGAATGGTTTATCCAATGATAATAATAATCATTCAAAATCAAATTCATTGATACATCAAAATGGTGATAAATCATCAAATCATTTACCCGAAATGGTTCTTATTACAAAATCGACAGCTGAACTTCTAAATACTTTATCTGAAACAACATTAGGTAAATTGAGTGTATGCTCGCATATATACGTTTATTTTAATATAGCATATTGATTTTGTAAAATGACCTACCAGTCAGTTATAATCAATGAAGAGACTGGGACAGATGTGGGTTAGTTCATGTTCTACTTTGCATATGACTAACTGATAACTGCGTTAGCCCAAGTTGTCAGACTGTATCGGCACAAAATGAGGTTGATAAGTTGAATAGTCGAGGAGTCAAAATAATGTAATAAAATTAACTACGAGAAGGATGAAATTTTAGAGAATATGGTTTGAGGGGATAAAATAAAAAGGTGTGTATGAAGAGACACTGGATCTCAACATCTAGGACGAGTTAAAAAAGAATGCATCTGGGTCGTTGTGACGGTTTATGAGTGATGTCATACATTGTTCCCAACCCGTTTTCACTGTTGTCGGTGTTTAGAATTGCTTTGTATCAAATACTTTGTAGCTGTCCCACGTTTAAAAAGTCTAGTAGTGTTTAACAAAATCGTAATTGGCTTCAAGTTGGTTTCTTTATTATAATTACCATAATTATAGATTATCTGCTAGTCAAACGTGCTAATCTGAATAAATTCGATCTTCATTTTTACCATAAATATGCTATATTTCCTGCAAAATCCTGTACTTTCTTTGTGGTACTTACACAGCAAACAGTGTACATCTGTAGGGGCTGGCACTATGTCAAGCCTTCTGGACAGACCATTGTATCCATACAAAAAACTTATAATGGGCCTGTGATTTACTGATTTAATAATTGGTGTTAGCTTTTATCCCGTACCACGTCTGAGATACGAATCGATGAAGATTTCTAAGCTAATACGAAACAGCTGTTCAATGTTCACTAGTCTTTGATGAATTTTCAGCTGATATTAGTTTGCCATGAAAATCACTTTTTAACTGTTTGTGTATTTGATTTTCGTGCTATACTTTTGTGGGAGAGTGCTGATAATATTATCCCGACTGCTGGAACCATATAAGATAGGGTATAGAGTTTAAACCCATTACTTATTGGTTGAAGGTGTAAGTGATCTAACCGCTAAAAGGACACTTTTTTACATGATGTATATCACAATTTCTTAATGCACAATTTTTATTTCAAATTTGATCAGTGATTTAAGCTGTAGTCATAAACTATTTAGGTGTTTATCTTTATACATATATGCGTCAATTTTGTCCTTTGTACGTCTGTATTCATGTGTATATTTAGTTTGTCCATCATAGATGAAAAAACGTTTGTATGAATTATTTTAATGCTTGATTGGGAACTATTTGTTTATATGCGCATAGATTTCTCGCATATTTTTTTTGTGTGAATCAAGTTTACCAACAATATGCTTAGTGGTGATTGGATAGAATATTATTGTCATCGTTGTTCTACAGATTGTGTAGGAGATTCTAAGTATCTTACCTTATATCTTGTTTTTTTTTATTGTAAAAGATGGTTTACTTGTTCAAGTACTTGTCCTGTGTTATCCATCATTACTAATTATAAGTCGATGATCTTTTGACAGATTTTTTTCTTTTAATTGTTATTATTATTGTTGTTTCTGTTTTGATTTCTGTCATTAAATGTTGAATAAACATGTCTTTATGCATATATTGTGTGTCTACATAAAATGAACAGCATGAATGATCACGACTATAGTCAATGGAATGCCATGGAATTTTCTCCTTATTATGTTAGTTTTGTTATATTGAATTAACTAGCCAACTAACAAATATTGTGTATATTTGAATGGGTACAAATGCACGGGCTTGTGCGTATTCATATTCATATATGTGCAGGAGTGTGTAGGCTATCTTTTTTGTTGGACATTGAAGAGAAATACTGTTTGATTGAAAACATAATCGATAAATCAAGATGCATATAATTTGTTCTAAGTTACTAAATATAACTTACTATTTGTACATGTATTGTAAAGAATGAAAATGTCGATGCAATTTTTTTCGTAGTCAATTTGTCTATACCTGTCATTAACTTAGCTACATGCAAGTAGGCAAGTAGGGATAAAATTTTACTTCACAATGAATAGTGCAATAGTTAACCTTTTAATATACATTAAATTCTGTGATTTACAAGTGATGTACATTGTACATCGAATTAACTTTAAATGGACAATAATTTTACAAATCTTTCTAATTCAATGGAAATGATCTTGTAGCTTCAAGTTAATTATAAAAAGAGAATGTGATTTTTGTAATTCTACTTTGGTGTCAATGTTATGATACTTTAATCCATTGTACAACATAAAATACACTTTATAAGTCTAACAGAATGTTGTGGTTACTATAGAGGATTTGCAGAGATTATCGGATTTCCATAGTTTATATCACGGGTTAGAACCATACTGAAAATTGATTGAAGTTAAAAAATGTAAACCATTGGGTCCTGTATCAGTGATCTAAAAGTTTAGCGCTCACTGTTAGACTCAAAGGTTTCAGGCTCGATCCTTGTGCGGGTTTGTAAATATAGACTGCTTAGAGAAATCTTAGAATAGTACGAAATAACGATCCAACTCTTTCTCATCTTCAATAGTTGTCTAACTAATATCATTCCTTGATGTGAACTTTAAGAATGGTATATCTTATCAGGAAAATGATAAATTTTCTACATTAGCTGATTATTTCTAATATGGAATTTCTTGTGTTTAAAATACATTTTAATATAATGAATGCTTTAACTCGTGGATTAATTATTTCAGTCGTAGTTTTGTGTTCAATCATTTAGTGTTTCCTATTGTTGTAGTAGCTTAAAATACAGTCAATATACAGTCCTTCTCAAGGTCTTTATCAGAAAAAATTTGTACATTAGTCAAAATAATCAAAGTTCATTTGTTTGTTCTCAATTACAGAATTTACAGACCCGATAAAAGGTCACCCATAGAAACATTTGATATCACATAATGATAATAATAATTTTAAAAAAATTTAATTTTGAGATACAGTCTTAAACATTTATTCGATAAATGGTAATAACAACTTAATCAAGATAGTTTTGCATCATTTAGTGATTTCATCTAGACAGGCATTAAAAAAATCACAAAACATCGGACAGTTGTATCATCCGTATGAGACTCTCGTAGACACACATACAATCCAATCATTGATCAGACTAATGACCTTTAACTCTTACAGTGAGTGATTTGCCGTGCAGACCACTGAGTTAGTATCCAATTTTTCATATTTCCTCTTATCCTAATGATCGTAATCCTGTATTCGCTAGTGAGTAGTATCTCAAAGAATTCCCAATGTTCTAATAATCAGAACCCATGAATTATGAAATTCACATATGTCGACATTAAGGCTAGGTACCATTCATGACAATTGTTCATGACCACTAAATATTGCGAAACGACTGAAATGGGAAGTGAGCCATTGGATGCTGATTCAGTCAGTAATCTACAGATAACACACTTTCCACCGAGTCTGAAGGTCTTAGTTACAATACTTGGTTCGGTTATGGGTGTACACTGCTGAGGAGTCTCATACTGGGGAGAAACCACTATCCATTCCTCTCTAGTCCTAAATTTTTGTCTAGCACGTTAGTCTGGTATGTAAAGTACGAATTAGGAAATCTACATAAACCTTTCATAATACTGATAAGCATAATATTATTATTAGTAACTTAAGTAACACAGCATAAGGTACTCAAGTTACAACACTATTAACCTTTCGGGTTTTAATTTCCTCTTTATTATTATGGTTGTCAATAATGATATAAAAGTTGTAATGCTTACCTGGATTTCCAAACTAAAGAAAGTGATTTTCTTTAGATCATCACTCCTCTAGCCTTTGAATCTGTAGGTCTAGTCCACAAGTCTATTTAAAACGTTAGAAAGTGCAATCTCTTTGTACCCGGCGACCACACTAGGTTCATACCAACATCTAGAACCTGGAGTATGTGTACACTATTTTTTTTCGAATCTGTTTCCGAACTCCATAACTCCACGAAAATAATTAATCATAATATGTCTTAATTAATTAATTCGCCTCATTCCATTTGAAATTTACTTATTACAGCAGTGCTTATGACTACAACGGTAAACAACATAAGTGTGAATGTCAAAATAGGGTTTTAACTTTTTTTTCAAAGGTACTTTCTGTTTACTCCTATAAATACCTACATTCCTCATGCATAAGTTAGCGTTAACAATATGTTGGTTTTACGTTGCTCATAGTTTTTATACTTTGTTGGGATGTGTACAGTAATCGTAATCAATGTTTAGAGATGGCGTTAGATGAAATGATTCAAAAACAATGGCTTTAGTTTAGATGTATTCACTGTATATCTTCTCTCATAGCTTGAATATCTATATTATTTTATGCTTTTCATTCTACAAAGTTATTCTTTCTTTGTGAATTATATTTTCTCCATGTTTATTCTCTTTCACAATCAACAGACATTACCATCATGTTAACTTTCCATCTTGATGTAAAGTAACTCATTTACCAAGTACAAATTCGTTTATTTGGGTTTGTATGTATATGAGTGTGGGGGGTTTAGTGATGCTCAGACCGAAATAGGCGGAGCAAGTTTCGATTGTGCCATCTCGTAGCTGAGAATCAAACGCTTTAACCTTAACCAAACCTCAGCCTCATTAAGTCTTGAGGTGTAATGAAAGAGAACACAGGTGGGGACCACCAATTGTCTTCTAATGCAAAATTCTTCCGATTCACAATTCCTTTCTAATTCCGTTTCTGTTTTTTCAAGTCGACCTTCATGACCCTCTACTGCCAGGGTTTCCGCTTTCCATTGGTGTTCAGTCTTGAGTGCTGTTACTTGAATTGTGTTACATACTACTTATATCTGTCAACATAAGCAGCATACACCGCTGCTGTATTCATGTGGTTTAACAACGTGAGCCCATGTATATGTTTGTTAAGCCCTACATTGTATATAATGGACTGACTTAAATACTTATTGTTAGCTTATTGAACAGAGAATATGGTGAAGCATAATTATTTAATGCATAACACTTCAACAAGAATTTATTGCTCATCTTCATAAGACTTAAAAACTCACCAATTAACTTTTGTGGTTATTCTTTTTGGATTTGAATGGTGTTCATACTCCGTTTTTTTTGTTTGCAATAAAACACATTAGTGGTTGTCTTCGTCAGTTGGTATCATTTACGGATAGCATTCAAAGTCAGGGATTATTTTGATAACTGTTTCGTTACGGTATGGGACTCATCAACAATCCACATCTATAAATCTGCCAAAAGTTTGTTTAACCACAGGGTATTCAAATCTCACAGCTAGCGCCCAACTTTTAAACCACTCAGAACCAATATGGAAATCCGGGATTTCCAACTTCAACAAGTTTTCGATAGTCATAATCACCAAAAACCTGGCACATATATGTATCGGTTCAATTCGCTACACCATATTATCGCAATGAGATGAAATTACCAATTCAGAATATCAGAATAGTAGGAGTAATGATGGTAAAATGACGACTCATAGAGAATATGATTCTTAAAGAAAAAAACATGTAATTGAAAATGATATTCAACTTCACTCTACTGTTAACTAATTCGTTGTGAAGCTGAAATAGTATGATTAGTCAGCCATGATCAAAGTAGATCCCTGTATGTATATGGGTGTTGATCAAAGTTTTCATTCTTCATTAGCACGACGAGATAAAATTGATAACACGAGCAATAAGGGAGTTGGAATAATAATGATATTAGTGGTAATGGTAATAAAGGTTGAGCATTGAGAATATGAATCAAAAAGATATTTGAAAAGTATGTGTGAAGAAATATTGGAGCTCAAGATCTAGAGTAGCATAAAGAATGGATGCAAATACTTCGTTGTAATCAATTTCGTGCCATGTCACCGAACGTTTCCAATCACTGATTGCGGTTAGCACACTGATCTCGACCGGTGGTACGTGGATCTACCAGCATGGCTCAATTCAATAGTCAATGACTTCGTGGAATAATACCACGTCTCGATTCAGTTACCCCTACATCTCCAACCTATTTCTACACCAGTTAACATCACCCATAGAAGTAAGAGGTGGTAAGACAAGATGATCTACCAGTGCTGTCGATTATTTCCCAGACCATTAATGTGTTCACTGCTTTCTTGTTTTCATTAATCCCTATGCTAATATCAATCCATAAAGAATCCATAAATTAAACTAATCCCTACAAAACGCCTCGATCGAGAAATAACAATGTTTTTCGTATAAGTCTAACGCTAGATATTACTAACTTCTTCCTTTTTATCATCTTTTTTGCAGATAAGCAAATCCAACAGCTGTTTAGCATGCGATCCGAATTAGATGCACGAGTTGAAGAATTAGAATCTCAGTTAAGAGAAGAACGTAAGCGCTTCGAGGCTCCAGCTACACGTTATGATTCAAAGAATCGTACAAATGCAGCAATTACAGAAGATATTAAACATGAACTACAACGTAAGCTGATTAAATTTATTAGATTCTCTGTTGAATCGATTAAATATTGTTCTCTATCTTCTTATCCATGTGTAAGGTTATTAATTACAATACAATTTATTCAGTCAATGGGTTTTCAAGTTTTTTAGCTTTTATCGTAGCCTATCAATTGGTTGATGCAATTAGAGAGAAATAACACTAGTAATAAGTGTTTAAAGTTAATCGGTTGAAGAACCCTTCAATATTGTAATCAGAGTAATAGTTAGTTCTTTTTCGGTGAGTAGGAATTATATATAACGTGGATAAGAACCGATGTTAATTGATTTTGAATATTTTCTGTCTATTTACTATATTTTGTTTGCTAAATACAGGTTTTTATGGTTGGCTTTGGGAATCTTATTTATTGTATGAAGTGTAGTGATCTAACTTGGTTGCCTTAATCGAAGTGTTTAGGAGAACCACTAATTGGTTGAAACACTTGGCTTTAAGATATTTAGTTTCAGATTGAAGTATCATTCTATCTCCTGGGAGTTGGATATCTGAATAATATCGCTGTTTTTTCCATTCCATCTTCGCACACATTTTCCTCCATTACTGTTACTGCCACTACAATTATTTGGTATCCTTTGGTATTTTTCTTGTTGACTTCAGTTTGTTCTACCAAATTCTAATCTTCTGAATTCTTCATGTTTCTATCTTTTTTTCTCTTTCCAAATTTATTTCATTGGATTATACTCCTTCAATAACGTCTTCAAACTCCAATCTTTCACAAAATGCTTAAACTCTTACTACTTCTACCACTATGGGATTTGAATCGACAACTGGATCTCTGTGCTAATGTGGTATGGCAACTCGAACTGATGTACGTACGTACAAAGTTCTACGTTGTGACTGACTGACTAACTTCACTTTGTGCTAGTATAATAAAGCACTTTGGACCAACTTACACATGTTTCAGATTTTATGTTGATGCTGCCTGACTGACTGTTTATCTCAATGATGGTGATGTTTGATATATCTGATGAGGTCTCTCGAAAACATTCATAAATTTCTTTTCCAATTCCTAGTAAATATACTTACTAATTTCTTTCTTGATCTAAGTAAATTTTCAACTATCTATTTAACTTACATTCTGCATCATTAAATAATAGAAACACTTCAATTTAATTCTACTGAATCATGTGTTTTTATTGATAAATTTATCGTAAATATCATTTGCTGTAAAACAGTTTTTTTTGTTCTTACAAATTTAATTGATCTAATATAACGAAATCAGATATATATATAAACATTAGTTTGGATCCTTATTCTAATAAATTGATTTAAATGTCATATTTTTTAGAAAACCTTAAATTGGTTTAAGTCGATTGATGGAATTTTTGATCAGGTTTTTCAATAGGATTTATTTATTTATTTAAATACATAAATAATGGCACAAAGGAGCACCAGATATATATGCGCCACACAAATCTCATTTGATTTGTATGAGGGCTGTGTTACTGCCCAGGTGCCCAGACTGAAGCAGGTGGTTTTCTTAGGGGGCCACACCTGGAGCCTTTGACTTAAAGGTGTGATCCATAAGTCAGTGGAGCATTGTAAGGAGATGCAGTCCCATGGTAACCGGTGACCAACGATTGATTCATACGCCATTTGTTCTCTCAGGATAGCGGAGTCCAATTACACCATAAGTTTGGAATCAGGGTTTTCCAACTCATCTAGGTGAACTTTCCGTGTCCACCTACCTGGTTAAAGTGCCGTACATTCGCTTTTCATCCTCTCAATTTCGTAAACAACAGTAATGCCACGAGAAGGCAGTAGTTGTATGCATGTGGCCATGTGAGAGCATTTGGAGAGAGAGGGCGGATCCTCCCCACTCTCGGCCGCACCAGGGCATTTGGGAGCCCTTTCAATAGGATACTCAATTATATTGTAATGTATTTATGGTTATTACGTTACATATTTAAAATTTGTCTGAACCATTTCTTGTCAATGCGTAAATTGTATATTGTTTCCCATAATATAAAGGTGCGTAACACAGACCATAATATAAACGACTTTATATGAAAGCTTTATTACTCTATATCAGAGACATTGTTTTATGCACTGAATAAGTATACATATATTGATGAATACTATACTTTCATTGAATACCCATTTACCGAGTACAGGTTCATATACTTGACTTTGAGTCATATTCTAACTACGAGGGCTTGTAGTGCTCAAACTGAAGTAGTTGGTCAGGGTTCGAACCCGCGGCTTGATGGTTAGTAGTCGAACGCCTAAAGCACTGGGTCATCGCTACACTATATGTACATATGTGAAAGTTCGGTGGTTGGAGATAATCGGTCAGAAGTCATAAATTTAAGTTTTGTTTTAATTGGTGCTTATCAAAATACTTTGCAATGTTAAAGGAAAAATTGTTACTCTGTCTACGGTTCTAAAATGAGTCACTCAGTGATACAGTGTTATAAACTGTCGGATACTTGTTATAGCTCTAGGGTTTCTTGTTATAACAGTCCTTTCACTTTTTACACGTATGCGGGACGTTATTTTCCTTAGACGAATATCTACACTAGATTTCCCACCCAGTGACTATTGTACAGGACTTCAACACAACTCAGATCAAGAACACGTGATTAGCCTGACTAGAACGTCAATATATTTCCACACCAAAACCCGACACAATCTAACAACAAGTAACAGTCAACCAATAACAGTCAATACATAATTAGGATAGGGGAATATATATAACACGTATAACACCTGTCATCCTATCTCATATCTGACTCAGCAAAACAACCAATCATTGTCATTCTCGCCAACATATCATACAGTCAGGTTCATTATCATTGTGGTATACACGTGCTAACCATCTCAATCGATCACAATTCACTACCTCGTCAGTTGACTCATCACACTTACATAGTACTCTACGTGTTAACCTCGGAATTGTTGACTTGATGGTCCATGAATGTACAAGATGTGCTTGTATGATGGAATTCTAGTAAGCTACAAACGTTCTTTACTTTCAGAGGTGACATTTCACAACCATAAAGTAGAAGGGGACAAACTGGTGCTCAATATAATCGTCGTTTAGTTAGCAGATGGATATCTCATCTACTGCAGGATTGACGCAATTTGGCAAAGCCAATCAACCGACCAGAGATGATGGGACTTCTAAAATATGTGACATTGTCAACGCAATCAACTCTTCATGCCTATTACTAGTTCAGAGGATGATAAGGACCAATCCTGAAGCAATATTTTGTATTTGGATGGAGAGGAATCCATCTCAAACATTCTAGCATTGTTGTTACTTCAGACGTTGCATTTTTTCAGCGTCTTCATCAAATAGGAATATGTAATGTGTGTATTCTAAGTTAACAACTATGGAACAGCAGTTCCCTCAAAATTGTATTTCCAAATTCTGACCAGCATGATACCTAGGTTCGATCCTTCATCCGAATTGCTTCCAAATATTTAACATAATCAATCTTGAATTTATTTATTTATTTATTTAAATACATAAATATTGGTGCAATGAAGCACCAGATAAATATGCGCCTCACAAATCTCATTTGATTTGTGTGAGGGCTGTGATACTGCTCAGGTGCCCAAACCGAAACAGGTGGTTTTCTTAGAGGGCTACACCCGTAGCCTTCGACCTAAAAGTCTGATTCACAAGGCAGTGGAGCATCGTGAGGAGATGCAGTCTCATGGTAGCCGGTGATCAACGGTTGATTCGTACGCCATTTGTTCCCTGAGGATACTGGAGCCCTTGTTAACCATTGGTTTGGAATCAGTGTTTTCCAACTCCCCTAGGTGGACTCGCCTTGTCCACCAACCCGGTTAAAGCGCCGGACACTCGCTTTTAGTCCTCTCAATTTTGTAAACTACACCGGCGGCACGAGAAGGCAGTCAGTAGGTTAATGAGTTATATCCAAATATTAATAACTGGAGTGTATTAGAATAAAACTCTTGATCTGTTGTTTGAAAGTAAAGTGTTGTCTAAATCAATACATTAATACACCAAATTCATTATAAAGATGAACAATAAGTTCATGTATGTTTAGTGAATAATGTATAACACAACTTCTAGTTATTAATATTGTCATTTGAAACTTTATTGAAGTAGTTTCTCCAGAAATGTAAACATATTGAACCGTATTTCCTCCTTTTTTGCTTCTTTCTCTATTGTCTTATCCATTTGTTTATCTAATTTCGTTTGACATTTTTTTTATTGCTTTAAAATTATATGACTGATGATGGTATCTCACTGTGACGAAACTACGACTGTTATGGTTTTTATTATATCACAATAGTTATGTGTAGTCAAATAATGATGGAAATTCATTGTATCCCTGTGTTTGTGTATATGTTTGTACACAAATAATTGATTTTCTATTTTGGGTAGTAGTACTGTTTTATATGCTCCAGTATATATGCATGTACATTGATAAAATATGTGTATATATATATTTGTTGGTAATTAGTGCACTTTGTTTATCTAAGGAGAAAAACCCCATTGTTTGTGTTTGTGTATCACCATCATCGCTGCTATCGATGCTTTCTAGAGTTTTGCATACAAAAAAGAAAATGTTCTCGCTTTAATTCACTTTTCACTTATTTATTATTGTCCTAAAATGAGTGAATGAATAAATGAATAGATTATTTACTTACGCTTGTCACCCTTCGTGGAGGAGTATAAGTCGCTCACCAGCGTTCTCCATCAAACTCTGTCCTGGGTAATCCTTTCAAGTTGTATCGAGTTGCTATTCATCCTTTTCATGTCTGCTTCCAATTTCAGACACAGTGTGTTCCATGGTCTTCCTCCTTTCTTTTTCCCTTCAGGATTCCAAGTTAGCGTTTGCTTCGTGGTACGGTTTGATGATTTCCCAAATATATGTCCTATCCATCTCCAACATCTTTTCTTCTTCATTTGGAAGCTGGTTTGTTCCCTCCTAAAGTAGGTTGTTGTTGATGGTATCCAGACAATAGACATTAAGTGTCTTGTGTAGACAATTGTTTATAAATACTTATACTTTTTTGATGATGGTTGTAGTAGTTCTTGGAGTTTCAGCTCTGTAGAACTGTTTTAACGTCCGTAATGATGATTGTGGTTTTGATATTGGTTGACAGTTGTTTTGAGTTCCATATGTTCTTCAGTCGTAGGAATGCTGTCCTTTGTCAATCCTTGCCTTCACATCAGCATCAGATCTTCCTTGTTCATCGTTAATGCTTCCCAGGTACGTAAAACTCTTCACCTCTTTTAGAGTTTCTCTATCAACTGTGACTAGGTTGGTGTTCTCTATGTCAGTCAGTCAGTCAGTCAGTCAGTCACAACGTAGAACTTCGTACGTACGTACATCAGTTCGAGTTGCCATACCACATTAGCACAGAGATGCAGTTGTCGATTCATATCCCATAGTGGTAGAAGTAGTAGGAGTATAATCAGAAATCCAAAAGATTAGGGTTTGAAGAAATTATTGAAGGAGTATAGTACAGTGAAATAAATTTGGAAAGAGAAAAATATAAAGACATGAGGAATTCAGAAGATTAGAATTTGGTAGAACACAAAGAGTGGATACACCTGATCCATTGCAAACGATTTTGAGCCATGTCATTCAAGGTCTCTAACCATCGGTTGCTGTCATCTCGCGAATCCCAACCAGGTAGTCTACACCTACCAACATGGCCCAGTCCACTTGTCAGTGACTTCATTGATTTGTGCCACGTTTTGGTCTGGCCACCCCTAGCTTTCTTCCAACCTACTCCTACACCATGAAACATTGCACGTCGGGGCAGTCGGTGGTCGGGCATACGTAACACATGTCCCAGCCATCTCAACTGATGAAGTTTCACTACTTCATCAATCGATTTGCCATCCCTACCTAGTACTCGTTTCCTAACAACTGCATTACTTACCCGGTGGTCCCAGGATATACGAGCAATGCTTCGAAGACACCTATGATCGAACACTAGTAGCCTACGAATATCCTCTACTCTTATTGGCCATGTTTCACTGCCATAAAGTAGGACGGAACGAACTGCTGCACAGTAAACCCGTCCTTTGGTTGCTAGACGGATATCTCGCCTACGCCATAAGTGACGCAAGTTGGCGAAAGCTAGACGAGCCTTCTGTATCCGTGCTGAGATTTCGTCACACACCAGACCACAAGGGCTGATGAGACTCCCAAGATAAGTGAAGTGGTCTACACGCTCAACTACTTCACTCCCTATCATTAGTTCAGGTGTCGATGCAACCCAATCCTGAAGTAACATTTTGCACTTCGAGGGAGAGAATCGCATTCGGAACATGCCTGTATAGTTGCTTATAGTGGTCAGAAGACTCTGCATTTTGTCAGCGTCTTCACCGAGTAAAACTATGTCGTCGGCGTATTCTAAGTCAACAAGTGAGCCTTTTTGTAAAAGTTCAACTCCTGGAGGTTTAGCTGATGAAAGTGCTATTTCTAATAGTATGTCAATGACAAAGTTAAACAAGAATGAGGAGAGTGGACAGCCCTGACGAACGCCACTTGTGGTAATCAGTTCTGATGACAGTTCTCTATGTTGTATTTGAGGATCTTGGTCTTTCCTTTTTGTATGTTGAGGTCCACTGATAAATGAATAGATAGTTAGGTGTAAAATACAAATTCATTAATTTTAATTAAAAGAGTACTTTCTTCTGTTTTAATCTCGGTCATTATTATTATTATTATCATTATTTTTATTATTATTATTAACATCTTTCCAATATGAGTTTTTAAATAGCCTTCTATTGAATACTTAGTACTTTAAATGAAATATCTATAAAATTACAATGAAATAAGTTTATGAATCATAATACCCTCGTGACTGAATATAGAATAATTATGGTCACTGGGACTTACAATATCAATTGTTTTGTGTAATTCAGTTGAGAAAGTGAATCATATTTGATATATCAATAAGTAGATACATTAATATCTATGTGCATCTATGGTTGCATGTGTATGCTTGTGTTCGTGTTGTAAGTATTGATATGTATATTTGCACTTTCTTTTAATTGAATGACTCTTAAAGTGTTTTTATTTAAAATTAAAGTTACTATGTTGTGCGCGCGTGTGTGTGGGTGTGTACATTTGTGCTTACTTGTCCTTTCTCTCTCTCTCTCCTGTATCCACTGCAAATCAATATTTTCTTTATGTATATCAGAGTAATGATTTATATTCATCTATATCAGTTTTAATATTTTCTAGTTCTCATTATCAAAGTAGATTTAGTTAAATTAAATAAGAGTAACTATTCAATTTGAAAAAAAGAAACTAGAGAATGCCTTAATGACGAATTTGTCATCTCGCGAGTGCGGGATCGTGGATGAGCACTGCTGAGGAGTCCCATAATAGGACGAAATGGCCGTCCAGTGCTTTCATGTTTCCCATGGTGGTCTAGCTTCAATTGAATCACGATCTCAACTATTAAAATTAAAAGAACTCAGTCTCGTTAAAGTATAAGTATTATATTTTTATTTGTTTATTAATACAATATTATAAGTAAATTATGTCTACATGTATTGATGAAAATCCCATCAATTCGATTACGAATTGACTATCAGTTGTGGAGCGAAAGAAAACATTCATACATATATTTTTTAATAGCTTAAAATTTTTTAAAATTCTATATTTATGACCCAATGATGCACACTAATGAACGTGTAGGACCTATTACTACGCAGCTGTATTGTTTTTCTTCTTACGCCTGTTACTCCCAATGGAGCATAGGCCGCCACGCAGCATTTTTCTGGTTAGCGTTTTTTTTGGCGAGTTGGTTTTCTACGGGATGGGGTCGCTAACCCCATGCCCAATCCTCCTCCTTTACCCGGGCTTGGGACCGGCAGTAGCCCCTAAAGGAGCTACAGGCGGAGTTACACAGCTGTATACTCAGTATATTTAGATCGTTGGGTAAAATTCTGTGTGTTATAAATTCAAACACTCACACAATATCCTCTTAATTGAGTCACCTCATTACAGAGAGTCCTCTAATAGCATATTCATTTACATCCGATAACGCAATAAGAGTGGTCGTGAAGTTCTAATGTCTATTGACCCACCTAGTTTTTATTTTCAGTAGCCAATCAGAAGACAAATATTGCAATTAAAACCACCTATTATAATATTATCTTTTATTGTTGTTCTGAATCTAAAGCTCACTGAATTATACATACTAATTAAATGACCACAACTCCGCATCACAAATAAAAAATCACGATGTTCACATTACCAAGTCATGTGTACTAAAGAAACTTAGCAATAAATCTATGGTTAATTAACATTAATTTAGGAATGGTAAAACATGTAATAATATTTAATGAATGAAATAAAAACTGAAGAATAACAACAATATAAAAGAAAGACTTTAATCCAAGTATTTAGCGATCACACAATAAAAATATGTATAAGTAATTCTTAGTAGAATAGTTATAAATGTTCCATCGCTTAATATATACTATTAGCTCTATATCTTCAACTTTAATAAGAAGTCTGTGCACCAATGGAGTTAATCATGTGGGAAAAAAAACTCTCACTAAACAATGAAATTGAATAAATATTTATGTTGTATACATCAATAAATTGTAAATAATGTAGAACCTGGGACACATAAATGTCAGTTGGATTTACTACTTCATATCAAAACATTGCATGATCAAATTATTAAATATAAATACTAGAGTAGTAATAGTATAAATCTTTGGGTAAGCTTCAGGTTCTCTAAAGGAACCAAAAAAATTCCGTCCAGTCACATCCCGATAGAATTTTCTAGAGTATCGACGTGGCATTCTATGATCGGATATTTGTATAAATTCTTTGCTTGCAGTTTGGCTGGATCATAATGATGTTATATTGTTTGTGCCAAAAGCTATAAATACACCTGTTTTTCTATACATTTTGACATTGACTTCAGTAAACACTTTCTCTGTTTTCTTCTGCCAAAGTAATGTTCCATAAGGAAAATATGCCAAGTGCAAATACATCGTTTAAAATACAGTTAAGATTGCACATTAATCACTTCAATATTAAGAATTTTTTACCTACATTTAATCTGATTATAAATCGTATAATTTTAACTGATCTATGGGCGTATTCATGCTAATTATAACAATTTACTTTTATGTTTTCCCATCAACAATCCTAAATTACAGAAACTGTAATTTTAAATGGTATGTTTTTCCTTAAACTTGTCCGTTACCCCCTTTGAAATATGAATTTGAGTCTATAATTGTGGAACCTACTAAGAATCCATTGAAAAAAAGTACCCTTCATCCATACCTTTTAGTAGGGTTTGAATTCACTCAGTACTGTTTGTTTGAATCTTCCCATCGATGTGTTAGGACTGCAACTGGTCAGTCTCTTTTCGGCATATGTGAATACTGTGCGTATTGCCTCGATATACCTTAATTCACAAGCATTGTTTTCAAAGATTGATAGTGGTCCCAGAGTGAACATCAACTGTGAGATGCAGGTAAATCCAGTCCCGGATTGGACGAAACACGCGTCAAACTGGATTCCACTGCTAGCCACTATCCATCTTTGCTTTTAGTAGGTTTGTTTAAATTTTATCCAATATGATTATTATTTTATTATTTTCTCTTTAATTGTTTTTCTTTTTTTTCTTTTGTTTTGAAAAAAAATTTGTTTTCTACATAGAAAGTCGTAATCAAGCTCAAGAATATAAACTGAAATTTCATGAATCATGTCAAAAGATATCAGCTCTTGAAAGCGATGTGAGTTTAATTATTCGTCGACTTTTTATTGTGTCCATCTCTAAATTTTTAATTAAATAGAATAATTTATCTATGGTGACTGATAATAGATTCACAACTGTTTCGGTTTTTATTTTGTAATTTTAAATCTTGAATGTCTCAAACTGTAAACGATATCTATCATATTCTGGGTCTGTAACAGAAGATTGTTTAAGTTTAGATTCATGCCTGATGTATTTCGGTCTCAAATGCCAATTAATATCATTGATTGTCATACTCTTAAAAGTTTTATTTGAGACTGTATTTCTAAATATTGGATCATAAGTGCTTGGAGCTCTAAGAATTCTGCGTTTTCGTCTCTGGAAGCCGTATAAAAGCTAAAACCATTTCATCTAATGTGCATCGAGTAGAAAGGTCCCATAAACTAAGGATTATGTTTAACAAACTGATAATTGCTTTGTTATTAAATTTATCGTATCTCTGGAAGTCCCTAGAAAGTCAATGCCACCCTTAAGCCTATGGGGTATTCTTGTTTTCTGTATATAAGCGAACTTTGAAACAAAACATATATATATATATATATATATATATATACAGGGGTGTGTAACTCTGACACCAAAAATCTATGTGATATTTTCTATTGGGCTTCGTGTTCTCATTGGAACCATGGTCCAATCAATTAGACCACCACTGAAAACTTGAATAAACTTGACGACGGTTTTGTCTTAGCATGGGATTGTTCAGTAGTGCGCAATCACAACCTCACACGTGAGAATAAAACCGACAACCCTCGGTCTCGCGCACGAACGCCTAACTTCTAGACCACTTGGCTGACATCCAACTATGTTAATGTGTCACTTCTATCAATATATACATATCTGTTGGTGTGCATTTGTGTTGATGTCTTTTTTCCATTGATACTTAAACTCCTAGCATCTATGACTTTGGTATTTACAGTGTTATCGTGTTTTATTGTGGGTTTTGTTATTATTTCCTTGTTTAACACTTATTACTACTCCTCATTATTACTCAACCTCTTAGGTAGAGAGTGTCTAGTCTCTATTAAGTGCATCGACACACAATGCTGACTAGTGTTGGTGATGCTTGGAAGAAATTTAGGGGCAGCCAAACCAAAATGTGACATCAGTTCTTGAAGTCACTAACTTCTGCTCTGAGACATGTTGGTAGATGCAAACTACTTGATTCAGGTCCGTGTGACTATCGTAACCAATGGTTGGAGACTGTGTGACATGACTGAGAATCGATCACAATGGCGTAGATGTATGCACTCTTTATCTTCCCTTAATCCTTGAGATTAAAATTGCTTCATATCTTTCTTTCTACGAACTAATTCTTCCTTCCTGTATTATATCCTTATACACAATCTTTCTTTTATATATCACTACAATTGAGGTAACTACTTCTATGAATTCAGTGTTCATCTTGTTGTGCTAATGAGATGTGGTGGCTTGAACCGATGCATATATGTGTCTGGTCCTGCGTTGTAGCTGACTGATTGACTTTCAGTGCATACAACCATTTTTGTAGAGAATAATGTTAACGTGGAAGTTGATGCATGATAAGCTTGTAGCAGAAACATCACATTAATCAATCGTAAGCAGTATACAACTTGCTACAAACGCGTGCAAATCGTCACACTCTATGTCATCAGTCAACGAATAAAGATACTAACAAGATTCATAGCTAAATAAATTGAAGTAGTGTTAGTGTTTGTATTATTAAAAAATATCCCTAATATAAAAGGTATGACCTCAGACTAAAAGAATAAAACCTGAACAATAGAAAATATGAAATTATTATCTTATCTCACTACATGATATGAGCACATCTGTGTCACTGCAACATTTTTAGTCATGTTAGCTAACCTCATCACTTATAAATCATAATTTTCACATATATCCCATCAATGATATTTACACCTTGCTACACATATTATCTCCGGCTTAATTATGACGCCATATTTAATCTGACCCCACCTTTTTTGTATTTGGATTTCAGCCATTAGAAATATCAGACAACAAATATGTGCCAGTTCATGTGTTTTACAATTAATCTGCCCAATATTTACTAGTTGTTACTTTGTGTCTATGATATGTGCTTTACATCCATCGAAATATCGGCTTAAACAACTATTGAAAGGAAAAATACACCATGACTTTTACGAATGAAATATTGTTTCGCTGGTCACGTGTTTTCTACTGTGTGTGTGTTTGTTGTATGGGCCCATAGCCTTCAGTTGTGCACAACCAATTTGTTTACTATTATTATTATTATTATTTTTGAACATAACATTTTTACCTACAATTCATTAGAATAGATATTGATTAAGTAAATATGTATATATGGTAAACACATCTTTTCAATATGTTGTTTTGACTGTTTATTATGAAACGTGTATGTTCAATCTATTTATCAATACATTACTTACCATGAGGTTGTACTCCACTAATCATAGTAATAATACTAATAATGTATGGTTCTGTTTCCATTTTGAACTGTTTTTAATCACAACAATTACCTACAATCGATTCCAGTGATAAGCATTATAGATTTAAAAGGCTAGAATGATGTGCATTGATACACATATACATGGTTTATTTTTATGCAAATTAGTTACAGATCTAGTTATTTATAATGTAAACATTCTGTGCTAAAAATCCTTCCTTCGCTTTTTATAATATTTCTATACTTTCAAGTGTTGATGTATGTGTGTCTATATATGCATTCGAATTACCTAGTTATAGTGACTAGCAAACGACCTATTTCTTTTTTGGTCGTCAACGATACAAATCATCTGTGGAAATTCATTAGCATTCACAACAATATTACTGGTAGTAATTTATATTACTCGAAACCATGTCTTCTAACTAACTGATATTGAAAAAAGGTGTAATTGACAATTACTTACTTACTACGTACTTACTCCTGTTACTCCCAACGGAGCATAGGCCGCCAACCAGCATTCTCCAACCCACTCTGTCCTGGGTCTTCCTTTCTAGTTCTATCCAGTTTTTGTTCATTCTTCTCATGTCTGTCTCTATTTCTCGGCGTAATGTGTTCTTTGATCTTCCTCTTCTCATTTGACCTTGAGGATTCCATGTGAGGACTTGTTTTGTGACGCAGTTGGGTGACTTCCTCAATGTGTGTCCTATCCACTTCCATCACTTTTTCCTGATTTCTTCATCCGCTGGATGGAATTTGGTTTGTCCTCTCTCACAGTAGCTTGTTGCTGATAGTGTTTGACCAACGGATCCGAAGTACCTTGTTTAAACAACTGTTAATAAACACCTGTATCTTCTGGAATTTACAATTAGGAACTAAAGTATTATGGAACAACAAATTTGAGGAAAATTAATGCGATAATATTGATTCAGAGTACTTAGTGTTATTATATTTATATTTGGCTACTGTATTTGTTTACATAGTTTTACATGATTTTCCATCATATATATTGTATTTTGATTATTGTCGATTAGTTGAAGTTGTGCATTACTTTACAAGGTGAATGATTGAAATCGTTAGTTGTATCTAACTACGCAAATCAGTTCACGAGTGATTCTTAATGTTATGTTTTTCGTATTTTGTTCTTATTGATTGACCTCTCTATAATACACAAGTAACTAAAGTAATTCTATATTAAAATCATGAGCTGATCAATGTTAAATAATCGTTGAAAATCTGGAAGCAATAGACGGACGTTTCGTCCTAGTGTGGGACTCGTCAGCATTTCTCACACACGATCCCGAATACGGGACTCGATTCATGGCCTCAATTAAAATTCAACAATATCCACAACCCTATACTGATCATTCTGCATTGTTTTATAATTCAACATCAATTACACCTGTTTATGGTTTTGTGAATTACATTAGATAAATAATAAAAACCATTGAATTAAACATTATTGGTATAAACTTTTCATGCTTTCTATATTAACGCTTAACGTTATAATGAAGTATGTGGAATGTTTCTTTCATAGAGCTAGTTGTTCCTATAAAACTTTAATCATTATCGTTTGTCTGTTTACACTTTCATGATAAATAATTGGTTCCTTTTTTAAAACTTGAAACGATAATTAACCGAATGAATCTGTATTCAGTGTTCATGAGTTAGTGAAATAAACTATTTATGGCATTGAAAAACAAATAAAGACAATTCAGTGCAAAACCCTGATTCCAAACCATTGGTGCTCATGGACTCCAGGATCCTGAGGGAACAAATGGTGTCTGACCAATCGCTGGTTACTGGCTACCATGAGACTGCATCTCCTAACGTTGGTTCACTGCTTTGTGGATTAGATCTCTGAGTCAAAGGCTCTGGAGGCGGTCCCCAAAGAAAACCACATGCTTCGGTTTGGGCACCTGGTCAGTATTCCAGCTCTCACACAAATCGAATGAAGAAGTCTGTCGCACATATATTGTGATGCCGCTTTGCACCGATGTTTGTGTTTAAATAAACAAACTTGAATTTATGTGTGCATATATTCAGGTTCTACGTTGCATTTGACTGACTGACTAACTTACCTCGTGATCGTTCTCTTTGACAATTATTTGTATTAACTGTACTATCCTTATGGTTACACTAATAGATTATTTTTCTCAAATTGTTCATAATAAAATTTATATAAGAACCATCTAATAGAGTAGATAATTTTAATTTATAGATTGTGCGTTTGGAAGGTCAAACAAAACGATATAAAGCCATAGCTGATGCTTGTGAAGAACAAGAAGAACTTTTGAAACAAGATCGAAGAAGATGTCAACGTGAAGTAAGTTTATTTATGTGTGAGGTTTTCTTAGTTTAATTATTATTATTAGCCCAAATTGAAGGTGTTTTTTTTTACTTATTCTCTTGACATTTATCTAAGTTGATATTTTGTTTAATGAATGATGCAAAAATTATTGATAATTTCCTGTTAAAAAAATTAGCGCCATTTTAAAACTTGATAAAGTGTATTTATTTGAAACTGATATAAACAAAATGAACAATAGCTATGTAGTTTATTATGTAATGGTTTCAACTGCAGGTACATTCAGCTGATAAGTTCCAAACGATAAGGGACATACGTTCTAGATTCAACTACTAACCACATTCCATCTATTTTTATATAAACAGTGTTTTGAGTTGGAATGCACATCAAAATGTTCAATAGCTAACTGTTTGATAATTTGTATATTTTATGGTAGAGTTTCTGAAATGTACGTGTACGTTCTTTTTTAAAGACTCAAACAGAACAAACATTTTCGATATCATTGTTAGCCAGCATTAGTTCATATTAAGACTGACCAAAGTTCAGTCTCGAATATCAGCAACAGGATAGTTCAAACTCTTACTGATAATGATATAAACGCCATACTCACTTTACAAATTTGTGGGGCTATTTGAACTGAGTAGGTTAGTGGATAACTCGTTGATACCTAAAAACGATAAGTATTGGGTTCGGACATTAGCATGAATATCAAAAGTGGTGCGATACAGGTACATCCAAGTAAAGAGTCACAAATAAAGCGAAACGTGCATTCTAGTCTTCGCTACTAACTGCAATCTATCAATTCCAAAAAAAATGTTTTGTTTTACAAATTGAATGTTTCCAAAGCAAATACTTATCTATCTTTATTCATAATTGATTCTAGTACTGTATGTGTTTGTTTTTACGACGTCTTAGAACAGCATTACCTTTAATGTTTCCATTCGGAATTATTATTTTTTCAGCTTTTAGCTCACGTGTGTAAATGTGTGTATAAAATGCAGTATTACCTAACACACAATAGAATCCATCATGAATTCACAAAAGTTACATACATACATTCTTTCATCATCATCATGTACCTATTATATTTTATTTATTATTTATTTATTTAAACACATAAGTATTAGTACAAGGAAGCACCAGATAAATATGCGCCTCACAAATCTCATTTGATTTGTGTGAGGGCTATGATATTGCCCAGGTGCCCAGAATGAAGCAGGTAGTTTTCATAGGGGGCCACACCCGGAGCCTTTGACTTGAAGATCTAGTCCACAAGGCAGTGGAGCATCGTGAGGAGATGCAGTCCCATGGTAACCGATGACCAACGATTGGTTCATACGCCATTTGTTCACTCAGGATACTGGAGCCCATATACACCATAAGTTTGGAATCAGGGTTTTCCAACTTCCCTAGGTTGACTTTCCGTGTCCACCAACCCGGTTAAGGCGCCGTACATTCGGTTTTCGTCCTCACAATTTCGTAAACAACACTGGCGGCACGAGAAGACAGTGAGTAGGACTTCCCTGACAGAGGCTATATATTCGCGTGGCCATGTGAGAGCATTTGGAGAGGGAGAGCGGACTCTCCCCACTCTCGGCCGTACCAGGTCATTTGAGGGCTCGTATTATATTCACTATTAACTAGTATTTAAATCATTGAATAGCATTATTATTTTAAATTATATTATCACTCCACTTAAGACTGACTTTGTGATAATATTATTCTTTAGATTAGCTCTACTGATGAAGTGAGTGTCATCCATAAATAATAGACGAACACTGTGTCTGCTATTCTGTTAATACTTTCCTCACCTTATAGACTATACAATTGCTTTTTTTTGCACATCTATGTATTTAAAAAAAAATATTTTAGCTAAGAGATGTTCAATCAAAATTGGAAGATCTTAAAGCAGAGAATGCTCGATTGCAACGGGTTGTGGATAAGTACAATCGAGGTTCTGTTATTCCAGGTACTGGTAGTAGTATACGTCAAGGTCATGATTCTTCTGTCAATAGATAGTTTCTATATGGTGAAAGTTAAATATATGTAATGTGATATTTATCATCTAAATTGCTTTCCCTAAATTCTTATCTATTCGTTGATTTAACTGCTGTCAAATACATATATACATATGAGTGTATGTGTTTATCTTGAATCCAAAGAATTTTATAATGGAAATGTATTCACTATCCATCCAAGTTCACTTGAAATGTCACTTCAATTTGTCCAATAATTGTGTATATTTTGTTCAATAAACCATTTCGCTATATAATTCCTAGACCAAGTTATATAATAATATTCATTTGTTTTGTTTGTAACAACAAGTATCTATCTGCACAGCTTCAAAATAAAAATTCTCTTTTTGAAAAACAAACAAACCAACCAACCAACTCAACTACTCATATCATCAAAGTATTCTATTTTATTGTTTTCATTTGAATATAAGTTATATAACTATTCAATACATACAATTAGGATTGTAAATGTTTCCTATCGTATACATGTTTCCAATATTCAAGAGCATGTTTTTTTTTCACAGATAGTTAATATGAATAAACTTTTGATAAATGTTTTAATGCATCTCATCAATACCCTGGTGTAAAGACTTGTTGTTCAGTGTTTTTTCTTAGAGTTTATATATATATATATATATATATATATATATATATATATGTAAGCCTATTCTCTTAAGTGCTTCTTCCCCCCTCATTTGTATATCTTTTCATGTATGGTAGTCTATTTGAAATTTAATTGGTTGTTATTGACTTGGTTCCATTCTTCATTTTGCAATAATTACAGCTGTATTTTGTTATTTATACTTAGCCTTTTTTCAAAGTTGGCCTTATACATTACATACATACATACATACATTTATATACACAAGGATATAAGTAGTAAACTATTTATTGAACACTTTCATACACATTTGTAGTCTTCAGAAATTATGTAATTTTTTACATTTTGGAACAACACATTTTGTAAAAAGGCGCTACTGTTCTGATTATATGATGGCCAGTCTTATGGATACTCCTTACTTGCTGATTCTTTTTGTTCATAAAAAACTGGTATGCTGACATCAGCTCATTATATTGTTGATTTTATTTCAAAGCTTTATCCTAATTCCAACAGAATTAACGTTAAAAATTACCTTGGCTTCTTTTTGAATAATAACCGATGACATATGGTCTTTTCACCTTGCTTCCTATTAATAAATATGTTTAAAGTAATTGTGGATTGAATTTGTGCGGTAAAATTTCGAGTGGTGCTCTTCGTAGGACTGGCTGTTTTGCTTCTTAATAAGTAAATTGTGCATATTTTCCTAATGATACTGAAGATGTGTTCTCAGTAGCACACACTAAAGATCATAAGTTTCCTTACTGGTGGTTATCATACTGTATTTTCCTTTAAGTGGTTAAAGGTGTTAGCAGTATTTGTATTTATCTGACAAGTGTAATGTATAGGGTGGAAAAGTGTCACGTAAGTGATTTGATTTAGTTACCTAAAGATGTAGATTGTTCTCTGTAACTCAACCAAAGATCTTGGACTGCGTCCCTTAATACTAAGGTGCTAATAGTAGGAGGCACATCCCTCTAACGTGTCATCCTGGAATCCCTTAATATATGTTTTAGAACTGAGCAGAGTGCCTTGGTATATTTGAGCTGTTGTGTCTCTGTAAGGACGCCCCTGAGTGGCCTAGTTTTTAAGGGATAAGGATCCAGTGCTCTTTTTAGACTGAAACGATCTCGTAGTTGGTTTTGGTGCTTTAATCTATCCTATATCCAGCCAACAATGCTTTACATGACCTTTATCTTTGTGGAGTGAAGAAGGTAACACTGTCTCCAAACCATTATTGGGCCCGAATAGAACTTGGAAATGAGGTGATAAAATGCACTTTCAAGTGTCTAGTGTAAGGTTGTGTCTAAGGACATGAGATTTTGCACTACGGAACCCAGACATTAGGATCTGTTTTGTCTGAAAATATCTCTAGTATTGGGTTATCTAAGTTATATATATATATATATATATATATATATATATATATATATATATATATATATATATAAGTGAGAAAATAGTTATTTGGTTAATAAATGTGTTCCTATATGTTTGTTGACAATCGCAAATACTTTACGACATGTAAGTAAGTAGAGTGCTCTATGAGTTAGCGTTTATTATCACCAATAACCTTGTTCATCCTGTAGGATGAATTTAGTAAAAGTCAATGAGAGTGCCTGTTGATGTAGGGCAATAGTGAACTTGTTAATCGTCCTTGGTTGTCATAGGTCGACAGAAAGCTTAAAGTGGCACAGAATGCTAACAACTTTCACTCGTTAAGTCTGATGCCGAAAAAAAAGTTATGATTAGGAAAACAAAAATAACTTCATTTAAGTCGTATAATATAAGAATACACGGAAGGTCTGGTTTAGTCACTGATACAAAGGAAAACGGAATAATGGAATTTATACTAGCCACAGACTCACATATTTTTTTGTCTTGTAGGTCCAGTGAAATATGACTAAGCTTTGGTCAAATCGTATAGTAGGTTGATCACTAAATATCGAACAGATAATCGATCAAGGACAACCAAAGGGCATCAGTTAATAGCTTGCCATAGAATGACCCATGCGATGTCTATCTCACTATCTGCTCCGTACTCATTCTTATCAATATATTTTCATAATAACACCATGTTACACGGTATTCAAAGTAGCCATAGTACCTTAATGCGTCGAAAGGGCTATCCACGTTAGGCTTTAATCGCGAGGTGTAACTTCAAAGTTAGTTTCTGGTTACAATATTCCTGTCTAACTGGAGTTGACTCCTAAACATTCGACATGGATTGTCTACTTTGATGATCTACACTCTAAATCATTCCCTTCTAGTGACATAGGAGAATTTACGTCTGTTATGACGTATGCAAACTCGTAAATGATATGGACGTGCAATGATACCGAAAATACGTACGAGCAGTCTTGGGTGCTATTCGGTCCTTCCTATCTGCCTAGCCCAGCCGTTAAGTCCAGAACACAAATAACAGCCTCAGCAATATGAATCATTATTCACAAGCATACTGGATTATATATACTAACCAAACAGACCCAATTATACCAAAAAATAGAAAAATAACATTTGTACAGTAATTGGCCAATGTGGCTATGGATAGGGGGAAAGTAATCAATAACAATAGTTCAAAGGTCAAAATAAAGGTTATGATAAGAGGAACACGAATACAATTAGGTCAGTTATTTAACAACTATACAATAGGAATTAGGCATATTACCTTTGTCCATAATAGACCTCAGATTTACCATTCATCATTCACCAGGGGATATAACACCTCCCCTTTTTGAGAAATCCGGAGTTCATATCCGGATTTTAAATTTCTCGAATTCCCCCTCCCCCACGAAAGACTGTTGGATCCTCATATAACCAAGTTACTATTATTTCGATATGTTTGTCATGTTTGACACATTTAACAGGGAATCCATTAGAACTGACGAGATCATGAGGATCGATGACATTTGATTTGAGGTCACCAACATTTGATTCTTCTGAAATAGTTCCCGTGAATTTCCTCGGAACCTCATTAGTAGATAATGAATCATTAGGATAATCAGTATCTATGAGAGTTGTATTGGATTCTTGATTATCATTTAATGCATCCGATATTTTTCTCACATTTTTATAAGAGATTTGAACAGGAACATATGAATCAGCGAAATAATCGGGATCTGGCAGAACAATTAGATAATTTTGATCATTAGATTCATTAGAAAAATTTTTTTCATCATGATTAGTTTCATTTGGCGCCATTGTATTCACTATACTGTTCGGTTTGTTCCCCGTTTCTTCGTGGGCGGGTACTGCAGCAATTTCATGGGCATTTAGCAAAACATTGTCTTTCTGTAAAGAAGTTGATCCACTGTTTGCACGTCCGTTTACGGGGTTAATAGGACTTGGACCGTGTATAGGGCATGTGTCTGAAACAGGCAGTACCGGACTACTGGGCTGATCATGTAGGACTGCTACTGCTGCATTTAAATTACTGTTTTGTACGGATTCATTGAGGCTTTCGCCGGCATATTCATTAGTTCTGTAATCGTTTTCCTGCTCTGTACGCAATTTTGAAATTATTGCTTCAACTTCCGTTTCACCCCCAAAACATGGGTGATTCAGCAGCTTCGCGCGTAATTTGTCAATGAAATCCAATTGACTCTTTCTAACGAGCTGTTCTAGTTGCTGGATTAGCAACTGAAATTGGTTGGAAGTTAGAGCCATTTTTTTACCCGTCGCCAATTGTTATGATTTATACAAACTCGTAAATGATATGGACGTGCAATGATACCGAAAATACGTACGAGCAGTCTTGGGTGCTATTCGGTCCTTCCTATCTGCCTAGCCCAGCCGTTAAGTCCAGAACACAAATAACAGCCTCAGCAATATGAATCATTATTCACAAGCATACTGGATTATATATACTAACCAAACAGACCCAATTATACCAAAAAATAGAAAAATAACATTTGTACAGTAATTGGCCAATGTGGCTATGGATAGGGGGAAAGTAATCAATAACAATAGTTCAAAGGTCAAAATAAAGGTTATGATAAGAGGAACACGAATACAATTAGGTCAGTTATTTAACAACTATACAATAGGAATTAGGCATATTACCTTTGTCCATAATAGACCTCAGATTTACCATTCATCATTCACCAGGGGATATAACAACGTCTCGGTAGTTAGTCATGAGAATATGTGGGTCTCCATCAAGAATGTTGACTGTTAATGTATTGCCGTGAACTGTGTTAACAGTGTAGCGATTGTTTCATTGCTACACACGTTCACGTGAATATATATTTTAAACTCTTGCAGAATGTATAACTTCAAGCTATTTCTTAACTTTTGTACTAATTAGCTGACTAATAAACAGTTTGTGATTATCAACGCATCAAAAAGGAAGCAGGTTCCAATTTCCGCTAAGCAGTGTATTGTGGGTATAGATGTTTCTCTCTGTTCTACAGACAGCGTGAATATGCACCTGCAGAACAGTTGCAGCCAGATGACAATGGGTTAATCTCGAAGTACAAGGTTATCCACTATTGTTACAAACACAGAAACAATCATTTCATATAAAGAGATTCCAGACTGCAAAGAATTTGTTGGTTTCGTTCAACAACTTTGCTGATTACCGTGTCAGCAGCTTAATAGAGGAAAACACCTTGCCACTAAAGAGAGAGAAGTCGAAGAGTTCAGTACAATAATATCATCAATATTTCGTAGAGGTGCATTGAAAGGAGAAGAAGGGTTTCTGTACAATTTCATTGACATTAAAGTGGCCGAGATGAAGGCTGTAAACACCTGCGTTTAACACCACAAATTTCGGTTGCTGAACACTTTTGCCTCACCGATTTATAAGCACACGTGTTTCCTTTAAAAATGTCAATATAATAGTTCAACACAGGTGGAGGGATTGCTCTCAATGCTTGAGTCTTTACGTCTAGGCAGCGTATAAGCATCCGAGTACGCCACGTGTCCGACTGAAGTAAATGCCTAAGATTTGCAAACTGCATGCTGCACTGTAGGACTGCAACCGCCATCAACATTTTTGCAATACTGATATTTTTTCTGTTTCTGAGGGCAAAATACTTATACTGCTATTGAGACGCATTCTAATGTGACTTGTTAAAATATCTTGATGATGCAACGGATATTCTAGTTTTACAACTAGATACCAGTAGCACCTTCTAAATTCGATTGTTCCCAGTCAGATAGAAATCAGAAGTCAGACGAGAAGAGGCAGGAAAGATATATTTGATTCGTTACCAATATATCGAGGACCTTTTCTATGAGCTGGCTAATGAAACGTAGGAGCTGTGTCCCACGTCGAGTCGAAACGTGATCTGGTACGGATGCATGACCGAAAGCCTTCAGCTAAACAAGTCCACTTAAACACGTGGTCAGCATCCAATGTCGAACACTTAATGAACTATTGATTTTGGGGAATTATTTACAGCTACAATCTCTATGTTAACTCTATCTCAATTGTTATAGTCCCACCTTGTTTAACTGTTAAAAAATATTCACTTATATTTTCATTCTGCGTATATTTAGAATTAAACTAAGAGTTGGGGAGTAACTACATGTATATTCCGGTCAGTCGCTAGCGCCTCCTTTTATTTATCTTTCAGTTTATCAATACCCGGAGGATTCGTGTTATTCATTCGGTAACTTTTGGTGCGCAAAAATTCTCTTGATTTGGTATTGAAATAACGTCACGTTGCTTTTAGTGAGAGGGTAGTGATGTGGTATTGGTTTCGAGCCACACGATACTTGAAGCTGAGTATGGAATTACTGGGAAGTTTTATATTCAACATGTAACTTTAAGGATAGGTCAACAATGGTGAACTCGAGAAGAATAGATGGAAATAGCATGAATTCGTCATGCAGGTGTGATCACTGTTTTTAACCTCTTATCTTTCGTGTAAGATATATTGCTCTCATCTCAGCCTAAATGTTTGCTTGAAATGCTAGAAGTTATATTGCTGATCGTCGTCTTAGGAAGAGTCAATGTAGAAAACTATGTGACTTCCACGTAAGATCTTATAGATTAGGTGGTCAAGTCGGGACAAATTTACGATTTTGGGATTAGGTCTATTATTATAGTAGGAAAGGTAAATGTATTAATGTTAAACTAGGTCATAATTCCACAAATCCACGGAAATTTGATATTAGACTATCAAGTTTGTGGGAAACTGAGAACGTTGGATGCACGTCCCCCCAAGAAGACATGAAGGACAAATTTGTAAGTCAGTAAAATTCATTAAAGTATTTATTTTCATTCAGATGATCACGATGATGCGGTTAATCGATGATAATACGAAAACAATATATATCTTCAAACGTCAATGACACCTAAAGATCCCAGTAACCTCACATTACTTGGCAATTCATCGAAAAGAATACTTCAGACGTGCAGGTTTTACGGCTGTATACTAAGAAGGTTTTTCTAACCATAAGTTGCACTTGCATCTTGGTTCTTCTATTCACCTGCCATCGTTATGTGAAATCTAATGAGCTTTTCGACTCTATTGGACTAGAATAAAGGGGCTCATTAATTTTTAATTATTCTTAAATTTCCCTAGTTTATATCAAATTCACTGACTTGTCTGCTTACATTTTACGATGTCAGATATCTTGGACCGCGTTTAGAAGTCAGGAAGCAGTTGTGAAGAGATCAGTGATTCCATTCAAGGTCTCTACAAATATATTGGATATTGAATGACCTTTTTCGCTTAAACACCATAACAACAGTTGACAACGTTTCAAAACTCTATCCTCAATGTCTTCAGTTGAATCCCCCATCCGGACTTTTGTAGGCAGTTTATCGTCACATAGAATTCTTGATAAAAAATGTGAGAAAAAAGTTAGTACTGCCGGAGGTGTTTTATTGAGAAACCGTAATGAAGACATACCTGTACGTTTATGTGTACTTTGTAAACTTTAATCTTCAAGCTTACACCATCCATGTTTGTCTACAAAATGTCATTGTCTTCGGAAGAATTGTACAAGCAGTTATTTTACAGCCATATTCCTGAGACTCTGGCTCTGCACGACATGTCCTTGATAGGGGATCAAAAGGTGCCTTCACTTAGTCATGTAAATTATTTTAGACGACATCATTTCCTGTCAATCGTCCATTGTTCCAACCGTTTCCTTCTGAGCTTATTTTTCAACGCTACGAGCCCGGAAAGTCTTATGAGTTACCACTAGTACTTCGTAATTTGGATAAGGTTAGTTAGAATACAATAGTAAAATGTTTTCCAGGTTTCAAGAACAGCCCATCTGATTCAAAATGATACTCCATACTTTAAAATTAAACGTTTGAATACACAAGGGTCTAAAGTGGCAGCTGGTTTGTCACTTTCTTTCACGATTGTCTTCACACCTGATGCTAACCAGGATTATCGACATGACCTTATGTGTGTGACTGACAGAGAATTGTTCTCCGTCCCTGTATTTTGTATTGGCCCACGAGCAGTTCTAGAGCTGCCTGATGATATCTATTTTGATGAGGTTCCAGTGAAAGTAACGAGTAAAAAGTTAATAGGTGTGAGGAACATTGGGAATTCCCAGGCTTCTGTAAAGTTTGATATCATGAAGTAAGTTGCATTTATTTTTGACTTTAGGCCGTTTTTTGTTGAGCCCATATCTTTGAAAATCAAACCTGGTGCAGTAGAAGAAATCGAAGTTTCTTTCATCCCTGAAAATATAGCAGAAGTTTCGAATAAAATGTTCATTGTTTACGATACTGGTAATTCAGGTTATTTACACTTACCTAAACCTTTTACAAGGAGAAAGACTTCAAATTAACCTTCACGGCCAGGGGAGAGAATCGTTGGTTTATCTTAGGGACAACAAAGTGGCACTAAACGGAACATTTATTGGATTACATTCGCAAACAAACGTTTTCATTGTAAATGATTCATCTGATGTTATCAGTTTTAAGTGGAGTCCTTTTGAAAATAGCGAGGAAGAATCGCTTGCGAATGACTTATTAGTCGGAACTTTTATTAACGCGTGTGATTTTAAATCTATATTGAAGCGAAAGTTGATTACATGGGTCAGGAAGTTTTCTGATCAACAAATAGTAAGTTCTCGTCGAACATATCATATCACAACTTTATTTGTTTTTGGTGTACTAAAATCTCGTTGTATATTTTACTGGGCATTCGCTAAAGTCTACAATTTTATTTGTGTGATCCAGCCAGAAAGCCCATCTGTACTTAATATTTCCCATAATTCAACTTTTTACCTCTGTGTTATAGAGAAATATTCGCTAGACGAAGCGTATCGTAAACATTTCAAGAATTTTAAAAACGTTTTAAAAACACCTTGCATCTGTCGTCTTTCAACTAGTACTAAATAGGCTTCCCACAACACCGCCAACTTTAAGGATGATCAAACAGCTCCATCTAGGGATTGAAACGAACACTGATTGGTTAGTTACCAGGTAAACAAAAGTAGAAAACCATTCCTGGCCGTTGTTAAACATTACCTATCTTACGCTTTGAATGAAAATGGTAGTAGAAAGTAAACGTATCATACATGAGTGGTCTGCATTCCATCGGCTAATTGTAAAAGATAACTAGTGAGGTAAGCTTAATAATAATACTACGGGCATCTGATCATAAGCTTGAATGGATAAAATTTCATCCACAGATTTGGTGACAAATTGTTCAGTTTAGTGTTTACGCCGGCTATATTGACCTAAAGTACCTAAAAAAGTATTTACTCGGTAGCTCCCATCACAGCCTCTACTATCCATATGCCTATCTTCTAAAGGCCTGGTCGTAGTGTCACTGTTCAACTCAACGATATTTACATCAGATTTAATACAACTAGTGTCTTTGAATATCTGCTTAGCCTATACATTGATTGCTCTTGATAGATAGAAGTAATGGAATTTGGTACACCAAATAGTAGAAATATCCAATAAGTATTCTGGTAGTCATGAATGAATCAGGAGTCAATTCAGAAAAAAACACAGCAATCATAATTAAAGGTATACGATACTTACCATTTAAACAATCACGTAATAATTTGCAAATCGATCATTAGCTAGCATAGACACCGTATTACCTGAAATGATATGAATCACCTATTTAGTCACATAATGGTAATAAAAAGCTCGGTATCGGGCTTTTAAATAAACCTGTTATTCGAGAAAACTTTCAGGAAGTTTCTGTAAAATGTCACTCGTAACGTAGGAGAGACATTCATCTACCAAAATAGATGATTTTACTGTGTAACACTGTGCTTCATTTTGATCAGTGTCTGTGAAAAGTTACGTTTAAAAACAGAGGATATTCGTCGGTCACTTGCATTCGAACACGCATGTCTTTGAAGCACTGTTCATATGTTTTGTGACCGCTGAGTGAGTGTTTCTTAGATAAAACTCTGGACAACAGTTAATGATGGGAAATCGGTTGACGAGGTGGTGAATACCCTGAACTACTTTTTAAAAGACTTTAAGATACTTGGTTTCAACATAGAAACTATTCAAAGAAAGCGCTTACATAGAGTGATAAAACTAGGCACTTTTTTTAACCCTCTGTTTTTCTAAAATTATTTTAATATATTCTTTGTTTTTTATTTTAAACATTAATATTGAATATCATAAAGCCATATCCAACAAATATTCAAACTATTGAATGTTCACCATTTCATATTGAACCAATTGAAGGTTGTATCCAACCATATACAACAAAAGAATTTATTCTACATTTTAATCCTGAAAAAGTCAACTATTATGAAGATACATTTTATTGTAATATTGATGGTGTGCAAAAATGTTTAAGTCTGTTTATGAATGGTGAAGGTCTGGGACCAAAAATTAAATTTTCATATAAATATTTAAATATGGGAAAAATTTTTATTGGTTCAAAACATAAATATGAATTAGTTATATCTAATTGTGGATTAATTGAAACAATGTTTTCAATACATTGTAAGAATAAACTGAATCCTCAAGCGACTGATGATGTTCCTTCTGAAGTAGATGATGAGAATCATCCTCATCCTCATCATCAAAATATAACTCAATTTAGTAAATATTTTCATCTTATACCTGATGAAGGATTAATTTGTCCTGGTAATTATCAAGTTATACAAATTGAATTTAATTGTAATGATTACATTGGAGAATTTAATGAAATATTTCAATTTAGTTTTGATGGATCATCTAATTATGAAGAGATTACATTTAGGTAAGAAATTAATAGTATTATACAGATTTATAATTAATTCAAACATTGATGAACTTTGATTATGATGATGAATTGTAATATATTCAGTAGCAGTTCTCTATGTTCTACTTTACGACTGTGAAACATAGCCATTAAGAGTAGAAGATACTCGTAAGTTACTAGTATTTGACAACAGATGCCTTAGAAATATTGCTCGGATCTGCTGGGATCACAGGATAAGTGATAGTGAGGTTAGACACAGGGTATTAGGGAATGATGGTAAATCAGTTGTATTTCTTCACTGACTGAGATGGTTGGGCTAAATAATACGCACGCTCAACCAACGACTACTAGGGCACTCAATGTTGACCAGAGTTGGGGATGGTTGGAAGAGAGTTAGGGGCGGTCAAACCAAAACGTGGCATCAGAGTTTGAGGTCACTAACTTCTAGTCTAAGCCATATTGGTAGATGCAGACTACTTGGTTGGAGTCCGCGTGACTATCGTAACCAATGGTTGAAGACTCTAGGTGATACGGCTCAGAATCAATCAAAATGGCGCAGATGTATACACACTTTATCTTCCCTTAAACTTTGAGATTAAAACCGCTTCATAACTTTCTTCCTTTCTATACTATATCCTTATATACAATCTCTCTTTTATATATTACCACCACTAAATTAACTACTTCTATGAATCCGGTGTTCATCTTGTTGTGCTAACGAGGTATGGGAACTTGGAATGATGGATATATGTGCCTGGTCTGACGTTGTAGCTGACTGACTGACTGGCTATTCAATTACATTATGAGTTATCTTAATGATCATACTATTTAAATTTTCTTGTTGTTGGTATTAAGGTCTGGGATTGATGAGTCTCCTTAGGCATATATACGTCTTACGCTGGTTATATATTGATATTTTTGTCAAGTGAAGAATTCTTTCTAATTCTTTAAACCAGTGGCTATATGAAATTGGTAGCTTAGTGGGTAATGTGTTAAGGGTTTTGAAGCTAAAGATAATGGGTTCATATCTCAATTGGAATATCAACATTGAGATTCAGGTACTTATAGGTGACTAGAACCAAATAAGACGAAACTTACATCCTAGATTTCATTGATAGTCACTATCTAACTTTATTTAGAAAGGTATACATTGTTCAGTACAAGAAAAACTATTAAAAAAATCACTACTAGTTCTATTAGCTTGGGTAATTGAATGGCTTTTACAAAAGATTTTACTGTATGTAACTCCAATAGTATCTATAAATAACCCAGCTTAGTAAATATAACCTAGATATGGGGCAAACTTTATGAAATATATAACGAAAACAATCACTAATCTTAAATGTTTCCGTATAATCACTGACCATGAAGTATTTTCACTTATAGATAATGTATTTAGCGGTATGTTTCATTAGAGACTAACTATTTACTCCTCGGTGATACTCCAAAGAATCCTAGATTTGATTGAAAATTAAGAGTATGTTTAGACCAGTAATAAAACTAAACAAGAATACAAATATAATTTTAAAAGTGATTTGTTAAAGGGACAAAGAAAATATTTAGTCAACCAAGTGCCACTATGATTCTTATTGTCGTTGCTTACCTTATTCAGTGAGCTAGGTTTTAAATAGAATTACCAGGAAATCCTGAGTGCTGACTTTGTGCTACTTAGTACCAATCAGCAGAAGAGATATAGAACAAAGAGGGATTTGATATTTCTTTTGAAATTTCAATACCTTTCATCCTTTATCAGAGTGTGTAGTGTAAACATTGAGTTATCTGTGAGGACGTTGATTACACACTCAACCTCCATCCAGGAATTCCTATTGATTATATTAAATCATTATACGTTAAATGAGGTGTGACATGATGTCAAGTCACTTAGATTATTGTCCGTATGTCAACTTGATTGGTAGAATTCGACCAAAACTACAGAACAGAGAATATGATATTATTTACTGTTCCATGGCTAACTGACACAAATATACAAAAGTCTAACGATTGATATTATTCCTTTAGATCATATGGTTTAACAAGGTATTAATTTAAATAATGCAAATAAGTAAGGAACGAAGTGACATTACATTATTCCGTTTTAGGGTCTATACATGTTTTTATACTTCACTGTCGATTGTTTACTATCACGAGGAAGGTTGAAGAATGTCTCAGAATACTTAAATTCTGGAAATAGTTTCTTAAAATAGTAGGAGTTGAGGAATATAAACAAATGACTTGTTTCGTTTAACTAAGTCTATCAACTTGACTACTTTAGAAAATTCACTATAGAACTACAATTTAAAGTTTTTCTAAGTCAATTATTTGGTCAAAGGCCTATGCTCCGTTGGGAGTAACAGGCGAAAGTAGGTAAGTCAGTCAATGATTATTAATAACTATCATCGGACCTTAGTTTACCTTCTGAATGTCAATGTTGTATTTTCAAATATTCATATTGTGTAACTATTCTTACATAATAATAAAAACGTTCTATTATTCTTTATTTAAATTTATAGTGGTACTGTGGTTGGACCAACATTTCATTTTGATGTTCCGTCAGTGGAATTTGATCAAGTTTCCTATGGTAAATCGTAAAGTATCATATATTTATTTATTTACTTATTCATTTATTTTTGGTGGTTGATTAAATCGACCCCGCGCGGAGGAGCATTGGCTGCACACCAGCATTCTCTATCCAGCTCTGTCCTGGGCAATCCTTTCCAGTTCTTTCCATTTGTTATTCATTCTTTTCATATCTGTCTGTATTTCCCGGCGTAATGTGTTCTTTGGCCTTCCTTTTTTCCGCTTACCTTCCGGATTCCAAGTTAGGGCTTGTCTCCTGATGCAGTTTGGTGATTTCCTCAATGTATGTCCTATCCACTTCCAACGTCTTTCCCTAATTTACTCTTCATATGGAACCTGGTTTGTCCTCTCCCATAAAAGACTGTTGCTGATGGTATCCGGCTAGTGAATGTTCATTATTTAGCGTAGACAATTGTTTATAAATACTTGTATCATCTTGACGATGGTTGTAGTAGTTCTCCACGTTTCAGCTCCGTACAGTAGGACGATTATTACATTAAATGATTTGTATTACTATTAGTAGTATGTGATTATACATTCAATTTACTATGTAGTTCATTCCCAGTAATTAATGATTCTTATTACAATAGGGACTATTTAACGTAGACTACATCACTTATAAGAGTTTAGCATATTAGTTTTATGAGTGACATGGCTTAATAATTTTTGTTTTCACTAGGCAAGACCCCATGATACCACTTTGAAGAATATTTTAAAGTGATCACCAATCATGATCAATATCTTAACACCTCTTTCTAGCTATACAGTAATGTGAAGGACTGGGTTTGGGAATAATTAAATTCTGATTGTCAAATGTAATATAGGAAAGATCCAGTCTGCCTGTTAATGCTATTATAGATGTGTGGATAGTTATCACTTTCCCGATCGTTCATACCGTGTAAGACTATTTCTTATTAAGTTATCTGGAAAACAATTTGAGTTCGTAATGGTCTTGGTAACGTGGCGGCATGGCCACAGGGCCTATGGAAGAACTCTTGAGGCTGATCATACCCATTCTTTCTACGAGTATTTCTTAATGTATTAGTTTCATAGTATAAAAGAGTTATCAACGGTGACATGAATCCGTGTGATAGAGTAAAATGTGGAATGTTTAAAACAGAAGCTTTTTAAAACTCTTCTTCCATTGCAAGAAGAAGGGTCATTCCAAGGCTGGTTGTCCAGGTGAAACACTTATTGAAACAATTCAAAGCCGTCGTGGCTACGACTTAACCATTCAATATTAAGTCTATTGCTTTCAGTCCTATATTTCTAAGATCAACCCACCCAGAATGGTAGGACCTAAAAGAAAAACTATTCCAGTCAATATGGCTCAGTTTGGTAGTCATGGTAGGTGAAGTCGGCAAATGCAGTCTGGATACCTACCCCGAATCTTCAAAAAAGGGGGAGGTGTTGAGTTGGCTTCCGGAGAACTCTAACAGAGCCTCCAGAGGCTCATACGATGGAACATTCTAGAGTTCCAGCGTAGCGTGATACTATTGGTCGGTATCATAATATGTCGTTAATGGATTGGCTAACATCTATAAATACCTATGATTTTCTGTAACAAGATTGAACCTTTTAGTAAAGTGCTTCCCACACACTTTGTGCCTTCTCTCTGGTGTTCAAGTCGGTGTATAGTTCTAGCTCGGGGTTACGGAACTAGCTTAGGGAAGCGAATATAGCGTTCACAATCGGCTAGACGTAACAGTAGGCGAGCCAGACCACCATATATAGGTAGTGGCTACGGCCAGGAGAGAAGAGATTTAAAATAGGTAGTCCTGGAAGGAAATACATGTATTATAGAGAACTTATTAATTCAAATATTAAAACAGCTTAATCAAATAATCATACGTTAATCTAGAAAATAATAGAGTTTGTACCTTACAATATGATAGAATTTGATAAGATATCCGTAAATTTTGGGTTTGATCCCATTCGGCATCTTGGGTACCAACTACTGAAGGATTTGAAAACGGAAAGAAGACAACCGTCTAGTACCCTCTTGTTTTTATCTCTTTTTCTGATTAACTTCAGTTAATGAAGAATACCCTTGTCAAAATATTATAAGTTTTAGCATGTAATTACCTCAAGCGACTGTGTATATAAAGTGAACTGCTTTATGACTATCATATTCCTAATTCTAACCTACGTTAGTCCCATAGTTCAAAGGAGTTATCAACGGTGATGTGAATCCGCGTGTAGGAATAAAATGCGAAATGTTTAAAAGAGAAGCTTTTCAAAACTCTTCTTCCATTGCAGAAAAAAGGGTCATTCCAACGATGGTTGTCCAGGTGAAACCCTACTGTTTTTATCTCTTTTCCTGATTGATTTCAGTTAACGAAGTGTACCATTGTCAAAATATTATCACTTTTAGCATGTAATTACCTCAAGCGACTGTGTATATAATGTGAACTATTTTATGACTATCATATTCCTAATTCTAACCTACGTTTATAAATATTATAATGCATATTTTTTGTTTCTTATGTAACTATTCTAAAAGGATTTTCAAAAGAGAAAATTATAACTTTACATAATACTTCATTTATACCAATGGATTTTATTCTTCGTATCACTGATGATGATAATGACGATGAAGTGAATAGTGTTCCTAACAACAAGCAAGATGAACAGTTGAATACTATTTCAAATCATAGTTCAAATGTACTTCAATCAATTGATAATGCATCATTTCATATCATTCCAGAATATGGTAATCTACTTCCAATGAGTTCAATAAATATATCTATACGATTTAGTTCAAAATATTTAGGCTTAAAAAAGTATAAATTAATTGTTGATGTTGTAAATGTTGGAAAAAATGCACATTGGTTACCAATATCTGCTGAGTAAGTTATATTAATAATAACTGGAAACATTTTGAAATAACTCTATTTAAAATATTGAAGTTTATCTAGGTTTTTAACTATGTTATATCTTTCATAATACTTCATTCAGTTCATAGGTAGATGCTCCCCCGAATGCCCTGATACGGCCGAGATTAGGGAGAGTCCGCTCTTCCCCTCGAAATGCTCTCATGTGGTCACGCGTGTTTAGCCTCTGCCAGGGAAGTCCTAATCACTGCCTACTCATGCCACAGGCGTTGTTTGCGAAATTGAGAGGACAAAAAGCGAATGTCCGCAGCTTTAACCGGGTTGGTGGACACGGAAAATTCACCTAGGGGAGTTGGAAAACCCTGATTCAAAACCAATGGTGTACATGGGCTCCAGTATCCTGAGGGAACAAATGGTGTATGAATCAATCGTTGGTCACCCGCTACCAAGGGACTGCATCTCCTCACGATGCTCCACTGCCTTGTGGATCAGACCTTACGGTCGAAGGCTGTGTGGTCGCCTAAGAAAACCACCTGCTTCGGTTTTGGCACTCGGGCAGTATCCCGGCCCTCACACAAATCGAATGAGATTTGTGTGGCACATATGTATCTGGTGCCCGTTTGTACCAATATTTATGTGTACAAATAAATAAATAAATAGGTAGAAACTATTTGCTTTTTTTGTCCGGGGATATTAGTCTGTTAGAAAAAATCTGGAAAAAAAAGTGAATTCTAGTTTCCTGCCTGTTTAAACTCATTATCAGTGAGTTTCATACATGTCGCTACAACAGGAGATCAGTTACAGACGGAATGGTGGTAAAGTCTCTGATTATAAACTACAAAGTTAATTAATTTCCTCAACATTTTAGATATACATAGCAGAAGATTATCAACTAGAAAGAAGCTCCTGTTCAAATTTTCAAGGTGCGTAACTTCAGAAAACGCATGTTTCAATGTTATGTCACTTAGAGTAGTTATTTACGAAAAAAACTACTTACGGTAATAAATCTGGTTTTAATTTGGATGAATTTTGATTCTGTTCATCTAAAGAAAACAGGCAATAGATAACAAAATTCACCATATAAATAACTGAAGATTGTTATTTTGTTGTTTCACTATAAAATGTAGTCATAAATGTTCGTGGAATGTCACAGCGCTGAGTTTAATAATTACGGAATCCATAAAATGCCTACATAGCTGTTCTTATTGTTCTCTTCACATTGGTTGATGTATTTATTTTATTATAAACTATTCAAACATTTTACGGGTTAATATCGGATATTCGGTTTGTATTCTATGGTATATATTCAATATGATGAACGTTTTTCGGAGATTTTTTAGTCTGGTTATGTTGACAGTGAGAAACTTAATATCGATGACAACGGATGATGGTTGTTTAACATCACAACTTGACTAAAATTGATAATGTTAACTATTAGGTCCCGCCATGGTGACCTTCAGGTAGTACATTTGTACATGTTTTGTATGTAATATATTTGTTGCTTTGTAAAGTTGTAGGTGTGCATTAATATCCAAATTTTTATAATTATTGAGTTCTGGGATAGAAAATAGGTATTATAGAAGCTATTCCGTGTTGAAGATCTTCAAAAACATATATATATAGTTATCGTTATCTGTATTATTAAAAATAATAAGCATAATTCGACGTTTCTCCATACAGGGCTATCCGTCCAGATGTAATTGTAACACCGGAGTCGATAAATTTGAAAAGATGTTTTATTAATCATCCCTATACCATTGAAATGACATTAACAAATCAATCAATCGAGCCAGCTAGCTATCAATTTGTTGAACAGTTAGCAATAGTAAAAGTAGTAAAAACTATAACAACACAAACTATCACAAATCAAGAAGGAGAATATAGTGAAGATTCAAAGTTACAATATTGGATAGATAAACCAGAGGTAGAATATTTTTATTGTTTATCAAATACTATTACAATTATTGTTTGATTTTGTTTTTAACATATTTACTCTGACTGATTCGAACCCAGGACATTAACATTGTTAGATGCCGATTCAGTAGTCTAGAGGTTAGACGCTCGTGTGCGAGGCTGATATGTCATGGGTTTGAATCTCGCGAGGCAGGATCATGAGTGAGCACTACTGAGGAGTCCCACAATAGGACGGAACGACTGTCCAGTGCTTACAGGTTTTCTATGGTGTTCTAGCTTCAGCTGACTCATGATTTCAACTATATTCCTATTCAGTCAAAAAAACCATGATCGATTATAAATATTTAACTGGCTTATGTATATACATTTCAAACAGACCTACTTATAAAATCAGGTAAGGTAAATGTGACTAAAAGTACTGTCAATTCAACCCTGGATGTATAAAACAAATATTTGCTCTAATATTGTGTTATCATTTTCACTAGGGGCGTGAAATGTGTTTGATCAAACTGGATAGATCAGGTATTTCTACTTATATTAAAAGAAAAGAAAACAATAGTCTAAATGCTCCAGACTTACGATAATGCTAGGTAATCTTTTTTGTGAACACTCATAACGTGTAATTCTTTAGGTAGTTGATTAATCTAAACCTAAATGATTTAAACCGAGACTCACAAATGTTTGATCATTGGGTGGTGATCAGTTTCATGCGTGTCAAGTCCATCTTAGTGTTGATCAAATGCTATCGATCAAGTTGCACTGTAGCCACTAGTCTAGGTGGATCGACACTGCGTGCACTATAGTGAGATATGATGGTGGTCGGAGGTGGTCAACAAGAAACCCTGGACCTGGGTTTCGTGCTACTTGGCACTCGTCAGCTAGGTGTACCTGTAATCTTTAGGGAACTGATGCCCCCTGACGGATTCGAGGCCGGGTAACCCAGCTTCACAGTCAGAGTCGCTACCACTGAGCTATTCGGGCCGTGACCGACGTTCTGTGAAACTGAGATGTATTCACAATTGATTGATCAAGTCCTTCTTAGTGCTGATCGAATGTTATCGAATGCTATTGAAATTCTATTAAAAAAGAAAACACTCGCGATTTTGTTATGAATACTACGTTGCTCATTCATCAAATTCAGGTTTATATACTCATCTTGGAAGTATACTCTTTATTGAAAGTTTAATGACCTTAATTGACTGAAGTAGGTTGAACAACATTTGATTATCAATTCAAATAAATCAGTCAGTGATCTTGAGTGCTGTTAGAGGTATGAGGGCAGTTATCACTTCCCGGTCGCCCACATCGTGGAAGGGTTCTTCTAGGGGTACCTGAAAAGGAAATTGGATTAGAAGTGGTCTTAATGACCTGAGAGCGTGACCGCAGTGTCCAAGACACAACTGCTTGAGGTCGGTCACACACGACCTTTTTGTGGGTAGTTTTTGTGTTAGCTCCGTTCTTCAAAGGACCTTACCGCCGGAGACGGATATCCGTGGGATAAGGCGAGGTGTACATTTTTAGGGTCGACCTTTCCTAACCTCACCCATCCTTGTGGGAAGGCGGCGTCGCTGTTATGCTGGTTGTCTGAGAGAAACACCTTACTGCTGTCACACCTCTGTACAGTCAGCAGTACTACTCCGCTCTCGGACCTTGGGATTGCTGCTTTTAGTCTTACTGCTCTTCAACCGACCTGCCTGGCATGATAGGGCATTGAGGGACGATTGTTCCAGCCAGTATAGCTCGATTGGTTCATCACGATAGGCAAGCCCGACCACCACGTCAAGGTAGCAGCAACGGTCGGGATTAATTCAAATACTTTAACTAACATGCTATTGCTTCAATCTCTTGTTACTGGGAAATTAATTGTCATTTGAAATACTCATAGTGTAGAAGATTTGTAGCTCAGGTGGATGATTTTGATGGAGTTTAGTTGTCTGAGCTGAAATGCTCATAATTTGTACAAATTTGAAATAGAATATACATTAAGATTTTAACTTACATGTATGTCATGGATGCCATTTCTATAATCTATATTTAACATTTCTTTTTTAATAGGGATTTATTAATGGATTAAATTCTGTTAAACTCTCTATAACATTTAAAGCAAAAGTGTTAGGATTAATTACAAATGAATTATGCTTTAAAATTTGTGGTATTAATGACAATCCATTGGTAAGTGTTTCTTTTTTTTGAAAATTAATTCATATACTACTGTTATTGTTTAATCTTGGATCACCGCGTAAGTGATAGTGAGGTTAGACATAGGGTATTAGGGAATGATGGTAAACCAGTTGATGAGGTCATGAATCTTCATCGACTGAGATGGTTGAGCCACATGTTACGCATGCCTGAACATAGATTACAACGACGTGTTATTATGACTAGTATTGGGGATGGTTGGAAGAGAGCGAGGGGCGGCGAAACCAAAACGTGGCATTAGAGTTTGAGGTCACTAACTTCTAGTGTGAGCCATGTTGGTAGATGCAGATTACTTGGTTGGGGTCCGCGTGACTATCGTAACCAATGGTTGGAGACTGTGTGTGACATAGCTCAGAATCGATCACAATGGCGTAGATGTATACACTCTTTATCTTCCCTTAAACCTTGAGATTAAAATTGTTTCATATCTGTAAATCAGTAAATTTCGATGATTTGGTAGTATAAACTATGAAAATTCTACACTTTCGACAAACCTCCCTACACTAAGGAGTTAAGAATTTAAACAAGCAATGTACAAATAATAAACCCTGTTGTAGACTATAAGAATTCTTTCAGTTCCTTATGATAATAAATTTTTCAATGTGAATGCAAGAGAGATATGGATATAGGATCAGTTGACCCAACTACAATTCACAAAATGCCAGATAAACACAAGCATCTGTGTTATAAATGAGATCATTACTTGCTTAATGAAATGAATAAAATCAGTTTAGTTGTCAAAAAAGAATTAGAGGATTTTGCATTTTCTCCATTTGAAATTGTTATTCTGATAGTAAAAAGCTATTTAACTTACTAGTACTTACATAATATTAGAACTTATCATATGATCAAATTCACTTGCTATTGTTTGCTTGAATCTTCCCATTGACGTTTAGGACTGCAGTTGAGACTGATCAGTTGCAGTCATAATGTTAATGGGAAGATTCAAACAAACAAAAGCAAGTGAATTTAAACTTCAACCCATTGCATAAACAGGTGGCTATCAGGACTCAGTAGCTGAGTGGATAACGTGATGGCGTTTGAAGCGTAAGGTACTGGGTTCGAGTCCCACAGCGAACATCAACTTTGAGATATAGGTACATCCAGCTGACGAGTCCTAAATAGGACGAAACGCGCGTCAAACTGGATTCCACTGCTAGCCACTATCCATCTTTGCTTATCATATAATCGTTTATCATCATTTAAATAACTCACAATATTTAAAGATGACTTATATCACGGACTATTATTAGCTGGTGAATTCTTAAAATTCAACCAACTTTAAAGTCGAAGTCAGAATAACAACTGATGGATAATGTGATTTCACTAGATTTAGTGATTCCTTATCAGTTGCCTACAATATAATGAATTCATATTATTCTGTCTTGAGTCTTCTTTTCATTTTATTCAAATTCATAAAGAGGACTATCATTTTCGAAGTTATGTACTGTTTACGTTGGAGACTCCTAACCACTGTATAATCATAACCCTACGAGTGCTCGAATCTAGGACATATGATACCGTTTTGGTCATAATATATTCAAAATACTTAATTAGTACCCAGTAGTTTATATTTTCAGCTTTCGTAAATTTAAGGCACGATTCAGCAATTATCTAATGCTATCAGTTACAACCACCTTCCTGATGAAATGATTGAAATCTATCAAACAATATGTGACACCTACAACTTCCAAGTTCAACTTACCTCTACAAACAAACAAACTAAAAAGTTTATAAACTATTTCATTGTTTTATTTCCTTTAATAAAATATAGAAAATACCTGTAAAATGTATGGGAGAAGGTCCAGTGTTACATGTTGATCAAACAAAATTAGAATGGGGAACAATACCCGTTTTGCAACCAATCGTTAAAATATTAAGAATTTCAAATGAATCATGTATTGATGCTAATTATACTGCTAAGATGGTGGGTTCTGTTTTTCATTAGTAACCTTCGATATACACATTTTATGTTATGTAACTGTCGTTTTTGAAATTGTACATTGTTATTCACTTCTTATGTGAAAAGGGAAGTCGATTTAAAATAATTATTGACAGTTGGCTAAAAAGCATTTAACGATTCCAAATCATCAGATAACACATTTAGCTTATCCTGTGTAGTCAGTAGTGGTATACTGTTTTTATCAGACATAAATTGCCAGTGTAGTTTTGTTTGGTGAGGACTCTGTCAAAATAGAGCGTCTGTTAACAGCTTTATGTAACAATATAAGTATAGTTTGGATGCGATTACCTCCCTCCAAGTGTAAAATACTGTTTCAGGACTGGCCTGTGTCAATGCCTGATTTAATTGTTGGAAGTGAACCATTTGGTATTATTGACTGCTTCACTTATCTCGGGAGTCTCATCAGTCCTAATTGTCTTGTGTTTGAGAGAATCTCAGCAAGAATTCAAAAGGCCTGATTACTTTTCGCTAACTTGGGTCACTTATGGAGTAGGCGAGATATCCGTCTTCCAATCAAAGGGCAAGATTATTACGCGGCAGTTTGATCCGTCCTGCATTATGAGTGTGAAACATGACTATTAAGAATATAGGATATTCTTAGGTTGCCAGTATTCAACTGTAGGTATCTTCTACGCATTGCTCGTCTATTTTGGGACAAATGATCAGGCATTACCTGGGTTAGGAATAGGATACTAGGTAAGGATATGGTAGTAAATCTTTATCAACCGAGGTGGTTGGAGCACGTTGTACGTATGCATAATCACCACCTACATTGGCGAACAATGTTGTATGATATAGGAGTAGTCGGAAGAAAGGCAGGGATGGGTAAACCAAAATATGGCACCAGTCTATCAAGTCATTATTCATCGGACTGAGTTGTGTTAACATGTGGGAACTACCTGGTTGGAGTCCGCGTGATTATCGTAACTAATATAACGGACTGTTCAAAATATTTTTCTTTGTCTGTCACAGGCATACTACGATAATACATTATATGATATTGAGATTAGTTACGTCATATAATATCCAGGATTCACAACCTGATTAATACTAGATAAAACTTAATTCAACATAATTACAAGCAGTCACACTCAGTGATTTCGGAGTAGAAATTAATGAGAGGAAGGGAATGACATATTTAGTAGTCAGTAGACTAAATACCTGTTTGTACACCCGCAGTGATTAACCATATCTTGCTTTCACTGCCACATGTTAGTAACCTATGTTTAGAGAGTTTGGTTGACATGACTCAAAACAATTTGCAATGATGCAGGTGGATTCGCTCTTTATCTTCGCTTAGATCTTAAGTTTCTAGAGTCCTCATAAAATTTTTATTATTTCACTAATCTACATTTTCTTGAATAGTATGTTCTATGGATAATCCTTTATATTACAACTAATACTGTTACGAACTCTATTAATCTTGAATTTGCTCTGACAATCCTATCTCGCGCTGTTAATGTGTGGCAATTTGTACCAATTTACACATGTTCCAGGTCTTACGTTAAGCTTGACTGACTAAAACTGTTTATGTAGCCAAGAGATGTAACTTCAGTAGTCAAGCAATACGAACTAGGGGATCGATTACTTGTTTGTCCATCGTCTTATTCATACATTCAATAAATGTATTTGCCAGCGAGATATCTTAAGGTAAAAGGGTCTTTCATGTGTTAACTATTGAAATTTCAGATTTAACCAAGCGCAAACAGACAGTGACATATTGAGTAACTTGAAATGTTAAGGATAAAGAACTGGAAAATCTTATCCCTACTACGTTTTTATTCCTTCACCCATAGAATTACTATACTTTATTAAAGTGGTTTATGTTCTGTCAACGGCTTCTGAACATTCTAATGCTGTTCATTGTTTCATAATTTTTAACACATTTCCACATATTTCAATTTTCACTATTAATCTCATTAGGTACGAAATGATACTGTTTATAAAGCTGAACCATCCTCTGGAAGTATTCCAGGTTATGGTCATGTGGATTTGAATATTATTGCAAATCTAGATGATATTATATTATTTAAAGATCAGTTAGTTGTACAAGTTGAAAACACATTACAACCATTAAAAATTGAACTAAGTGCAACTGGTCAAGGTGGTACAATTGTAACACAACCATCAATGGGTTCTGTGTTAAATTTAGGCTGTCAATTTAGTGTTAATCCAATGAGGAAACATTTTAAAGTTATAAACAAAGGAAGGAGATCACAACAAATAATATGGTCTATAGATGGACAATCACCACGTAAATCAATTCATATGGATGGTCAAGTTAGTTTTTGTGTTAGTCGATTTATAATTCACAGGGGGTTTTGTGGAGAATTTAGTATTTTCACATTTGAAATCATGGGTCAATTGAAGCTAGACTACCATCGAAAAACGGCCGTCCAGTGCTTCCAGGTTTTCGATGGTGGTTTAGCTTCAATTGACCCATGATTTCAAATGTGAAAATACAATTTATAATTGTATTTCTTTATCAGTTTGATAGTAATAAACATTTAGTATAATGTTCAAATTGGATTAATCAAATGTATAATAAATAGTTAAGATCTAATGGTTTGAAGGACATTCTTTTAGAGACCTATTCAATACTTGTAATCAGTGCCGTCTTCTTAATTTTGGACCTTGGAGTCATCTCGTAGCTTCCATTCTTTGATCTTGTTTATTCTTTTTGAACTATATTATTCAAATAAACAAGAAAGAATGATAGTAGTTTCAGAATACGATGAGTTCATTATATTTCGTTGTTTTCTTTTCAGATGTGTACAACCTGTCATGTTTAATAGTTTCCATTGAATAACATAGTGTTAAAAAATAATTGTTAGCCGACAGCAAATAAACCGTGTATAATGTGGAAGAAGTTAAGAGTTAACGTTTTTAAAGGGAGGGGAGTTAATAATTGCTTGGGTTAATAGTTCTAGGATATTAAAATAATTTCATTGGATAAGACGAAACTCGCGTCCTGGATTCCACTGCTAGCCATTATCCATCTTTGCTTACCAATTTCATTGGTTGTTATAACAAAATTTTGGAAGTATAGGGAGAAAACGTGGATATGTGAAGCCATATCATTAAATTATGATTACAATTTGTTGAAATAGAAATCAAAATGTTACTAAGGCAGTTTTATGTTAACTACGAACTGCTTTTAAAATGTAAAAGTCAAGTTTTAGTTTTCAATTGTTATAGCTTTTTTGAATTCTGATAACATGGAATTGGTCTGTTTCATGATCTGTTTGAATGAATTACTTCAATCAATATTGTGGCTCACGTCTATTAGGCAGCATGCCAGTAAACTTCGTTATCAGCTTTCTCCTCCAAGGCACAAGTTCTTGGAATGTTCTCATACTAGCTTGTATACAGCTTAAGAAGGTAAAGTGAAAGACAATGAAGTTATCGTACTCTGCAAATACTGTCATTCTTTCTTTGTTCCAATTTGTGACGGGAAGCGATTGCATATATTCTTCATTGCTTAGACATCCGTTGAGGTCGAAATTAATTTCTCTTCTTTAATTCTTATCCTGTCAAATTTTTCTGATACTACATCGCTGACTGTTGCAGCAGTTTTACACAAACCATATTATTTTCTGGACATGTGTTTCTAACAACTTAACCACGTGATAATTATTTGTGTACCATACACTTTGTTCACCATTCTCAGTCTAAAATACTCTAGCTTGTTTTAATGAAGGAAGAGCTAATACAAATCTACATCGATGATAGTTACAAAAATCTGCGAGAAAGTAGAAAGCGTGCAATAACTGTAAGAATAAAACAAAACCGGTGCCAGTAATTTATAGTCATATACAGTTGATTTAGATTTGAGTAGTGACCACTACCATATATGCCATATCATTTGTAGCTTTGATTGAATTCTGTCAATTATTTTGCAGTATGGCCACTAATCTTAATGATCCAACATCGCGTGTACTGTATTGGGATATAAGATATTGGTTGGAGGTGGTTGACAGAGAGCATCAATCCGTTTAAGATTACAGATACATGATGTTGACAAGTACCTAATAGCCAAAAACCTTGGTTTAGAGTTTCCTGCCATCTACCTCCAACTACCATCTTACAGATTACAAGCATATTTATTACCAAAAGAACTTTTAAAGGTGAGTATATTCAAGCCTATATCACTGCTTTTTAGGGATATCGCAAAACGTTTTGCTTTGTTAAACCACTTGTTCTATAATTTATCTAAATTCCGGACAACAAATCCAAAGAGTTGACCTCAGATTTCATTATGATGTGATTGCTTCAGTAGTATCTTGTGTCCCATACATTCTGCTCAACTTTTCAAATCTTAATTTCTTATTGTATCGAAAAGTTCGCAAATAATTTAGAGTAATCGAGTTAATGTTTTATACGTTTGTTAGCTACTTTGTGTTCTCTTAAGACCATACTATCGACCAATCAGCTGATAGTTCAATTGATATTAACATTTAATATATCAGAAGCAATTAGACGATTTGGACTTCGCAGATGACCTATCCCTTCTGTCTCATACACACGAACAAATGCAGATGAAGACAACTAGTGCGGCAACGGCCTCTGCATCATTAGGCCTCATCATACACAAGGGAAAAACCGAGATCCTCAAATACAACATAGAGAACACCAACCCAATCATATTTGATGGAGAAATTCTCGAAGAGATGGAAAGTTTCACGTACCTGAACAGCATCATCGATAAACAAGGAGGATCTGATGCAGATGTAAAGGCGAGGATTGGCAAAGCAAGGATCGTATTCCTACAGCTGAAAAATATATGGAACTCAAAACATCTGTCAACTAATTTCAAAGTGAGAATCTTCAATAAGAACATCAAGACAGTCCTACTGTACGGAGCTGAAATGTGGAGAACTACTACATCCATCGTCAAGAAGGTACAAGTATTTATAAACAGTTTTCCACGCAAAATACTTATCATTCACCGGTCGGATACCATCAGCAACAACGTTGTATGGGAGAGGACAAACCAGCTTTCAGCTGAAGAGGAAATTAGGGAAAGACGTTGGAAGTGGATTGGACATACATTGAGGAAATCAGAAACTGCATCACGAGGCAAGCGCCAACTTGGAACCTGGAAGGGAAACGGAAACGAGGAAGACTAAAGAACACATTACTTTGGGAAATAGAAGCAGATATGAAAAAGATGAATGTTAACTGTAAATAATTGGAAAGGATTGGGTAGGACAGGGTTGGATGGACAATACTGGTGAGCAGCCTATGCTTCTCCACGAGGGGTAACAGGCATAATCCTAGTCAAACTTTAAAAAAAATCACTTGATCAGAGATTAATCATTTACTCACTAGTAATTTATATTGAGTTGAAATTCTGAAGTCATATCGAGAAGTCATAATTGGTATAATTCAGTCATATATTGAGAGTAAACTAATCGGTTACTCAACGTCATCAATGAATAGTGTAACGTTATACAATAAAATGGTTGATGTTATAAATATGACTCAATAGGTTTGGATATAACTGACTGATTAAAATCTTATTGTCTGGGACTGCGAAACAAACCATAAGATATAATGCCTGTTTTTACAATTTATTAGATAATAGTCTAACCAATAAATAGATGTTCCTTTTCAAAACTCCAGTTATTTACTACTACGAAAATATTTTCTAAGAACATTATCATATAATTCACAAGCATTGTAAGCAAAGACGGATAGTGGTTAGCAGTGAAATCCAGTTTGACGCGCGTTTCGTCCTATTTGTGACTTGTCAGCTGGATGCACCTGCACCTCAGAGTTAATGTTCACTCTGGGACCCGAACACAGTACCTTTCGCTTCAAACGCCATAGCAATAGAGACTGACCAGTTGCAGTCCTAAATATCAATGGGAAGATTCAAACAAACAATACTAAGTGAATTACCATATAATACTCAAAAGTAGAAGAAAACAATAATGTATATTTGAAGAGCTCATTCAACATTATTATCATTTGTTTTGTTATCATTTCGCTATAGTTATCAGATAAATCGGAATCAAGATGGTCAATTACACCACATCGTTTTGATCTTAATCCAGGAGCATCTACAGAAATTTGTCTAGAAGTTCAATGTGATAGGTGAGTTTTTAGTGAAAACAAACCTCGTGAGATAAAATTTCTAATAATAAGGTAAACATAAAATGGGTATATTATTTGATAGATATCAATGCCAAGGTTGGACTTGATAGTTTCAAATAAATTGAGCATTAGATCGAGAGTTAATAATAAATCTATTTTACTTTGTTATATCCCAATGAGTGGAAAAAATTGTATTTCTGATGTTTCGTGACTTATTGTAGGACACTTCGTCAGAGTAAATAATGTCAGGAATACAATTTTTCTACTCATTGAGATATAAAAAAAGGTATTATTATTCAAATTCAGTGTTTATAATTGAAGATGAAATTTCAATCAAAATCTAATATTTAGTCAATTATCAGCAACGTAGAATCTGAAATATTAATGCATCAGTTCACACCAAATTAGAACAGCTTGATAAATTATCAATACAAATCCTAGAGTTCTAGAAGTGTGATGTATGTTATTTATGTCAACAGACATAAGTAGTATGTAACATCAATCAAGATTTGAACGGCTGACAGCAGGAAGCTAAGAAGATCGAGTTGAACAGAATAGAAGGTGAAGTAGAAAGTAATTGTGAACTAGAGGAACCATACAGAGTGTAAAGAAATAATAGTGGAAATTTGCAAATACAGTATTCACCGTATAGTTCTCATATTTTACCACAGAACGGCCGTTTCTTCCTAGTATAAGATTCTTCAGCAGTGCGCATCCACGATCCCTCACGTGGGACTCGAACTCAGGACGTTGGGTCTCGCATGCGAACGCCTAACCTTTAGAGCACTGGTTCATCATCTAATGGTGTTAATGTCTAACATAATGTGCTTACGAATGACTGACATAGAGAGGGAATTCTCGGAGTTCTTGTGAGCATCCGTGACCAGTGGAGTCCAATCGTGCTCGGCATGAATCAGTTACCCACTGAAGTTAATGGAAGATGGTCGGGCAATATCGTGGATTGATTGAATTTGGGCATGAACGCCATTAGATTACGGTTTAAAGGTCCTGGGTCCGAGTCACACCCACTACCAAGGATTTCTACACGAGCACGAGACGGCTACCTAATACTTTGAGTTGTACTATTAGTTTTGTTCCTAATGGTTTGAATTATCAAATGGTGCTTAACTAGATTGAGTATAAGATATGTTTGTGCATTAAGCCAATTATTCGAAATTCACACTTCAATATGTTGAAAAGGAATGAGAAGTTTAAGATGTATAGAAGTTAGTGACTTCAGAAGAATTAAGTTTTTATATAATCACAATATGCTTACTTCAAAATTATTAACACAAATCAACATGAAGAATTGTCATGGGCGGTTGCTGAAAACTGATTTGTAGGACAATTACTCTCTAAGAAATTAAAACCTGACTTCTAGGTTTAATATTTAGCCACTATATCAACAGTTTAGTAAAAAACAACATCTTGGCGTTTGAAGTGATGAGTGCTAGGTTTCGGTTTAAATGTGAATATCATCACTGAGATGCGTTTTGAGATTTCACATTTTAATTGATTGTTTATTTATTTAAACACATAAATATTGGTACAAAAAGGCACCAGATATATATACGCCGTACAAATCTCATTTGATTTGTGTGTGAGAGCTGTAATATTGCACAGGTGCTCAAACTGAAGCAGGTGGTTTTCTTAGGTGACCACATCAGGAGCCTTCGACCTCAAGGTCTGATCCACAAGACAGTGGAGCATCGTAAGGTGACGCAGTCCCATAGTAGCCGATGAGAGACAATTGATTCTTACGCCATTTGTTCCCTCAAAATACTAGAGCTTTTCGTCCTCTCAATTTCGTAAACAACACCTGTGGCACGAGAAGACAGTGAGTAGGACTTCCCTGACAGAGGCTATATACGCGTGGCCATGTGAAAGCATTTTGAGAAGGAAAGCGGACTGTCTTCACTCTCGGTTGTACCAGGGCATTTCGGCAAAATCAGTTTAAACAAGATTGAATGAAACAATTAATGAAACATTTTTTCATTGCTTATAGTTTTCTAGTGCCAATTACAATTACATTTCTATTATCTTTTAGTGCTAAGACAATTCATGAGAAAATTTTATGTCATTCAATTATTGGACGAAGTGCTAAATATTTAATTAAAACAATTGATGTTTCAATTGACTTTATTAAACCGATTATTGAATTATCTACAAGTGAACTATTTTATAGGATTGAAAAGGTATATATATGCATATATCAGTCCACGGTGAGACTATAATTTATCGACGACCTTTGAGAGACGATAAACTGATTTTGAGAGTATCCACCTAGTAACTAGGACTAAATGAGAGTTATAAATGAGTGTTTGAGGAATTAGAATTATGATTTACAGTTGATGGTTAAAGTTAAGAATTAGATTTAGGGTTTTCATCACGAGCTGACATCAGTTATAACTCTATTTAACCAAATAGATAGTCAAAATCCGAGACCTGTTATCTTAGACCTGATTAATTCGTCCATAAATTATAGTCTCACCCAGTCCACTTCTGTTTATTTTAATGTTAAGGAACTTAACTGGGTAATTTTTAAAGGTTATTCTTTCTTTTGTACTTAATATTATGAATTACCATTAGCCCAATAGTCATTGAAAATTATACAAGACATTTATGTTTCATGACAGGATGTGCTATTTTTTTGGATCATTAAGTTGATTTCAGTCAATTCACATGTCTGACATGAGAGGAGTATCTCTGAAGACAAAGTATTTAAATCATGCAATATCTGATCAACTCATCATTTTTGACGATTCTCCTTGACAGTTGTTTTTTTTCTATTATTTAACTCTCTCTGATTAGCCTAGAAATATCTTACTGGAATAAAACATATCGAAGTTGTTTATAAGATAGGTAATTGTTGAACACTGTTTGAAAGTGGTAGTTAATTTATCATACAAACAAATGATGAATCATTTATAAAACATTGGCGAAATATTACTATCTTACTAAACTATTGCGTTTAATAATAGAATAGTTTAGTATGTACAGCATTTGTGTATAAATTTCGAAAGTGTAACGAGAGGATGAAGTTAGTTTGAAAATAAATTTCCAACGTTTTAAAGTAACGTATAGTTCGAATTGAAATGGTTACACATCTTCTTTTCAAGTGGTTTTATATGAAAACTAAAAAAAACTTGATTGAGCTTTGTCCTCTGAGCTGGGTAGTTTGGTCGTGGAGCTCTCATCATTATTCTGAACGATATCATCAGCAAAAAATTCAAGTAGAAGTCCTACGACCAAACTATTCATCTCAGAGAATAAAGCTCCATCAAAATTATCTACCTGAGCTACAAATCTTCTCCACTACCTCACTATAAACAATTAATAGTTTGAGAGTTGGCAATCAAACGTTTTCGAAAGAGGGAGAATGTGGTGTGATAAGAAGAGACTAGCAAGTTCTCAATGATACTTTTAGTATTGACAATTACTTGGGAATTACCAGGACAGGTTTAAAATAAGAACAAATTGTTTTTACAGACATAAAGGTGTTTTCGGAAACTACAAAGGCCTACGAAGTCTGAATTCATTTCATCCAATATTTCGTTACTCTTAAACGAATAGTTCACTCACTCCGGTGACACAAGTTTCCACGATAAAATGCGGGACGTTGAGGCCCATATAAATAGTAGCTTTCGTTACCTCAGTGATAAACAGGTTCATAGCATTATATTTTAAAGATTTGCTGCTCAATCTCAATCCATATATTAACGTGCCTGAGCACCTTGATTAAGGACATAACGAACGGATTTAGACATCAGCTTACTTTGACATTGGTCTATAAACTTCATTCGATAAACGTTTAATATTGATCTTTTAGTCATTTCCCATAAATACCACATCTCCATATAGAACAATTTTGAAAATGAGCTATTTTATTCATTTTACCTTACTTTAGGCACCATCTGATGAACTATCTACACAATTCGATCATTTCACAATGACTAATAAAGTAGATTTATTATTAACATGTTTATTGGAAGTTTGCAGTCCATTCAATTTGTTTATAGATGAAGTTTATACATCTACAATGGTAAGAACAGGATACATTTCTAAGATATTTAATTAACTTTTCTAATTATTTTTTCATTTAAAATTCCTATTTTGAATACTGAAAGGTTGATTGATCTCAGAAACACAGGTTTATAACTAGTTTCCCATTGAAGTGATATCAACTGCTAGAGAGAATTATATCACTCATCCAAATTTTCATGTTACCTAGCTTAGATTCAACTTTTGATTTTCAGAATCCATCACAATGGAGTAGGTATATACACTCTTTGTCTTCCCTTAAACTGTGAAATTAAAATTGCTTTATATCTTACTTTCTACCAACTCATTCTTTTTTTCCTGTACTATATCCTTATATGAAATCTTTCTCTTATATATTACCACCATTGAATTAACTACTTCTATGAATTCGGTGTTCAATTTGTTGTGCTAGTGAGGTGTGGTAACTTGGACCTATGCATGTATGTACCTGGTTCTGCGTTGTAGCTGAGTGACTGACTTTCTGACCTGTCAAACGGAGTCGCAGGTAAAAACGGTGAAATAATACTGGCTACAATTTGACGACCGATTCTCATACATTGCGTAGATGTATTACCAAGATTTATGGATCCCACTTCATTGGAGCGAATACGACGTTCATAATCGAAAATGATGGTGAAGAATATATATATATATACATGTATATATTTCCTAATATTCGGTTAACCTTTTATCAGAGATTACCTTATACAAATGATACGATAAAATCTGCCTTAATGATGATTGTAATGAGTAAGCTAATAAAATGTTTTCTCTAGGCCTATCAACTATTAAAACCTAGTCACATCTTGAGTTTGATTCCGTACACCCAGATCCGTGAAACTTAACCTTGTTGTTTTTCGAAAGTTTAACCACTGATCTGATTGGAAAACAATTTATATACATTCTATCCAATAAATGAACGAATTAAGCGGCATAATACATTTAATAAAAACAGAGAAGCATTCTCAGGAAATTCAATAACTTTGGTACTAACAATCAAAAAGTATTGAAATGTATCAAGGCTTTCAGTGATAACCGTCACGATTGTATAATGCAGGATCAGATAGGTTATGGACTTTCTATATTGATAAAAACAACGATCGTTTACCGCTGCTTGTGGAGATTGAGCCTCCAATTTCGTAAAAGAACGTTTTCTTAGTTTCCATTTTGTATTTGTTGGACTGAATTAATTATTTACGCTTGTTACTCTTCGTAGAGCATAGGCCACTGGTCGAAGATCTTCAACCAACTTCTGTTATTTCAAAGTGTTATTCATTCCTAAGATATCTGGTACAATATGTTCTTTGGTTTGCATGTTTTCCTGTTTCATTGACGATTACAAGTTAGGGCTTGCCTTGGGATGAAAAGTAATATACACTGAATGTCTAACTCCACAAGAGTTAAAAATCTGATACAGTGGTATTTCCTTATGAATATTTCTACAAAACTATACTTTCAATATTACCCATGCATGAAGTCATGAGTATGAATTACAGTAAGGAATTCTGTAGCTTATACATAAAATGTGATATTGATGTATTGCAGTAAAAAGTAAGATGTGATTAGCCATTGAGTCTTGACTGAAAGACCCTAATCATTTAATATAAGATTTCCTTCCTCTCATTGATTTTTTTACCCTGGACTCAGTGAGTGTACGTCGTGTTCACTCAAGTACTGACTAGCTTATCCCATGATTCTCTATATTTGTTGGTGAATTGTGCATCTGGTATAGCGTGACCAAATCTGAGTATCCAACCTGGTCATCTGTTTTATTACAATATATCATAAGAAAATATTTATATTCTCCCCTCATATCAGATATTAAAACCATTTTCAAATATATTTTTTTGATAGACATTTCAAATAAAACCATTTGAATCGAAAGAAATTACAGTTTCGTTTAATCCAAAGTATAAAGATGATTTAATTAGTAGAAGAGCTGATGAATTATTATTTATCAAATATGCTGAACATCCACAAACTGTAAGTTATTACTGACGTTACGTTCTTCGGTAAATTTTTAAATTATAAAATGATGCTAGTTAAAGTATTTGCTAAGTTGAAATCATGAGTCAATTGAATCTAGACCACCATGGAAAACCTGGAAGCATTGGACGGCCGTTAAGGGTTCTGGCTCAAGACTGGTAAGTCCTGGGTTCGAATCTCGCGAGTGCGGGATCGTTGATGCGTACTTCTGAGGAGTCCCAAAATAGGACGAAAAGGCCGTCCAATGCTTCCAGGTTTTCCATGGTGTTATAGCTTCAATTGACTAACGCTTTCAACTATGAAAATACTAAATCTCCACAAAACCCCTTCTGATAATTAATATTTACTTTTGTTTTTCTATTACAAAATATAGGACGCCGTACGATTAATTGGTGAAGTACATTTTCCAAATCTTCAATTTGGTTCTAATATAATTGACTTCGGTTGTATACTAAATCATACAGAAATGACAGAACATTTGAGTATGAAAAATATTAGTCCTCTACCGGTGAAATTTCGTTGGAGTTTACTTATTGGTGATCGGCCAAATATTATATTTAAACGTCAAGCTCGATTAACAGAACGTCAAATTCCTAATAACGTTCAGAAATTAGCTCATGCTGACATAACTGATGATAAAAACACTGAAAATAACCTACAAGATCTTTGTAAAAATACTGAAGAAACAGAACATGAAATAAGCATCAATGAACAACACAATGAATTCAATCAAACCCTACCAATATTTGAGATTAATAAACCAACTGATGAACATATACCAGATGATAACTTAAATGCTAATTTATCATCTCCTGAAAATAGTATATTACATAATTTAATTGAAGAAGATGAAGATATTGTACCATTAGGTATTGAAGAATTATTTGATATTGTACCACTATATGGTGAAATTAATCCAGGTGAAACAATATCATTAAGTTGTACATTTTATGGACATTCAAATATAGATGCATCTGTATTAGCTTTATGTGAAATTGATGGTGGTCCTGAATATAAAATTGAAATAAAAGGTTCTGCATCAGAAATTGATTTTCAATTAGATCAAACGGATATTGATTTAGGATATAATTGTTTAAATAAACCAATGATATATGAATTTAATATAATGAATACAGGAAAAGTACATTTTGAGTATACTATTCATTTTCATTCAAATTTATCATCTATTAATGAGAATATTCAACAAACAACCCTATCAAAACTAACTCAATATGGTCAATTTAATATTAAACCCTATAATGGACAAATAAATGGTTATCAATCACAATCTATTCAAATTACTTTTATACCAATTAAACCAGGTTATTTTGAACAAGAATTTAATGTTCAAATAGCATATTTCTTACCTAAACTTATTAAATTACATGGAATCACTGATTATGCTCATTTAAATTTAAATTTACCTCGTGTATGTATGATTCAATTAAACAATCAACAGTTCAATAATGATCAATTATCAATCTCTTATTACAATGATCCTACTGTTTATCAATTAACTATGTCGAAATTATTGGATCATTTATATCATGAAGTGATCGGTTTAATTGATTTATGGGAAAAACAACAACAAAATATCCCAATTGTATGTTTATGTCATACAATCTTTTCAGATCTATCACAGAGAGTTTTAGCTTCTGTTAAAAGTAGCAATTTGGATCGAATATTTATGCATGATATAAATTGTCCTATAATGAAAGCAATAAAACAATTTTTATCAAATCATTATCAGGTAATGAATAATTTACCCCCCCAAATATTAAAACTTATACCAGATTTAAATTTACAATTGGATGCAGAACGTGAATATATATGTAATCTATTAAATTCTATTGAAAGAAATGGCTTGAATTTTGAAAATGATATTACAGAAACAGAAGAACGAAAGAGACCATGTTTTGTAAAAAAGTAAGTTTCTTGTTAGATGGTTTATATAAATTGGCAAGAAGCCCTAGATCTAAAGTTTGAGTTAGTTAGAACTGGTCTTCAATGTTACAATGAGTCTTGAAATAGGCAGTGCTTTCTATAGGATTCTAAGCCATACTATCCAATTTTGGATTGTCGTAATTATCTAGATATCAAATGACCGCATATACGACTCTCGTATTTACATTGATTAGTCATGCATTAGTAACCAGTATTGTTTGTCAAGTCCTTTAGTACCGGTTGATCACTGAAATTAGACCATCACTAAGATCAATAAAAGCACAATATTGATTATTAGACAGTGATTAGTCAATATGAAGTAAGGTAGCCATCTAATTGAAATGTGATGTGTGGGCGAGAATGACAATGATTGGTTGTTTTTCTGAGCCAGACATTAGATAGGATGACAGGTGTTATATGTGTTACATATTCCCCTATCCTTATCATGTATTGACTGTTATTGACTGACTATTCCTTGTTGTCGGATTTTGGTGTGGAAATATATTGACGTTATACTCAGGTTAATTTCGTGTTCTTGATCTGAGTTGTGTTGAAGTCCTGTACAATAGACACTGGGTGGGAATCTAGTGTAGATATTCGTCTAAGGTAAATTAACGTCCCACATACGTGTAAACAGTGAAAGGACTGTTATAACAAGAAACCCTAGTGTTATAACAAGTATCCTACCGTTTATAACAAAATGTATTTTCACAGATTGATCACTTGAGTGAGTCAGATTTCACGATACGTAGTTCTCTTATTATATAAAACTTTGTAAATTATCTTCGTAATCCAGCAAATTACATAAACGACTTGATATTAGATTGGATGTCAGTGAAATTTACTAAAGAGCCTTAATAAGCACAAAATTTAATTTAATTTCGGCTTATCACTGGTTAGTGCAGGGATACCCAGTGGAATGTTACAAAAGACGATTTTAAAAAATACATTTAACACTTTGTTTCTGAGTGACACAAATTGAAAGTAACCTAAAAATCAGTTAATACATTAGTAATAGTCAGTCAGTCAGTCACTGTACTGTACTGTACATTTAACTTAATATAAGACTGTTACCAATGCTATAATTTAGTTGTTGAAGACAGTCAACATTTAAGATCTATTGATGTATATGCTTCTAAATATTGTTGTTACGTTTACATAACCAGATCTTAAGTAAATGTGGTTAGTCAGTAAACTATACACACCATACTTAGTTGACTGGGATATGTTAAAACAATTCATTATTCATTTAGTTAAAGATACTCTCTAAAGCAGGTGTAGATGAAGATATACTTGAAATGATTCTAAGAATGATACAAACGAAATTCATGAGTTTGTAGATTTTCGACTTGAACTGCAAATGTTGTCGTAATGACCCGAATCCTTGAAATGTGAATGTTTCTGTGAATAATGGTGGTAGAAAAACAGAGTATGAAATCGAGGAAGACGTGAAATTCAGCATTATATGCAGAGTCCCGGTCAATTTTCCGATGTTTAAATAATTCCGTTTACTAAAGATAACAAAGATAATATCATCCAGAGATTTCTGATCAAACTTATGCTAATAAGAAGCATATGCACAGTCTTAACCCTTCTTATAGATTTAATTTAACATTCTGTCACAGGAATAATTATTCATTAAGCTGGGCATTTCGGCTAGATTTAAATAATTTGAATGATAGAACAACAGGAGGGATTTGGTATTGACAACAAAGGATTTCCTCCGTTTGGTACATTATGTCTCACTGAATAGAGGGAATATTACTTAACCAATGACTATAAATAGTTGTAAGTTAACAAGAAAACAACAACATTGTAACTAACCTAAAATTATAACGGATAATCTGCAGAATCATTTGTTCTGAATGGTTCAACGATCAAATAAATTACTCAGTGGGATTTATCAGACTATGTAATAGAATTAAACAAAATACGAATTTGTTTTATATATAGTTGAAATCATGAGTCAGTTGAAGCTAGACCACCATGGAAAACCTGGAAGCACTGGACGACCATCTTATTGTGGGACTCCTCAGCAGTGCGCATCCACGATCCCACCTCGAATTGTTAGAGTTTCTACCTTGTCGACTAGTTCACTGAAATATCAATTTCTAATCTAATTATTTTCTAAGATTATTTCAAAGTCAGAATATTTACTCATGTGTCACTTCATTTTATGTAGCTGAATAAGAGAATCCAGTCAAGTGTTTTATACAATCTATATTCTTTGCAGCTTCAGTAATAATATTTCAACCTAGTTACATAATCAGTTCATTTCATACTTTCTTAATTAAGTGATTTAAGCCCAGTCATTTCTTCCTCTCTTATATTATGAAGGAGATATATGTTATGATTATTCATCTTCGTCTTTAATAATGTTTCTATTACATTAGTGTGTCTGCTAAACATTGATGATCAAATATTAACTCCGAAAACAAAAGCAATGTTCCCCTACTGAAAGTCCTTACTGAGTAATAATCCCAGGATGTTTGGGATGCGTTTTTTCCCATCTAAATGTAAATTGTTACTCCTGGACTGGCCTGCGTCAACACCTGAACTAAGAATAGGGAGTGAAGTAATCGAACGCGTCGACAACTTCACTTATCTTGAAAGTCTGACCAGCCCTAATCGTTTAGTGTCTGACGAAGTCTCAGCACGGATTCAGAAAGCTCGTTTGGCTTTTGCCAACTTACATCACCTATGGCGAAGATGAGATATCCGTCTATCAATTAAGGAAAAATGCACAGCAGTTCGTTCTGTTCAACTTTACGGTTGTGGAACGGCCATTAAGAGTAGAAGATACTTGTAAGCTACTAGTATTTGACCACAGATGTCTTAGAAATATTTCTCGGATCTGCTGGGATAACCGGGTAAGTAATAGTCAGGTAAGACACAGTGTATTAGGGAACGATGGTAAATCAGTTGATGAGATCATGAATTTTCATCGACTGAGATGGTTGAGCCATGTGTTACGTATGCCTGAACACCGATCACCTCGACGCGATATGCTGACTAGTGTTGAGGATGGTTGGAAGAGAGTTAGGGGCGGCCAAATCAAAACGTGGTATCAATGCTTGAGGTCACTAACTTCTAGTCTGGGCTATATTGGTAGATGCAGACTACTATGTTGGGTTCCTCGTGGCCATCGTAACCAATGGTTGGAGACTGTGTGTTACATGTCTCAGAATCGATCACAATGGCGTAGGTGTATACACTCCTTGTCTTCCCTTAAACCTTAACTGACTGACATAATACTGCCGTAATATACATAGTGAAATATAATCATTTCATTACTTGTCTATTTTCTTTTCTCCTTTCTATCATGTTCAGTTTATACCTACCATCGTATTTACTTGATTTCGGTATAGTTATAATCGGTTCAATTGTTAAACAAACTATATCTATTATTAATACAAGTTATGAACCGATTAGTTTTCGTTTTGATACAACATCTTTATCAAAAGCTAAACAATTTGGGTTTAGTACAAATATAACAAAAATTCATCATTTACCTGGTTATCCAGATTGTGAACAATTAGATATGGAGATTTCATTTGATACAAAACAAATTAGTCAGTTGATAAATGAAAATTTCATTCAAACAGAATTAATGATTAAAGTGAGTTATTCTAGATATTTTTGAGCTGTAGCGTTTTCAGTTTTAATCTGGTTTTTATGATATTTCCTTAAGAATATGCTCACTATTCACTGGCTTCAAGAGGTATTTCCTGGAGTTCTAGTTAGAAGCAGTGACTAGTGGAGTTCAACCAGGTCTGTTGTGAGATATCAACTCACTGAAAACAATGGTGGATGTGTCACTCAATTTCGTGGATCGGTTGAAGTTAGACATTAACACAGTTAGATACCGGCTCAATGGTCTAGTGGTTAAGCATTCGCGCGCGAGACCGTTAGGTCCTGTGTTCGAATCCCGTGAGGCGGGATCGTGGATGCGCACTGTTGAGGTATCCCACAATAGGATGAAACGGACGTCCAGTGCTTTCAGGTTTTCCATGTTGGTCTAACTTCAATTGACCCACGATCTCAACTATTAAAATTAATAAATGTATATTATTTTGTTATATCCCATTGAGTAGAAAGATTGAACTTCTGATGTTTCGTGACTTCAGAATGAATAAATAACCGAACTGAATTAACACAATAAGTTCGTAGGTATCATTACCAAGGTTTGACTCAATGATTTCGAATAAATTGAGCATTGGATAGATTGTTATAAATAAATAGTTAAATAAATTAAAAAACAAGTGGGGTAGAGATTAAACAAGTGTTTAGTCGTACTATTGAACTCTTCAGTAGCTTGAAGGCACAACAATGAAAATGATCGAAACTAAGAACTTTGGGTAGACTGATTGATTTCCAGAGTTCTGAGCTGAAATTTGTGTGTCCACAGCTATAAACGTAGTATGGATAATTTCTAACATTCATAAATTTCTACTATAGCTTTAAGAACTCACCGTGAAGGTCTTCACTACTGGTCTCATCAGATAACTGTCCAAAGATCATCGATTTCACCGATATTTCAACTGCTGTCAATTCATAATGAAAACATCTATACTTTTATGACACTGTCAACAATGTATGACTAAATTTTGTGTATTTTTCACATATTAGCATTTTTTTTACTATTTTAGATACTCAATGGCCCTTCCATACCAATATTGCTTCGAGCGAATATTGTAAAACCAACTTTAACATCACATATAAATACAATTGATTTCGGTGAAGTTCAACGTGGTGAAGCACGTATAATTACAGTACAATTACATAATCCATCTCCTGTTTCAATAAATTGGTATCGTTTGGCGCCTGAACTGCAAACTAATAAAAATACTACTGATTCAATTTATCCAATTAGAAATCATTATAAATCATGTCAAAATTTATTAAAAGAGAAACAAATGAGAATTTTTGAAATTATACCAAATAGAGGAATATTAGAACCGAATGAGAAAACTAATGTACAGGTACCCTATACTCACTTTTATTTCTTTTTTTTTCTTTGAACTCATCGAATCGTTTGCAATGGGAGATGTGCACCCATTCTTTGTCTTCCCCCAAATCCAGAGATTTTGAGTTCCGCTTAATATAATTTGTTTATATTTCAATAATTAGCACTTGTAGTGCCGTCGTTGGTTAATCGTTCACCTCGATAACCGTTATAATTCCAATCTTAACGGTACGTAACATCAAAAGGCAAAGAGAAGCAGCACTATAGTTTATGTTCAAATAACTCAGATCAGAAAGCTACCAGCACCTGCGAGAATATCAGCGAGCGAGAGAGCAAGCTAGTGAGTAACACGCAATTACATAAGCAATTTATAGTCAAATTTAATAAGGGCACAGCAAAACAAAACAGAAGCTGATAATAGGATTTGCGTGCATACATATATGGGGAGGAGTTATGAGTCATAGAATGATACTTAAGCAATCATTATTTTGGTTAGAGTGTCATGTGCTCTAGTGGTCATAACAGTACAAAGAAATATGCAAATTGTTATTACCCAAATGACGATGTCTGTTAAGTAAGTTAATTAAAAAGTTTAACCAAAATTAACCATAATCGAAATTAATTGTAGAATGGTTGCTATAGTTTTCCCCCGAATCCTAAAATTTTAAATTCCGCTTAACGTTTTTTTGTTTATATTTCAATAATTAATAATTAATTTTGGAGTTGTACTTTCGATGCCTAATCTTTCGAATGTTTAATGATACTTTTACTGGGATTTGGTCTGACAATTTCATCTTTTTTTTGCTAATAGGGTATGGCAACTTGAACTGATGTACTTACGTACCAAGTTTTACTTTGTGACTGATTGATTCAACTTGATAATGTTAGTTTTTATGTACAATTCTATGACCTTCAATCTAATTCTTCTATTATAGTAAACACGATCCGAAAGAAATTAATAAACTCAAGAAATAAATGAATCAGGCGATTTATTTGGTTCTATTCAGTTTTAGAGACTAAAACGTTCGTTCATAAGGCGTGATCGGTCGATTTGCCAGCAACTCAGTAATTTTTAGTGTTCACATTAACAACAGACTTTGTTACTACTGATTCTTTGATCCCTGTTATTCTTTAAGCAGTATAAATTCAAGCTGTAATAGCCAACACCTATCAAACGAGTATATATTAATATGATAGCTTGTTATTACCTTTTAAAATCTTATTTGAAAACAAACTCTGAGTTTGTCAGTTCTTTAAAAATTATGAGCTGTCATATCGAATAGGTGCGTGCCCTGTTTGATATATATATGAACGTGCTGAATCCCGTCAATCAGAGCGGAGTTAATTTGTTGATCGCCCAACAATACATAAAAAGCCGTATGAGCAATCTGAGTACTTATCAGTCCTGCTTTCTGCTTAGCCCAGCCTAGCCAGTTTAGTCCAGAACACCAATAACATCCTCTGCAATATGAATCATTATTCACAAACATACTGGGTTTATATACCAATCAAACAGACCACATCGTACCAATAAAATAGAAAATAACATATGTACAAGATTTAGCCAAATGTGGCTGTGAATAGGGGGAAAAGAAATTAATGGACTGGGGATAACTCAAGAATGGTAAATCGTACAGTAATAGTCTATAGATTAAAATAAAGCTAATAAGAAAAGGATCATGAATATGAGTAGTTAAGTTACTTAACAATTATATAATAGGAAATATACATATCAAATTTGTCCATAAATATTTCTCAAAGTTACCATTCATAAATCTCTTCGGGATATAACATGAACAAAATAGAAAATGAATACAATAAAGTTTAATTTCATCTTACTCTGCTCAGGAGTCCCATAACAGAATGAAACGGCTGTCCAGTGCTTCCAGGTTTTCCATGGTGGTCTAGCTTCAATTGACTCATGATTTCAACTATGAAAATTACCCTAAATTGTTATTTTTTCTAAATCAGTTACTAGACTATGCTTCCTTTTAAAATAACACTAACATTCAGGCAGAAGTGCTCAAGTATAGATAATTGCAAAGCTATTAGACAATCAGGAAATTTTCAATATACTCTATTATTTAACGTATTAAATATATCACTTTGGATTAATGATATATACTACTTATATCTATCACTATCAGTAATACATATCATACAACAATAAAGTCTGAGACTATTGACTGAGATTTTGCAAATGAATTATTTACTGTATGGTTCTCAGATTTTACTGAGAGATTCTGTAATTTTATGTTTAAATAAATTTGGTTGTCCCCTTCTATGTTCTCGTTCACTACAATATCACTGGCGTAATAAGAAAGGATTTATCTGATTATTTTAAGTCAATGCAGTACGTGTTCAAGAATACTTACGTATTTTATCCAGTTCCATAACTGTTCAGAATAATATACTTTTTTTTCAGTGTCACGTTGATATTATTTTACAAAATGATGCTTATTCAATATAAATATCCTTTGTATTAAATTATTGTGAACTTTGTTTAGTATGAGCAAAGACGGAAAGTGGCTAGCAGTGGAATCCAGGACGCGCGTTTTGTCTTATTTGGGACTCGTCAGCTGAATGTACCTACATCCCAGAGTTGATGTTCACTCTTAGACTCGAACTCAGCACCGTTTTCTCCAAACGCCATCGCGTTATCCACTTAGATACTGAGTCATGATAGCTACCTGCTTGTGCAATGGGGTGAAGCTTAAATTCACTTGGTGTTGTTTACTTGTATCTTCCCATTGTTATTTAGGACTGCAATTGATCAGTCTCTTGTTGGAATATGTACATCCTGTGCGGACTGCCTCGATATTGCCTGAAGTCACAAAAACAAGAGACTGATCAATTGCAGTCCTAAATAACAATGGGAAGATACAAGTGAATTTGTTTAGTATGATTTTTCTGTAATAATTCTGTACAGTTTCATTTGTATGATATTAGTTAATAAAGTCATCAGGTTGGTGTTAAAATAATATAAGTGAACCTATTTTGACTAGAGATGATCTGTTTTTGGGAGGTCGATAAATCTTCATATCCATCATGGCCTTTGAATAATTGAGCAGCTATGTGGACCCAGTAATTAATTAAATAACGTAATGACGTTCGGAGTGGATAATACTGGGTTGAAATCCTATGATAAACTTCAACTCTAGGATACAGGCACATACACCTGATGGGATAAAATTGGGAAGAAACTCACGTCTTGACTTCTTATACAATAATCACATCTATTTTATTCATTTGTTTAGATAAGGTTTATACCACTTGAAGAGAAGAAGTATGAAACCAAGATTTTATTGGGCATTGAAAATAGTGATACAATTTTGAAAATACACTGTCAAGGTAAAGGTTTAGAGCCCCAATTAATATTTGATCGTGTTATGTTACAATTTCAACCAATTTTACCATATTCATCAATTGGTAGTGAAGAAATTGTTACCGTAACCAATCCATGTGATTATGCAATAGAATTTTATTCAGTTGAATTGGATAAACAATTTGTTCAAGTAAGTATATATATGAATTTATGACAGATTTAAACAAATATTATGACCTTCATGTTAACTTTAACAAAAATCATACCGTTATTAGAAAACATGTGAGCATCAACACCAGAATACAGATACACCTATCTGACAAGTCTCACATAGGAACAATAGCGAGTCTTGGATTCGATTGCTTGCCAGAATCTATTGGTTCAAATCTGACTAACTAATGAATGAAACATGAGGTATGTTTGTTAACTAGGATCCGCCTCTTTTCTAACCGGTCTAGGTGTCATAAACGTTCTTTGTTTTTTTTGTTCATAATATGCTTGATATAGAAGTTACGTAATTTTGATGAAACATACGTTATGACAATCCACTTATGTTCACATCCTTCTATAACTGTATATTTTTAAAATAGTACAGTTGTGACTTGCGGTGTTCGAAATCTAATATTGATGCATGGTGTTTTATGAACTAACTGGCTACTTGAGTGAGAACATAAAAGTGAGCGACAAAGTGTATTGGGCACAAATATTCATTCATAAATATACCACTCTAGCCTTAAGAACTCGACACATTGACTACAATGAAATGCACTTGACCTTAAGGTTACTTTTGATTGGCTGTCTACACCAAGTACCTGAAGAGCAACTGAGGTTACTATTAAATCAACTAACTTTAATTTCAATAGTTGAGATCATGAGTCAATTATAGCTAGATCACCATGGAAAACCTGAAAGTACTGTATGGCCGTTTCGTCCTATTGTGAGGCTTCTCAGCAGTGCACATCCTTGGTCCCTCCTGGTGAGATTCGAACCAAGGACCAAACTGATTTATTTTGTGACAATTACATAAACAGTTTATATAACTTACATCAGTTATACAATTTCATTGGTAAGTCGTTTTTTCTCTACTTTTTTATCTAGGAAGATGAAATATTGGGATTTATAGACGGATATGATGAATATGGAAGATTATTATTACCTCCACGTAAACCAGGTGATGAATTACCTTTAGAAGTTATTGCTTATTATGAAGAACAAAATAAAATTGCCAATTCTAAATTATCTGATGAATTAGAAGAAACTATTCCTTTAGAAAATAGTGATGAGAAAAATGTCAAAGGGTTAAAAGTAAGTATATATAATATTCTTTATATTTACTAGTTTTCTTATGAGAAACATTGGTCTAGAGTGCTGTTAGAGGTATAAGGGCGGTTATCACTTACTGGTTGTCCACACCATGGAAGGGTTCTTTGGGATGTACCTGAAGGGAAAATTGGATTAGAGTTGATCTTAATGACCTGAGAGCGTGACTGCAGTGTCCAAGGGACAACAACTTGAAGCCGGTCACACACGACCTGTCTGGCATGGTAGGGACTTGAGGAACGATTGTTCCAGCCAGTAGAGCTCCATTGGTTCATAACGATAGGCAAGCTCGACCACCACTTCAAGGTAGCGGCAACAGTCAGGACGATAAACATTTATAGTAGTTTGTAGATTTTGTCCATGCTAGTGTGACGATTGATAGTTAAAATCAATTGAAAAAAACATTTATGTTCCCTTTAACTGTTCTGGATAATCGTATTACGCATTTACAACTAACTTTAGATGTCTTTATAGGTAACAGAATCCGGGAGAATATAAGGACATTATTATTTTTTTCAGTGTATGCAATTAGCTGAATTGAATAGGAGTGGATTGGATAAATTAGCAACATGTTTTGTTAATATATATGCTCTGAAAGGAGGTGATGATTGATAAAAACCGATTTCCGGTCAGAAAGTTCTTATTCGGGGCATGATGTACCTGGTTCTTAGTTAGTTAGAATTTTGAGCTGAAACTGGTCAACGTAGCCTTTATTTAGAGAGATGAGTAAATATAGTCATCTCAATATATCAGGCAAAGTCACTTCACACAGTTCTTAATTTAGCTTAATACAATCTCATACAACTTTTTTAGGTAAATATTAGGAATTATTCACTGTTAGTGAAATCCGTTAGAAACAAAATAAACCATTTTACCTAAAAACTGTACTTTTAAATCAATATCATGTAATACAGTAGCTTAGATACAAAATAAGGTTTTTGTGTTATGTATGCAAGCAGTTGCAAACAGAAACACTCTTAAATATACTTACTTACTTACGCCTGTTACTCCCAATGGAACATAGGCCTTCCTCTTTTCCTTTGGCCTTCAGGATTCCATGTGAGGGCTTGTCTTGTGACGCAATTGGGTGATTTCCTCAAAGTGTGCCCAATCCACTTCCAGCTCTTCTTCGTGATTTCCGCCTGTAGCTCCTCCGGGGGCTACTGCCGGTCCCAAGCTAGGGTAAAGGAGGAGGGTTGGGCATGGGGTTAGCGACCCTATCCCGTAGAAAACCGACTCGCTAAAAAACGCTAAATAGAAAAAATTATTCACACTCTTAAACATAATAAATCAAAACTTAGAATCAGTAGAAGATTTCGAATCTTTTCCGCAACAAGTAGACAGCTGTCCTAAAGCTTTCAAAACAATATTGAGTGATTAATTACTGTGGAGTATTTTTCAAGTTCTGTAAAAAAATGTTGGTGATTGATTGGTGAAATTTTGCAACAATAGTGTCATTAGCAGTTTGATGAAAAATCTATAATCGTCACTCAGTAATATTAGTATATGTATGTATTGTGGTGGTCGATATTCTATATTATGCTTAAACTTCGTAGATTTTTCGTCCTGATAACCGTTACTAGATAATGACCTAACGGTGCATAAATCAGAAGGCGAATACGAAGGGTTGATTGCGTTAATTATTGGACCACACACCAGTATCCAAAATTACAGGCACGTTAAGCAAGTATGAAAGATTAGTGCCGTAAAGTAGGCGAGTGAGAGTGAGAGTCGAATGAGCGAGTACAGTAAAGTGCAGTGTACATATATATACAAATGGAAAAGCATGAATTATCGAATCAATTAAATGATTAATAGTAAGGCTATCAGAATGGACACATGCGTAGGCAGTAAGCAATGCTCAAGCGTACATAATAAAGGTACAATAGTATAGATAGGTTGTTGTTGTTGTGCGAATGACTGTCCGTCAAATAAGTTAACAAAAGTCCTTAACCAAACTAGATGTAAGCAAACTCAATTGTATGTGAGCTGCTATAGTATATCGTGCCCTATCATTCGATGATGTCTTATACATTGAATTTTGTTGACTTATAGAGCAACATTTTCATCTATTATTTTAAGCTATCCCAACAGACCCATATCATTGTTCAATTCCTTGATCACAACTGTATCTACTTTTTCAGTTCATAGGAGTTTCTTCATCAAGTACATCATTAAAAGAGATGAAAAAATCTAGTACAACCACTAGTAATACAACTCCAACAAATCATACTACATCAACTAGTACATCAGAACGTAATAAATCTGATGATCGAAATGTATTATCTGAATTAATTCTTAATGAGATTAAACATGAAGATAGTAAACAATCAAATTTAAATATTTTCAATAATGGAAAACAAACATTAGATGTTACACCAGTATCCTCAGCAATATCACGACATTTGGGTATGGATTTAACTCATGAATTATATAAATCAAATAAATTCGGTATTGTAATTCTTGTCAATGGAGCATTGGAATCTATTAGACATGGTAAGTTATTTATTAATTTTTTTAAACTAAACATTTACCATGGAGTAGCTAAGTAGTTAGTGGCTAGTAATCCTCATTTTCATGTTCTGAATAAGCTAATTGACATAAACTAGGTAAAATAACCATTGAAACTATGGGATACTGAATGGGTTTTGTACACACGACTCAGTAAGGCATTAAGCCATTGATACTTAGATTTCAGGATGACCTTATTAGTTTGATATCCAAAGGTTTTGCCATTGATTTCACTTAAAATTATGTATAGTTATGAGAATTTTACAGGAAATCAGTTTCCTATGACTTATGATAGGAAATTTTTAAACGTATAACATGCTTAGTTAATATTTAGAATAACCGATCGCATCTTTATTCGATATGATTGAGAATGTAAATAATTACGATAGAAACTGATATGATTAAATGATTAAACCCCATTCTAATAATGATCATATGCTCACTAGTGACTGACTCCATCAGGTATTTCCTGAAGTTCGAGTCAGAAGCAGTGACTAGTGAAGTTCAATCAGGTCTGTTGTGAGATATCAACTCACTAAAGACAATGGTTAATGGTTACTCAACTTCGTGGACGCCAGCTCAGTGGTCTAGTAGTTTAGCGCTGGCGCGCGAGACCGATAGGTTCTGGGTTCGAATCTTGTGAGGCGGAATCATGGATGTTCACTGCTGAGGAGCCTCACAATAGGACGAGTTGGCCGTCCAGTGCTTCTAGGTTTTCCATGGTGGTCTGGCTTCAATTAACTCATGATTTCAACTATATAGAAGTATTAATAATCCATCAAATTTGTTAAACTAAGATATACAAATGGTAATCATTATATAATACCTAATATCTTCTTCATTTAATATCAGTCTCCAAACTGTCAACTTTAGTTTGAAGAAAACATTCAGTCAATGATCATGTTCATATTTGCTGTTCATTAACTTCCCAGATGATTTCATGAATTACATTTTTCATTAGTAAATAAAATAATCCTAAATAGGTAAATTAAAGACCAATTACCATTTTGTGTACAAAGATATAGATTCAAGTTTTATGATGAGTAGGTTACCATTCGATTTGGAAATTATTGTCAAAGTTATCAACCTTAAATTCGATAGCCGAAACCAAGTGACCAATTTACTTTTCAGGCATGAATAAAACTGCAAATAATAAGTGTGTGAATGATTTACAATCATTTTCATTTACTTAACGAATAACACTAAACAACTGCTATGAACTGAGAACTTTGGAAATGGTTGTTTGTGAGTTACTCTTTTTTAACATAGGATGAAGAGTAGGTAAATTTTTTAAACTAAAGTATGTAAGAAGGTTGAAAAAAATCAACAAGAAGCCTTAGCCATGAGTTTTATGCTAGATAGAACTTGTTAGTAAGTTATACCTGTAATCTTGGACGAATAGATGGCTCATCAGTTACTAAAATTCATGTTACTCATTGTCAGCCAGATACGGTTATTCGTTAACTTATTTGAACACATAATCATCGATACAATGAGGCACCAAAACATATATGCCCATACAATAAAAGTGAAGAGATAGAGAAAGGAAGGTTAGTATAATTAAACAAACAACAAAGATGAATAGAAATTAGTGCGTGAGAATAAAATAATAATAAGAATATTAATAATGGGGTGAGTAGTTCAGTTAGGGAAAAATATGAGCAGAAAGAATTCTTTCAGTTGAAGAAGTTATGTCCACTTTTATGAAGAATGTAAAAGAAAGTTACAGCAGGATCCCTACTGGCTTCTATTCTGAGACATATCTGATAACGTCTCTAGCCACTGTGGTGAACCATCTCGAACCCCAACCACGGAATCGTGAAAGACTAACAGAAGCCAGTTCTGTACAAAGTTCTTTCATTCCTTGACAACGTATCATGCATACATCACCTCTCTGCCTTTTCTAACTGGTCCCAGCGTCGGCAAATAGTGCACGATGTGGAATTCTCTGAGACGACATTCGTAGATGTCCAAGCCACCGAAGTCGATGTTTCAAGATAGTGACATTAACTGAATTATCGTCGCCGTTCCCAAACACAAGATGTCGAACCTCTGCATTACTAACATGGTGCTGCTACCGGATGTCAGCAATCATTCGGAGACAACGTGGATCAGACACGAAGAGTAGTCTAACATCCTCAACTGGAAGAGGTCAGATTTCACAAGCAGAGATCAAAACTGCTCTTACCGGCGCGTTGTAGATCTAACCCTTTACAGCCAGATTGATATCTAGAAGGTGCCAAAAATGGCTTACATCAGCATAGGTCTCTCCAGCCTTTATTATACATAAGTTGATCTCATCACTTATGCCAACATCAGCACTTACGCATCTACACACAGATATAGACTTGTCGATCAATTGTATCTCCTAACTATTAGAAGTGAATTCAGGCACAGACTTCTGTCTGTCTTGTAAAAGTATTTTGCACTTAGAAAGTGTAAAGCACATGCCGTATCTATGGTCACTGAATGCGAACTAATTGAGTGTGAATTGTATAGCTTGGTTATCATTGCACAGCTATTATTGTTCGATTCAAATTGCGACGGTCCTTGTTACGTCCTTGATCTGTCTACCCACTTTCGTGTCGTGGATAACTTGTCTAATGTAGATTAATACCTTGACGCTATAGGCTGACTGGCCTAACGTTCATGCTAGCATGCATGAGTTCGAAGTGGGGGTAGAGAGACAAAACTATTCTATTACCTGATTTGCTGACAAGCACGCGAGAGAGAGAGAGAGAAGACAAGACACCCGGAACACTACTCGAATTACTCCCAATTCTGATCTGATACCCGAATTCAGATTAGTGTAAAATGACACATGAATAAATAGATGACTGACCTGACCACAACGTACAATAACTAGGAAAATACAATTATGCCCAAAACTGGTGGATTAGAATAGAAAATAGAGTACAAAAGATTACGTATAAATTACAATAGTTTTGAAACAGAAAAGTCTATGGCAGTGAATCATACATCAAACGAAAGCTTATGATGTATAGAATAGACTAGAATCAAAAAATAAATATTACTGTAATACAAGCTTTGAATTAAAATGAAATAACATCCCCTAAAATAGCTTCCATAGTTTGTCAAGGCTTCTTGTTTCTCTATTCACATCAGGCCTCCTGTTTACACTTATTAATCACTTAGTAATTTTTAATTTTCTACAATAAATCATGTCTGTATATGATTTCTATATTCTACAGATATTGTCAAAAGTTTAGCTAATCAATATCAAGCAATTATATTAAATCTTAATCAAATTATTATTGAAGCATTACTTACAAGTACAACTGATACAGCTTATCAAGCAAGACAAATTTGTTTAAATGCTGGTCTAGAAATCATTCAAGCAAAATTATATACAAAACAAAAAGAACTTCAAGAACGCGAACTAGAACAATATCAATTACAACAATTACAATTGAATAATTTAGAAATTAAATTAGATTCACCTATAGAATTATCAGATGATACACAAAAAGATGAAGGTAAATAAACAATTTTAATCAATAAGATATATGCTTGAAATATATATGATTGAAATCAATCGACAAGATTGGTTGAAGTCAGACATTTACATCAGTGGATGCCGGCTCAGTAATCTAGAGGTTGAGCGTTGTCGTGCAATACCGAAGGTCCTGGGTTCGAATCCTATGTGTGGGATCGTAGAATTGCACTTCTGAGGAGTCCTATACCAGAACGAAATAGCTATTCAGTGCTTCTAGGTTTTCAATGGTGGTTCAACATTGATCGACTCATGATTCGAATCAAAAATTGATGAGAAATGATATACTTTGGTTTTGTGTTATTCAAAATTTGTCAATGAGATAGAAATGTTGTCTTAAGGAAATTAATGAATTATTCATGCTGCTAGTAATATCCTTTGGGACAGAGATATTTACGTTGATTTAGTCAGTGAATAATAATCAATGTTATATTTGACCGAATCCCTAATGTTGATCCCATTCTACCGTTGAAATGTAATCAGTAGTCTAGGGAATTTGACATCACATATTATATCTTTTGATGTTAGACAGTTAAGAATAATCGTCATGATGCCATGAACGTCAATCTTATTGCAATTTGTTACATGTCACCAGAGTATTTGGCAAAATTATCTCGTTAGATCTGAATAGAGGTTATCACTTAACTTCCTATCACCAGCCTTTGGATTAATATATAAACCGAACTATAAAATCGTGAATATAGTATACATTATGACAATCATAGTAAAATATGATTATTTAATTAGTTTTTCTGATGTATCACTGTGTGATTCGATGTTAATGTTATTGTAGACAAAGTAGTCAATACGAGCTGTGCTAACACCTGAATGAAGAAATTTCATATGACGATAATGTTTAATCTGTTGAATATTAAATATTTGGTACCAAATGGAATCATCAGAATAAAATAAAAAGTCTCTTCGATAGGTTTCTTGGAATATACCTTAGAATAGCAAAAAATGATCATATATATACATATATTCAAGCAAAAGGTTTTTGAATTCACATAGTTTTGTTTGTTTGAATCTTTCCAATGATGCTTAGGACTGAAACTGGTCAGTATCTTATTAGTATATGTGCATACTGTGCGTATTGCCTCGATATATACTTAATTCACAAGCATTATAAGCAAAGATGGATAGTGGCTAGCAGTGGAATCCAGGACGCACGTTCTATCTTCTTTGGGAGTCGTCACTTAGTATTGCACAAGCAAGTGGCTATCATGACTCAGTAGCTGAGTGGATAACGTGATAGCGTTTGAAGCGAAAGGTACTGGGTCCGAGTACCAAAGTAAACATCAACTCTGAGATGCAGGTACATCCACCTGACGAGTCCCAAATAGGACAAAACGGGCGTCCTGGATTCCACTGCTAGCCATTATCCAACTTTGCTTAAAACGTTTTTGGTTTCTCCAACTCTTATGTAGTTTACACCATATAATTTGTATTCCATATACTTCAATTTAAAGTGTTATTTCACTGTGAACACATTCCGGCACATTCTGCTAAACGTTAAACATGATGAAAATTCTTTTGTAAATAAATAAAGTATCTAGTGGCCGGTGCTATTTCGAGTCCACATAGGCTTTTCTAGCTTCTGAACAGATCAATTTATTCATTCTACTCAAGTTACATTTTGATCTTGTCACTTATTTGCTTATTAACCCTGACTGTTTTTATGTGAGTTAATTATTTGACTTTTTCATGATTTGCCTGTGACATATTTTTGTTCGGCTATAAGTATCGGTTCACACTTGGATAAATCTAGTTGGTTCACATGCCATCTCCGATTCGTTTCTCTTTGTTGTCTCTAATCCCTTTTCTTCTTCCAAGTTGTCATACTACACTAGTATGACAAGGAGAAATTAAGATTACTCTCAAAAGAAACTGAAATAATTTTTGTGGCAGTAATCAACAGAAAGATTAAGGAATAAAAATATGGTATAAAAAATAGACTGGAAAGGTATGCATAAAAGATTACAGAATTGCAAAATTCTTGAGTTAAATTAAATAGTGAAACCCATTGTGAATGATTCTAATCCAACTTGTCCCACACTGGCAAGCACTGATCGTGATTATCTCACGGTTTCCATCCAGGTAACCTACGTGTACCAACATAGCCCAGACCAATAATCAATGACTTTATGGACTGATGCCTATTTTGCCCAGTTTATAGCTTTGTTCAGACCTACTTTTATACCAGGGAAACACTACTCGTCGAGGCAGTCATATGTTTTAAACACCTCATTCAACTAAGGAAAAATAAATAAGTCAATCAAAAAGACAGCTCCTTGATATGAACGAAGAAGTGGGGATGTTTTTGTGTCTACAGTGTTACATACTTGGTAATAAAACTGAAGTTCTTGTAAATATTTTGGTTTATAAAAATAACTAGAAGAATCTATGAAATTATTGCGTAAGCGACTGCACAAGTTATTGATTAAATAAGTTAATTAAATTGAATAAAAACAGAAACATTACAATATAATTCAATCTGGCGTTAAAGAATTAGTTCATGTTAAATCAAGTTGGCTTTTCCGCCATCTCCATTTCGTGTCGCTTTGTTTCGCTTCACTTTCCAATCAACGATTGTATGAAATATACCTATTCAAAATAAATTGCTGTATTTGACTTATTTAATTCCGTTATTCATGAACGTGAGTTAAGTCGATAAATATATACGAAGGTAGCTTACTCAGCCGACAAACTCATCTATAATATCATCATGCCATTACTAAATAAAATTAATTCATCTACTTTGGATTTATTTCTAAACTTACTTTTTAAAAAATTAATTTTACCAGTTGATTTATCGACTGCATCTATCAGTGGAGAACAATCAAAAGTAACCACTGGTCAACAACATAAAACATCAGTTAATCGTCAAGGTCAAGTTCCACACAAAACTATGGGATATCGTGGTACATTGAATGTACCACAGAAATTAAATGATGCTGTAAGTTTTCTAACTTTTTGTATTAGATCAATTGAAATATTAGAATTATAACAGCATTCAAGGAGCGCGATAATTTGTAAGAAAACATGAAAATATATGTTTAGATGAAATGTTCCATACTACTACAAACTAGTTGTAAAGTGTTTCCTTTTAGTTTTTGTAGTGGTGCCCAACTAAGATCAATCCATAACAAACATGAACGTACATGAACGCTTATTGACAAATGATTGACTAAGAGCTATTCAATTCGCAAAATCAGTTCATATCTCTTATGACTTGTAGCCAAGTGGATGCCTTGTTAACGTATGACGTGATAAAAACTGCAAATCAGAGAGCAGCGAATTATCGATTGGAACAGTGACACACAGAAACTGTACCAACAGTCTAGAGTACGTATCGGTCCTGCTTCTGCCTAGTCCAGCCAGTTAAGTCCAGAACAACCTTTACGGTATGAATCATTGTATTTCAAACATACTGAGTTTATATGCCAATCAAACTGACCACATCTTATCATAAAATAGAAAATAACATACGTACAAGATTTAGCCAAATGTGGCTGTAAATATGGGAGGCAGTAAATAATAGACTAGGGATAACTCAAGAATGGTAAATCTTATAACAATAGTTTGTAGTTCAAAATAAAGCTCATGATATGGGGAACATGAATATGAATATTTTAGTTCTTTAGCAATTATAAAAATATATGCCTAATAATGGTCCATAAATAGTTCTCAAAAGTTACCATCCATAATTCTCTTCGGGATACAACAATATCAATTACTGACATGTTGATAATATTAAGTATATATTTCATGACCGGTGAAGTGATTAAACTAATTTACTAATCACATCATGTTACATCCTTGATCTGTCTACCCACTTTCGTGTAGATTAAGACCTTGACGCTATAGGCTGATTGTCCTAACCTTATGACTAGTATGCGTGAGTTCGAAGTGGAGTAAAGAGAGGAAAGCTGTTCTATCACTTGATTGGCTGACAGACACACGCGAGAGAGAGAGAACACAAGACAACTGGAACACTACTCGAATTACTCCCAATTCTGATCTGATACCCGATTTCAGATTAGTGTAAAATGATACATGAAATAAATAGATGACTAACTTGATCACAACGTTATTTCATATGTTTGTGCGAGTACTGTGATACTGCCCGGGTGCCCAAACTGGAACAGGTGGTTTTCTTAAGGAGTCATACGCGGAGTTTTTGACCTAAAGATCTGATCCACATGGCAGTGGAACATCGTAAGGAAATGCAGTCCCATGTTAGCCTGTGACCAACAATTGGTTCATACACCATTTGTTCCTTCAGGATACTGGAGCCAATGTGCATCATTGTTTCAGAATCAGGGTTTCCCGAATCCCCTAGATGGACTATCCATGTCCACCTCTTCACATCACATTAATATATTCCTCACATGTTTTGTTTTTCTTATAATTCTAATTTTGTTTTTATTAGATCTCAACTACTACTGAATATAGTACAACATTGAAATCACGACGTATTACCTATTCAATATATAATGATATCATAAAATCATTTATTGATAAATCAATATTAAAATCAATAAATTATGAACAATTATATACAACTATTTTACCAGATCATATTATATTACAATTAATCAATGAACATTTTAATCAATATCATCATTATATCAATAAAGGTATCATTATTGATGGGATAGAATCGGATTTTACAAAATCTTCCATAGAAACTATAGAATTATTATTAAAATATTTTAAAAATAATTATAAATATATTTATACAATAAGTATTAAATTTAATTATGATTATTATAAACAATCAATAAATGAACAACAAAATCAATTAAATGAATCACATAATTTAATAAATAATCAATATTATGAAAAATTATTGAATTTAACTGATTATGATTATGAAGAATTATCACATCATGAAAGACAATTAATCGATAATATACAATTTAAATTACGTCATGATAAACGTCAAATTGAATTAGAACAAAAACGTATCCATGATGAACAATTAAAAGAAGAACAAGAAGCTGAAGCGAAACGTATAGAAATGGAAAAGTAAGTACTTGTCCATATGAATAAGTAGTATGTTTAGAAATCCCAAAATATATGTGTTTTAATAATACCTATTGTTTTATAGAGAGTTAAAGACTTTGTTAGAAAGTGAATTATCAAGTATGAATGTATTTTGTTATTAATCCGTCCCAATGTTTAGACATGTTTATGTAGATCACATTTTTTCGTCTACGAGCTACTCAAGAATCGATATTCTATACTGTTGTCTTAGAACTAAATAATACCCAGGGTGTGAACAAAAGAAGGCCGTTTTAAATAGATTCTAACAAGTATGTCCTTGAATGATAAATCATGTAAAATGAAGCTACGGAATTAGTTTGCTTAGATGAACGACGAACCACGTTAGTAGAGAGAAGTTTTAACTATTTTGAGTTATTATATAATTCATGACATGTTTGTAGTCAATAAGATATAAACACTTATAAGACTAAAACGAATGTAAAATACCATTCGAAAAAGTGTTTATTATGTATAGAGCTTCAATCTAAGCTACACTTGTATCGTGGGTCATAACCATCTGCGGATGAGGAATTAAGAAAGCTATCGGTAATCGATTAAAAGTGATGTGTAGCAATGCCTTGGCACGGCTGAGAGTGGGGAGAGTCCTCTCTCCCTCTCCAAATGCTCGCACATGACCGCGAGTATATAGCCTCTGTCAGGGAAGTCCTACTCACTGCCTTCTCGTGAAGGGGGTGTTTGCGAAATTGAGAGGACGAAAAGCGAATGTCAGGCACTCTAACCAGGTTGGTGGACACAGCGCGTCCACCCAGGGGACTTGGAAAACCCTGATTTTAAACCACTGATGCACATGGTCTCCAGTATCGTGAGGGAACAAATGGCGTATGAATCAATCGTTGGTCACCGGCTACCATGGGACTGCATCTCCTCACGATGCTCCACTGCTTTGTGGACTAGACCTTTAAGTCAAAGGCTCCGGGTGTGGACGTCTAAGAAAACCACCTGTTTCGGTTTTGGCACCTGGGCAGTATCACAGTCTTGACACAAATCAAATGAGACTTGTGTGGCGCATATATATCTGGTGCCTCATTGTACCAATATTTATGTGTTCAAATAAATAAATAAAAATAAACATGTAGTCAAGTTGACTTTCCATGCTGTCAACACATATTTATTGGGCTGAGATGAACTTGTTTTATAATTAGGATGTTATATTTTGTCGAAATATATATCAGTACTTTGACTGGAAGCCTTCACAGATGATGCAGATAAAAGTATTAATATCAAATAGGAAATCAGGTTGTTGACTCCGACGTTGATCTTATTAAAGTATGAATTATTAAAAACACCTATTCTACAAATTAGATCAATTTGTATACCAGCGGGTTAAAAGTTTGTTGAAAAATAAGGTAATTTTAGTTAAACTAAAACATTATAATAATATGCAGACATAATGAATCATGATCTGAGTCACGTTTGAGACTCTACATAAAAATTGGTTTATAGTTTGTTCTTCATAGGACTTTATATTACCATTTTTATGTATTCTAACTCTAGGCATTACCTGAATGTCTATCTCATTTGGATAATTCCCTGCGGTTAACATTCTGGTAACATTCTATTTACCGATATACATTTCCATAGTGTTTGTTAATGTTTTCTAATTTTAATTTAAGAGTAAAATTATATTTATTCCTTGTTTTTTTAATCAGAAATATGAAGAAAAAAGGTAAACGACAAGATGAAAAAACAACCAGACCAATTACATCGAATCAAATATCAATTAAAGATAATCGTGCATTATCTGGTCGAATGAGTTCAAGACCTATAAAAGATGTTAATAATAATAATTTAGGAAAATTAGATACAGTAGATAAATCTCCTTTAACAGTTTTGGAAGAAACGTTAGTTATAATTTTTTTAGTTTGATTATGTTTTATTTATTTGTATATACCCAAAATATGTATTGAGTTATCTATTTATTATTCACTCATGGGAACATGATGAGAATGCAGATTTTGAGTCATTAAACTGTGATGAATAAAACTTATAGTATTACTGTGGTCATGTAGAATCTCCATGTCAACAAAACCTTAACTGAAGAGGGCTTTGTGGAGATTTTAGTAATTTTATATAGTTGAGATCATGAGTCAATTGAAGCTAGACCATCATGGAGAACCTGGGAGCACTGGACGGTCAACTCGTCATATTGTGGGACTCCTCATCAGTGCTCAACTACGACCCCACCTCGCGAGACTAACAGGTCCTGGGTTCGAACCCAGGATCATATACTCACTAGTGACTGGCTTCAAGAGGTATTTCCTGGAGTTCTAGTGAGATGCAGTAACCAGTGGAGTTCAACCGGGTCTGCCGGGAGATATCAACTCACTGAAGACATTAGTGAATAGTTGGTCAATTTCGTGGATTGGTTGATGTTAAAGATAAACACCGTTGGATGCCGACCAGCTCAGTGGTCTAGTGGTTAAGCGCTCGCGCGTGATACTGATATGTTCTGGGTCGGGATCTTGCGAAGGCGATATCGTGGATGAGCACTGTTGAGAAGTCCCACACTAAGACAGGCTGGCCATACAGTGCTTCAGAGTTTTCCATGGTGGTCTAGATTCAATTGACTCATGGTCTCAACTACATTAAACTTTAACTGTTAGATACCACTGTATGGATTATGCCAGAACGACTGAAAATGTATAATAGAGCTTTTTATTAGCTAAAGAAAAGCTACCCTCTTGCGTGTTATATTTATTTATCAAGCTGAGAACCAGGCATGAACAAGACTATACAAAAGAAACAACTAAAAAGGAGGGAGGGAAGAATACTGTACGAAATACGTTCAAATGTTTGTCAATTTGGTGCTGTTTACCTCTACGCAAAGTTTTAGTTTGCTGTGTATTTCTTGGAAAGCAGTAAATCTATCTGTTGAAGACCGAATACAGGCAGTTATTTCACTGATCAAGCTTTAAACTTATCATCAATGGAAGAGGATACTTTATTCAATGATTGTTATACAGATCCAGTAATAGAAAACTTTCCTAATAAGTTATTTAGTTTCTTGGTCACTACTTACTAAGTCTGGAAATAATATAATTTTTATATTTTTAGTTAAGATGGGCATTAAGACAAAATCTTATCAGTCTGAAATTTTATGACTCTTTAACATAATGTATTTCTTTAAAAAATACCGAATTTCAGACGCCGTACATCACGGTCTCATGAAAAACATCGTAGATCTGCAACTAGTTTCAAAGATGAAGCATTAGCTGAGGAAGAAGTTGGAGTGTGTATGACAGAAGAAGAACACTTATTATGTCAAATGTAAGTCTAAGAAAATGTAATGTAGGAAGAAAATTCGAAATTTTAGTAAAACAAAATGTATTTTATCGATTTTGTATTGGTTGTCTGAATCTTCCCATTGACGTTTAGGACTGTTATTGATTACACTACCAGCCACAATTTATCTCTGCTTACAGTGATTGTGACTCAAGATAATATGTAGGTGGTCTGCAGAGGATGCATATATGCCAAAAGAGATCATTCGCAAGATTCACCATGAATAACGCAATGGTGTTTGAAGCAGACCATTGCCGGTTTTGAGTCCTGGAGTGAATACCAAATCTAGGATGAAAATACAGTCAGCTGACATAACCGGAATAGGATAAAATGTAGAGTTTACCTGGTTAAATTTTATTAACCTAGGTGTTTTATTCAGTTGTACAGATCTTTCTACCATGCTAATAGAAAATTTAATGATATACAATCATAGCCAAATACTCTTTTTATTGATTTATACTAATGACTATTTTTCTAATACTATTCAGCTTAAAGTCATTTGAAGGTGATTTTCGTTCTATATGTGAACTACTTAGTACATGGAATCGTGTTACATTACAGCAACAATCATCATTACTAGAATCACATGAAGATAGTCCAACCTCAACTATTGTCAATTTACCTATTGGTAAACGTACTAGACAAAGTGGTTTAAATTTATCATCTAACCCTGTCAATACTAATTTAAACAAAACGAAACATTCAATTAGTAAAGTTGATCCTTCTAATATACAAGTTGTACATGAAAATATCAATGTTTTATTACCACCAATTTATTGTGATTTGAATATGGCGAATGAAAACCAACCTAATAATAATAATAATCCAGTTGAAATGAAAAATGAAAAAGATTCAACGGATAATGATGTACAAATTATTGGGATACCACATTTAGTTATTGAATTTCCATTCAAAAAAGACACAAATATTATTGAAGGTAATGAGTATTGTGTATTTAAAAAAAAATACAGTTTTGTTTATATTCTTTGAACATTATTTGATAAATGAACATTTTTATTGAGATGCAGGTACATCCAGCTGACGAGTCTCAAATAGGACGAAACGTGAGTCCTACATTCCACCACTAGCCACTATCCATCTTTGCTTATAAAGTTTGTGACTTAAAGCAAAAATGAGGCAATCCGCACAAGATGCACAGTTGATGAATCTTGAGATTAAATTCCGAAAGAAAATTGGGTTTTTTATAAAATTGAGACCATTCGTAAAACCAACTGGCTGGATAAGTTTGATTTTTTAATTTCTTTTTGCTCAGATCGTTTTTTTTAAATGAAGAGCCACAGTGACATGACGCCAAGTGATAACGTGCAACTGAATAATTTAGGTTGGTTATCCGTGATATTCAGTAAAGTGTCTAACGTAGAAACGATTCACCTGGATGAATCACTTGGCTAGGTTTCAGTGACATTTTACTGATCATATAAGTCTCTTGGGATATGAATTGAATCGCCTAAAATATGCTCCAATTTTTTGAGTGAACATCCTTGTAAATGATCCCAGTCTATAGAGAGATATCATCCCAGACTAATATTTGTTAAATCTCTTAGATATTAAGATTGTCGTTTCTCATTTTTAATCAGATTTAACTCTAATTTTAGTTTCTTAATTTTTGAGAACCGTTTTAGTTAAAAGAAAGTTTATTAGTTGTATGATATCTTTCTGCTATCATTATTTAGCTTTGTCAGTATTCATCTCACGTTGATGAATATTAAAGACTTATGTGGCTGAACATTCCACAGTGAAACGATAGCTGTGTTGTTTACAGCAACATACACCAGTTATTTATCAGTGCCCAACTTCAGCGATACTTCCACAATAAAGTACAATGAAATAAACAATTAGAATGATAGAAATGCATTCTCACAAATAGTACAAAGTTCAATATCAGATACTTGTATATATGTACACAGATAATCAGAAAAAAACTGAACATTTTTTGTATAAGGCTTGCTTGTAAAATCCAGCTTAATCACCAGAATTATACCAGATATTGATGAACTCCAACTAACATTAAATTAGACGCCAATGAATATAAAAATTTTCTACATATCGCTTTTAAGTTAAGATCTTTATGCGAAGAATTTTTTTACCATGATTTAAATCCCAGATCGATCAAATTTCGACAACCATTGAGGGTCGGCAAGCTCTAAAAAAATGTTTCGTTTCAGCATGAAACCCTCAGCAGTGTATATCAATGATACCAGCACTCTTGACATTGTGGCAAACACCCAACCCCTAGATCACTCAGCCAGCCTTAAACGACATTAATATTGAACTTTAATTGATTCACAATATTTTCCAGCCACTCTGCATTAACTGAATTGGATAAATATCTCCTTTTTGACATAGTTAAACTCTACTTGTCATGGCTTTTCGCTAGAACTCCAGGAAACGTATTATGAATTTAGTCACTAGTAAGAAGATGATCACTATTAGCATACATAAGTTTATGGAAGTAGTTGAATTTTCATATCTTACACTACTGACTAATCTTGGTTAGACTGTCATTGCTCCCTAGTTTTTACCGATCTTCAGAAACCCACCTTGACTAAATTCTTATTAACTATTATTATAATTGTTATTCACAGTCGACTTATTCTATGTTATTTCCAGCTATTAAACAAGAAATCAACTTAATGTTAACTGATTCAGATTTAATTTATGTTGAAAGTATAATTGGTACAAAGATTAAAGATAATTTATTAATGACAAACAATTCAGGACAACAACAACACCACCACCACCAACAACAACAACAAGAACAGCAACAACAACAAAACAAACTATCCACTGAACTTTGTCAATTACTATCCTATCATTTACCTGAACTTAATGAAATAATCAATTATCTAGGTATTGGATCAAATGGACCACCTATACCAGAACCAAATAATTTCTCAGTTATATATTATCCAATGAATAAATATACTACTAATAATTATACTACTTATTTAAATAGAAAACAAATGAAACAATCTAAAATAATAAAATTAAATGAAGAAAAATTAATTCAGGCAAATTTAAAATATTATGAATTTTTAAATTCTGGTTATGGTGATCCAATGATGATGAATAATATACTACCAATAAGAAGTTTATCACAACCAACTGATTCAATGGGTGAAGAAGATATAGAAGGACGAACAGAAACTATGGAATCTTCAAATAAACAAAAAGTTGTCATATAGTTTTTTTAATTTCATTAAATGAAACTATGTTTTATGTTATTTTCTATTTGATAATTTTATATAGTTGAGATCATGAATCAATTGAAGCTAGATAATCATAGAAAAACTTGGAAGCACTGGACGGTCAACTCGTCCTATTGTGAGACTCCTCAGCAGTGCGCATCTACGATCCTGCCTAGTGAGATTTGAACCCAGGACTTATCTGTCTCGCGCGCGATCACTTAACCGATAGACCACTGAGCCTGCATCCAGGTTTTCCATGGTGGTCAATTGACTCATTATCTCAACTATATAAAATCACTAAAATCTCCACAAAACCCCATTCTGATATTTGATAATTGTTTAAATGATTTTTTTGATTATTTTAAACTAAGTACAGTTGAATTCACTTGGTATTGTGTGCTTGTAACTTCCCATTGTTGTTAAGGTCTGTAATTGATTAGCCTTTTGTCGGCATATGTGTATCCTGTGCGGATTACCTTATTATCGCCTTAAGTGATAAGCTTTTTAAGAAGGAATGGATAGTGGCTAGTAGTGGAATCCAGAACACGCGTTTCGTCCTATTTGGGACTCATCAACTGGATGTACCTGCATCTCAGTGAAAATGTTAATCAATAAAATAATGTTTCGTAAATATAAACAGTTTTACATTTATATAAAAATCGATGGAAATTTTTTAAAAGAGGAAGAAAAAAGAATTGAATATTGGTTAAAATTATAGTTAATTAAACATATTTTGATTGAGAATCATTACATGGTGTATGCTACTTATGTCGACAGATATAAGTGGTAAGTGGAATGCCTGGTGGTAGGAGGTTGAGAAAATCGAATAGAAGAAAACGGAAACTGATATGAAAATAAGAGAACAATAAAGTCTGAGACAATTGATGAACACTTTATAAATGAAGTATTCAATGTATGGTATTCATATCAATGTATTAAAATACATTAGATTGTCTCCATCTGTGTTATCATTCTCTACAATTGAACTTTCAATCATCAGATTTTCAAATCTATTAAACACACATAATAGGGGAGAAAATACTACTATCACCAATTACTCTATACAAATATAGAACATTAAAATGTTAAAGGATTAATAGAGTTTCATATTTTAGAAAAAGCTTAAAACAGCTTCTCTTTTATTACACTTCTGGACAGATAAATTAATCTGATTATTTTGAATTAATATGTACATATATGTTTGACTTGGTGAATTATGCGCTTTGTAACCCTGATGTTTTCTATGCATATATGTGTGAGTAATATTTATCAATCATCTACTTTATGTTTATATATATATATAGTGCCCGCAGTGTCGAGCCACCTAGACTGGTGGCCACATTGCAACTTGATCGATAGCATTCGATCAGCACTAAGGACCTGACACGCATGAGATTGATCACCACCCAGTGATCAATCAATTGTGATTAGATCTCAGTCCTACAGGAGGTCGGTTGCGGCCCGAATAGCTCAGTGGTAGCGTCTTTGACTGTGAAGCTGAGTGACGCGGGATCGAATCCGCCAGGGAGCATCAGTTCCCTCAAGATTACAGGTACACCTTGCTGACGAGTGCCAAGTAGCACGAAACCCGGGTCCAGGGTTTCCTGTTGACCACCTCCAACCACCATGTTACCCTAATATATATAGTGCCCGCAGTGTCGAGCCACCTAGACTGGTGGCCACATTGCAACTTGATCGATAGCATTCGATCAGCACTAAGGACCTGACACGCATGAGATTGATCACCACCCAGTGATCAATCAATTGTGACTTTATGTTTCTATTATGTTTCTGCAGTTTGTTTCATCTGAGTGTGGGCTTTTGGAGATTGTGGTCGATCTAAGCTAGATCACCTTTGAAAATATGGAAGCACTGAACGGTCATTTCGTCCTAGGGTTGTGTATCCACGATGATACATATTGAGTCACGTTTGATAAAATCGACTTGAATATACTTTAGTCTTTTCAGTCCATAAGCCGTTTTCTTCGTCTCTTACCGTTTGCTTGTACTATAAAATGCTCGAAAATACGTTTCCCAATTTTTTTCTTGTTCGGCTTTTTCACATATACGTTGTTATTAACAGGATTTCTGAAATCTAGCGGTCCCGTTTTTACAAACCTTCATATGATACGCGATAATCACAAGTCGTATGCATGACACTGATAGAGTTCTATCCACGTAAAATACAAAATGACTAAATCATTTGTTGTTTTCAGTATAGAAATTATTCTGAACCCTTATTCCATTTATAAACAAATTTCTTCTTAGAATAATACTTTGAAAGAAGTAAACAGGAAAAGCAATCATACAAACGAAACTAGATCACTTTAAAAAGACGTTTTCATTTTAATTATCTTTAGAAGTTGTGATTTTTTTACATTCTGTTAAAAACAATTTAGATTGGCAATTCATCGCGTAGAACAGGAGGTCGATCTATTAAAAAAGAACGCAAATCACCAAGACAAAAACATCAAACTTTAGATCAAGGTGAAACGACAAGTCGTAAACCAAAAGTTTCTATTGGTGGTATAAATTTTGGTAATGGTGGTGCTCGACGTACTTCTGTCATAAGCATACCTTCAGAACAAGCATCTTTGAATGATGAAATTTCAAGGTAATTATCAAGTGAAGTTATTAAACAGTACAATGTGTTATTCTCTTCATCTGTTTAGTTAGTCCATACAATTGTAATATATAAATGACAATCATGACAGTCTCATAAATTCACTTAGTATTGTTTCTTTGAATCTTCCCATTGATGTTTTGGACTGCAATTGGTCAGTCTCTTATTGGCCATATGTGCATACTGCGCGTTATGCCTCAATATAGCCTTAATTCACAAGCATAGTAAGCAAAGATCGATAGTGGCTAGCAGTGGAATCCAAGACGCACGTTTCGTTCTATTTGTGACTCGTCATCTGGATGTACCTGCATCTCAGTTGATGTTCACTCTGAGACTCGAACCCAGTACCTTTCGCTTCAAATTCCGTCACGTTATCCACTGACAAGTAGCAGTACTAAATATCAGTGGGAAGATTCAAACAAACAATACTAATTGAAAATAAATATTATTTTTCGTTGTATCCCAGTGAGTAGAAAGTTGTATTGCTGACGTGGCCTAATGTAAACCACTTTCTCAGGGTAAATAAATAACTGAATTAAATTTATACAATTTTAAATCGTACAAAAGAATCAGTGCAAAATAATTTTAGCAAAATCAAAATCATAATACCAGAAGAGGGTTTTGTGGAGATTTTAGTAATTTTATGTAATTAAGATCATGAGTGACTGGCTTAATGAGGTATTTCCTGGAGTTCTAGTGCGAAGCAGTAACCAGTGGAGTTCAACCAGGTCTGTTGGGAGGTATCAACTCACTGAAGACATTAGTGAATGGTTGTTAGACATTAATACCGTTGGATGCCGGATCAGTAGTCTATTGGTTAATCGCTCGCGCGCGAGACTGATAGATTCTGGGTTGGAATCTCGCGAGACGGGATCGTGGATGCGCACTGCTAAGGAGTCCCACAATAGAAAGAAACGGCCGTTCAGTGCTCCTAGGTTCTCTGTGGTGGTCTAGCTTCGATTGATTCGTGATCTCAACTATATAAAATCATAATAGTTCTGAATAATGCTAATATCAAGTTATTTTTGGTTAAGATGACCTGTCATTGTATTAATCTGTGCGTCAGAATGTGGGTATGAAAAATGAATACATTTGTAATATGAAGTAGTGGAGTTGAAATGATGTGTGTGCATGTGTAGATTATGTGGATAGTTAATTAGGTCGAATGTGATTTTTTGGATAAACAGTTCAGGTTGGATGAATATTCTGGCCTTCTTTCCTATTGATGGCAGAGAGATTTAGCATTATGTGAAACGCTTCGGTTACTCGTTTTTCCTTAGAGTTGGAAGAGCCATTCTGAATTATTTTGATATTTTCAGTATCTCACGGAAAGACTCCAATTTAGAACGCATCACGATCGACATAACCTAATCTGTAGACAGAAGTTTGTGTAGAAGTGAACGAGATCTTACCTTCTATTTTAACCAGAGAATTTCTTAGAGTGTTGCTTGTCTTATAGAAAAATTTAATTTTGTGAGTTTTCAAGATCCATTGTAATTCCCCTGCCATACCTAGGCGGTTAGGTAAAACCACAGTACCATCCGAAATCTTTCATTAGGATTGTTTTTTACAAGACGACAGCTTTGCTTTAAATTTTCTCTTTTTCTTTTAGCTTATCTTCTGAGGTAATGTCCTTGATTGCTCTTCCGGCTAAGGAAATTTTCACATTGAATATGAACAGTTATTGTCAATATACCGATTTGAATGTATCGGTTTTCGGTAATTGGATAGATTTAGACTCCCACTAAAATTTCTTTTAACTAAACAGTTTAAGAATAGTAGTTTACTATGTTCATATTCCTTTTCGAAAGTGAATTACATGTAGGTATCAATATCAAGGTCGAACTTGATAGTTTCAAACAAATTGAGGATTGTGTAGAAAGCTAATGATAAATATATTTTATTGTTATATCCTGATGAGTAGAAAATTGTATTTTTGACATCTTATGACTTAAGTGGTTTTGATTAGTTTAGAGTATGGTATGTATATGTTTTGATTTCACTCTTCCATTCACTCCCCTTTATTTCAATTCTTAAGCCACTAATGAGAATTTTCAGGAAGTTATCTTCTGCATGAATTTGTCTGGGTAACACGTAAAACGGTGACTATTATTCATAGCTACCACATGGCAATACTCTTTTTATCTTGCTCAAAGTTGACAAAATATGTAAACTTAGACGCACTAGACCCCTCTAGGGTCGCACTAAAAATGCATAGTAATATATATTTTTACTTAAAATCTCTCATTATTATTTGAACTAGAATTTTTCTTTATGTAATATAATCACTGAATTGATGAAGATTATGGTTCAATAAACAAATAATATTAAATGAGAAGGAGGTTTTGTGGAGATTTTTGTAATTTTATATTGTTGAGATCATGAATCAATTGAAGCTAGACTACCATGGAGAACTTGAAAGTACTGTACGACCGTTTCGTCCTATTGTGGAACTCCTTAGCAGTACGCATCCACGATCCCACCCGCGAGATTTGAACCCAGAACTTATCAGTTTCGTGCATGATTGCTTAACTTCCAGACCACTGACCCATCATCGTAATATTGACGATACACTTCATGGACTGAGATTGATACGTTAAAATCTTTAATCCAAGTAGGGGCTTTCAGCCACTATAATGTCGAATCACGTCATCAATAAGTACAATTTCTAATTGAACGTATGTGCGAGATAGAATGAATTTAACTACTTTTCAGTTAATGATAGATGTCTAGGATAAACATTTGGACTAGTTTCTCTACGATTTAATGAATGTTTATCAATATGACTATGTATTAGTTTATTCACACTGTAACTAATGCAAATTATTTAAAATTATTTAGAGGAGATTAAAGTTAGCTCTAAGAATCCTGATCACAACGTTCTTCCTGGATTCCATAAACAACTCATGGCATAATCTTTACATTGACGTCATCCGCACAAGTTGCTCAAATATATTAATTAGGACTGATCATTATTCAGTATTGATTATCGTCTACGGGATAACTTAAGCCTATAATGATAATGATATAATTTCAATCATTGAATCATTAGTGACCATGAAAGTAGTTATGTTTTACTCAAATGTATACTTCATTTATATCTATAATATTTTTATCTTTCATTTAGCATTGAATCTAATCAGTTACTAATTGGACAACCGTAAGTATTTTGTAACTAATTTATTTATTATATTCAGATAAATTTAATAACAAAAGGGATTATTAACTATGACTATCTATTTCAATACTTACCTAAAAATATGAATGGAAAGTCATATTGGCATTTGAGTTTTTTGTCCATTTTGATATGAATACAAAAGTATTTAAACATATCTAACTAGGAATTGGTGGTCAGGATGGCCGAGCGGTCCAAGGCGCTGCATTCAGGTCGCAGTCCACTCTGTGGGCGTGAGTTTGAATCCCACTCTTGACACTAGAATTAGCTCTCAAATGCCCTGGTACGGCCGAGAGTGGGAAGAGGCCACCCATCCTCTAGAAACGCTCTCACATGGCAACGCGTATATCGCCTCTACCAGGGAAGTCCTACTCACTACATTCTCCTGGTGGAGGTGTCGTTTACGAAATTGAGAGGACAAAAAGCGAATGTCCGGAGCATTAACTGGGTTGGTGGACACTGAATGTCCACCTAGGAGAGCTGGAAAATCCTGATTCCAAACCAATGGTGCACATGGGCTCCAATATCCTGAAGGAACAAATGGCGTATGAACCAATCATTGGTCACCGGTTACCATGGGACTGCATCTCCTGACGGTGCCCCACTTCTTTGTGGATCAGACCTTTAGGTGGAAGGCTCCGGGTGTGTCCCCCTAAGAAAACCGCCTGTTTCGGTCTGGCACCCGGGCAGTATCACAGCCTCGACACAAATCAAATGAGATTTGTGTGGCCCATATGCATGTATATATGAAAAATTATCCTCTAACCCGATGACATCTGTTTCCAGGTACTTTAATAATATATTGTTATTTTTAAGGTTGATTAAATTAAATTTCTTCCATACTCTTATAAGTTTTAACTCAGTTCACAAGGTGAGTTTCAATAATTAATTGACAGTCGGTGGTTTGGTTTTTTTGTTAATCGTTTGTTCCAGGCTTATTGAAACGTTATTTATCGTATTTCTTTTACATATACATGTATATTTTACTGAAAGGCGTATTTATATTCCTTTATGAGATATAAGTTTCTTTCTTTTATGTTCATACAGTCTCAATCATTTTCGTTGGATTGTACCTGCTAAAGGACAGATTCGTTTGAGAATTCGTTTTCGTTGTGATCAACTCGGTCAATTCGATCAGATATTCAATTTCGAATTATTGAATAGTAGGAGAAATTATCAATTATACTGCCGTGGAATATGTGCTTTACCAACATTTAGCCGTGAACCAAGGTAAATTGCTATTTTTATGTTTGTACATTAACTTTCGTGATCCTAGCCATATCACATACGTACATTTCAAAGTGCTAACAACAAGTCGACTGCATAATTATACTTCGTCGCTAACTTTATCAACTAGACCACCATTGAAAACCTGGAAGCACTGGACGGCCGTTTCTTCCTAGTATGGGCCGTTCAGTGCTTTCAGGTTTTTATATGATTGTCTAGCTTCAGATGACTCAAATGACTCACTACAATCTCCATAAATCCCATTCTAATAATTTTCTAAACAGCGATTTGCGGTTTGAACTGAAATCAGTGAAATTTATTATTATATCGTTATGGAAGATGTCTTATATAGAAAACTACCTGTGTTATGGTTAGAATTTGAGTATAATAACTTTGTACTGGAATGTAGTTGCTTTTATTACTTTTGGACTATATGTACACTGTTTCTACCTAACTGAATAAAAGTTCAGCAACTAAAAAGCTAATTATACTTTTCTTTGAGTAATAGAACTATCCACTAAAAAACAGATGTAGAGGCAAAGTGAGACAAATTAATCAGTGAATCCTTTAAAAGTAAACTTTCCTCAAGGTTCCTTGAAGGTGAACGATTAAGAATAAAATATTAAACAGAACCAAACGTTTTAGTTTCATCACAACGATGTCAGAATTCAGTCCTAGATTTGAAATTCTGTGGTCACGTTTTTCAATGTTATCTATTTATTTAAGAGAGAACAAGTTTCATTCAGTAATATACAGCTCACTTGACAGTTTACAACATCTCACCAGAAATAATTTCTAGTCAACTTAAGTCACTTTTATAATTAGTTGATTGGGTCAATGTAAAACGTATTAGAATATGATGTCAGCTATGATATCATTTGAGTAAGAACTTAAAAGCAATCCCAAAAATCGTTTACGATAGACGAAATATATCTTAACGCATTAAGAAACATCATATATACAGTCTAATACGAATCACCTTTAGTTACTATACTTTCAATGTCTAGGTATTGATTTCCAGCATTTCATCCAGTTAGTAAATCAAAAATGCTATGTCTATGTAAGGTCTTCATAAAATTAAAAAGGGGTAGAACAGTCAGAGATAACGCTCTACCATGAACCGTTACGATTTAACTAAGTAACCTATTTTCATTAATTGAAGCATTTTGGACTAATTCACAAATGATCAATAAGTGATCTAAATTTAAACATTTAACCCTATAACATTATAAATAGCCTATTCATATCGTTAATCTAATATGGGCATGTTTAATATTCAGTCATACAAGAAGATATTTCACGTGTACTACCATATCATATAGTGCTATTCATTCAGTGATATCAAATGTTACTATAATCAAGTGGACACTTCGTCTGAGATCATTATATCTAGAACACGGACCTCATTTTGAATCATACAGATTGCATTTACACTAACAATGGTTATTTGATTTTGAACTAGTTCATTTGTTAATTTTCTATCTACATATCTTAATCTTTTTTATTTCTTTCATAAAGATTAATATATCCAAAACGTAAACGTACTTGTAATCAAGGTGAAATTATTCATGGGGCTTATTTGATGTCTACATCATGTTTTGAATTTGGACCATTGTTAATTGAAAAGTCTAAAGATCGGTAATTCATGTATTTTTAACAGTTTCTAGTGTGATGATAAGTAATAACAAGTCTTTACTCAATCAAAGAGTCTATTTGACCAATCCTTTATCGAAGATATATACGTATATATGACAATGTATAAATTACGTAATTGACTTTGCTAAGGGTTGATAGTAGATGGTCGTCAAAGAGATGAATGATATGCTGGTCATGCTTCACGGAATTAGGCGAACTGGTATATGTGCATTGAGTCGGTCACTCCTTGTAACTTCTCTTTCAAACGAAGACACATAAGTGCGTGAGTATATTACGTAATTCGAAGGTTTTTTGCTTGACAAATCTTTAAAAGCTACTTCTTCATTATGACATCAACAATATTTCCCTTGAACTGAGGATCTACAAAGAGTTTTTCTTGGACCAGTGTACTTAGCCTTGAAAGTTGTTTCGCAATTACCTTTCTTTTCGTTAACTCGTACATAATATCAGTTTTCCATGGATATGGATTTCGAACTCAACAGTTTGTGCTATAAGGGGTTCACTAAATAAATTTAACATATTAGTCTGTGACTATATATATATATATATATTTGGGACCCATCAGCTGGATGTACCCGCATCTCAGAGTTGATGTTCACTCTGGGACTCGAACCCAGTACCTTTCGCTTCAAACACCATCGCGTTATCCACTCGGCCACTGAGTCCATCTTTGCTTACCATGCTTGTGAATTAAGACTATATCGAGGCAATACGCACAGTATGCACATATGGCCGATAAGAGACTGACCAGTTGCAGTCCTAACACATCGATGGGAAGATTCAAACAAACAATACTAAATGAATTTAATAAGTGTAATCTTATGATTCGCTCAGAAATGCTTTGTACAAGTGGAATGGGAACTGCGAAACAAATGAAGATATCTATTATTTAGTAGCTAATAATCCAAACAATATTAGCAACAGTAATATTCATGATAATTACGTAATAGAGCATGCAGTCAGAAGAAGGTTAAATCTTTTTCCCAGAAGCAATTCAATATTTATGTACATATCGAGTATATGATTGTAAGTGACCTACGATAGATAATCCATGTTGGCTCACACTACTTGTTTACTTAACTTGTAACCACTTTCATGACTTGATGTCGTCAAGCCTATACTATTGATTCGCACATCTACTATTTATTCAATATTTTAGTTTAGTTTTTTCAAATTGTAACGGTATTAATCGTTTTATTCATTGTGCAGTTTATCTTCAGTATACATATCTTTGATTTGTTTGGAATAAGGGATATGAATGAGTGCTCAACACCTAAACTAGGAGCGGAGTTTTCATCGTAATTTCCAATATCCACTCTTCACACAGCCTTGTGTTATTTTCGAATGTATTGAAGTAATTTTATTGTTACTTACTTAATTAAAGGATAAACGCTTCGTTTGATTATGCTTTTGACAGTGCGATGAACGTCTTAGGAAGTGTAACCTTTCAATATTTGTTTAATCCCCCTTAACATTACAGTATTTTCAGAAAAATATCGTTTTTAGGATTCTGGTATTCATCTGTCGATTAATTGCTGGATTATACTACTTAATGTTTTATATAAGTAATATCTAGCTTCAGTTGACTCACGCTTTCAACTATGAAAATACTAAAATCTCCACAAAACCCCTTCTAATAATGAATATAATCATATGTTCACTAGTGACTGACTTCAAGAGATACTTCCTAAAGTTCTAGTGCGAAGCAGTGATCAGTGGAATTCAACCACGTCTGTTGTGAGATAGGAACTCACGGAAGACAATTGGTTAACGGTTGCTCAACTTCGTGGATCAGTTGAAGTTAGACATTAACACCTTTGGATGCCGACTAGCTCAGTGGTCTATCAGTTGAGGGCTCTGGCGCAAGACTGGTAGGTCCTAGGTTCTAATCTCGCAAGTGCGGGATCGTGGATGCGCACTGTTGAGGAGTCCCACAATAAGACGAGCTGGCCGTCTAGTGCTTACAGGTTTTCCATAGTGGTCTAGCTTCAATTGACTCACGCTTTCAACTATGAAAATACTGAAATCTCCACAAAATCCTTTTCTAATAATAAGTAATATCTAGTGAACTTTCCAAACTTTATAAAGACATTTTGCGTGCATCTGTAAACAAAAGTATAATACACTAATTGACTTTTATTACAATCATTCCTTTATTGTTTTATTGACTAGAATTCAAGAAAATTGTTATCCTGAAAATGTCACCTATTTCAATTTAGTTAATACATCACAAATGGATTCAGATATTAGATTAAACTTTTTAAATGATCCAGATGAAGAATGTTATAGTGTTGAACCAAAAGAATTAAATCTTAAACCAAATCAATCAACTAGTATACGTATATGTGCTTTTCCAAAATCCAGTAAACGTTATGATGATGCACTTGTTTGTTTAATTAAAGATAATCCAGAACCAATACTATTAAAATTAGCTTGTGATGGTGTATTACCAGAATTGGAATTAGATAAAAAAGTATTTAATTTTGAAAAAGTTTTATTACAAAGGTAAGTTTAAATGTTTATAAATGTACATTTTGAATTTATTAAAACATTATCAAAGATTATAAGCAAAGATAGATAGTGTCTAGCAGTGGAATCCAGGAAACGCTTTTCGTTCTTTCTTGGGACTCGTCATCTGGGCGTACCAATGAGATACTGATCAGTTGCAGTCCTAAATATCAATGGGAAGATCAAAACAAACAATACTAAGTGAATTTAAACTTTACCCCATTGCACAAGCAAGTGGTCATCAGGACTCAATAGCTGAATGGATAACGCGATGGCGTTTGAAGCGAAAGGTACTGGATTCGAGTCCCAGAGTGAACATCAACTTTGAGATGCAGGTACATCCAGATGACGAGTCACAAATAGAACGAAACGTGCGTCTTGGATTCCACTGCTAGCCACTATCGATCTTTGCTTACTATGCTTGTGAATTAAGGCTATATTGAGGCAATACGCACAGTATGCACATATACCAATTAGAGACTGATCATTTGTGGTCCTAAAAATTAATGTGAAGATTCAATGAAACAATACTGAGTGAATTGTCAATGATTTATTGAATTAACTAAATACTTTATGTCATCACTTTTCTTAAAATTTTGATTGAACTTGTTACGAAAGCTATTGTTAAAACACCAACAGTAGTATTAAAATAAAGCATCAATGGTGAATTTCGTATGCTACAGTGGTATACAATTAACAGGAATTTCAACTTCATACAGTGACTGTATGTTTGATTTATGTTACAGATTTAAGCCGAAACGAAGAAATGATGTCACTTCTCCTTGTTGAACTTTTTTCCAGTGAAAACTGTACGGTTGTGTACGTAGATATATTAACAGTAAAATTATGTCAAAACCTGTAAACTTGAGAGAGGTGATGATGATTGATAGATAGGATACGATCAGTACTAAGAGGGAACCCTGCCAAGACCCCTTCGATAGGTACTGTTGGTCACAAGCCTGGATAAAGAAGTATGGTTAGCTATGAGGTTGCAACCTCACGCAGTAAAAAATAATCTCAAAAATTCCTATCTAAGAATTGTTGAGTCGGCTTCCGGAGAACTCTAACGGAGCCTCCAGAGGCTCATAAAGAGCCGCAGTCAATCAGAATACGATGGAACATTCTAGAGTTCCAACGTGGCGTGATACTGTTGGTCGGTATCATAATATGTCGTTAATGGATTGGCTAACATCTATAAATACCTATGATTTTCTGTAACAAGATTGAACCCTTTAGTAAAGTGCTTCCCACACACTTTGTGCCTTTTCTCTGGTCTTTAAGTCGGTGTATAGTTCTAGCTCGGGGGTTACGGAACTAGCTTAGGGAAGCGAATATAGCGTTCAAAATCGGCCAGTTATAACAAGAATACCTTGACATAATGACATTGGTCGCTACTCAGTGACTAATCGATTTTAAGCACAACTCGTAATTACAAGAAGTCATTTTCTGCCCGTATAGCTTAAGGGTAACTTCTTTGACTGTTAAGCTGGATGACACGAGATGTAATCCACCTGGGAGTATCAGCTTCCTCAAGGTTGCGAGCAAACCTTGCTGACGAGCGCCAGGTAGAAAGAAACCTACGCTCAAGGTTTCCTGTTACCACTTCCAAACATCTCAACATACTTCAGGCAGTGCCAAGTCACTTGGATTAGCAGTCAATTTACAACTTGGTTGACGGAATCCCTTCATCACTGAGAAGGATTAAACATGCATGAGACATGTTACCACTCTGATTAATTCAAAACCGATGCGTTGCAAAATGTCTATATCTTCAAAAAGGATTCTTCTCATAAATACTTTGTTTAAAGGACATTTTGCTGCAGCGAAGTAAAAAAGAGACTCTCCAGATTCTTGCAGCGGAAAGTTTACTCTACTGAACTTCAAGTTGTCTTTTGCAGTCATCCTGTAATATATAAAGGATACCCTTCCTCTTTGGGCCACATCAGTATGCACTTACAAACCTACTTGCTCTGGCGGAGCAGGTATTATCAGTCTCAGCAAGCGTGCTCTTTCGAAAAGCATCTCCAAAAACTACCCTGCCTGCTTATCTAGAGAATTACTAAAGTCCGTCAACAACGCAATTTTTGAAAATCTCGTTGACGCTGGTCGCATTGCTCCATAAGAATCACCATTAGAAGTAATTAATAAAACCAAACATAATGATTCAAAAAGATTATAAAACACTGCGAGTCGTTTCGTTTTGCTTCCTTCGCTGCGTCCATTTGATTTTCTGTTCCGATCAACGATTGTAGAAAATATACGTATTCGAAATCCATTCTCTTATTTGACTTCTTTAATTCCGTTATTGATTAACACAAGTCGATAACTATATACGACGATTGATGATATGTATATTTCAATAACAATCATAATACGATCACCCTGGAATCAGATACAGGACCACAAAAAGAGACTTTAGCAATCCACTGATTATAGTCTAAACTCTGTGTGCGAAACCAATATGTTCAATCTTTTATCCGACCATAGTCTGAATCCTCCTTTGAACCTCCTATATTCCATTATCTATTGTCATTACTCCTTTATTATTTCTTTATAATAAACATTTAATCATTAATTTCTTCATGCTCATCAAACGGATAGTTCTTTCTCTTCAACAGAATATCTTAGTGATCCTTTCTCACTAGTTGTCATATTACTACATAAATTTCCTTCCATAATTGATCATTCTTAACATTTGATCTATGGATTCTTAGTATTCTTCATGTTGGTTATCACTTTCGATGTGATATCTATTTGGTCTACTGAATAATTCATTTTGATTCCTTCAAACCTTTACAATCACCTTCCATATGATGAAATAGTTATATTATACTTACTTGAGGTACTATGTATGTCATTTACGTAAATAAAATATAGGAAACGTAGAATAAAAAATAAAATGGTACTGAATTGATGAGGAAAATTAAAAACCCAGGTGGATACGTTTGGTTGTGTGATGTTTTCATGAGGTAGATGATCCAACTCTAATTTGACCTGATGATTTTGCCGAGGATGAAAATGAAATCTTTACAGTTAAATCATTTAACTCAGTAAACACAAAGTTATTAGATCAATACTGTAAATAATACTTAGATTAGATATTTCATCGAAGATTACAAAATCCATGAAGTTGGAGAAATAGTTAGCAATTACATTGTATATTCCATTGTTCTATCTCATATGTGTTGTAGTACTACTGTTTTACCCTGGTAAATATGCCTAAAAGTACCACTACTTTTTCTATTGACAGGAAAGAAGTACGTTCTATCATTTTGAAAAATCGCACTTTATTACCAGCTCAATGGAAATTATCTGGAATTGAAGCGTTAGGTGATGAATTCTCTGTATCACAAGATGCTGGCATTGTTGAACCACATTCAGAATCTATTGTCTATGCTTATTTTCGTGCAATGAAATCTGTTAAACCGAACCAGAAGAGAAGTTTACGTTTTGAAGTTTATGATTTAGAAAATATTGCTGGTTTAATACAAGTAGAAACCATACAAGTGATAGCTGAAGCATACGATGTTGCTTTAGATATTACATTTCCTAAAGGTTGGTTTTAATTAAATTACTAAGATATGTATACTAATATATGTTCAGTGTTTGGAGGCGATCAGAAGGAAACGTGGACCTAGGATGTATTTCAGTTTGTTTTCATATTGGTAAAAAAGTGATTACCTGGATGGGTATTGGGTCGCGTGAGGCCGGGCTGTAATGACAAGAAAGCAGTTGTAAGATCTCTCTTTCCCTCTCTCAAGTTCAATTATCGACTAGTTGGCTTATATTATCAGTAGGGCACGTGACGTTGTATTTAACAATCAAAACACAGAATAATAAACGACAAATAAGACTTCAACCATTACTGATTCTTGAGCTCCTTCTAACTTCGTGGTCAATCAGAATACGAAGTTGGAAAGTAAATTAGTTCGGTATTGTACTAAATTCAATCATGACTGTGAAATTCATACAGTACTATGCTAAAAGTGTCTGAATACATAACAGCGCAACTAAGGTATTACAATTTTAGAACAAAACATTGATAAAATGTGGCATCGTTGGAAGATATAGATTGTCCTATTGTCCTATTGTGGGACTCCTCAGCAGTGCGCATCCACGACCCGGCCTCGCGAGATTCGAACTGCTGAGGAGTCCCGCAATAGAACGAAACGGCCTTCTAGTGCTACCAGGTTTTCCGTAGTGGTCTAGCTTCAATTGACTCATTATTTCAACTATGAAAATACTGAAATCTCCGCAACACCCCTTCTGATTATTCAGTAGCGTTGTAAAGCTATATTAATCTGAATGACTGAAGTATGTGGTAATTCTGTTGATGCTACTTGTATAATCACGTTGTCGATGAGAATGAAACTAGAACAAATCGATTAATTCAATGTTAACAATCAATCTAAATATTGGCTAACAGTGGAATCCAGGACGCGCGTTTCGTCCTATTTGGGACTCGTCAGCTGGATGTACCTACATCTCAGAGTTGATGTTCACTCTGGGACTCGAACCCAGTACCATGCTTGTGAATTAAGGCTATATCGAGGCAATACGTACAGTATGCACATATGCCAATGAGAGACTGACCAGTTGCAATCCTAACACATCGATGGGAAGATTCAAACAAACAATAATAAATGAATTCAATCTAAATATTGTTTATTAATAATCATAATAGTAATAATGATTATAACTTTTTGTATTTTCTTTTTTTACATACAAGGAAGTGATGGTGGTATTGATTTTGGTTTAATCAAAGTTGGTGAAGAAGTGAAACATACTATTACATTAAAGAATAAAGGTCCTTATGAAATAGTAACTAAGTAAGTATTTTTAATTCATTAACTTAGGGATAACTTTAACTATTCGATTTAAATTCAATAGGACTAATCTCTAGGTGCTTTTTTTCGTCTTCAGTACTGATTACATATTTATTATAATAAAAAAGAAGACCTTATCGATAAAGAAATCAGTCTTACTTATAACTCGTAGCGAACATTGTTACACTAAACAGTTGGATTATTACAATGCATTATTTGAGTCGTAATTTCAAAGAACTGGTCAGTTAATAGTGATCAGTATATTTCAACTATATTGTAATTCAGGGAATTGACTGATGAGATTAGATGATCGTCAGAAAATGCTATAAATAAATAGAAATTGAAAGAATAAACCAATTTAATCCTTTGAAGGTCCCATTCTCACATTATGGCTTGAAGATCTCGTATTCAAAACCATGTGAAATTGTACGTTTTCTCCATTGCTGAGTTGCAAACTAGAGTGAAACAGTTATCGAATGTTCCTCAGTTTTCTATGGTTCTCTTCAGTTGATATCAGCACATGATGAAGATTAACTTTAAAATGACAAATCCTGGCAGACTCCAAACATGAAATTGGAAAATATCAATATTGTTTATTGAATAATAGTGAATATATCTCAGAACACAACAGATTGCTCAGCTTTCTTTTCAGTCACCCTTATAGAATAAATTCCAGTATGAAGTAAATAGACTACGATCAAGAATGATATAGTTTTTACTTCAGAAGCAAACAAGGCGTGTCAATATAGAGTGGATAAATGGAGTATAAAATTCTTTAGAAATAATATTACATCGATCATTTCAAACATATAACCAGTAAAAGTTTACGAATAACGAGTGCGAGGAATCATGGCATATCAGTCGGTAACTACTTATAACACCTAGCATAATAGACTATCGGACCTTCCACGATGAAACCAATTAATCTTCACATTTTTGGCGGTCAGCATACACAACCAATAAATGTTAATTCATAAAATCATTTCTATAATAAAACAAGCTATCTTCCCCGAAGTAATAACCCTTCTTATGAAGTCATATTTTGGTAATTATTAAGCCAACAGAACTCAGAATGAATGTTAAACGACGCAAACTTGGATAATTTTATAAAATTTATCAGAAATCGAGAATATTGAAGTTTCGAGGTATAATTACGTAATTTGAGTATATCCACGAGTTGAAAACCTTTCTTACTTAACTTTCTGTGACAGTATAGCTGAACAACCTGGTTCATGATTAATAAGTCACAGGTTCCTAACCCGCTCCACGTACTGTTGTTTGAAAATCTGAGAAGTATCATCAGTTCCCACGCAAAACGTGTGACCCAAGTCGGAGTATACAGATTTATATTTCATGAGCAGTTTACACTATTTTATAACTATTAAGTAGTCTTTATTGACAACGATTGGTTTGGAATCCAGATATCATCTTCAGTATTCATAATTTTCGTATGAAATAAAACGTAGGTCTCATGTTATCGTTCTGATGTTCTGCATTGCTTACTTACTTACTTACGCCTGTTACTCACAATGGAGCATAGGCCACCAACCAGCACAGGCCTCCAATCCACTCTGTCCTGAGCCTTCCTATCTAGTTATATCCAATCTTTGTTCATTCTTCTCATATCTGTCTCCATTTCTCGGCGTAATGTGTTCTTTGGTTTTCCTCTTCTCCATCGGCTTTGAGAATTCCATGTGAGGGCTTGTCTTGTGACGCAGTTAGATGATTTCCTCAATGTGTGTCCTATCCATTTCCACCGCTTCTTCCTGATTTCTTCCTCCGATGAAGTCTGGTTTGTTCTCTTCCACAGTAGCTTGTTGCTGATAGTGTCTGGTCAACGGATCAGAAGTATTTTGCGTAGACAACCGTTAACAAACACCTGTATCTTCTGGATGATGGCTTTCATAGTTCTCCACATCTCCGCTCCATACAGTAGAACTGTATTGACATTTGTATTGAAAATTTTTTGGATTCATACTGCTAACTAAATTTACATATTTCATGTAATCAGTGTCAACTTTATGTAATAACATGTCCATTTTCAATTATTAATCATTTAAAAAATTAATTCTCCACTACAACTTTCATATTACATCTAATTTCCTTCTTTATTTTTTTAAACTAGCTTTATATTTACAAAGAATGATAAATTTAAAACAGATTTCAGTAGTATCTTCACTATGTCACCTCAACGTATCAACCTATTTCCAACAGATAAACTTACTCAAGTAAACGTACGTATTTTATTTTCATTAATCTATGTTTACTATAATTAGAGACATAACATTGTCTAATTAAAAATCATATGATTACGCTGATAGTATTATTTGATACTAAGTGACTGAATTCATAAATTTAATCATTTTCCTGACATATGTTTTAAATAGAATTCTCTAAATATACAAGTTGTCATCTAGGGGACTTTGATCTGAAAGAGAAAGGTACAGTCTATTTTGAAAAAAGGCAAAAACTTACTTACTTACGCCTGTTACCCCTCGTGGAGGAGCATAGGCCGCTCACCAGCATTCTCCATCGAACTCTGTCCAGGGCAATCCTTTCCAGTTCCTTCCAGTTTTTATTCATTTTTTTCATATCTGATCCTACTTCCCGGTATAATGTGTTTTTTTGACCTTTCTCTTTTCCGCTTCCTTTCCGGATTCCAAGTTAGGGCTTGTCTCGTGGTGCAGTTTGGTGATTTTCTTAATGTATGTCCTATCCACTTTCAACGTCTTTCCTAATTTCCTCTTCAGCTAGAAGCTGGTTGGTCCTCTCCCATAAAACACTGTTGCTGATAGTATCCGGCCAACGAATGTTGAGTATTTTGAATTTAGCAGTACAAGAGGATCAATTATCATCATATACGCTTTTGGCGCTAAATAACTATGGATCTTCCTAAAGTTTAAGATAGGTTATATGATTCTATTAGATATAATGAATAGTTAGGTTAATCAATTTCAGTTGTTCACATCATATTTTACCGATCAAATTAAACTTAAATCTGTAATAATGAATAAATATAAGCTATCCAATTTCATTTTCATAGTTGAAATCATGAGTCAATTGAAGCTAGACCTCCAAGGAAAACCTGGTGATCTATCTTCAATTGCCTCATGCTTTCAATTATGAAAATACTGAAATCTCTATAAAAACCCCTTCCAATATTCATTTTGTTTGATTGATATAGCTCACATGTTTAACACAATCTGAATTAATTTTAAAAGAAGAAGAAATACTTAAATGTCAAATTATTGAACCAAATATTAAAGGAACTCCACAATTGATTGCATCAATTCCAATCAAATTATCTGTGAAAGCAGAATTTAGCAAGTATGTTTTACTCTGAATTTCAGTGTATTGTATTGTTTTCTCTAATGTACAAATATACTGAGTTATGATACAAATGTTGTATGTCTATTTATAAAACAGTAAGCGTTTAGAAATCACGATAACTTCATGAGGTATATAGGAATCGATTGTTTGACCTAATACACTCCCTCAACCAGTTGATGAGGTTTTTAATCTTCATCGACCAAGATGATTGGGCAACGTGTTACTTATGCTGGAACACCGATTACAAAGACGCTCAGTGCTGTTTAGTATTGAGGATGGTTGGAAGAAAGTTGGGGGCGGCCAAAACAAAACGTGGCTTCAGTGCTTGAAGTCACTAACTTCTGGTGTGAGCCATGTTGGTAGATGCAGACTACTTGGTTGTGGTCCGCGTGACTATCGTAACCAATGGTTGGAGACTCTGTGTGACATAGGTCAGAATCGATCAAAATGGCATAGGTGTATGCACTCTTTATCTTCCCTTAAACCTTGAGATTAAAATTGCTTTATATCTTTCTTTCCACCAAATAATTCTTTCTTCCTCTATTACATCGTTATGTGCAATCTTTCTTTTATATGTTACTACCATTGAAGTAATTACTTCTATAAATTCGGTGTTTATCTTGTTGTGCTAATGAGGTGTGGTGACTTGAACCTATACATGTATGTGCCTAGTCCTGAGTTGTATCTGACTGACTATTACATTAACTAGGAATAACAAATAACAATAGTATTCTTTGTCTTACGTTCATTTATTTTTGAAACCTTTAAAATGAACTCAATTCGTAAATAATAAAAGTTTGAAAGCACAAAAGCATCATTTTGAAGCTAGAACTAATATTAAATAGTTCTTCATTCAGAAATACATAAATATATGAGAAATCTTCAATGTGAAGAAGTGAGATTGAAATTTTGTTTGTTCAAAGTAGATGGATGTGTTTTAAGTATCGGGCTATTTTCTGACGAACGTTGAATTTGTTTACTACACTACGTATTGAATTAGGCTGGATATCCTTTGAAAATAAAAAGATATGAGACTATTGTTTCTTACTAGTATGTAACTTCCTAGTAGTGTGCACTTACTTCCACTGAAGTATGAGACAAGTATTACCGGTCTGAGTGTATAAGCCATGTGATGTCATCCAGTGATTGCAGTATTAAAAGTATGAAGTATCACTGTTTTTCTAGATGGTTCAGATTTTAAGCTCTTGTAGTATGACCTAAAAGTGTTAGGTTTGATCACTGACTCAAACGTGGATGCATACTACTGAAGAGTCTCCTACCAAAGCGAAATAAGCATCACGTTTTTTGTTGTTTCCAATGGTTAAGATTTAAGCTAGAAACTAATAATATGTTCTTAATTTGCACTAGTTACTACCATTTTTTTAAAATATAACTGTTGTAGATTTACAATTTCCCCCGCACATGATATTAATTTTGGTTCACTCATATTAAATAATCATAAAACAAGACAATTAATCATTGAAAATAATGGAGATTATGAATTCCGTTATTCAATTATACCTATGTGTAAAATGTTAGAGCTATTAGCGACACGTGAAGCTTTAATGAACAAAGAATATACAGGCACGGTGAAACATAAAATGTAAGTTTTTAAAGTTGTTTTCGCTTTTATTCAGCTTTTCCATTTCTAGTTCCTCGTCGTTTGATAACTCTGTTTGCTATCATGTGTTGAATTTATTGGTTAGAATTCTAATTATGATTATTTTTCGTTCTATATCTTCTATTCTTCTTCTTGTATAGCCTAGTGTCCTGGACTTAGTGAAACACACATCTAACCTGCTATGGTAATCTTAAGCCAACACAAACTACGTTAATGTTGGATAATTATAATGAAGCCTTTCTCTATCTCTTCTGTTGAGTTCAAAGAGAAGTCAGCAGCGAGCCTCCATTATTCTCAATATCATAATGACTTAAAACTCACTAAGTAATAAAGAGTTAATTCTTCATTACATATTAGCATAATGAAGATATTACAATGATGCCATTAGTAAAAGAGAATTCGGCAATAGGTATATAATAAATTAATAGTAACTTAAGAAAAGTACAACCTATGACAACAGCTCATGAATCACAAATGAACTTGCAAACAAGAAGATACAGAAATGAATTTATTTATTTTTTTAATAGTTACAGAATAAAAATAGAAATAATAATGTAGACCATCAACGTTGATGATCTATGTCAAATGATTGGACGCCTACTCGAGTTAGACGGTAACGGTGTAACGAACAAGCTAACTTAGAAGTTACATCTCGCGATCAGCACCTTGCGTGGATTGCCCCATCGACGTATCAAGGGACCATGGATGCTCTGAAGACTGTACAACACAAAGGATGTTATTACAGGAAAATATCGGTTAAAGTAGATACAAGCGAAAGTAGAACCACTGCTGCATGAGCCAGTCCATGGCGTATGATAAACTGATGCGCGTTCATTGTCCTTGACCTTGACGGGGATCGATGATCTGTTCGATATTTAGTGACCCAACTGCCGGATGATTTGGCTAGGGTTCAGTGACATTTCACTGGCCCTACAATAACTTCAAGCAGAGCGGTTACGGAAGTTCAAATTTTCAAATAATTGTCCCTTTATAACTTAGTTCAAGTACTAAGGTGTATCTTTGATAAAGTTCAGTTATTATTAAACAGTATCAACAACTCTATCCTTGTAAAGACAGTCAAACAAATGTTCTGAATTGTTTAAGATTTCAATTGTCCTTCAGTCAGTCAGTCAAAATGTAGAACTTCGTATGTACTTACATCAGTTCGAGTTGCCATACCACATTAGCACAGAGATGCAGTTGTCGATTCAAATCCCATAGTGGTAGAAGTAGCAGGAGTATAATCAGAAATCCAAAAGATTAGGGTTTGAAGAAATTATTGAAGGAGTATAGTACAGTGAAATAAATTTGGAAAGATAAAAAAGATAAAGACGTGAGGAATTCAGAAGATTAGAATATGGTAGAACACAAAGAGTGGATACACCTCCGCAATTGCAAACGATTTTGAGCCATATCATTCAAGGTCTCTAACCATCGGTTGCAATCATCTCGCGGATCCCAACCAGGTAGTCTACATCTACCAACATGGCTCAGTCCACTTGTCAGCGACTTCATGGATTTATGCCATGTTTTGGTCTGGCCGCCCCTAGCCTTCTTCCAACCTGCTCCTACACCATAAAACATTGCACGTCGGGGCAGTCGGTGGTTGGGCATACGTAACACGTATCCCAGACATCTCAACTGATGAAGTTTCCCTACTTCATCATTCGATTTGCCATCCTTACCTAGTACCCGTTTTCTAGCATCTGCATTACTTCAATTGTCCTTCAAACAACAATGACTCTAGTAGAAACTTATATTTAAATGATTTCATATTTCTGTACCTGAAATAAACCATACAGCATAGTGTTTTTTCTTCGTACATTCCGTGTACTAGAAACGCTAAATCTTACATTCATCATTTAAAGATTTTAGTTAAAGAAAATACTAAACGTAAAGTCATTTTTAGTGAAAATATCCATGTCGAGATTTCGTCTTTGTTTGAATAGAATTGAACATCTTTCATCTGAAAATAGGGAATGGTGTAGTTGTGCAAAATTTTAGATCAAACTTTTCTATGTGAAAATCATTTATTCGGTTCTGTTCCGTTTCGTGGATTATTAATTTAGTCACGATGTTCTCCCATTTACTGAATCTTAAACTAGAGCGATTGATGCTGTTTATTATTAATTTTTATGAATTCAGTTTGTTTCATTAATGGAGTGAACTAATAATGATACTAGCAAAGTGATCATTATAGGATTTTTCAATAACTGTTTAAGGACAACTTACTTTCAAAATTCATATCCCGAAGAGACTGATCAATTGCAGTTCTAAATAGCGATGGGAAGACATAAGTAAACAACACCAAGTGAATTCGTTTCCCGATTTATTGACAACATTTATCGTGGTGTAATCGTTGGAACCATTATAAAGTCACACATAAATTTATAAATCACAGCCATAAATTAATATAAGTCGGTTTTTCAATGTTTAAATCATGGGTTAAATTTAGCTAGATAACCGTTTCGTCAAACTGAAGAGCATTGAGCAGTGTTTTCGTTCTGTTACGGACCTCTTCAAACTGCTAAACATCAAATCCGACTCTTTCAAATCTAATGATGAACACTATACTACTGATCGGAGATCAAATGTTTGGCATTTGTGTGGTGATATTGTGTGACTACTATTAGTTTCTATCACTGCTGTCTCTTTAACGCCTAACATTGTTATACAGTACGTACATAATCCCTTGAAATTTATTGATTGCAAAGCTTTTATATATATTATTTATCACAAGTAGAAACCTATCACATATGTACATAATAACTAAAATGGAAACCATTCTTTTTAGAGTTGAAATCATGAGTCACTTGAAACTAGACTATCATGGGAAACCTGGAAGCACTGGACGGCCGTTTCGTCCTGTTGAGGGACTTCTCATATACTCAATAGTAACAGGTTTCAAGAACTATTTCCTGCAGGTCTAGTGAGAAACAGTGGCCAGTGGAGTTCTACTAGGTCTGTTGTGAGATATCGACTTACTGAAGACAATGGTGGACGGTTGCTCATTTTCGTGGATTGGTTGAAGTCAGATATTAACTCTGTTGGATGCCAGCTGAGTGGTTCTAGAGGTTAAGCGCTCGCGCACCAGACTGATAGGTCCTGGGTTCGAACATCGAGAGGCGAGATCGTGGATGCGCACCGCCGAGGAGTCCCACAATAGAACGAAACCCTCCATCCAGTGCTTCCAGGTTTTCTATGGTGATCTAGCTTCAGTTGACTCATGACTCACGAAAATTACTAAATTCCCCCAAATAACCTCTTCTGTCCATTCAATTTATCAAAAATGGTGTTTAAGAATTCTTTTGATTATTTTCACTTGTGATAGATTTACAAAAGGTTTTTATTCTGTTTTGGCATTGACCTGCTTAATTCAGAATATTCAAAACTACTTCTTAATGACTAGTTAAACAAATATGACCTACCTAATTTACTTACAATCTGTTAACTGTTTGTATACATATTTGATTATCTATATATTTGTTTTGTTATCATGAGTAGATCTCATCATAAAACTAAAAGGTATGCATTCTTAGCTTATAAGATAATTGATTACACATGCAAATATATGCTTGATATGCATAGTAACTGTATCTTGTTGTATTTGACGCTTCATTAACTGTCATTTCTGTTCATAGCGGATTATATTCGAGTTATTTTCACTAAATAAATTACGGTATTCATGCTTGTTATATGCACTTAGAGTACACTAGCCTATATGAATTAATCACTACTCATCATATCTATGTACAGAGTTTATTACCAGGTGTTTAGTGTATATATACTGAGTAGATAAGTAAGATTTCCGCTTTGATATAGAGTCTTGTTCAGTTAATTTATCCCATGTCTAATAGGCGAATGTTTAAATCAAACCATTATTAGCTACCATATAGGTCACATAAGGAATTACAGATTTATTCAATTAGCTCATACACGACACTGATGAAGTTTACCTGATTTATGCTTTGCTTTAGTAAAGTAAATCAACGAATTAATTTCAATTATGAATAAGTATCAATTAATTCAACCAGTTTATTTTATTACCTAGAGAATCAATAAGATTAAAAAAAAAGGTCAAAATATAAACGTGAGAAAGTCATTATTTCCAATTAAATAGTAAATCATGCAGAATATAGAACAAAAACACCTTTTTAAACAAAGACGAACAGTGGCTAGCAGTAGAATCAAGGACGCGCGTTTCGTCTAATTTGTGACTCGTCAGATGAATGTATCTGCATCTCAGAGTTTATATTCACTCTGTACCTTTCGCTTCAAACGCCATCGCGTTATCCACTCGGCCACTGAGTCCTCATAGCCACTTGCTTGAGATGGGATGAAGTTGAAATTAATTTAGTATTGTTTGTTTCAAATATATAAGGTAATTATATAATATACTACTTAAATACTTAACATGATTATAATCTATTCATATAACCGCAAATATTAAAACAGCTTGTTTTGTGTTCATTCACCACTATTCATGCTTTCATTTTTTGTTGTTTTGCACATATTATATAATAATCATGATAATGAGTGTTTATGTCTTTTATAAAATTTACTTTGCTTCTTTTCTACTAATTGACTTTGTCAGCTTGGTATATTTTTAACGATTTTAAATCATATTTTACGATTGCCTTAGTATAATTTTCAGTAAAGGATTGTGTAGATTGTTAAAATTAGATTGATATGATGAATGGATCAATGTTAGAACACAATTGAAAATCTGTAAGTACTGGACAGACGTTTTATTCTAGTATGAGACTCCTCAGCAGTGCGCATCCATGATTCCGCACTTGGGATTCGAACCCAGGATCTTCGGTAACACGCGTGAATGTCTAATCCCTAGTATAATTTTTTAGCTCGTAAATGTACAAGTTCATTTGTTTTTTTTCTAAAAGTGTTCATAATTTAGCTATACTTGATTGCATATTTTATTTAGATAATTCATTAGCACCCTTTGTTTTTGAAGTACCTTCTTCCTGAATCATACTGGTTCAAAACACACAGATAACATTGTTTTCCTCGAAACTGAAAGCATGCTGATAGATTTAAAAATATTGAGTTTTCTAGTTCAGAAACTGCAATGAAGACAACATAACATCATATACGTTGTTAATTATTTATCATTAAGTCTATAATAACTTACTTTTGAGTGGTATTAATAAGTGGGAATAATGTTTGTTCCGTGTAGGTTATCGAAGTTGTTATTTTCAAGACGTCATGAAGTACGTCACATATTTTTGTAGTTTAGATAGCCATAGATTCCAGTACCTTCATATCGTTTTATTTGAAACTTCTTATTTGAAACATCTTCTACCATTGCGAAACATTTGGTTGGAACTGGTCATAAGGTTGACATCAAATCAGTGTTTGTAGTGTTGTACAAAAACCTTCAAGGACGTATACTAAGGTTTATTGAAGCCTAGGCTGTACGAAAATTGAAACCCCCTTTATGTGTTCAAAATCAATTTGTTCTCACCCTTAACCTACCCTGGTGATGCTGATTTATTATCCAGAGTAGTCATCAACATTGTTTTTGTGTACTTTTCTTTCTTTGTTATGGCTTACCTTAACCTGTCTAGTTGACCCTAGAAGTTTCATATAAAGATGTCTTAACAAGTATATGTGCGATCAGATTGTTCAAAATGTATTGCGCAAATATATCATAGAATTCTGATAAACTTCGTCTTCTCATTGTATTATCGAAACTTCTTATTTGATTAAATGTTGTCCTGTATATTAATCATATGATAACGGAAAGTGCTAGAAATTTGGGAATTTGTTTACAAATGAAAAGAAATAGTAGATATCTATTAATCTCTTAAATTCTTAAACTCGTTATATTTGCAATTTTGTGAATCATATGACAAGTGAACTATTGAAGATGAACAACACAACAATGAACATGAACGTTACCTTTTGGTAAATACTTTTATACAAAATTCTCTCCATTATGCATCATTGTATTTCTATTCACCTTATTATTATGCACAATATTGGCGATTTATTGTTTATTGATCTTTTCTTATTCTGATGTAATCGGTTTTGATTTCATGTATGTATTCGTTTTTGATGTAGGTTTGCTCTCTGAGCTGGATGGTTTGGTCATGGAGCTTTCATCATCCTTCTGAACGACATCATCAGCACAAACTTCTGGTAGATGATGATGATGTCGTTCAGGAGGACGATGAAAGCTCCGCGATCAAATCATCCATCTCAGGGAACAAACCTACATGTATTCGTTTTCTTTTTTTTCGCAATATGTAGCATGTTGATGTAGTATCCAGTACTGTTATTCATATGTTAATGAACAAGAATGTTATTTTAAATATTTCACTTACTTACTTTAACAATGGATATGATTTTGAAAAGTATCAATGTTTTCCGCTTAATCAAAGATACATCCGCATACTGTATTTGAATGCAATCATATAGCATGCAAAGTCAATGAGTATTACATTTAATATAGCAATGTGCTTATCTGCTTTAGATCACTTTCCTAATTACTATTATTATTATTAATATTACATTGAAAATTCTGATTTATTTTTTATGTAGGTTAGATCCAACCATGTTGAGTTCATCACAATCTCGTTTACAGCAAGGTTTTTTCACATTAAGTCCAGCTAGTGGAATTGTTCCACCTGGTAATGCACAAATTATCACAGTTGATTGTTTGGCTTCTTCGTTAGGTCAATGTTTAGAAGTTAGTTGTTAGTTGTTAAAAATCAAATGTTCTTTTACTTTTAAAGTTTATAATACTATCAGATTGAACTTTCGGCATTGTTGAAATTATTAAACTATTTATATCACCTTCGTGTGTTATCGAACACAATTAGTAAGTTGTAAATGTAGCACAATATTCGAAAGCAAAGCGAGGACATCTGAACAGAATTCCTGTTGAATAGCAAGATGTTAGCTCCGAAAACTTAGGTAAACAGCACTATCTGTTTGTATACCCCAACATTACTATCATTGACTGCAGCTCATATTATATAAAAATTGTATTCTATTGTAAGTTCCTAGCTTCATTTATAAGAACAAAAACTGAGATATTGTAATGGTGGCATTGGATTTGAATAGCTACGAGGCTAATTTATGTCCAATTAAATTTTACTTGTAGTTTATGGGAAGATATCTTAATAAAAAATTTGAACCACAAACTAATTCAACTATACGCATGCCGTCGTTTGTCCATAACAGATGCAAAGGTCAAAGACTTAGAAAGTCATTCTCCGAGTATATGAGTTTTTATAGTGACTCAACATTTGCGACAAACAGACAATATTCCTATCAACTAACTATAAAACTGTCTCCTATTCTAAATCCCATAGATAGTTTATTCACATCCCTTGTATCAAGTACTGTTATCTGCTGTTTGTTAGAGAAAAAAATGCTTTTCTCTTCAAAAGATGTCGAAGATTCATTCGAAACAACACGTCTGAGTCACTATTGTTCACGTAAAATGTGACTTTCTCTTGTAGTGATCTTCATCACTGTTATTACCAGACTTCAGAACCACAACATTCATTACATAGAAGAATGATGGTAAGATTATGACTTAGATATTTGTCAACGGCTTACTGCTGTAGAGATTGCTGTTCCATTGACTATCTTGACCTGTATTTGTTGATATCTATGGGATAAAAAAGCTAGATCAGTTATGTGGAGCTATGTCAGCTTCTCTCCTTGTTCTCACGTCTTCCATTAACTTTCTGAATTTTTTTAATGATCTATCTGGTTATCTGTGGTGTGATCTGGTGAGATTCATGTAGCTTTTTGTATGCGTTTGTGTGGGAATATTGTGCCGCTTAAAACCAATTTGTTGAATGCACTTAGATTTACAAATCTGTCACCATTCTCCTTTTCTCCCAGTCAATCCATTTAGTCGCGTGATATCTTCACACCCGATGTTGCCCATTCCGACTTTGACGTTTAGATCTCTCATCAGGATTGTCATGTGGTTCCCTCGGCACTTCGCTATGATCCATTGCATCTCTCTCTCTCTCTTGAATATCGTCATTGCCATTATTGGTGGGTGTGAAACATTGGATAATATTCATTGTGATTTCCCCCTTCTTTGATTTGATGGACACTTTTTTATTCTGGATCCATGAGATTCCCATCCTATGAGTGCATTTCGTGCGTCTTTGAAGAAAAACAGAGCGACTTCCTGAGCGTTCGGAGCATTTTCTTCTTCGTGACTAGAGTACAGATTCACCTCTCCTGAACATAATACTTTCTGTCCAAGTTGGAACCAATAAGTTTCACTGGTTGCGAGAACCGTCAAGCTTTCATTCCTCATTTTCGTAATTATTTGACTGATCCTATCGATCTCCCACATTGTCCGGACATTCTATGTACCTATAAAGTTTGTTGTTGCTTTGGTAGTTAGAAGAGGAGTCGATCTCCTGACTTTTGAAGTTTATCAGCTTTGATCATGTGGCGTCATAATTCTTCCTTCAACTCAGGGGACAGGGTTTGAATGGTTTAACTTGTTTATTCTGGTTAACGTTTTTCTAACAATCTTGTTTTCTACGTGATGGGGTTGTTGACCATATACCCAACCCTCCTTCTTTGTGTGGGCTTAAGATTAGGAGAAGCCCTAGAAGAGCCTTAAGCGGAGTTATACCTGTCGTGCAAGCGAGTATTTGTTTGGAATCAGTAGCCAAAAGAGTCACGCGACTACACTTAAAGCAAACGGTAGTGGGTTCTAGTTCATTAGTGAACATCAACTCAGAGTTTCAGATACATCCAGTTGATGAATTCCAAATTGGATTAAATACACACACTTGAACACATTGATAGCTACATCCCATCTATTCTGTGTATGTTATTATTAAGGACAGATATTCTACTAATTTCAACAAATGTTATGTTATTAGGAATTAACGATTGAAATATCTGATCGTGATATGAAATTATATCCACATGGAATACCATATCATCTTAAAGCTGAAGGAGATCTACCATCAATTGAAACCAATGACCCTTCAATAATATTTGAAGAACATCATGTTTGCAAAAATCTGAGCGTTTTAGATTTGCCTGATCTGTCAGATACGGTATGTATACATTTATGTGAATTATAATTATCATTCTTCTTATTCAGTCTGGTTAATTTTGTTAAGATCAAAATAACTAAATACCTCCAAGCACTGTACGGCCGTTTTGTCACATAACGAGGCTCTTCTTCAGTGGATATTCACAATTTCGCACTTAGGAACTGTACTTAAGATCTTCGGTCTGGAGTACGGACGCTTAACCTCTCGACTAAAGAACTGGGATCCAGTGGTTTATAGGTCTAATTTCAATCAACTGATGATTTTTCGCTACCACCTTCCATTGTGTTTGATTAGTAATTTTTCCACACTCTACACTGTTTAGCTCCATTGGTCATGGCTTCCAGGTTTTCAATAATTGTCTAACTTAAATCGGTTTGTAAAATCAATAAAATTCAAATTTTTCCCCAACCTCATTTGATTACTTTTCCATACTTATATAACTTTATTATGTGAATTCGGGTTGAAACAAGATGACTGATTTTGTTATCTGTTAACCTTTTGATCAGAAAATCGTCCGTGAAATCTCATATATTAGGCGCATTTTTGGACTGCAGGAGAGTCTTAATCTAAGATCAGACGACTATCTATTGTTTGCTTGTTTCTAATGTTTCTTTAGCTAAAGTCAATCTGTAACGATATCTATCATCAAAAGTAACGTGATTACGGCTAAGTATTGGATAACTATTGAACTAATAATTATGAAACTTTATTTGGTGCTACAGTTTATTTCTATTGTCGTTTTGTATTTACTTTACTTGTGGTACTGGTGAAATGTCACTCCGTAAACTAAGGGGTGACTAAACTATGCATCAGTTTGTACTGTTTTTGTCTTATGACTGTGAAACATGAACTTCAAAGATTTGTTTATGCTGGAGACACTGACTGGGCGAAGCTGAGGTTATGCACATAGCATTAAATAAGCATGGTCATTTGTTTGATAAGGTGTTAAATCTTCATCAAATAAGGAGGTTGGCATATGTATTACGTATCCCTAAACACCGTCTACCTCAGTGAGATTTTCATAATCAACGTTTGGAAATGTTGTATGGTATGGCTTAGAACCGGTCATAATGATGCAAATATACCTGCTCTTCATCTTTTCATAGATCCTGAGTTAAAAACTATTTTAGCCCTTATATTCGGAGAATTTACTCCTCTCAAATCATATTCTTTACACCTTAGTGTTTTTTATACTATCACTGATACTGATATGCTGTCTTAAAATATTATCTTCGTAATGTCATCTTGCAGGGCTGATATGATCTAACCAGTTAAGCTTATCCATATGTCTCAGATTCTACGCTACTTATAACTAACGAACTGATTCAGTTACATTGGTTGTAAGACTTTTAGCTCTTATTTTAATGAAAAATAACAATATCTTTTCTCATTGTATAATTTATTTATAGATTTCATCTGGTAGTATATATGGAATTGAAGAAAATCGCTTTGTTTATAGAAATGTATTAGTTGGTTCACGTGTTGTTGCACGTTTTCGTATAGCTAATCGAAGTAATGTACCTGCAGAAGTTTCATTTGAAGTTTCTGCAGGTGGAATAATTAGTCCTAATCAACCAAGTGGACGTTCAAGTAGCCGAAGTAGTCAATCTACTAGTTGTGATTCATTTGAAGTGATACCAGATAAAGCTCTTATAGAACCACATTCGTCTAGTTATGCAAATGTAACATTTTGTCCAACATCTATGCAAGTGAGTAAATTACTAGGCAAAACATTGTTGTTTTTTATAGAAAATGTATAATTATTTTAATACGCAATTACACTTAGGTTTGTCTTGAGATATAGACAACCAAACCAATATATGACATCAGTCTATGAAGTTATTGACAAATGTAGACAACCTGTTTGGAGTCCATGTGATTATGGTTACCTGGTGGTTGGAAACTTTGAATGGAATGGGTTAAAATCGTTTGCAATGGAACAGGTGTATCCACCGTTTATCTTCTCCCGAATTATAAACTTCTAAATTACTAATAAACTTTTTTTGATTTCATTAATTTATATTTTCTTTTCGAATTGTATCCTCGATGTCCAATCTTGTCTATTACCACTAATACAATCACTGCTTCTACTACTGTGATATTCGACCGGACAATTTCATCTATCTGTGCTAATGTGGATCACAGCCTAAACCCATGTACACAGGTACTGGGTTAAGTATTGAATTCGACTCACTGTTTAGCAACGAGTGATTAACAGTGAAGTAAGATTTGGTATTATCTATTGTCTTGGGCTTATGAGCTTATTTTTTTTTGGATATTTCACCATAGAGGTACATTTGTCAATCGTTACTGTTAATGCTTATTATTCCATTAAGTACGAGAACTTAAACTTACTATAAATGACTTTTCTACGAATTCAAAGCACTCATTACCTTATACTTTGTTTAATGTTTTAGATTTACACAGCAACATTTAATGTATACATAGACAATAAAATATCTCCAAGTACCATAGTTACTTCAGGTCGAGGAAGTGCTAGTTCCAGTACAAAACGTTCTTCAAATCCACCCGTTCTTACTTTTGAATTATATGGTGAAGGAAATCTACCACAAATAAGTGTTTTACAACCAAAACTTCGCAATCGTGCTGGTCAAACATTGTGCGTGTTTAAACGTATTCAAGTTGGTAAAATATCAAGTCAAATATTATCTCTTCAGAATAATGGATTATTAAATAGTCGAGTATGTAATTTTTTTCCAGAAACCTTTGTCTTCGTTGTACATTCAGTTCATTATTAAAAGGGTTTCGATAACTCTATGCAGCATATTATGGGATGGATTTTACAAATATGAATGAATATTTGATTGATTCAAACAAATCAAGAAAATATAGGATGCTCATAGTAAATGTTTATCTGACGATTTCCTTAGTAGCTGGTATTGATGTATCTGGTGTTGATTGGATTATTTTTGGCGGTCACAATATCTATTTCATTCCCTATGTCTACTTTAACTCTAAGTCTAGATTAGATCTGTTGACTGATATATTCTATCTTAATTTATAACCTAATTTTAGCTAGACCATAAATGAAAACCTGACAGCACTGGACTGTAATTTCTTTCTGGTATAGGACTCCTTGGCAGTGTGCACCTACATTCCATCACACGGGAAACGAGTCCATGACTTTCGGTTTTGCGTAGGAATGCATTCACTATCCTGGATGCAGCGTCGTTGGTACGCACTGTTGAGAAGTTCCACACTAATATTACGATCATTCTAGTATTCTTAGGTTTTCAGTGGTGGCCTAGGTAAGATCAGTTTAAAGTCTAAAATGTGAAATTGTAAAATAAGAAATATTATTGACCATTTGAACTCTATAACAATTATGTTTTAACATTGTTTAGCAAATAAGCTAGCATAACTTTAGCCACAATAAAATGTTCACTTATTCAATCTGATGGCGTTTGGAAAGGGCCGATTATATTGCTTATTTTTAATTTTTGAACTCCGAAGGTGTATTTTAAAAGTTTGATTCCATAAATTTTTCTGTAAAAATCTGTAAAGTTACTTTTTTAAAAAATTTCTTTTGTTTAAATTCACTTGGTATTGTTCATTTGAATCTTCCCATTAATGTGTAGGACTGCAATTGATCAATCTCTTATTGGCATATGTGCATCCTGTGCGTATTGTCACGATAACGCCCTAATCCACAAGCATTATAAGCAAAGATGGGTATTGGCTAATAGTGGAATCCAGGACACAGGTTCATCCAACTGACAAGCCTCAAATAGAACGAAACATGTGTCCTCGAATTAAGCGGGAAACTACGAATACTTTATGGTACTTTATGTCCACTGGAAAAATTAGTAGCTCACTGGACTCAGAAGTTATATAGTGTTTGGAAGTGTAGAAACACTTTTAAGTCTCGATGTAAACATCAACACTAAGATGCTAGTTCATCTGGATAAAGGTTCTTAAATAGGTTGGGACATGTATCGTTGGTTCTAGTGCAGGCACATATTGAATTTATGATATACTTTACATTCTAGAACTAATTTATCTTTTTACAGTTAACGGTTGTTTTGATTTCGATTACTCACAGATGGAGTAATAGAATTATCATTGGAATCACAGATTATTATGTCTTAATTACCTACTATTTGGTATTTTTAATGTTTCAGTTGAACATTGATCTCATTGATCCAGAAGGGGTGTTTTCATTGAAGCCACAATCAAACAATGGTTCCCTACTATTTTACAATCCCCCAAACAATTCAACTGATTGTACCAGTGAATCGAGTAAGATTGAAACGATTACGATTTTTTTATAAACTTGTGAATGCCACCGAACACCAATTCTATCTTTCCTTGAAATATTTTACCTAAGAGTTGTTTTTTAAAATATCTATTTCCTTGACGAACCGAGATAGTTGTCTCAGATTTAAGATTTTGTGTAGCACGTATTTGAATAGGTCACAGTGGTAGAGGTATATTCACTCTTTTTCTTGTCATAGAATTCGGGTCCCAGTGTTCCTTTCCGCTGTCTTTTTGCAAACCTTTACGCTAATTATGACTGACATGAATTGTTGGTAAATTGTCTTGTACATGTCTTTGTGAGAAATTTTCTTTTCATTATGTGACCCCTGAATACACATCTGTGTAATGACCGAAATTTTATGAAGTTCCAATTACTGTTGTCACTTCACAAAATCAAAGAGATAACAAATGTTGTTTGTAATGAAGACGATAACTTCAAATAAATAATACATAATATAAATTCATTTGGTATTGTTTATTTGAATCTTTGCATTGATGTTTAGGACTGTGACTGACCAGTCTATCAAGTGGATAACATGATAGCGTTTGAAGCGAACGGTACTGGGTTCGAGTCCCAAACTGAACAGTAACTCTGGGATAAAGTTACATCTAGTTGACAAGTCCCAAATAGGACGAAATGCGCTTCCTGAATTCCACTTCTAACCGCCATCCATCTCTGCTCAGAACAGCAGAATATAGTTTGTAAATCTGTTGATCATTTCACTGTTTTCTTAATCAAGACTCTGAGTTGACTCTAGGCTGCTTGTATTGGTTTATGCGTCACTGGTCTGGTGAATACGTCGATATTCTAATTAGCGATCGTATCATGTAATAATTAACAGGCCATTAAGACATAAAAGTAAGAAGTTTCATTTTAACAAGTGTTTCAAATTTCGTTATACAGGGAAAGCTTCAGTGATGCTAAAGATAAGAAAAGTAGATGGTTTCTGTGGGTTTCTATACGTTTCTTAAACAACTCTGAGTAGTGAGTTTGTTTAAATTGAATGATTCATTCACAATCATCTATTCACAAGATGCTCAATTATTGTACAGCTTATACACATAATACTGCCTCTTGTCAGCCATGAAGGTTAGTTTCCTTTAATCGTCTTGTATAGAATACTAATTGAGATTCCATGTGTATAATATCTAGTGTAGATATTCTTAATAATTTTCTGGTTAGCGTTTTTTTAGCGAGTAGATTTTCTACAGGATGGGGTCACTAACCCCATACCCAACCCTCCTCCTTTATCTGGGCATGGGACCGGCAGTAGCCCTCGGAGGAGCTACAGGCGGAGTTAGTAGTAAAATCGTCAAAATAAAAATAATTTTTCATCCCTTTTTTTTTCTTTTTTTTCTTTCAAATCACTTCTTAGATGACAAAGATGAATTCACTATCACTAAACAATCTTATTTAATTGGTTTATTATTAAAACCTAAACAACAATTTAATTTGTTAATTACATATCAACCAAATAAACGTAATATTAAAAATTATGGACAAATTCAATTAATGATAATAAATAATGAATATGAAGATACATTAATTGAATTAATTGGTGAATCATTAAATGATGAAGTATGTATTGATAATATACCACAATTAGATGATGAAAAATATGTATGTATACAAAATTCATTAAAACGTATCATTTCTGCATCGAAAACAACATTAGATGATATAGATTATGGTAGGTTCATTTCTTCAATTCTTATTGTACACAAGATTTTGGTCGATTATGATGAGATCATGAACCGATCAATGTTAGACCACCTTTGAAAACCTGGAAGCACTGAAAGGCCATTTTGTTCTTGTATGGTACTCCTCAGGAATGTCAATCAATGACTTTTACATGGTACTTGGACCCAGAACTATCGGTTTCACAAGCGGACGCTTAACCTTTACACCATTGCGTCGGCATCCGACAGTGTCAATGTCTAACTTCAATTAAACGGCTATCCAGTACTTCCAGGTTTTCAATAGTAATTTAACATTGATTGGTTCATGATCTCATTCAAAATTAAACAACTTCCACAATCCTGTACTGATAATTATCATGTGCTCATTTGTGATTAGCTTCGAAAAGTATTTCTCGGAGTTCCAGTGAGAAGTCGTGACCATTGGAGTTTAACCGTGTCAGATGTGAGGCAGTTACTCACTGAATATAATAAAGGATGGTCCCACAATGTCATGGAAAATGTTCAACCAAACTATTTTAGAATCTAAAGAGATTTTGACAATCATTTTTTATATGAAAGTTATAGTATTACTAAATCATTTGGATAGTGTTCTTCCTCTGGAATATATCAGAATCGTTGTTTGGGTGATTTGTTTTCAGATGATATAATCTCATTACTGTAAGATGTTAGTTTCACTAAAGTTCATTGGTATCACTGTGGATGTGGTCTGTAAAAATGGATTTCTTTTTCAAAATTATTAATTCAATGACTTATATTTCAAAAAATATGGTCTAGACCTTTGGTTTAAATAATAGATATCACTGGTGACTAAAAGAAAAACTTCAGAATTTATATTAAAATTCTATAGTCAGTGAAATTCAGCTATATCACGAACAAAACTGATATCATTGAAGATGTAATATGATAGTCACTTTGTATTTTGAAAAATGATTGTACCGAAAAATATAAATCACTGGACTCCATCTCAGCAATATGGTTGTTATAATCATCGTTTGGTGTGACCTCCTAAAGAGTTCAAAGCCAACTGGATTCAATACAGAAATCATAAATTCACTAATTTCCACAAGTACTGTAACTGAATATAGTTTTAAGAAGGGGATTTTGTGGAGATTTTAGTAATTTTTATACAGTTGCGATTATGAGTCAATTGAAGCTAGTCCACCATGGAAAACCTGGGAGCACTGAGACTCCTCAGCACAATGGAAGTTGATCGCGCAATTTCGTGGATTGCGTGAAGTTAAACATTGACGCCGTTGGATACTGACCAGCTCAGTGGTCTATCGGTTAAGTGCTCTGGCGCGAGACTGATAGGTCCTTGGTTTGAATCTCGGTGAGGCGAGATCGTGGATGCGCACTGTCGAGGAGTCCCACAATAGTACGAGTTGGCCGTCCAGTGCTTCCAGGTTTTCCATGGTGTTCTAGCTTCAATTGACTTATGATCCCAACTATATGAATATAATTTATTGTATAAATTAACAATAAATCTTTTTTTTAATTTGTAATCTTAATTTTGATTTTATAAAAAATTACAGATTCGAATCAAGATGAGATTCAAACTACATCGGGTAATTAAACTTTACTTTTTTTTGTAACTTTAATTATTTAATTAATCATTAATATATTTCTTTGAAAAAGCTTGGACCAGATTTCCAGGCAAAACGTTGGATTTACTTCAAATTCATTCGCTGAGATTATACAAATATATATTCTTCTTCCTATTTAATATCTTACATTAACTCGGCACCCGAATACTGTGAAACCATTCGCTCTAATTTAGACGAAAATTCTTATTTAAGAAAAAACTGGTCTGCTGAAGAATTAAATATTTACATTCATCAGATAAATCTCGACTAGTTTCTAAGACAGATGATATTCATTGTATTTTATAAAGATAGACATATGTACTTCAGTCTATTACAAATACTTAACTCATGGCTCTCATTGTTAACTTTAATTATGTATATTATCTAGTTCGACTAGGAGAAGAACCTCACTATATTTATCTTTTTAAGCATCATTATTATTATAAACAAAAAATGAACGTTTAGCATTGTATTCATGATTCATAAACAAGGGTATTTCAACTGAACACTCAACTCATTACAACCTACATTTAGATAATTTTATAGATCCTGAGAAAACTAATCACTTCCTTACTTATGTCTGTTACCCCCAATGGAGGATAGGCCGCATTCTCAAACCCACTCTGTCCTCGACCTTCTTTTCTAGTTCTATCCAATTTTTGTTCATTCTTCTCATGTCTGTCTCCATTTCTCGGCGTAATGTGTTCTGTGGTCCTCTTCTTCTCCTTTGGCCTTCAGGATTCTACCTGAGGGCTTGCCTTGTGACACAGTTGAATGTTTCCACTAATGTGTGTCCTATCCCCTTCCAGCGCTTCTTCCTGATTTCTTCCTCCGCTGAAGTCTGGTTTGTTCTCTCTCACAGTAGAATGTTGTTGATAGTGTCTGGCCGACGGATCCGAAGTATCTTGCGTAGACAACTGTTAATAAGCACTTGTATCTTCTGAATGATGGTTTTCGTAGTTCTCCAGGTTGAGAAAATAGGTGGTTAAAAGTAACTGATAGAAACCTATAAACCTAACACGTCAGCTTGTCCATACAATTTCTAGTCAAGTAAACTTTGACATGAAACGGTTAAATTCCTGATTCAAATGAATTAAAACAAGAGCGTAAAAATTCTCAACATGAATTCACTTTCTTTAGTGAATGGGAACGCAAGTGAGGTCAATGGAATATATATGTCAACATAAAATTACACAATATCTTTTTGAAATCTGAGAATCATACAGTAAATACTTCATTTGCAAAATGTCGGTCAATTGTCTCAAACTTCACTGTTCCTTAATTTCTACAGCAATCATTCTCTGTTCTTGTTCTGTTTCCTTCCATATTCCTAACTTTCTGCTCCCGGAGACTTTACTTTCGATTGATGATACATACTATTTATATCTGTCGACATCAATAGCCCACACCAAGCTTTCACTAAGTTATGTATTTTGTCTTTTGGAACTTGAACAAAATCCCTCATACTAATTGGCCCAATCCTCATTATGATTTTAACTCATTGGAACATACTGCTATCTGAGTGGTTTACTCTCATTTAAATGCATCATACTAATTGTTAAGAGAATCTTCATTTTGATTAAGTCTCATATTACCACCTGCCAAATAGTGTTTCCTCAGTAGAGTTATTATCTGTTATTAAATTTCAACTATTTAGACTTAAACTGATATTTATGATATCAGTAATTCATTAAAACTTGTTTTATTTGATGTCGTTCATACACAGCATTTTGGATTTATTTAAAACATCGCTTATCATCCAGCTACCAGGTGATATATTTGATCCAACCTACTAGTAACTTAGCAAAGTGATAAAGATCCTAAACTAAGAGAAAACATGAGTTTCATTGTGTTATAGCTTTTGAAACATCAATTGTTATATCTTGTACCCACCTATTAGAGAGCAGTGATTTATTGATCGAACCAATGGCACACGAAACCCGTACGAGCAGTCTAGAGTATTTATCGGTTCTGCTATCTGCCTAGCCCAGCCAGTTAAGTCCAGAACACTAATAACAGCCTTTGCAATATGAATTATTTATTTCAAACATACTGGGTTTATATACCAATCGAACAGACAACATCGTACCATAAAATAAAAAAATAACATTTGTACAAGACTTCACCAAACGTGTCTGTGAATGTAGGGAACAGTAATGAATAGACTGAGCATAACTCAAAAATGGTAAGTCGTGTAACAATAGTCTCTGCAAAAGATGAATCTAAATAATGTTAAGAATAAATACAGCCACTAAGAAGGATTGATAATAAACAATAAAGTGGATTTCATCTAAATTCTAACTAAATATCGCAAGGGTCATACATAATTTTTAGACCAATAATATGGATTGCTAATAACGAAAGACCTAGGTAAAGTTTATCCAACATCAAGGATCATTGAAATACATATATATAGTATAATTTATTATCCACACATAGATGCATATTTATTTATTTATTTGAACACATAAATGTTGGTACAAAAGGGCACCAGATATATATGCGCCGCACAAATCTCATTTGATTTGTGTGAGGGCTGTGATACTGCTCAGGTGCCCAAACTGAAGCAGGTAGTTTTCTTAGGGGACCACACCCGGATCCTTTGACCGAAAGATCTGATCCACAAGGCTGTGGAGCATCGTGAGGAGATGCAGTCCCTTGGAAGCCGGTGACCAACGATTGATTCATACGCCATTTGTTCCATCAGGATACTGGAGCCCATGTGCACCATTGGTTTGGGATCAGGGTTTTCCAACTCCCCTAGGTGGATTTCCGTGTCCACCAACCCGGTTAGAGCTGCGGACATTCGCTTTTCGTCCTCTCAATTTCGTAAACAACACCTGTGGCATGAGAAGGCAGTGTGTAGGACTTCCCTGTCAGATGCTATGTATACACGTGTCCATGTGAGAGCATTTCGAGAGGGAGAGCGGACTCTCCTCATTCTCGGCCGTACCAGGGCATTTGGAGGCATGTATATTTTATACAAATTATTTAGAATTATGATAAGAAAAGTAGTGCTAAACGCCAGCGTGTTTATTAATCAAGGAAATAAGACAAAGGAGTAAATTATCAAATGAGGTAATAATTTAATCCTAGCTAGTTATAACAAATAAAGTACATAGATATTTACCTAACATCAATAATCAGTTTACTGGATAACATTTGGATCTTATTCACAGACTCAATACTGTATTTTATAGTGTTCTGATTAAATATTTCTCTGTTGAATATAAGTATACCACATGATTAGGTGAGGTTAACTTAATATATTACTCATCAAAATCTAGATACCTTTTCAAGCCAATATAATATTTCTAACTAATATACTGATATCAGAAGGAGTTTTGTGGATATTATAGTAATTTTAATAGTTGAGATCATGAATGAATTCAAGCTAGATCACCATGGAAAACGTGGACGGCCGTTTTATCCCATTGTGGGACTCTTCAGCTGTGCGCATCCACGATCCAGCCTCTGGAGATTCGAACCTAAGACCTATCAGTTTCGCGCGCGAGCGCTTGACCTCTAGACCACTGAGCAGGTGGTCTAGCTTCAATTGATTCATGATCTCAACTATTAAAATTCATATACTGATATAAATTCTTAGCATCACTAATTACGATCAATATAAATCAGTCTTTCTAAATAACCAAAAATAAATGTAATTTTCAGTCATTGACACTAGATTTGTTCACCAGTTTCAACTAATATTCGAAGTGTTTCGTTATATAAGCTACCATAAAACATTTAGTAGTATGATTAAAATATATCATATTTACCAGTCGCTACTTTGGATTTTTTTTCCTAAATTAGCGTTACAACACAACCATTTAGACTTTGGTGACTGTGGTCCAAATGAAACTATAACGCGTACAATCACAATCTCTCATTGTGGTAAAGTTAAAGAGACAGAACCGACAAGTTTTCGTTTTAGTTGGCCAACTAATAATCCAATTCTTCAATTTCGACCATCTGAAGGTCATTTACATGTAAATCAATCTAGACGAATTGAAGTTACATTCAAGCCATCTGGTTCACCAATAACGCTTAAATCTCAATGTATTAAATGTAACTTACATCGTATTGTCGTTCCTATTCCAGAGGATTGTACTAAAGTAAGTTATTCAGAAATATATATTCTGACTTGCTTTGTTATACATATCTATACCACACCTCAGTAATACATGAGCGAATGCAAGTAAGATTCTGAAGAGTATTAGTATATACGGTGTCTGATTGACGGTTGATTAATGAATGAAATTTTATGAACTGAAGAATGGTAAAAGTAAAGTGAACACTACGTAAAACGGTTTGAATGCACAAACATAAAGCATAATTAAGTCAGACAAATCTGAAAAAGATAATAACTGACTTATTGACCCTGAAGCTAAAAAGTTATAAGAAAACGTTAACCTGTCTCTGATGTATTCAAAGCTCTGAGGCTTCGGAAATCCTAACGATTATCGTTCTTGTTGTTTCAAGAATATGATGCTTTATCATTCTCCACCGACTGTTTTAAATACAATGGACATGTTGGAAGGTTTCAATGTCTACTATGCCAACCCCACATGAGTTATTCTAGCTTTCGAAGAGTCCAGTTACTTCATTCTTCTTGAGTCACATTTTGACCTTGTCAATTATTCACTTATCAACCTTGACTGTTTTAAATGAATGCGTGTGTATCGTTTACGATATTCATTAAGCGTCTGTAGCTTATTTTTGTATGACTATAAATATCAAAACGCATCGTCTCTCTCACCCTTAACGCTTTGCTTCGTTTCGCTTTGCTCGCTTTTCACCCTGAATGCCTTTCTGAATAAACAAGTGCTTAAAATAAATTCATTTAACCCAACCCATATTTGGTTTCTTATTACCTCCACCACACAAACGGGGTGAGCCTGTTTAATATGTGAAGCTAAATAAAAGATTTGTGTTTCTGGCATCTTCATACGATCAAACAGGAGTCATATAGTGGGTCACTAAAATGTAGTTACAAGTGTGAAAGTTTTTTTCATTAGAACTTGCTGTACTGGGTATATATATCAATAAATGCCCCCAAACACCCCGGTGGGGAGAGTCTGCTCTCCCTCTCGAAATCCTCTCACATGGCCCCGCTGATATAGCCACTACCATTTTGCAATGGTAGTGTTGTTTGCAAAATTGAGAAGAAGAAAAGCTAATGTCTGGTAGATATGACGACCCCACCTAGGGGAGTTGGAAAACCCTGATTCAAAAACAATGGTGCAAATGGGTTCCAGAATCCTGAAGGAACAAATTGCATGTGAACCTGCTTTTGGTCACCGGTTACCATGTGACTGTATCTCATAACGTTGTTCCACTGATTTATGGATCAGATCTTTAGGTCAAAGGTTCAGGATGTGACCTTCTAAGAAAACCACCTGTTTTGGTTTGGGCGCCTGAGCGATGTCCAAGCCCTCACATAAATCGAGTGATGAAATGTGACGCATACATAGTTGTTGCCTGCTTGTACTAATTTTTATGTGTCTAAACAAATAAAAAAATATCAATAAATACCAAGATACGAAGTTATTTTAGACATTTGATATAATCACCGAGTTTCACAAAAATCTTTGAGTTTTGTTTCCCAGCGTTATCTAAACTTTATAATCTAACTAGGAACACCAGCTTCAAATTAAACGCATAGATGTGGGGATTTTGTACTTACTGTTTAAATGTCCATTTCCTTCTATGCTTTTGCCGATATCAATATTTGTAAGCAATCTATTTATATTGAACATCTTGAACTGAGTTTAGTTAGACAAGTATTGACAACCAGAAAGCACTAGTTAGCTATTCCGTTTATTTGTGATTTCAAATTTTAATTAAACCTTATTTGCTAAGTTATCTGTGTAAATTATTTGATTTCTTCTCTATACTCATCCTGTTAGGCTGTTGATTGGGATGATACAAAACAAGTTATACGTTGGGTTGATGTACCCGGAGAAAAGTAAGCTGAAAATTTTTCCACATAATAATTTTGGCTTTATATTAGTTGTTATGACCTTGTGGTCGAGTGGATGTCTTGTTAACGTATGACGTGATAAAAACTGCATATCAGAGAGCAGCGAATTATTGATTGGAACAGTGACACAGGAAAACCTTAACAGCAGTCTAGAGTACGTATCAGTCCTGCTTCTGCCTAGTCCAGCCAGTTAAGTCCAGAACAACCTCTACGGTATGAATCATTGTATTTCAAACATACTGAGTTTATATGCCAATCAAACTGACCACATCTTATCATAAAATAGAAAATAACATACGTACAAGATTTAGCCAAATGTGGCTGTGAATATGGGAGGCAGTAATTAATAGACTGAGGATAACTCAAGAATGGTAAATCGTATAATAATAGTTTATAGTTCAAAATAAAGCTCATGTTAAATGAAACATAAATATGAGTAGTTTAGTTATTTAGCGATCATACGATAAAAAATATATGCATAATAATGGTCCATAAATGGTTCTCAAAAGTTTCCATTCATTATTCTCTTCGGTATACCACATTAATGTTAACAGGGGTTATTTCTGATGTTATTTTTTTGTTAACAATACGTAAAATCTGAAGAATTTGTAGTATTGACCTAAAAGCCTCAACTGCATGGTAATTAGTACACTTCAGTAAATGTGGTGCTGGCAAATTCTACTAATATACAACCCTAAACTCTTAAATATCACACGATAAGGAGAGAGGGACTGGAATGAAATCTAAATGGTAAATTTAATTACCAAAACCAAATAATAATGTTTATAAACTCTCACGTATACATTTATATCTGAACTGACCTAAAGAGGGGTGTATGAGCAAATAAACAGTCCATTCATAGCACGCCAGTCACACTTTGATTTCTTATTTACCATATGCATTTACAAGAAGCTGTGATCTATCCTATTTCTGTTCACTATAACATGTCTACCTTCCTGATAATAAGACTTTATAGTTCATTACGTATGTATTTTAGCTATGTAAGTAGTTATTATAACACATAATTGCCTATTTCAGAATGAATGGACCAGATTCTTCAAATCGTTCAATGCCAACAACAACGACAACAACAGGAACAGTAAACTCATTAAAACCAACAAATCAACTTCAAACAACAACAATAATAAATTCAGATAATTTACAAGAACGAAATATTCCTATGAATTGTAATTATGGTTCATCTAATGAAGTTATTTGTCGTAAACAAAAATTAATTGAAATTGAACCAGAACCTCATTATGAAGATATATTAGATCAACCAGATCCTAAACCATTAGAATTATTCATATCTGCTGTAGCTGATTTTGTTCAATTTCGTTGTGATCTAAATAGAATTGATTTTAAAGAAACAAATATATTTGAAAAACGAATATACAGGTTTGTTTATTGATAATAAAGATCGTGAAATGTATTATTTTGTAGTGTTGAGATTATACTTCATCGACATGGATCCCAATTATTATTACTGGTTATTAGTAATCTATGTATAAAATCTTATCGATTTGATCCATGTTATTAGAATTGGTTCAAATTAGCGACACATACTTTTCAGAAGGGGGTTTTGTGGGGATTTTAGTAATTTTATATAGTTGAGACCACCATAGAAAACCTGGAAGCACTGGATGGCCAACTCGTCCCATTGTGTGACTCCTCAGAAGTGCGCATCCCCAATCTCGCACTCGCGAGATTCAAACCCAGGACCTATCAGTCTCGTGCGCGAGCACTTAACCGATAGACCACTGAGCTGGTCAGCATCCAACGGTATTAATGTCTAACCTCAACCAATCCACGAAATTGATCAACCATTCACCAACGAAACGGCCTCCATTGCTTCCAGATTTTTCATAGTGGTCTAGCTTCAATTGACTCATGATCTCAACTATATATAAAGACACATACTTTTGTTATATTCTACTCAATTTCTGATAATAAACATTTACTTAACAGTAAAATTCAAACGTAATACTCTTAATGAGAAGTATTCATCGATGGATCTTTCAAATATACTGGTTTGATCGAATAAATGGGTGTTATTATTTTGGGTCACTATCTCTGTATCCATTCAGTATGAGTTTTGTCCAAGGCTTAACTTTTGTACAGTGTGATCATTAGATTCTTTTTATATACTGAATATGAACTTCGTATGTATTATACAATAACCTTGTGTATTTTTTCTGTTTAACTAATCATCGAGTGTATGTATAATCATTATTAATTTAGCCATGACGTGTTTAAGGGTCGTGTCGTCGGATAGTTAATAAATCTCCGTATACATCAGTCTTTTGTGCTGTGTGATTGCAGTAGTTGCCTATTTCAAGTATAAGTTGTAAGATTGAGGATACAACGTATATACATCAGTATTTTCTTTTTAAACGTCAAAATAAGCCTTATCCTTTGCAATGTGAAGAAGAAGTTTATCAGAATTATATGATATATTTGCGCAATACATTTCGAACAATATGATCATACATATATCAGGACTCAGTGGCCGAGTGGATAACGCGATGGCGTTTCAAGCGAGGGTACTGGGTTCGAGTCCCAGAGTGAACATCAACTCTGAGATGCAGGTACATCCAGCTGACCAGTCCCAAATAGGATGAAACGCGCGTCCTGGATTCCACTGCTAGCCACTATCCATCTCTGCTTACCATGCTTATAAATTAAGGTATATCGAGGCAATACGTACAGTATGCACATATGCCAATGAGAGACTGACCAGTTGCAGTCCTAACACATCGATGGGAAGATCCAAACAAACAATACTAAGTGAATTCGATCATACATATACTTGTTACGATATTTTTATATGAAAATTCTAGGGTCAATTGTACAGGTAAAGGTAAGCCGTAACAACGAAAGAAAATAAACAAAGTACACAAAAACAATGTAATGGCTACTCTGGATAATAAGTCAGCATTGCCAGGGTAGGTTAAGGGTAAGAACAAATTGTTTTTGAACACATAAAGGGGGATCAATTTCCGTATAGCCAAAGCTTCAATTAACCTTAGTATACATCCTTGAAGGCTTTTGTACAACACTACAAACGCTGAATTGATGCCAACTTTATGACCAGTTTCAATCAAATGTTTCGCAATGGTGGAAAATGTTTGCCTATCCTGTGATCTTATCTGACCATTGAAATTCATTTGGTTCTGCAGCTATTTATGTATGTGTTCCGCCACCCTTAACTGCAGATCACGATTTCTCCTCCCTATGTACGTGTTTCCGCACATACATGTAAATTGATATACACAATGGGATGTGACACAAACGCTTATGTGCTGTTTAGGTTTTTGGTGAAACATTGACCTTCTCTTTTCAATGATGGCAAGTTGAGCTGCATAAAATGTCCTGTTTATGGCTAATTTCAGTCTCGGTTTCAACATGAGACTATTTGAGTGATAATAAATTCGTTGAAAAGAGATCCCTTCGCTGAACTACGTGTTTTAATATAAAAATGTCTTAACAAGTATATATGTGATCAGATTATTCGAAATGTATTGCGCAAATATATCACATAATTCTGATAAACTTCGTCTTCTCATTGCATTATCGAAATTTTCACAGTTGAAATCATGAGTCAATTCAAGATAGATCACCATCGAAAACCTGGAAGCACTGGACGGCCGTTTCGTCCTATTATGGGACTCCTCAGCAGCGCTTATCCACAATCCCGCACTCGCGAGATTCGAACCCTGGACCTACCAGTCGTGGATGCGCACTGCTGGAGAGTTCCATAATAGGACGAAACGGCCGTCCAGTGCTTCCAGGTTTTCGATGGTGGTCTAGCTTCAACTGACTCATGATTTGAACTGTGAAAATACTAAATTCTCCACAAAACACCCTCTGATTTATCGAAATTTATCAAAGGGACTAATTGTTTTAAATATCCTTGCATTTGTTGTATCATACAGGTTTGAATTATTTAATCAAGGATTAATTACATTACATTTTAAATGGTCAATTCATATGATAAGTTTAATGCCTGAAAATGAATCAAATAAAAATATGATTACTAATGAATATCAGAGCAATAATGAAAATCACAATGAACACTGGGATAAATCACTTATTCCATTCAAAGTTTATCCAATTGAAGATTGTATACTACCTGGAAGATCACAATTCATTGAGGTAAATGTTTATGGGTTGTTTGTAATGATTGATATTCAAGATTGTATTCGATCAAGTTTGTTTAAGTGTGATCATGTATGTAGCATGTAGCTTCAGGTTCATTACATATTGAATAATGGTTAGAAGTGAAATCCAGAGAAAACGGATGTATTCGCAACCTATTGTTATGATTCTTCAAAATAAGACTTGGATCTATAACTCTGAATTGAAATGCCAGTGAGTTGGTAAACACTAAACAAACTATGCATTTACATTAGAAAGGCTTTAGAATCCATTAAATTTAACAGAATTTAACATATAATGATTTATCACATTTTCATATGCTCTAATCTACAAACAATACTTACCACATAGTAATCCATTTCTTGTTCTTTAAAGTATCAGCTACTCAGGGATGATACAATGAAAGTGAGGACTTAATGGGGTCGAAAATCAAAATTGGTTGACTTCTTAGTCAATTCACTGTTATACTACATCATTATTATTAGCTTTATTCAACATTATTACTCTTCGAACAACTTAGAATTCTGAGCACAAAGTATTTCAACAAGTTTCCTTTTCTTATTTCTTGATCGATATACACGATGTCTGTGATTGAGCTATTTCTTAGCTTGTACAGAGAAAGGTCACAAACTTTTCATTAACGCACCTGAATAGGTCATGCAATTACTTGACATAATGATGTGTTGAAACAAACAAAAATACAGACAACTTGTAGAAATATCTAGATGGCAGGAACAGATAGCCCAGATATTCAAGTACGTCTCCTAGTTTCATCAACTTATGGTTATATGATGAATAAATGGTATTCACTTGTTATAGTTTATATTATCCCAACGTTGATGTTAAGGCCTGTAATTGGTCAGTTTCTATTGGAATTTGTGTATAATGTGTAGTTTGTCTGACTACGTGAATTCAGTTACTTGACAGGCAATGCATTGGTGTTCAAAATAATAGATATTAGGTTCTAGCCTCAATGCAAACATCAACAATGAGATCAAGATACGTCCAGTTAACTTGTTTGAAAGTCACATCCAGGGATTCACAGCTAGCCACTATTCAACTTTAATAAAACTTGTTATTGATATTATTTTTATTCAGTCCTTTGTAGAAAGATAACATTAATATTCCCAAGGACGAAAGATTTCTCTACATTTTCTAGTACAAAGTTACATTTTACCATTAATTAACATTAACTGAAGAGCCACTAAAATAGATCAGTCTGTACAAACCTTCTACAACGATGGTAATCGTGAGCTCACTAATGTCTAGTACTGAAGTAAATTTTTGAAATTCTGGTCAGAAATCTTAAACAACTTTAACTCTGTCATACCAGGGATGAGATTGATCTTTCAATGGTTTTGGCCAACCAACATATTTTGTCACGTATTATTTAAAACAAAATAAAACACATACCAACAGGTTCCGACTCAGTAGTTTCACGGTGAAGTTCTGTTGAAATTGTGGATTAACTATTCAACGCTGTTGTGGATGTGAAGTGGAAACAACTCTCTAAAGATATGAATGATATACAGCTATCAATAACGCTATGGTCAGAGATTTCTTTTAATTCTAGAATCTCAAAACCGGTTAAACCAGAAGTCAAGAATGAAGCGGGTCAAATGTATGTTTGAACAGTGTTCGATGTGTCGAGGTGCATGTAATTTAAGCTGACTAGTTATCATAAGATATGCGCAACGTGGCGTAACTAAACATTATCTGGCTTGAGTGCTTGACAGAACACCTTCAGCTAGAGGTGTGTCCAATAAAACTAGAGGTTAATATCAATGTTGGAGGCCTACAGAACTATTTGTTTTAGGGATTTATTCACTGTTACATCTCCGACTAGCTCCTATCATTTCATGATAAACACAACTTAAAATATTCATCTATCTCTACATTAATTCAATCTATTTCACTGTTTCATTATATTTACTTCAGGTCACTTTTAGTCCACTTTTACTTGGTGAGTTTGAAGCGCAGCTCATCAGTAAAATTGATAATTTAGCTCAACAATCATCCAATACAAATCGTAATCGACCAATTTTAACAGCTCCAATAATCACAATAACAGGGAAATCAGAAAATTCAATCCTACACTTTGATTTATATGACTCAGATTATATATCAAGTGGCCGAAGAAATCCAGAATTACCTGGACCAAATGGAACACCATTCGGTGGAAGCCTAGATCCATTTACCAGAGTTATTGAATTCACTACAATTGGCCTAGGCTTAAAATCCACTCGGTATGAAAAATTTCGTTAATTTTATTTATAAAATGATAAGCTGATTTTACTTCTGTTGTAATAAACATATATCTACTTGTTCTAACTTATCACTCATAGGTTGAGTATAAATTCATTTGAACAATATCACATTGTAGAACACTTTAACAAAGAAATTTTCACTGTCTAATAATTCGACACCATCAATGGATTTATTTGTTTATTCGAAACTCTCTTGACTTGAAATCAACTTTAAAATACTCTATTTCTAACGATAAAGCTTTCTTGAAAATCCTACATTTTGGCTAGCTGATGGGAAATCCATCGCAATCAGAAAATCTATTCACTACTATACAACATAACAACATCACGACTAAGGGTGGGGAGAGTTCACTCACCATCTCCAAGTGCTCTCACATGGCCACGCGTATACACCTACTGACAGGGAAGTCGTAATCACTACCTTTTTGCAACGGGAGTCTTGTTAATAAAATTGAGAGGAATAAAAGCGAATGTCTGGTGCTTCACTGGTTTGGTGGGTATGGAGAACCCACCTAAGGGAGTTGGAAAACCCTGAATACAAACCAATGGTACAAATGGGTTCCATGATCCTGAAGGAGCAAATGGCATGTGAACCTGCTTTTGGTCACCGGTTATCATGTGACTGTATCTCCTAACGTTGTTCTACTGATTTATGGATCAGATCTTTAAGTCGGAGCCTCCGGTTGTGGTCTTCTTAGGAAACCACCTACTTCGGTCTGGGCACCAGGGTAGTATTACAGCCCACACACAAGTCATGTGACTTGTGTGGCGCATATGTATTCTGTTCCCTTTTCTACCAATATTTATGTTTTCAAATAAAGTAAATAAAATAAGGATAGAACAAAGTATACTACTATTGTTGGGTTATACAGATCGTTGAAACCTAGACTTATTCATTTGACTGACATTCGCGAATAATCAATATATTATGAATTATCAATCACAATTCATTAAATAGTATCGTCTAAGTTGATAGTGAATGTCTCTAGATATCACTTAATACAACAAATAGTCCGCTATATAATACTTAGATGAATATGATAAAGACAAAATGTGTGAATTCGCTATATCAAATTAAATAACGACTAATTAGTGTGAAATAAAATACCTTTGTAAACATTAAGGTGATACAAGCTTTATGAGTAAAGATGGATAGTGGCTAGCAGTAGAATCCAGGATGCGCGTTTCGTTCTATCCATCTTTGCTCATAAAGCTTGTGACTTCAGGCAATATCGAGGCAGTCCGCACAGGATGCACATATGTCAACAAGAGACTGATCAGTTGTAGTCCTAAATAACAATGGAAAGATACAAGTAAACAACACCAAGTGAATTTATACTTCACCCCATTGCACAAGCAAGTGGCTATCATGACTCAGTAGCTGAGTGGATAACGCATTTGCGTTTGAAGCGGACGGTACTGCGTTCGAATCCCAGAGTGAACATCAACTCTGGGATGCAGGTAAATCCAGCTGAAGAGTCCCAAATAAGATGAGACACGCGTCCTGGATGTCACTGCTAGCCACCATCCATCTTTGCTCATAAAACTTCAGACTTCAAGCAATACCGAGACAGTCCACACAGGATGCACATATGCCAACAAATGACTGATCCATTGTAGTCCTAAATAACAATGGGAAGATACAAGTAAACAAAACCAAGTGAATTAAGGTGAAATTCGTTTTCACAGAATACATTTTGCCTTCAATCGTTTTCAAAATGTATTCAACTACATATTTCTCAGTTTTGTTTTAAACTATCTATCTACCTAATTTATTTTAATACAGATACTTTTCAATTGTTAATACAACTAGAGAAGATTTTGAATTCTTGATTATAAATGACGATTTAGTGAATGTTAAACAACCTCAATCAGTGAAATGTCTTGTAGAAAAGGGGATTATTTTAGCTGGGAAAAAAGTTAATGTACGTCACATTCAAAATGTACAATATTCATTTTTTTTTACTATATTCATCGTCACTAATTAATTCATTGTACAGATTTATCTAAAATTGTATTCAGGTAAAGTCAGGATCTGACATTAACCGTAAAAGGATTTGAAATCAAAAAGTTGATAGAATGAGTGAGATTCTAGCTAATTGAATATAAAGAACCATTAAAAGGTCATTTTATTGCCCTTAAATGATAAGTAACGTTCTTATTAAAGCTAATACTCGAGTATGGAAAGCAGAGATGGATAGTGGCTAGCAGTGGAATCCAGGACGCGCATTTCATCCTATTTGGGACTCGTCAGCCGGATGTACCTGCATGCCAGAGTTGATGTTCACTCTGGGACTCAAACCCAGTACACTCGCTTCAAACGCTATCGCGTTATTCACTCGGCCACTGTGTCCTGATAGCCACTTGCTTGTGCGAGTAGTTGATTAAGTATAGATTACTCGTGATGAACTACTTTATGTGTATTCACCATTTTTCACATTTCTTGTGGGAGTAGTTACATTGGATGGACTCGTGTACCAGGATGGCTAGGAAAATGCTTTACTAAATCTATTATTGATGCCATTCTTTCCAATCTAATTGATTCTGAACACAACATCACAATTGAAGATGCTTTCGCGATTACATATCAAGTTCCTAGGAATCTACCATAATGTTGAAGATTACGTTTTCTATGTATAGCTTAAGCTATTGACATCACATCAAATGAACTGAACCACTGTATACAAAAAATACACGTACCTTGGACCACATTAAAGTCGTTCTACTTTTAGTTTCAGTTTTGATTTGCATTGCTTTTAAAAACATTTCCCTTTTTCCTGATCATACATTTATGTTCCTACATTGTATTCCTATAATTAATGATCCTCGTTGTCATTATTATTATGATTATCATAAAAACTAAATTCACAGTTCATATCCTAAGAGTTAAAATCACGAAGTGATCTCAGCCAGACCAACATTGAAAACCTGGAAGCACTAGAAAGTTGTTTCGTCCTGGCGCAAGACTCTTCAGCAGTGGGCATCAACGACAAATGTCAAGACAGTTCTACTGTACATGGCGGAAACCTGGAGAACTACGAAAGCCATCATCCAGAGGATACAAGTGTTCATTAACAGTTGTCTATGCAAAATACTTCGGATTCGTTGGCCGGAAACCATCAACAACAACTTACTTTGGGAGAGAATAAACTAGATTTTAGCGGAGGAAGAAATCAGGAAGGAAAGATGGAGTTGGATTGGACACACACTGAGGAAAGCAGGCGACTGCATCACAAGACAAGCCCTCACATGGAATTCTCAAGGCCGAAGGAGAAGAAGAGAACCACAGAACACGCTACACCGAGAAATAGAGACATACATAAGAAGAATGAGCAAAAATTGAATAGAACTAGAAAGGACGGCCGAAGACAGAGTGATTTGAATAATGCTGGTGGGCGGCCTATGCTCCATTTGGGGTAACAGGAGTAGGTAAGTAAGTAACGATTTTCTCTCTGAGCTTCTAATTTAAACAAGACTATCAGGCAGCTGTTTCACAAACTGATGTGATATCATTCCATTTTTCCAACCTACCTTTACATTCTGGTTAAAAATTCTCAGCGATGTAGATGATTGTTTTTTATTTGTAATATACAAAACTCTTCCATTGATAAATGTTTATGATTTCATTGAATGTTGAACGTTGGTTTCATGCTTTGAGATAGATTTAAACAAAATGTCTGTAATATGGTTGGGATATGTGAAAACTGTGAAATTTAATTTAATTTAGTAATTTAGTTGTTTATGATAAGTAAAATTTTACTTCTATTCTTGAATTTTGAACAGATTGGATTTGAGTACATTTCTTACCAACTTGGACTAATTGAATCGTTTTGGCGATTTGTTGTAGACAAATACGATTACAGTGTTCCATTACTTGTTGTCGGTAATACAAGAGAACCAAATATACTATTTGATCAATCGCATATTAACTTTAATGCTGTACTTATTGGACATCAAGTTAGTAAAACTGTCTTGTTAATTAATCAAGAAGCTTCAACGTCAATATCATCAACTACATTCAGTGACATATCTATGAATAATGAAGAACAATCTTCAAATATATTGAAGTTTGAATTTTTGAAGTCAAGTCTTCATAGTGCTGGAAAACAAGATTCCATTATTGTTGAACCAATGTCTGGTCATATTCCACCTGGTACAAAGTATGTTATTGACTTTGCTTCCTACTAAATTTTATCAACTTCATCCTTAAAATCTATATCAATCTAAAAACGGTTTATATTATGGGCGGAAAAACATTCAAATCCAGATGTCACTAGACATCTCTCTCGTCCTATTCAAGACCTCACAGTAGTGAAGATCCAGGATACTACCTGTTGATGTGAGCACAATACTTTCAGATCACTGGATTGAAATCATGCCATCCTTACTATCAGCTCTAGTTACTTCAAGATAACGTAGACTAGCCACTCAATAATACCAGTGAATTAATGTTCCATTTCTGACTTAGTACTGTTCAATAATGTCGATAAAAATCATAAAGTATACGTTGATGATGGTATTAAACTGGTGACATTTTTTTCTTAATGTGTGGAGATGCAGTGTACATTACTAACCATGTATATTATCACAACAATCTGAAAACTGCATTTTAATTGCCTGGTTCTTTTTATTATACCAAAAACCTCTAGAACTACAGTTTAGTTAAACTTATTCAATCATTTCTTTAATAATATATTGTCATGGTTAGCATACGTCAGCAATACTTATCTGACTACTTGAGAGAGCTGATCCTCTCCCTGAGATTATTGAGTTATTCACATAATCACTCACCTTCTTTAGAACTGAATTGTTCACACTAAAGAATAAAGAAAAACATGATATTGCTTAGTAATCAGCCAGTAGTTGGTACAATTTAAATGCACTGCAAGGTTTGATTGATAAAGACTAGTGAATTTGAAGAAAGGTTGTCATCAACTGAGGAACTATTTCCTAATGTTTTCAATTATTTACATACTAACTGTGTCTCAAACATTTAGAATATGTACATGAGTAACTAGAGCTATTTGTAGACAATAATTAACAGGTTTTCTTATAATTATGACAAAACAATCTAAGTCAAATGTGTTATGTAGTAGCGAAGACATAAGTACGGGTAACTTGCAGGACCTACTATTGGACTATTATTCTTATTGTATAACTATTCGGTAACTAGATTATCTAAGCTTCATTTTGACCTATTGATTATTACTATATGATTTACTGTCCCTATGTTATGCTCAGTTTTATTGATTATTGTCTCCCACGCTTACAGCCTCATTTGGCCTGGTTTTGTACAAATATTATTTTCTATTTTATGGTGTGGTGTGGTCTGCCTGTCTGGTATATAGATAAAGTATGTTTGAAATAAACGATTCGCATTACAGCAACTGCTATTGGTATTTTGGACTCAAGTGGACGGGTTAGGCGGATAAGGGTCAATAAGGACGCTAGATTACTCATATTAATCGAACGTCATTGTCACAGTGTGAAGGTCGTAGAAGGCGTATTCTATTGGTGGATAATTTACGCGGATTACGTTCTTGTTAAATTCGTAAGGTCATAACGAATCAGCGACGACCTTGATCAAGTCATAACAATTGGCTACAGTCTAGGTCAAAAACATAACAAAATGTTTATTCGACATGAACTCATGCATCTCAGTTATTTTTAAATTAGACTCTGAGTGGATGAATAAAAACATGGAATTTAAAGAAAACAGAGAACAATTAACTGGTCCGGGTCTCAGTCTTCTAAAAATCTGGTGTTCTTAGTACGTCCTCCATTAACACTGGAAAACAACTATAATCTGATCAGCGTCTTCGATGACATAAAATTCACGGTTTGTATGGAGTTGAACAACAAACTATCATTCTTGAATGGACTGATCACCAGAACCGATAAAGGAAAACCAAAGTCTCAAGTATATCAGAAGCCAGCCAACACAGGTCGAATTCTCAATCACAGCAGCGACAACTCAAGAACTCAGAAGACCAAGTGGGTACAAACCTTATTCGTGATGGCGAAAACATACAGTAGGACTTGTGCAGCGCAGAAAAATGAAGAAAAATATCTAATGACTATACATCATAGGAACTGTTGCCCACGCGATTTCATCAAAACTAACAATTCATCTCATCAGCAGCAATGAGATCAAGTATTGAAACCGACAATCTGATCATCCTGCCACATATAAAAGACATATCAGAAATTATGACTAGATTATTGTGGGCGTTTGAAATGGATGTAGCACACAAACCAGAAAAATCACTTCAATCAATCTTATACAAATCAAAGGACTAAATGATAAATAAAAAAACTGAACATCATCTACAAAATAAACTGTTTCATTTTCAATAAGTACTACATCGGACAAAGTGGATGACCACTTCATTTTTGCCCTCACGAATGTAGATTAGCAGTCGAACGCCATGACACATCCTCGATTATATCAACTATCGACACGTATTCGTCTAGAAGAATGTTTAAAGCCTGGACAGAGAGAATACTGAAAACATCTGAGGATTTTTAGAAGCCTGGGACCCTGGTCAGTCAGCTAACAACAAACACTTCGAAATCGATCCAATCTACCAACCAATCAGAAAAATCATACACAAATACTAAACCAAGAATCAGGTTAGTAGGAGATATCATCAAAATATAGAGACGGGTAATGACAGATAATATGACAAGCTATGACTCATGTGCGTAGAAATTTGAATACTTCACTCCTACCTGGAGGTTTTGCTGATAATATTGTTCAGAAGGGCAATAACTGTTCTATGACCAAACTACACAGCTCGAAGAATGAAAATCCAATAAAAACGTAATCACGTATACACAGATATACGTAGTTGCATTCATACATATAAACTTCAATACAAAAATCTCTTAGTAAATTAAAATCAATAATCATACAGCTATACGAGTCATCTATAATATAATAAGTGCTCATACCATCTTTCGATCATAAGTGACCATAACCAAGCAATGTATTTATATTAGTTGTGTTATCATAAGTCAACATTCACTACATAAATACGACTATTAACACTGAAAACTAAATTCACACAGATTTTTAAGCTTTAAGATGCTATAGTTAACCAGACATTTAATGCTGATTGAACTCAATACTTTAAGTTAGACTGTTGCTATCTATTCGTGAACCCGAAATCGCGTTCACTTTGTTGAGATTTTAGTTGGTTGGACATGATTAGCAGGAAGCTCGAGATCAAATAGATCAGTGGTAACATCGTGGACTATGAAGCTGGGTAACACACGTCCTGATCACACATATGGCATCAGATGCCTTTACCATTACAAATATACCTTTTCTAACCAGTTCCAACGAGCGCGAAACCTGGGTTCAGGTTTTCCTGTCGACTTCTTCCAATCACCAAACAAATTATGACCATTATTCATTTGATCACTTAATCTGGGTTACCTTATTTTTTAACTGTTCAAATATTACATAACTTTTTGCATTTTTTAAATGTTTTATCAAACTAATTTCTTTTAGTCTTATTGGTTAGCTAAACACTTATAAATAGTTAAAAACTAATCGTCATACTAAATTGTTCCAAACCTCAAAAAGAGGCATCGAAATATTCGTTGTATTTGTTTGTAGTATCGTTTGATATGTCAAGCCCATATGCCTTATTCTGACTTCTGGACAAGTCAATTCAGCTATCCATCATGAGTCATGTTTTCACCTTGTTAATTATTCAATTATTAACCCTGACCATTTTTACATGAGCCTTGGTGTTTGTACCCTTCTTACCCTATTTATCACATGTCTGTCATTTATTCTTGTCTGACTACAAATATTGATCAACGCTTGCTTAGAATGAGTTGGCTTACCCGCCGCTTCCAATGCTCGTCATTTTTATTACGGTCGCTGATATTTACTCATGTGCTTATAACTTTCTGGTCTGCGTCATTAGTCAATAAAACTGTAGTTGCCGCTTCTCTTTGCCTTCTTATTTCATGCACCGTTCAGATTTGTATTATAACGGTTATCGAGGTGAACGATTAGCAAAGCACGGCACTACATGTTCTCATTTGATTTATTTTGAGTTAAATCAGGCATTAGCGTCTATACCTTCCTTTAAGATCTTCTTATAGCTTAGATGATCAAGACTGATATATCATATAGCTACTTCTATTATGATGAGTCTTGGTCAGTCAGTCACAACGTAGAACTTCGTACGTACGTACATCAGTTCGAGTTGCCATACCAAATTAGCACAGAGATGAAGTTGTCGATTCAAACCCTATATTGGTAGAAGTAGCAAGAGTATAAGCATTATGTGAAAGCTTAGGGTTTGAAGATGTTATTCAAGGAGTATAATCCAGTGAAATAAATTTGGAAAGAGAAAAAAATAGGGACATGAAGATGATGAGTCTTGGAGTTGGTTAATAAGTTACACTTATGTTTCAATCTTTCACTAACGTCTATTTTAATTCAAAAATGATATACTAAAAAAGTTTATTTTCTTCAATTTAGATTACCTATTCAAATTAGTTTTCAAGCAAATGGTGAACGTGAAACAAATATCAATTTACAATGTCTTATCAAACATCGTCAATTACCTTTAACATTAAATGTTAAAGCTCAAGGTTTTACAATTCATTCATCTCTATGGATTGATTCTATTCAATCAAATAACCATAACAATGATTCTACAACTATTGAACTAATTGAACTTACACCATTATGGTCACCATGTATTGGTGTTGATCTAACAGATCTCATGAATAAATCTATCCATAGAATTCAACATGATCCATATTTAACAAAGAAATTATCTGAATTAAATTTTGGTGAATTATACCCTGGTGAATGTATTACACGAAAATTAATATTATATAATAGTGGAAAATTTAAATTTGATTTTATATGTCAATTTATGTTACTAGGTAATAATGATCCAGATCAAAAAAATGAAATCAAAGATCATAATAAAAAACAATTGATTGATCGATTGATTAATGGTTTCATTACCGGCGATAGTATTCAACAACCATCCTTAGAAATTACTCCGAATACTGGTAGTTTATTACCCAATGAAAAAATCACATGTACAATTAAATTTCAACCACCGAAACAACTAAAGCTGTTAGGTATCAATCATTTAAAATTGTATAATTTAATTGGTATTTGTTTAATAATACGAGATGGTCCTGTATATGGTATAAAATTATTAGGTTCAACAAAAAAACAAACGATTCAATTCTCTGAAACTTGTATCAATTTTGGTTCACAATTAATAATGCAATCAGGTCTTAAACCATCAATACGTTATTTATATATAAGTAATATAGATACTAAACAAGAATTAAGTATTGAATGTATTACACAATCTTCAAAAATATTTTCTTATTATTTAAAACCAACAATTTTATTTAAAAGAGAACTAGAAATAGCACCACCACCATCACTACCATCATCACCACAACAACAACCCCAGCAACAACAAATCAATGAATCTAATTCAAATGTTCTTTGTTTACCAATATACTTTTATCCATATGATAATAAATTATATAAAGAAACTATGATATTTGAAATTAATGGTTCTAGTCAATATTCAATTGATTTAATAGGTAAAGGATGTCAATTATTAATGGAAACTAAATTATATCCATTGCTGATTATGAATAAAACTATAAAAGGTACTACCAAAGTAACTCAATTCAATGATGATGAATTGGATGAATTCAATCATAATGGTAATAATAATAATAAATGTATTAACTTAGGTCATTTAAAAACTGGTCAAATATCCCGTCGTTTTATTAGTTTAATTAATAAAAGTTCTGCATCAATATGTATACATCAAATACATTTGAATCAACCATCATCATCATCATCATCACCACCACCACCACAGCAACAACAACAACATAATAATAATGATAAAAAGTACAATTCTATTCATGTACAATTTTGCAAGTCAATTAATATTGATAAAAAATTAAAAGATTTTGGACAAATTAAAGAATTGGTTACACCAATTATTGTTCCATCTAATGGTGGTGAAGTAATGATAATGTTAAGTTTAACATCAGATTATAGATTACCTAAATTTATTGAAGAAGTTGTATGTGAAATTTCACGTGTAGATGATAATACTAATAATGTAATCCAGTTGCCGAAGAATCAAATCAATACTACGACTACTACTACTACTACTGATAGTAGTCATAGAAACAAAGAAGAAATGATTTCAATTCATCAAGAGAATACTAATATGTTTTTACCAGTATTCTCTATATATGGTGCTGTAAATACATATGATATTAATTTTAATACAGAATCAATTAATTTTGGTTCAATTGTACGTGGTAGTCAATTAAGTAAACGTTTAGTTTTAATGAATACTGGTGATTATAATGCAAAGTAAGTTAATTAAGAATTATATTTATTATCAGAAGGGCTTTTGTGGATATTATAGTAATTTTAATAGTTGAAATCATGAATCAATTGAAGCTAGACTACCATGGAAAACATGGAAGCACTGGACGGTTATTTCGTCCTATTGTGGGGCTCCTCAGAAGTGCGCATCGATGATCCCGCCTCTCGAGATTCGAACCCAGGACCTATCAGTTTCGCGCGCGAGCGCTTAACCACTAGACCGCTGAGCCGACATCCAACGGTGTTAATTTCTAACTTCAACCGATCCACGAAATTGAGCGACGCATTCAACATTGTCATCAGTGAGTTGATATCTCACAATAGACCTGGTTGAATTCCATTGGTCATTGCTTCTCACTAGAACTCCAGGAAATACCTTTTGAAGTCAGCCACTAGTGAGCATATGTCGATTAATATCGGAATGGGTTTTGTGGATATTATAGTAATTTCAATAGTTGAGATCATCAGTCCATTGAAGCTGAAGAGTCCCACAATAGGACGAAACGATCATCCAGTGCTTGCAGTATGTGAGATAGTAACTCATTGAAGACAATAGTGGATGTGCCGCCCGATTCCGCAATTTGCTTGAAGTTGGACATCAACACCTTTGGATGCCGGCTCAGTGATCTAGTGGTCAAGCGCTTGAGCGCGAAACTGATAGGTTCTGGGTTCGAATCTCGAGAGGCGGGATCATGGATGCGCACTGCTGAGGAGCCCCACAATAGGACGAAATAACCGTCCAGTGCTTCCATGTTTTCCATGGTAGTCTAGCTTCAATTGATTCATGATTTCAACTGTTAAAATTATATGTATTTTTTGAAAAGTAAATCTTAATATGAATAATCTAGTTAGTCATATAGTCATAAGTAACGTATAACCTTGAACACATTGGTATTAGTTTAACTCCCATCACTATATTGTCAGAGGGAGATGAAGTTAACGAAAATAAATTTTTTGAACAGTAGGAGTAGTATGATTATTATTAGTAATTGGTATGATGAGTGATGTCTGAAATCTGATACTGATTTACGACGTGCTACATGCTACGTGCTAACCCTCCAAATGACCGTTTGAGCGAAGACACAAAAGTGGACAAGAAAGTATATCGGGCTACAGAATAAGATTCGAAAATACTCATTTATATATACTTACTAGCCTATCTCTTAGGAAATGAGATGCACACGTCCTTCAGGTCACTTCTGATTACCATCGACTGACCTTGTCATTTGGCTACTACTCATTGACCTATCATATCAATAATCTTAGAAAATATATGGCTTAAGAAAAAAAAGAAGTTTGTTAAATAAAGGTTCTAGGTATTTCTGAAACTGAAGATATGTGGATACAAAAGACAGAATCCACTTGTGCCACTGTGATCAACTTTGATATATGTCACCCCGAAACTCCGAACAATCGTTATGATTGTGGATCAGACCTCAATCAGGTATTCTGAACTTACCTGCACGACCCAGTTAATCATTACTTAAATTTGTGGACTACATTTTTAACCTAATGACAAGGGAGTTGGTTAAAATTGTTTGGATTATTTACTGCTGGTTCATTTTAGGTAAAATATCATTCAACTTGAAGTAACTGAGTTAGTTACGCGATTGGATGGTTTCATTTACGCAACCACTTCGATTGTTGAATCAGAATAAAGATGTATTTATCATGATTTTACAAGCCAAATATCATTGATTAACACCAGTAATTAGGGTTTTAAGTATGAGACATCTCCTAATACAATAGGGATTGTTAACGTGATAGAATGTTCCAACCTGATGATATGTTGTAAAGCATAATCGACAGGAAGCTTCCAAATTAGGTTCCTTGTTATCATTATGGCATATCTACAATCATTACAGAAGTGACTCTTTTCTTGAGATTCGAATATTATTCAACGATCAGTCATTAAAATGAGGACTAATGTCCTATAGAATTGTTCCATTCTAAAACAATATAATTTGGCGAATGATATCTGACCGTTTTACTTTTAAAATAAATGGTAACTCTATAGAAAAACATGCTTACATTAAATACCAATTTTTAGAATGATAGTAGTTGAGACGAAACAAACGTTATTTAAATAGATTGGGGTTATCAAATTTCTTTTTTATCACTAGCTTTGAGATTATGGCATATAAATCAGCTAGATTAACCTGATCGATTTCTTATGTGTCAGGCTACATGAATTGAATTTAAAAGAAAATTATTATTGAAATGAGATTCTAAACAAATTTGAGTACATTCATTATTTATTTAGACTAGGAGGTATAAGGAGGCACCAAATACATGTGTGCCACACAAATCGAATGAATTGTGTGAGGGATGGAATTTTGCCCAAGCGCCCAAACTGAAGCAGATGGTTTTCTTAGAGGGCCACTCCCCGATCCTTTGACACATAAGTCTAATCCACAAGGCAGTGAAACAACGTTAAAAGATGAAGTCATATGGTAGCCGGTGAGCAACATTAGGTTCATACACCTTTTGTTCCTACAAGATCATAAGGCCCATGTATACCAATGGTTTCAAATCAGAGTTTTCTAACTCCCCTTGGTGGATTCTCCATATCCAACAACCGAGTGAAGCACTGAACATTTTCTTTTCTTCCTCTCAATTTCATTAACAACACCGTCATCGGGAGAAGGCAATGAGCAGGACTTCCCTGTCAGTGGCTGTATATATGCGGCTATATGAAAGCATTTGGAGAGAGAGGACTCTTATCACACTCGACCATACCAGAGCATTTAGCTTTTTTGCGAGAAATCATGATATTTTTTTCCTTTTTTTGATGAGTAAGAAATACATTTTCTTCTTTAGCTTCCACCAGTTTGAGCACTACGAATAATTAGAAATTAATAAGTAACTATCTCTGCTTGATAATAAAACTCAGCATCTGTGAACATCTACTCATACAGTAAGGAACCTATGACCTTCAGTTTACATAGGGCACACTATATCATCATATCATTGAGTGAAAACTCAGATTTAATTAATATGGGATATAGTGTTCCACAAATAATGCATCAGGGAGTCACTGCTACAATCTCCACTTCATGATGTTCATCTTGAAGTTAATTATTCATTCACATATAGTTTTTATTAATATAATTAGTTTATGTGGAGATTTTTGCAGGGTCAATAGATTATTTAAATTTCAAACATAGAAAATAGATCTCTATAAAGTTTCTGGTTGAAATGCGTGAAAAATCTCTGTATTGTGAATTATCTCTTTGATTAACTGATCTGATCTGAGAGTATAAAAGTCACATAGTGGTTAATGTTAGTTGACAACACTAAATAGCTACGATAAGACATTCCGACTATATTAAATTGATAAATATCAGTTATTATACTTTGTTTGACATATTTAAGGCGATAATCTAATGATTGAAGGACTCATTTCTTAAATAATAGACCCCAAGATCTAATATTGCTTGTCCTACTTCAATTTGAATAGCTATTTGTATGAGATTGTAGTGAATGAAAACTCAGATGGGGAAGACCAATTTATTTGTTTGGTACAAATTTACAGTGTCTTTGTAAATTATAAAAACCATACATTGAATACTTCATTTACACATCTTCCAACAAGTGTCCTTTACGTCCTTCATGATTCTTACAGTTATCAATTCTTTTATGTCTCCGTTCCTGTTTTCTTTAGTTCAATATTCTCAGCCTTCTTTTGACAAGCATTCCACTTCTGATCGATGCTGCATACTATTTATGTCTGTCGACATAAATACCATACACCACAAGATCATTAACTCTTGCACAACTAGACTGTAGCTCAAAACTTGAGTAAAATAATCTGTACTCGAAACCTGAATAAATTTGATTTCATTAATTTTTCATATGACCAAGTAGTGATTTGTATTTTTTTACTGATTTCATTTTAAGATTCGAATGGGATAAATCAACTTTAACATCGGATTTAACTATAGAACCAATGAATGGATCCATTGGTCCTGGATTAGAAGTACCATTTATTTTAACTCTTAAACCAAACAAATTAACACGTGAATTACGAATAGATGTAAGTAAACGAACTTGTTTATTTATTTTCCATATGGACATAGAACAATGGGCTTTTACGCTGCGTAACTTGATGATTGCTACTAAAGAATCAGTATATAACTGTTACACCCTATTCATCATACAGTATATAGAAATCATTTAGACTGAAGGAAGAGCTGACAAAACTGACAGATGGGCTACGGTTAACTTGTCAGTGAAGTCAATACCAACTGTCAAGCTAATATCTATCATAATAAATATGTACGTTTTTACACGTAGGCAGGTTGCAAGAGTTATTACTGACTCATGAGAGATTTAGCTTTGTTTTCTTTCTTATAATTATATTGTTGAGTTTATTGAGCATTTAGCATGCTTGTTTGAAGTTAAAACCATTACGGATCGTAAGAGGTGACTCCTCAAAAGTGCTTGTTTTTGACTTCGCAACCTGGAATCGAGTCCAGAACCTCCCGATACGTTATGTCCAAACGCTTTTTGTGTATTCCCAATCAATCATGAATAAAGAAGAAAGCAATACTAATCTGATTTAAGAAGTATTTTTGTTCATAGACGGAAATATTTTATCATGAGACTGCTTCATAAGCTGTATGAGGGGACGTGTAAAAGCGATCTCTGTGTCTGGTGGATTAAAATGGTCGGACAACCTGCACCTACCTTTTTAAAATCACTGAAACTCATAAAGTCAGTATCAAGCGTTGAGTCCCTATTGGGTTATTTATTTTAAAGCATTATTTACCAGCTGATGTTCAAAAATGCTTTATAAGAAGCAATTGTATTTTATTTGAATTTCTATGAATCAAGGTTTAAATTTATTCTATCGAACATTTTACACGACAATCTAGTTTGAGGTTGCTTACAGAAACAATGAAAGTCAAAGTGATTAAGTTGGTTGTTACACGAACTCGTATTAAGTAGTAATCCTAAAACCATCGAATTGTCAAACAGAATGAACAGTCGGCCAATAGTCGCTGTACGCCACAAAACATAAAACAGTTATGAACAGAAGTACATATGAATGGAAATCGGATAAATCAAATACCTGTTTGACTTGAGATAAAATATCAAAGTTCAACAGTCCTACAAGAGATAGCTCGCTTCTCGACTATCTCGAAGGAAATATCACTGATCGCGTCATAATTTCAAAATCCACTTTCGATCAATAATACTTTTATATGACTAGTAAGTATAGCCATGTTCCAACTGGCAGTAAACATTAACCTACAGTTTCTGGTTGACTACTTTAACACGGAACAAAGTCTTTCGTAATATTGAGTCACTTAACTTACTGATCGCATGATAAGCTGTTTGAAAGATTTCGATCATCACCATGGCTTAGATAATGCGGTACCTGTTATTAATAAGTAATCAATAGACGGTCCTCAGTTTTCGCGAGATCTAAGTCATCGGATCTCGAGCAAACCACTGTAATTCACGACTTTTTTCATTTTTTACATACGTAGTTCAGGTAAACTTGGTTAAAGTACAAATTAACATTTATGTGTCCTTCCTCAAAGTTGTTTTTGTTATTTCTTTTAATCGCCAATAAAAAACAGAATGTAACATGTCAAATTCAAGGTGTAGGATCAAAATTAATCACTGTCAGTGCAGCATGTGTGCCACCAACTGTTATCAAAGAAACACAACAATTTTCAACGATTGTTAGACAGCAAGATGTTAAAAATTTACAAATTGTTAATCGTACAAATGCTAATTGGCAAATCAAACCAGTTATTGATGGTGAACAATGGGATGGACCAAAGATAATTGATATACCTCCACAACAAATAGGAACTTATGAATTAACATATAAACCGTTAACAATGACTTTAGATGGAGCAAAACACAAAGTAAGATTCTTTATGATCACATGTTAAGTTCTTAAAGATGAATTATATAAAGAATTAAATTTAGCTTAACAACTACTGAAAATTAGTAAGTATAGATAGCTGTTGTACGCTATCATGAGGCGAGTCTTCAAGAGTGCTTACGCGCATTAGATATCAAAGATTTAGCCGGATAGTGGTCGTGCAATATCACGAATTGACTGAAATTGCAAATATGTATCATTATGTGTCAATCAAGGAGTTTAGCGTTTAAGCATTCACTGTGAACCTCGAAGTTACTTATTTCTATTTCTAGTGGAGTATTTGGTTAGCATTGCTATAATATTGCATACTGAAACATAACAGCCGCCAATTGCCTCCAATCTATCAATTGTTGTTGAACTATAGTCAGTCTACGATGCCGACTATCTTCATAAACACCTCTTAATAATTATTTATTCAAGTGTCGAGTACTTTTAAAATGTTGAGAAGTAATTCATTCAGGAAAATACCATGTGACAAGTATGAAGGTGAAAAAATGAATCGAACGCGAACTTACTTCAAGATGAAACCACAATAATATGTCTTTGTTACTACATTTCTTTAATTTCTTTTCTGTCTTCTACATAATAAACACAAAAGGATAGGGAAACTTAGTGTTGTGAATGAAAATTCGGTGACTTAATAAATGCATTATCAAGTGTTAAAGTGAGGGAAAAAGTGGTGATTAATAGATAATGATATGTAATAACACGATGTGGCTGAGTGATGGTTATTCAAAGGACCGAATTATTGACATCAGCCTTTCATTGAACTGATGTCAGCGGGGATTTGTAGCTCAGGTGGATGATTTCGGTGGAGTTTGTGCTGATGATATCTCTCAGAAGAACGATAAAAACTCCCCTACTATAACATCCAGCTCAGTGAACAAAAGTTCGTCGAAACAGTTTCATAATAGAATAGGTCTTTTTTATAATGAAATAATATTCTTGTAGACAAAATATTGACGTAAAACAAACACTAATGATAGGCTCCATGAGGTCATTCCTGAAAATCTAGTGAGAAGTCGTGATTAGTGGAGCTAATCCATGTCAGGTAGAGATAGTTATCTACCTCAATACAATGGAAGTTGGTCGCGCAATTTCGTGCATTGGTTGGGGTTAGATATTAACACCGTTGGATGCCGACTCAGTGGTCTATCGGTTAAGTGCACTGGCGCGAGACTGGAAGGTCCTGAGTTCGAATTCCGACAGGCGGGATCGTGGATGCGCGCTGCTGAAGAGTCCCACAACAGGACGAAACGGTCGTCCAGTGCTTCCAGTTTTTGCATGGTGATCTAGTTTCAATTGACTCATGATCTCAACTATATAAAAAAACAAACGTCATTAAATGTCTTAGGATACAGAAGAAAATAAATTATATAGACCACTTACAGTCCATTCGATTAAGACGTTACCAGTCATATCGCTTGACACTGGCTTTAATTCTATATCATTTCAATATTAACATATGACATCGTTCATTTGCTCTGTTTTTTAAACTCTTATTCAATGAGTTTTGAAGCAACAGAAAATGTTAAATCAACATATATATTTCCTTGATAAAATGTTTGTTTTCTGATTCCTTCAATTACTGTTCCCACTGATAAATTCCCTAAGCTAATCATCTAGTTAATCTATAGCGGATATATACATATTCCAAGATTAGAGGCTTGTGTTTCAAGAAGTTTGTTATGAAGTAAGGCTCGATCATCTTTAATTATATCTTTGCTTGTTAACCTCGTGAAATGTAGGCTTAATTGTTATCAAGATGTCTTCTCTATTCTGTTTATTTCAATCATATTGATTTTCTGAAGTCATTGTAGATTATCAGTCAAACTCAATATGTCTTTACCATAGTTTTTAAAAAGTAATATTTTCAGACAAATCATTTCTATGCAATCAATCCTCTTCACAAATTTAAACAAGTAAGAACGATAAAGTTGGGACATTACATTTTACAGACCTATTCACTCGGACCTATTCAGTCGGATACGTTGGCATGGACTGTACTGGAGATTAGGTGCCTTTAGTATCAAATTTCTTACAGTTTTAATGGCAACTTTGTCCGGTATATGATATATAATCACATTATTTCGAGAGATTATTCGCTTAGTGACTTCACTAGATACCAAGTCAATAACGGATTCTACTTTGATCCTGTTTTCGAGTTCTGAAGAAACTACATCTTTTGACAGAAGCAGTCTAAAGGGGAGCAGTGTCCGTAGTTTTAGTTTAAGATCATCGTGCTTTAATAGAGAGCCCGCAAGTGACTCCAATTTAGAACGCATATCGCTTAACTGCTTATAGACAGTGTCTAACTCACTCTTAATATTATCGATACCCTCGAATAGTGAGTTAGAACTCATTATTAAGTTTGACATTGAATCATCCGGCAACAGGTGTGGAATACGTCCGCTCCCACTATTATCTGGTGCAACAGAAGTTGCAGAGCATGGGGTATAGGTAAGATCAGAATTGTTATTATCTGAAAAAAAGGATTTCCGACTGAAGTGGCAATTCTATTCGATTTATACAAAACCGTAGTTACTAATTTTAATAATTAGGTTTATACAATTGGATAAATAAAAAGATATTTTTCATAGTTGAAATCATTAGTCGATTGAAGCTAGACCACCATGGAAAACGTGGAAGCACTGAACGGCGCATCCACGATCCCGCACTCGCGAAATTCAAACCCAGGACCTACCACTTAACCGATAGACCACTGAATTGGCCGGCATCCAACGGTGTTAATGTCTAACTTCAACCAATCCACGATATATTTGTTACTCAATCATATTACAACCTGTTGTCGTAAATTGACTTTCTTTTTTTACTTATTCTTTATAATTCAGGGTACAATATTCTTTCCATTACCTGATGGTACAGGATTATTATATAACTTATGTGGAATATCTGATGCACCAAAATCAATGATGAGGATAAATCGTGAAATTGAATGTAAAAAATTACACACAGAAGTTGTACAAATACCAAATTGGTTAAATGCATCACAGAGATTTCGTGTTTTAAAGGAAATTCTACGACCAGATAAATTAGATCCAAGTACAACTATTCAAGGATTAGATTATTTAGATGTACCAGCTGATTCAAGTAAAGAGTATAAATTAAGTATATTTACTTATCGAGAAGGTTTTACATTGATTAAAGTAAGCACTTTATTTACTTAATTTTTTAAAATATTATTTAGACATATTTATATTTTATTCAGTAGTATATATCTCACTGCCTTCTCGTGGCGGGGGTGTTGTTTACAAAATTGAAATGACGAAAAGCGAATATCCGGCGCTTTAACCGGGTTGTTGAACACGGAAAGTTCATCTAGGGGAGTTGGAAAACCCCGACCCAAAACAAATGGTGCACATGGGCTTCAGTATCCTGAAGGAACGAATGGCGTATGAATCAATCGTTGGTCACCGGCCACCATTGACTGCATCTCTTCACGATGCTGCACTGCCTTGTGGATCAGACCTTTAGGTCGAAGGCTCCGGGTGTGACTCTTTAAGGCAACCACCTGCTTCAGTTTAAGCACCCGAGTAGTATCATAGCCCTCACATAATGAAATGAAATGACAATTTTTTGTGTGGCGGATATATATCGGGTGCCCGTTTGTGTCAATATTTATGTGTTTAAATAAATAAATAAATAAAATCTGACATGGTTCAGAATCGATTACAATCGCGCAGGTGTATATACTCTTTATCTTCCCTTAAACCTTGAGATTAAAATTGCTTCATATCTGTTTTCCTTCCTATACTACATCCTTATATACAACCTTTCTTTTATATATTGACACCGTTAAATTAACTACTTCTATGAATTCGGTGTTCACCTTGTTGTGCTAACGAGGTATGACAACTTGGACCGATGGATATATGTGCCTGATCCTAAATTGTAGCTAACTGACTGACTGACTGATTTGAAATTTGTATTTCTCTTTAATTATATGGATTTCAATGTACCTATGCTATGAGTGCAGTGGATAAGTTCTGTCTGATAGAATAATATTGATTAGTTAATTGTAGGATTCCAAATGTCTGTCCAAAATATTTTCATCATAACTTTAAAATACCTTTTCTATCAAGTTTGGTAATATTCTTCACTTTACTGCATAACAACAGAGTAATTTCTGGAACAACTCAATAAAGAACGAGGAATATAGATCATGCGCGTCAAAACAGTTTACAAAGGGGATCTTATTAGTTTACATTTCAATCCATTTTCAGAACCTTTTAACTATGTCTGAATTATGTAACTTAGTGTTTGCACAGGAATCTGAACATTTCTTTTTGTAGTTATTTACTTCAAATGAAATTGAAGTTCCATGATTATTTTGAGAATTATGGTTGCAACTTCTAGACTTCTTGTTAACAAAGACCAGTCAAAATTTAGTAATATAAGGAATACTACTTCAATATAAAAGACTGTAATTAGTTTCCTCTATTAAAAATCTGAATCAGGCCTTAAATTGTTCACGTCTTAAATACACAAAGAGATCTTCTGTCATTGGCATTTTGTTATGGATTCTGTACTTTCTTCTTTGAACACTTACTTAAACATTTTTTGGTAAGATTTATGTAGTTTAAAGATGATCGTTTAGTGATAAACTAACATAACCGTTAAATATCATAAACCGGTCACTGGCAGCTTTCAATTAAACATACCAAAAATTCTAGTGTTTATGTTCCTACTGAACCCACTACGTTGAATTAATGATGCTTAATTCACTAAAGTACTGAGTTCATATAATCACTAGCTTATTCAACGATGATCAATTTTATTTATAATAATGAGTTGTACATAAATCCAGTTGACTAGTCCGATATATGGCGAAATAATAGTCAAGGATCCCAATACTAGTCACTATCCAACTTTCTTAAACACTTATGACTAACTGACTGTATTAAGGCAAATCTAATTAGAATGCATATACGCTAACAAAAAATGGTCAATTCCAATCTTAAGTTTAAAAAAAAGCTAAATATGATTTCTATTAGTATTGTTTGTTTGAATCTTTCCATTGATGTTTAGGACTGTAATTGATCAGTCTCTTATTAGCATATGTGCATACTGTGCGTATTGTCTCGATATAGCCTTAATTCACAAGCATTATAAGCAAAAATGGATATTGGCTAGCAGTGGAATGGGAAGATTCAAACAAAGAATACTAAGTGAATTTAAACTTCACCCCATTGTACAAACAAGTAGCTATCAGGACTCAATAGATAAGTGGATAACGTGATGATATTTGAAGCGAACGGTACTGGGTTCAATTTCCAAAGTGAACATCAATTCTGAGATGCAGGTATATCCAGCTGACGAGTCCCAAATAGGACGAAACGAGAGTCAAACTGGATTCCACTGCTAACCACTATCCATCTTTGGTAAATATGATTTATTCAAATTTAAAAGCCTAGTATTTTAACTTTTATCGTTTCGGAGGAGGGGGTGACTCTGAACCTAAATCGATTTTGGCAAGTTATACTGTAAAATGCTTATCCATTGCTTATTTTTTACATCATTTTTATTTTAGGTTACATTTACAAATGAAACAACTGGAGAATATCAATATTTTGAAGTTAATTTTAAGTCTATTAGAAATAAAGTTTTAGATGTTATTAGAATGCAAACACCTATTCGTAAATCTATTACACATACACTTACATTAGAAAATCCTTTATCAATACCAGTTAATTTTCAAATGAGTACAAATATCTCTGAAGTTCAATGTCCAAATCAATTACAAATACCTGCTAATTGTGAAGTAAGTAATAACAAAGTTTTAGCTATATGTTTACTATTAATTGTTTTATTCTTTTTAGTCATCTTGTTTAAATATTTAAATATGATGAGTACGGTGAGACTATAATCTATGAACGAGCCAATCAGAAGCGTTTGAGGGATTTCAAGGTCATGGAGCCAATTTCATTACCTGATGCTCATGTACATTCGGTTCATGTAAGATTTTATAGAAGACTTGACAATTAAACGGCTACAATAAATGGGGCTAATAGGAAGTTCCTTTATTTGCGATTGTGGTAATCAAATGACTTGTAGACCTTGTGCAGACTATCGTAATATTTTCCTTCGATGTTATATATGTTGAAGGAAGACGTTTGCTAGGATAAGAACTTCTTTCGCTCGATCCAGAATGAGACTAAGGCAAATTATTGTAATTGCAGCGAACTTTATAATAAAAGAACTTGTAACATTGGCTGCAATAATCGCAGATGTCACTGAAGCTTCGTCTGTTCAGTGGTGTGAGTATTGTAGGGATATATGCATAATAAAAATGACAAACTTGCACAACCGGTGTACACACAAACAATATTGAAGCTATGTGGTCGAGGCTGAAAGAGTTTTTGTGACCTTATCATGGCTTCAGAGACCAACTATTATGGAGCCATATGGATGAGTTCCTCCACCTTATGCATTATGACTTCGGAACCTTTGAACCTTTTTCTAACCTTGAAAAGTTGTTGGACTATGTAAAAGAAGTGTAGCCACTTCAATTCTTTGGGTTCGTATAATATATTTTTAAGTTATACTAACTGTTTTCTGATTGGCTAATATGTATCAAGGTCACTTAAGTTTCGTTCAAAGGCCGTCCATAAACTACAGTCTCGACATGGATTTAGGTCTAAAACCTTGACTGTTGAGTTTTACTTAACTCAATGACTAAACTGCCGTGAAAATTGAAGATTCAAGATTCATGATGATATCAAAGTGAATGAATCTCAGAAACAAGACAAATTAGGGTAATCATCAATTGTTGAAAGCGTCAGTCAATTGAAGTTAGACTACCAGGGAAAACCTGGGAGCACTGGACGGCCGTTTCGTCCTATCGTGGGACTCCTCAGCAGTGCTCACCCACGATCACGCCTCGCGAGATTCGAACCCAGAACCTACCAGTCTCGAGCCAGTGCACTTAGCCGATAGACCATTGAGCCAGCTCCCGATGGTGTTTATGTCTAACTCCAACTCTAACCGTCCACCAATGCCTTCAGCGAGTTCCACAATAAGACGAAACGGCCATCCAGTGCTTCCAGGTTTTCCATGGTGGTCTAGCTTCAATTGACTCACGCTTTCAACTATGAAAATACTAAATCTCTACAAAGTCCCTTCTGATAATAATAATCATCAATTGTTTATTCAACCTCATTATCTATCATTATCATTATTAGTTAGATTTCTTTTCTTTTTTTTACCTATATACTATGCTTCAAAGTATTACTTTATATGTATTCTCTTTTTCCCCTAGGGTAAAGTAACACTTGAATATTTACCAATTAAAATTGGTCAATATAATGGAAAATTTGAAGCTAATTGTAATGAATTAGGTTCATTTATTTATGAATTAAATTTACAAGCTACACAATCTGGTTTCGAATCTACATTACATTTTCGTACAACTATAGGACAACGACATTGTCAAATTGTAAAATTTACAAATTTATCAAAAAATAAAAATGAATTTATTACAAATGTATGTTTATATATTGAATAATTCTTTTCTCGTTAGCATTAACGGGATAGGGTCGCTAACCCCATGCCCAACATTCCTCCTTTACCTGGGCTTAGAAACGGCAGTGGCCCCCGGAGGAGCTACAGGCGGACATTTTAGTAATTTAATAGTTAAATTCATCAGTCAATTAAAACTAGGCAACCATAGAAAACTTGGAAACGGGATCGTGGATACACTCTTCTGACGAGTCTCGTACTAAGACGAAACAGTCGTCCAATGTTTCCAAGCTTTTCATAGTGGTCAAGCTTTATCTGACTCATGAATTCAACTATTAAAAAGATATCCATACTTTTATATCACTTTTTTTGTTTAAACAGAGACCACCATATCTATGAAACTTTCTAAAATGAATAAAGTTATATGGAGTTTCTATCACACCATTGTCTTTGTTCATATCTTTATTTATGAGTAAGTAATTTGTTGAGGTACTGAAATGTAATGCCGATTAAGTATGAACAACAAAATATATAAACTAGCATTGATTATTACTAGTCATAGTTGAAATCATGAGTCATTTAAAGCTAGACCACCAGGGAAAACCTGGAAGCACTGGACGGCCGTTTCGTTCTATTATGGGACTCCTCAGCAGTGCGTATCCACGATCCCGCCTCACGACTATGAAAATGCTGTAATCTCCACAAAACCCGTTCTGATCTATAATCATATGCTGACTGACTTCAAGAGATATTTCTCGGAGTTCTAGTGCGAAGCAGTGGCCAGTGGAGTTCAACCAAGTTTGTTGTAGAGATATCAACTCACTGAAGACAATTGGTGAACGGTTGCTCAGATTTCGTGGATCGGTTGAAGTTAGACATTAACACCGTTGGATGCAGGCCAACTCAGTGGTCTATAGGTTAAGTGCACTGGCGCGAGACTGGTAGGTTCCGGGTTCGAATCTCGCGAAGGTGGGATCTTCGATGCGCACTGCTTAGGAGTCCCATAATAGGACGAGTTGGGCGTCCAGTTCTTCCAGGTTTTCCATGGTGGTCTAGCTTCAATTGACTGATGATTTCAACCATAAAAATACTAAAATCTCCACAAAACCCCTTCAATACCCAATAAGTCATAACATAATTTATTTAGCAAAAAGAATATTTTCAGACTTTCTTAATGTGTAACATTCAGTGATTTATGAAAATTCAAATTTAGATTCATTACTTCACAATATTCATAAGATTTATTCAAGAATTCTGAGTGGTTTATACCTGAACGTACACTATGTTGTATGAACTTTAGCTATCTACAATCTACAATTTACGTTGAGTTTGAAAAATCAGCTTGATAGTTCAGTTTATTTTTATCGTACTATTTGTTTGATTACATTATTGTGTTACATATTTACAAATACAAATATGCACTGATTAGAATTCTTGATTGTCATTCATATTGTGATATGTGCTACTGACGTCGACAACTATAAGTAGTATGTGTCATTAATCTGAAAGTGAAATGCCCGGAGGCAGAAGGTTAAGAAGATCAAAGAGAGGAGAACGAGAACAAAGAATGATTGATGTATAAACGAAAGAACAAATCAAGTGTGATACAATTGAATGACATTTTGCAAATGAAGTATTTACGGTATGGTTCTCAGATTTTACTAAGATGTTCTGTAATTTTGTATTTAAATACGTTCAGTTGTCCCCACTGGTCTTCATATTCACCACAATATTATGTGCCTTAAAATCCCACTCTTCTGATAACGACATTTACATTTCATTGGTACCTAATTTATGTTAATGTTTGAAGAAGATAATCAATGAACGACAATTATTCTATAAACTTGCAACTTATTTTACATATATATATAGTTTTACATCTGTGAGGATGAACTCACTGTAAAAAATTCCTTAGTTCAGTCACTTGTTTTTTTTTAACAGTTTAAGACAAGTTAAATTCTTTCGACAGATGTGCTATACGTTTAATTAAAATTACAGAAAAAACAACAAACTCAGACGGTTTTATCAGTAACTAACATTTAAATTTTCTATATTAACAGGTTGATAATTCTGATTATCATTGCGAAAAACAAATAACTGTAGCACCGGGAGTTGAAGCGTCATTAGAAGTTGCTTATGAACCAACTACTGTGGGTAATTCACAGGCTACTTTAACAATTACAAGTACACAAGCTGGTGAATACAGTTTTCTACTTAAAGGTACTGCTCTACTGCCACAACCACAGGGTCCAATATTCATAAAAGCTGGTGAAACAAAACATATCATCTTCCGAAATGTTTTCTCTACACCCATACTTTACTCATTTCAGGTAAATTGGCAATTTTATTTAGATTCGCACTTGTACGTGTTACCGAATAAACACTTGTTTATTTCGTTCCTATTAGAAATTCTAGATTACAAGTCAATTCCTATCAAAAAGTGTAGAGCTCCAGATGTTATACTGATTACTTTTTAGTGCTGATGGGATTTCATTGATCAGGTTAGTACGTGAAAAGAATTGATAGAGTGTAAAACTCACGAACCTAGGGCTTCTCTATGATAGCCATCGATTACTAAACGAAAATATATGTGGTACCATTGTTCCAAATACAATAAAAGAGATGAAGGACTTAGTATGCAAGGATATGTGCGAAGTCAACTTAAACTCAGTTTCATCGTTTATTATAATTTTTTGAAAGCTTTTACCAATGCTTTATAGTTGTTAAATTTGAATTAGACGGTCATTTATTTCATACATTTCTTTTTTGATAGGTTGATAATACTATATTCAATCTACCGAAACAAAGTGAAATTATTAGACCTGGTAAAGAATTTAGAATTCCTGTTGGTCTCGACAGTAATATCACTAAATCTCCAGTAACTGGTAAACTAGTTGTGACAGCAGTTCGCGCGCAATCAAGCGCACGTACAATCCGTAAAGGACCATCAAATGTAATTAGTGATACCACTTCACTATCATCATCATCGTCTTCATCATCACCGCAACAGCAACAATCAAGCTTTATTGATTCCACATTTACAGAAAAAGGTGAAGGACTTCAATGGGTTTATTATTTACGCGGTGTTACAGGATAAAGCCGAACAAATATATAACCGGCAAATGATACGTTTTCTGTAAAATCAAGCCAGAGAATTTCTTAATTAGTGAACTCAAATGAAATACAAATTTTATATTAATGGCCTCATTTTTCTGATATTACTTTAAAGCTTATATATCCCTTGAAGAGAATTCAAGATGACCATTTACGACTTAAACTCGCTCTGTTCATAAACTCGTATTATTCGTTCAGTGCTTCCCCCCTGTGTTTACCGACGAGATAAATAAGAGGCATTAGTTAGTCAATAATGTAATGCTACTGTAGCTGTAAATAATTCCCCAAAATCAATAGCTCATTAAGTGTTCGACATTGGATGCTGACCACGTTGTTTAAGTGGACTTGTTTAGCTGAAGGCTTTCGGTCATGCATCCGTACCAGATCACGTTGCACAGCTCCTACGTTTCAATAGTCAGTTAATAACGAACGCCTCTAGATATGTTGGTAACGTATCAAATATATCTTTTCGACCTCTTTTCGTCTGACTTCTGATTTCCTTTGGCCGGGAACGATCGATTATAGAAGATACTACTGGTTGCTAGTTGTTAAACTAGAATATCCGTTGTATCCTCAGTGGTGAGCCTAACGTGATCTGGTACACCAAGCCAATAAAGTGTGAGTCCGTTCCTTTTCGGAATATTATTATTCATTGTTATTCTTTATTTGAATTTTATATATTGTGATATACTTTTTATTGGGAGTTTTTTTCCCGGATATATTTTAATTAGACATTTTTCGTTATCTATATTACTATGACGGAACACTGACCCAAGGTTTTTAAGTTAAAGTCTATTCCACCTATTTCGATTCAGTTAACACCATTTTGGCCCGACAATATCGAGTCCTGGTTCTGCTACTCAGAAGCTGATTTTTGCATGCACGGAATCACGGACTCGCGCACACGATTCCTCGCGGCAGTTAAGGCATTACCGCGCGAATTTAACAGGTACGTAACACCTAGTATGTTTACTAGTGATGTTCCCGAACCTTACGAAATTCTCAAACAATCGACTTTAAAACGCGGAGATCTAACTGATCGACAACGGTTAGACCAACTCCTTAACAATATCGACCTGCAACATGGTTCTGCGACAGACATGTTGCTAAGAATGAGAGAGGTTATCGGCCAACGAACTTTCGATGATGGCCTATTCAGACAACTTTACTTGTCTAAACTCCCTCAACAGGTGCAGGCAGTGCTCGTCTCGTTTCAAAACAACGCCATAGATGAGCTGGCTGCATCTGCCGACTGCATCTTAGAAATCACAAAATCATCTAAGGCCGAGGTTTTTTCCGTCATGGAAAAACCTCAATCGACCCCGACTGACATAGCCGAACTATGTCAAACACTTACACGATATCTTAGAGTTCGTAATGACCGTAGTCGGCCAAAATCCCCGCGTAAAAGTGTCTCACTTCGGGATTATCTGTCTCTCGACCACGAGAGACAGCTATTAAAGCATTCTCCACAGTTAAGGAACACAACGCTAAAGCAACCCTGTTTGCTCATCAGGACACTCAAGCGCCCATTAGTATCGCCGTAGACGCATCCGACTCAGCAATCGGAGCAGTCTTACAACAATGGGCTAACAACTCGTGGCAACCTTTAGGATTTTTCTCGAGACGGTTGCTAGACGCGGAATCTAGGTACAGCACGTTCGGTAGGGAACTCCTAGCTATGTATTGTGCTGTACGGCATTTCCAACATTCCATCGAAGGAAGAGAATTCACACTTTTTACCGATCACAAACCTCTTACCTTCTCTTTAAATTCATCTTCAGACAAGTACTCACCGCGAGAGTCTCGACAACTCGACTACATTTCGCAGTTTACTTCAGACATATAACATATTTCTGGAGCTAACAATGTAGTCGCATACGCCTTGTCTAGAATAAGTTCCTTGAACAGTTTCCAAGGAATCAATTTTCTTAAACTCCCTCAGCTTCAAAAAGAAGACATTGATCTTCAGCATGAGTTATTCTCGACAATTCTTAAACTAAGTATTAGGCAGATGGGAACAGGTAAGGAAACCTTACTCTGTGACACATCTACAGGTAGGGATCGTCCAATTGTACCAAAACACTATCGTCGCAACGTCTTCAATACGTTGCACAATCTTTCTCATCCAGGTGCTCGTGCAACAATCGAACTTATAGCCGAACGCTTTTGTTGGCCTGGCATGAATAAAGACGTGAGGGAGTGGGCACGCTCCTGTGTAAGCTGTCAGAAATCTCAGGTAATCAGACACAACAAATGTCCCTTAGGTTCTTTCAAAACCCCTGACGCTCGTTTCGACCACGTCCATCTAGATTTTGTAGGAACCTTACCCGACTCGAACGGATACTCATATCTGTTAACATGCGTAGACCGTTTTACTCGATGGCCAGAAGCAGTACCGATTAAGGACATTACTGCTGAAACCGTGGCTCGCGATTTCGTCAAACGATGGGTAGCAAATTTCGGCTGCCCTTCAACCATCACTACAGACCGCGGACGCCAGTTCGAACCTGGACTTTTCCGTTGTCTGACCTCACTATTAGGAATCACGCGCTTCCGAACGACCACCTACCACCCACAAACAAACGGGTTGGTAAAACGTTTTCATCGACAACTAAAAGCTTCATTATCAGCTTCAAACGTTTCACAGTGGACAGACGCTCTTCCACTCGTCCTGCTAGTTATCCGCAATGCAGTGAAAGCTGACATTGGATACATGACATCTAAACTCGTTTATGGAACGACACTCCGACTCCCAGGAGAATTCGTGGATCCGTCAGCTTCTTCATTGAACATGGATACGGCTCCTACACTCGTAGTACCCCACACGACAGCCGACACACAACTTGATACTCTGTCAACGTCGATAGATTAACCTAAAACGCGTTCTGGAAGAAGAGTAAGATTTCCAGAACATCTTAACGACTATTTCACGTAGGACACAAGCTTTATCTCGAATTCCCTTTTCATTGTTTATTATAAAAAATAATTTTTTTATTATGCTCATTTTTTTGTTTATCTACAAAAAAAACATTTTTATTTTTTTTGAGCGTATTTATTTTTTTTTTCTAGATATAAAAAAACCAAAAAAACCCATTTTGCTAGTTGTTAAACTAGAATATCCGTCGTATCCTCACTATGTCAGACTTTTAAGAGGTTCTCATCTAGCCTGAAAGTATAGTGTTTGGTAAGGGAGTATGGAAAGCACGGTTTGGTAATCTGAGACATAAAAGTAAGCCAATGACTCAGTAAGCGAGAAGAATTGATTGGCACTTAACAAAGAAAGCAGCTGACAGCAACTACCGGTAACCCCAGAGTACCCTTATGACTGTCTGATAAACGTAACTAGAAGCTGATAGCTTAACTTTTTCTTATGCATTGGAATTGTAACTATTCAAAAATATATTTTTGTAATTTGATGCAATAAAGCGAAGAATTCCTTTCATGAGCGTTCAGTGTTCATAAATGATATCTTGAAAGCACGCTGAAAGTATTGTCATTCAGAGTGTGATCCAGGGTTCCCTCACTAAAACGATGGGATATACTAACAAACTTTCAAAGGCTGGTCAAAATTTCATTTGAGACCGAAGTTCTTAGGGGTTGTAACTTTCTTGTTCAGTCCAAATATGTCTTGGATTGAACAATACGCTACCTACAAAAATGCAAATTGTGACACATAACTATCGATCGGGATTTATTTGGTTGTTAGGCGTTTTATAGCTACCAAAAGTGCTGAAAAACCCTCTGATTTCAGACGAAACAGTCATGTGAGTGCCTATAGCTAGCAGTGAGTACAACCTTACTAGTTTGTGCTATTCATGTTCAAAGGTTAACACACCACGGAGAAGAATAAGAGTTCCACAGAAACCTAGGCCAGTAGCAGACCTGTGACACTATAGATAGGTCCGATTAATACACAGAAGTGGTGTTAAACTGAGGATGCTTGTAAATATACGTGCTCTGATAGTGATAATAATTTGTTTTAAATAACAATACGCCACATGAGGCACGACAGTTTACAGGCTAGACCAAATTGTTATGAATACTTTGTTACGTTAACTCGTTCACTCATTTACTTTGTCGTGTTATGACGAAAAAATTTTCGCAGATGCAGGATAGCAAAATGTTAGTGCATAAGTAGACGATCATTGAATTAAAACCTAATTGTACGGTGAAAAAGATGAAGCTTCGTATGAATGCTACTTTACTATGACAAACTGTTGATAGTATACACTGCAGGCATCATACAACTTATAGAAGAGACAAACTTTTTCAGGTATTTTTATGCTTGTTGCTACTGATTCCCACATAGCTACTATAACGGCCTTTATTGTAGTGTAATGAACAGAACACAACTGGGGGACAATCGAATGTATTTAAGCAAAATTACAGACTATCTCAGTACATTCTGAAAACCATACAATGAACAGTCAATTTGCAAATTAACAACCAATTGTTTCAATCTTCACTGTTTCTTCTCTAATTCCACTGCTCATTCATTTTCCAAACGATTGCGCCTCATTTCAGTTCTTTCCTGATCGGTCTTCTGCCAAAATACATTCTATGTCTGACCCACACCATATACTACTTATATGGATATAAGTAGACCACACCACAGTAGAAAGAATTCTTTTTGGATGTACGGAGAAAGAGGTACTTTGGAGTACCATTCTAGATGCGTAATTTAAATATTACATTTCCATCATGTAATCAACAATGACATATGTAACATCTCAAGCATTGCTTTTTCATCTTAATTATTTGCAACAATTTGAAAAAACTATTGCTGCCATGTAATTGTGTTTATGTCAATAAACAATGCAGAACTAGTATTGTTGACGACGTGCAAACAGATTAATGTCTCATAACAAGATATTGAGAAGCTTCTCCAATTTCAGTTGGACTCGGGATTTTGGAGGAATGAGACCGAAAACCCCAAATAACTTGCAGTTTTGGGTTTCCTCGATATTTCCCCAGAACTTTCATAAACTTTGGAGAAATCCATTTCTATTCATTGTTAAAGTCACAAAAGTTCCCCAACGTTTCAAGAAATTCATGTGGTCTTTATTGAGAACTACTAAGAATTTTCACTGTATTTAAACTTTTCTCTTTTTTATTTGTACTTTATTTCGTAAACTTAACGCAATTCTAAAACTATTACTCCACATGGACATATTCATTGTTCTACACACACCTAGTTTGCGTAAACATTTTACGCAGAACTACGTTAACGACTCTTAGAAGACAATATAATAGAAACACGCAATTACAGTTTATTCACTCATCAAAGTAGTCCTATCTTGTCAATACTAGCAGTAACAAACACTATGTATGAGTAATACCATAGTTAAAAGACTGATGCGTTATAAATGATATCATATATTAAAACAAGAAAATTTGCATGTAATTTTTCCAGGATTCATTCACATCTTCCTATTCTTTTTGACTTGGTGTGTTGATCACATCAAAGTTAAACTTTTGTTAGTAATGCTCTACATACAGAAAATAATGCAGTATCCTTCTATGTAATAGAGATAAAACCAAAGCAGTTCCCATCATAATAATCGGCAAATAAATGCCAAATATTATAGCAGTCATTTTGTAGTGACCTGCTTTTCCCGACGAGAACACGATTCGAATAATGGAAGCAATTATTGTTACAACCAATTATACCAGTGATTGTTTAACTGTACCAAAGTCACTTCTCGTTCCGCTAACCGCCTTGTTTGGTTCGAACTTTCTTACGCTCTGCTCCTATTGCCTGTACTCGTTGGCACGTTTCGGTATTCTTTCGATTCCACGAGATCGCCAATTAATATACTCTATCTGAACCAGTTACAGTCTTCTGGTTTGCGAGATACCAAAGGGACCAAGTAGTTTTTGTGCGCGTAATCTTAATGTAGTGGTGATCATAGTCAAACGCGACTCGACGCCATCTGCAATATAGTAGATAACACGATTCTGTCATATTCTTCCAATTTGTTGCCCATGAATTATTTATTGAGCTTGGTTTTTCGATATTAAAAAATTTGTAAGTAATCTGAGATACCGTTTTTCACAACCTTCTTCATGATTCCTGGAATAACAGTAGTCGTATTTATGGGTCCGTAGTCAGCATCATTCGCTTTATCTCCAGTCTTATATCGAAGGATAATGTAGCTGGTCTTCCAGTTATCCGAATACTTACCTGTATCTAATGTCATACCAAATATTTGAAGTAGTATAATTGAAGTATTACTGCCACAACTTTCAAGGACTATTGAGGGAATACCGTCAATTCATATACCTGTTGTAGTCTTAGAAGTTTTTATAGATTCAGATATACTTTTAGTACTCAAACATACATTTACGCAATTACTGGATGTAACTGTCATTTTTCAAGGTTACCTGTCTGCTCCCCAATAACGTTTGCGAAAGAATTATTAAATATTTCACATATGTCCTTGGAGTCATTGTAGATTATGTTATCATGAATAAGAACTGAACTATCCTTTGGAATATGAATGCGTTTACTCAGAAAACATGTCAGGCTATTTATTTTACAGTTATATATAAAAGCGTTAAGCTCTTACCCATTGTCTTTCTTATGATGTGATACCATTACAGATTCATAAGTTTCATAAACTGAGTTCAAGGATTAAAAGTCTTTAGAAGTGTAGAGTAATACGGAACTTTTTCTGATTTTTGCGAGGAAGAAAGACGTATCTCTGCTAATCTTATGCTCTTTTCAGGGGCTGTAGCAGTCAAGCATGACAGTGCGTTCCTATAGAGAATAACTATTGAGTCTGATAATGAGTTATTAGTAAAATAGCTACCCAATCAGAGCGTTTCACAGGCTTCACTAACATCTCCCAGTCCCCAAACGTAAAACATCGTGGTTTTGCACTGTGTGGACGACTCTTACATTCTGTAGTCTGCGAATTGACAGAGAAAAATAAACTATGTGATAATCGCAAGGAGAGAGCAATTCACTAACATTGTTTATAACGGGTTTAGTGCTGTAATAGAAAAGCGAGTCAAAGAATTTTTTACTGAGCGCAGATCGTACGGTATATTGCTGCCATCCACTTGTCTGTAAAGGCAATTAATAATTCATATATCTAGGAACAACTACCTGTCTTCCAACGAGCTTCAGGGAGATTGAAATCACCAGAGGTCAGCTTGGAATGGACATTTAATCTTAGTACGCATAAGAACATTTTGGAAAACGTTATATCTATTTCAGGTTTTTAGTTCGGTGCTCTATACGCGCATATTACAAGTATCTTATAATTGGTGTGGCATACAGCGGGCCATAATAAGTCTGGTATTGTGCTTGGTGCATTATTTTCAACTCTTATCGAATTGATAAAATTACGTACATAAATCATATATATCGTACGCCCCCTTTATGATCTCGGTCAGAGAGATGTAGTGTCATCATCTATAGATAGCTCTATGTCTAGTGTAGCAAACGAGAATCACGTTTCTGTTATAAATAAAATTTTCAGGTTAGTAACGAAAACATTTCTTACGCACTCTGTCATTCTACTACTTAAAAAGCGTGGATTAATGGGCATAACAATGAACAGACTATGGTTAGTTAAAAAGAAGTCCATTATGCTGTATGTACCCAACTGACTACAAGTGTTTTCCGGGCATGGTTCGGGTGATGATCCATCCAGGTTGATGAAACAGCTAGATAAGCATCTGATTGTTTCCTATGCTGGTAACAACGTCCAAACCCTTATGTCTCTAGCAAGAAGATTTATCATGTTGAGTAGTTAAGATTATAAAACGACAATTGATTCCGATTATCTCTCGCATATTGAAGAAATTATTGCTGACTACAAGGGCTGTAAGCTGAAAGATTGTCGAATAACATGATTGTGTTGCTATCATACTGTGTCTGAACACAGACGCTAGGTTGTTAATGCCTCAGGGGAGTAGTATATGCCTCTTAGCCACGCTAATGAAAACCTATCTAGAACACTGCACACTATGGCTTGCTGATGTGATAATAATCGCTTCCGATTTATCTAGTCCAGTGACTGGTCCGGAAAACGGACCTACGAAGACTATGGTAGTTGAAGAATACAATCCTATCACTTGGGAGTGTGTCAGATAACTTGGTCATGGTGAGAATTGTTTGTAGTGGCATTGGCTCCCTGAAGCCGAACTCACGATAACTGGGAGGATTCGCAGCCAAGATTTGATGCCATATAGAAGGTTAGAAATGGTGAACGTCAGAACACCTAATTGGTATGGCATGACTAAGCCATGTTAGTCTGGTTACCCTACGTAACTCATTCCTTTTTATATCAAATAAATTATTCTCTTCCGATCCCAAATGCATTCTTCAGAAGACCTTAGCAGAAACCACTGACTGTTATGATAGGATGGGTTCGGTACATGTACATGATGTAACTTCCCAGTGAGGTCTGATAGATTAGGTAGTTACACCACGACCAACCCACAATCATGGAATAGGTCTATTATTCCAGTAGCATAGATAGATACCATTAACGACAACCTAGAAAACAATTTAACATATTAATTTAAATTATAGCTATAAAGACTGTGCTAGGTAATGGTAAAAAGCTGTAAAATTTTCAAAACGAGAGAAATGGCGACAGTTTTAAACGTCGCCGGAAACCAGAAGGCAATTGACGGTTATAATAAGATACATTTGTTGGCAATCTCGCAGTATCGAAAGAATACCGAGGTCGTGCCAAAGTTTACAAGCGGAACTACCGAGCGTATGCGAGTTCGTGCATACTTAAACAGTAGGTCACTACACAGCAAGATGGAGTCACAACTAAAACTCCTATTTAGAGTGCGATTTGCTTTTTCTCTGTGGTCTGCGCCATAGGAAGAATCATTTATCTACCTTTTCAAAGAAATCTGTTGAACATTTTTGAATCTTATGTTGATACGGAACAACTTTGTGAAGAAGAACATAATCCGTCTGACTTCTCTCTTCTTTATCGGATTGGTTTATAGTGTCAAGTGCATTACCATAAGTTCACATTCATGAGTAGCTTCCAGTCTTAATGTTAAGTTATGATCTGCCTGGTGATCTTGTTGCTAAGAATTGGTTGCGTGTGGAAGATTCCGGTAATTATAGGAAGATCTGAGACTTCGCAAACATTACTAATTTTTAAAACGTCTTCATAATAATAGTTTAATGGGGAACTGCAAACCTGCTCTCCCTATGAAAAGTGTAGGATCCTGATAGTGAACAGCATAATTTCAATTTTCGTTCTCATTAATGTGGAAGGAAAGTAAAGTCACCACCATACCCTTAGTATTTGATTTACATTTTATTTTTTAGTTTAAACAATCAAAATGAGAATTACATGTTCTCTTAGCTAGAAACCATCTAGAATAGTTCCGATACACAAACGAAAAGAACGTACAGTCCGAAGCATCAGATTTTTCTGGCCACTGTGTTTTTGTGAGAATAGTTCAAGAAAGTCAACTGCTCTGAAGTTGTTTATGCTAGCCAAATTGCGAGGTGAGTAACCTTTGTGATTTGTGGCGCGTCCATCCTAGTTTTTAAATCGAAGTGTCTTGTCGATGGCGCATTTTTACCACGTGACTACCCAGCGTCCTACTGCTGTGGTAAAAACGTGTACAGGTAGTGCAGAATGACCTCTATTATGTCTTCAACTAGGCCATTTTACTAGTCCAAATGATCTCAATTTACTGATATGCAAAAACACATATGTTGAAGTTTTCGAAGTTACATGTGAAGGCTTGAAATTGATTCGAGATGTGCCTATTAATGCTAAAATCGTTGCTGCTAGTCTGTTTAGACGAAAAGTTAGTGTTCGAGAAAAATTTGTTAATTCCAGGATCGTGAAACAGACTCGTTATTTTTACTCACTCACAAAGCTGGCGTCGCTATCATTGAGTGTGTACGAAACAATGATTCAGTGGAGTTTGTCACTGTCGCCTCTGGAAGTGTAGAAGTACTGCAATATTTTGAGTATACTAAATATTTCAGGATAGAAGTGCACGAATAATCGACCAGGGTTTCGACGTTTTAATCGACCCTGGTGCCAACTATATTGTTGTGCGACTATATCATGGGCTTTTGAAAATTATATTACTTCAGTGTATTGGCGAAAAAATAGGCACTGATTTTATAGATACAAATCAGTGGACTGTAAATACATACAGCGTGAGGTTAGTGTGATCCCTTTATAGATTATTTCCTTAAGAATAGAGGAGGGTAACATTGTTGATATGGCCTTCATATATGGCTATAGTTTACCAACATTTGCTATGATTTATGAAGATGAGCTTGTGTTGCATATGAAGACTTATGAAATATATGGACGGGAGCCCGTACTTCGCAATGTTCAACTGACCTTAGATTCTATAGAACCGGATTCTAAACTTCTTATTCCAGTTCCGAAACCTTATGGAGGCGTTATTTTAGTCGGCGACAATATTATATGTTATCATACCAAAGACGGACCCCATATATCTCAATACATTCCACAAGCAAAGGTGAGTTTTGTTCTATTTGTTTCCTATCCATTTTAAATATTCAGTTTTAAATCTCAAGTGGTTTCCTTAGTTGCTTTCATTAATTCCTCTGATTATCTTGGGCCTAGCATTTAATTTCGTTCCTCAACAACTTTCATCTCTTTTTTATAGTACCAAGCTTTTGTAGGGATTTGAGAGCTCATTTTAACGGTATTGGTTGGATGTTGACGATTCATATCCATACTATTGGGGCATCCACTTTCCACTTGTGTTAGAGTGAAATCAGTGTTTCTCCTAGATCAAGTCAAGGGAGTTCTATCCTAATAAGATCAAGTTATTTCGCCGTTCAACCATATTAGTATTAATTACACATCATTACTTCAATTTAGTTCTACAACTTATTTTGACGCACATTTTTGCCGAAGTTTACGTTTATGACTGTATGAATGATTGCTTCAGTCTGGGCACCTGGGCGGTATCACAGCCCTCACACAAATCGAATGAGATTTGTGAGGCGCATATTTATCTTGTGCTTCCCTTGTACCAATATTTGTGTTTAAATAAATAAATATTAATAATAAGTATGAATGAATAAACCCTGTAGTTATCACTTATATATTTATTCAAACACATAAACATCGGCTGGAATTCTATCTTCTGTCTGAGTATTCTTAATTATTTATATGAACACAAATAATTGTACAGAGGCATCAAATAAAATGCACCACACAATGAGAATATGGAGTGATAGATAATGTAAGGCGCGTATAAGAAAAAGGAGAACAATAACAAACAAATTAGTGTATGATAGTGAAATAATAATAATAGTAATGGGACGGGCATTTCATTTAACAATTGTACAACCAGAAATAATTCTTCCAGTCACAGAAAGTATAGTACAGTTACAGCAGGATTGCCACTGGTTTCTATTCTGGGCCATATCTGATAACGTCTCTAGCCACTGTGTTGCACCATCTCTAGGATCCCAACTAGGGAATCGTCAAGGACCAACATAAGCCAGTCCTTTGCAGATTTCTTTCACACCACGACTCCGTGTCATACACTAACCACCTCCGCTTTTTCCAACCAATCCCTGCGTCAGCAAATAATGCAGGACGAGGAATTCTCTGGGACGTCATTCGTAAAGCATGTCCAAGTCACCGAAGTCGATATTTCAAAATGGTGACACCAAATGGATTATCGTCACAGGGCCCGAGCACACGATGTCGAACCTCTGCATTACTAACACGGTGTTGTTCCTGGATGTCAGCAGTCTTTCAAAGGCTACGATGACCAAATGCATAGATTGTGTATCATCTCACAGTAAGACAATATCATCCGCATACAAATGTCTCTTTTCAAGCAACAGAACCACACCACCATTACCTACATCCATCAGAGCAGTTTCCAGAACGTGATCGATGGCAAAGTTGAAGAAGAATGATGAAATTGGGCAACTTAGTCTAACCCTACTGCTTGAACGGAACGATGGAGAGGGGTGGTTGTATGTCATCACTTTGCATGAGGTGTTTGTATATAGGACTTTTAGGATATTAATAAACTTCTCAGGCACACCCTTTAATAGAAAATCCCAGAGAACCGTCCTGTTCTCAGAGTATTCAAGTTTTTTTCATGTATCTTGCAACAAATGTCTAAATTTAATCAAAAAAACTACTACTCGGAGCTTGCCTACTCAAGAGTTCCTTGAAGTAATCTATCAATCCTTTTCCTCGGTTCTTGAATCCACGTGATTGTCTTGCTTTCTTTGTCCTTGACTGGTATCTCTGGTTTACCATATTTTCTTACCTGTTTCTTTATCGTTTCATATAGTTGTCCGATATTCCCTTTTCTTGCAGCTACTTTCGCTGTAGTTGTTAGGTCTTCCACACATTTCTGCTTGTCGGCTCTAACTCTTTACTTGTTAGGTTCTGTGTATTCAGTTTGTGCCTTGATTTCCTCTTTTCTTGTTCGGCCATTGTTAATTTCTGTCTTGTTCTTCCTTTCTCGAATCAAGAATAAGAGAAGTAAATTCCGTGCTCCCAAGTCCATACCCGTTTATTTAGAATGGAGAATGAGACTGCATCAGATTCACTACCAGCTTCATTTCTGATCCATACCAATCATTAAGAAAATCAAAACTCAGGATTCGGGTAAATATCCAAACCTTGATTCACCCATCTCTTTTTTACTGTCCAAGTTATATTCTTGCTCATCGTACGAAATCACTGGTACACTAGTTCTAACGTGGTTACTTAGCTGCATGATCCATATAACCGCATTTGGAGAATCTTAACTTTCTAGACATTTTCATACTTTGGTGTCATCTCGTAAACTGACTGATTTTCTTACTAATGTTGCCCATTTTATTCTCTCTGTATGCTGTGGATTGTGACAGATTGGACCGATACACATTTGCAGTGATTCTACGTCATTTCTATTTGTTTTAATATAGTTAAGCACTCAAGTGACCGTCAATGTATTAATGTATAACAATGTTTTTTTGAATTTTTGGAAAATATATTTATCTTGTCAGGCCAGCCAAGTATTGTGTTACGCTGCTGTCGATGCACAACGTTATTTGCTAGGTGATATGGCTGGACGCTTGTACATGGTACATTTACTCTCCGAAGATATTTCTGCTGCCACGAACAATGGTACAAGTAACTCTGATAGTCTTTCAGCAGTTCGAATTGGTTCTATCCGAATTGAACTTCTTGGTATGTAGATTAGATCCTATTAGTTTTCTGTAGGATTGTTCTCAGTTGTAATCTTCGTTATATTTTCCATCAGTGATTTCAGTTTTAGTGTTCCAACGGTCATACAACTTGATGGAGCATTTTATTTACCGATGAGAAAGAGACTGTTGGTACATGTTTCTTTTTTTACCTACAAATAAGTTTTATATACGTTTTGCCCAATGCTGCCGTAGTAAATGACTGGTTTGTCGTATGTCCTTATTTTTTTAAAAAATATTGGGTTTAGGTTGTAAAGAAAACTATCTATTTAATTATGGTGTCTGTAAACTTAGTTCTGCCAAATTGTATTTGAGTAAACTATTTGATAGATGAAATTCACTTAGTATTGTTCGTTTAAATCTTCCCATTGATGTGTTAGGACTGCAACTGGTCAATCTGTAATTGGCATATGTGCATACTGTGTGTATCGCCTCGATATAGCCTAAAGTCACAAGCATGGTACCATATTTGATAGATAGTTTAAAGTATCAGAAGTGTGTTATCAATCTTTGGATTTGTCCCATATATTCTACTTAGTATATATATATATATATATATATATATATATATATATATATAATTTCCATTTGATGTGACAGAGTATGAAAGTATTTAACAGTTTTTGTTTATATATCAATTTGGCTGATAACTTCAATCACATTTTTCTACTTGATTCATTCTCTTAGGAGAAACTGCGACACCTGAATCTATAGCCTACCTAGACAATGGAGTTGTGTTTATTGGCTCAACACTTGGGGACTCACAGCTAATTCGTTTAAATCCTGACCCAGATCCTGAGCGTAATAGCTATATAACTATTTTAGAAACATATACAAATATTGGACCGATAGTTGACATGGTCTTATTAGAAACAAAAGGTCAGAATCAGTTGATCACTTGCTCAGGAGCTTATAAAGAAGGAAGTTTACGTGTTATACGCAATGGAATTGGAATTCACGAACATGCTACTATTGATCAAGATCTAATTAAAGGTTACTGTTTTGATTATTTAATTTTGTAACGACTTCATCATTTTACTACTTGTTCAGATTGTGAAGTGTAAAAGAATTAGAATTTAAAAATATAGAGATGGTAATTTATTTGTCATGTTTATTACTGTTATCCTTAGTTTGTAATGAACTTGTCTGAAAATATTTAAGCACTAATCTGATAATGTTTAGGATTGCACTGCTTAGTTTGTGGCTTTCAGTGTATTATTCGGTGATGTTCGTAATCTCCAAGGTACCTGCCAGACAACAGTTAATTTCATCTTTGTCTACTGATTTATTGTGACAATTTGATCTGATACATATTTGTGCCAGGTTTTTACGATGATGGCAACTGACTGACAGACAACATCACTATACGTTCTTAGTTGGCGACACCAGATGTTGTTAATGTTAGCAAATTAAGCCTTCTAAAATGCTTAACACTTTAGTATTCAAGTCCTTTTTTCTTCTTATCCCTTGCTTAATTGATGAGATCAATTCACATATAGTAAAAGCCAGAGTGGTTTATGACAATCTGGGTCATCTTTGGCTCCATCGTGATGTTAGTCTGGCTGTAAAAGTTCAGATCTACATGTCGGTGAGAGCAGTTTTATTCTATGCTTGTGAAACCTGACCTCCGAGTTGAGGATGTTGGACGACTCACTGCATTTGATCATCGTAGCCTTTGAACAATTCTGATATCCAGTGACAACACCATGTTATTAATGGGATCCTGCTGTAACTTTATTCATAAAAGTGAACGTAACTTTAACTGGGAGAATTCTTTCCGGTTGTAATTTTTCTAACTGAACTGCTTCTCTAATTGTTTATTTTATTATTATTATCATTACTATTATTATTATTATTTCATTCTCATACACTAGTTTCTGTTCATTGTTGTTCTTTTTCACTATACTCACTTCACATTTTCCACCTCTTCAAAACCTCATTGTTTTTGTTTGGCGCAGATGTATTTGGTGACCTCTTGTACAAATGTTTCGGTGTTCAAATAGATAAATAATTGTTTTCTCCATATTATCCTATTTCTCTCATTGGTTCTTCGAACTGTTTGATCCTCCGATACATTACGAGTTTTATGGCATGTAATTTTGTTTTCAACGTTATAGAGTTGTCTAGGAGTACAGCGTAAATAGAATAACGCTGATTTCTTCAAGATTTTTGAGTTCTTAATCAACAATTGATTTTGCATTCTCAGGACACTAGACGTTTACAGTTGATTAGATCCTAAACATATACGTCATCAAATTTTGCAGTCTACTAAACTGATATAATGTGTGTTTCAGTCTGTTGTAACTAGTAGTTAGATTTGTTTACTCACTTATATTTTCGACGTCCTCTCTGAAAGGAATTAAATTTGAACGTTTTATTCATTTCTAGGTGCTTGGTGCTTCCCCATTGAATCAGATCGTTTCGATGATACAATTGTAGTATCTATGGTTGGTCAGACCCAGTGAGTAATGTATTTAGTGTTTGTGTGGATCATTTACTATAACTCAAATTCTTTGTTGCCGGATTTATTAAAACATTAAGTATCTTATTCCAAGGTACAGATACGTATAGTTTTGTCGTTAACACTGAAACTGACCCCAATTACATAGTGTCATCTGTAACTATACACAGTACATTGTCATTCTGTTGGGAATAACTAAGGGTTTAAACGATTGTACAGTTGCCTACTACTCATTTACTTTTACGGAGTTTTCACAAAGTTAAAAGGCAAACTCATAATAAATCTAGGACAGTTGTCAAATAGTTATAGGAAGTTACGCAACTTCACAATGAATTTTAAAATCATATACTTGTTTATATGCATGTTACTTCAAATTTAGTCCACATTTATATCAACAGTATAGTTAATTGACTGATAATTCATTAGACTCATTTTTATTTCAGTGGATTTTCGTTCAATTTTTTAAACCCTTTATCCTTCATTCTTCTTATTTATAGACTTCTTCACCTTGCCGATGATGATATTACAGCTCTACACTTGGAAGGTTTTAAGACTGATGAACAAACTGTTTATTGTGCCACACTATCACCTGCTAATGATTCACCTAGGCCAGAATCTTTGATGATTGACGAGAATAATAATACGTTAGATCCTTTACTGTTACAAGCAACAACAAGTGGCTTACGCCTAATTGGTATTCAGTCACTTTGTAGCAAAGGTTGTTTAACAGAATGGAAACCACCAACTGGACGTGGAATCTCTTGTCTTAGCTCATTTTGTCATACTATTGTTGTAGCAAGTGGAACAGAATTGTATGTTTTAAAAGTAGTTGGAGAATCGAATAATCCAAAATTTGAACAAGTCTCGTAAGTTTTTGAAATTTCTGCGTATTATGAAGTCATATGCGCCTCGTTTACACATCATATTGAAACAGTAAAAGTAATGTGAACGTTCTTGTTTTTTTAAAAAAGGAAATATCTAGCAATTTATGGGGGCAAACAAAGCAAAAGAACGGTCACTTAATTCATTTGTAATAGGATACTTTCAGCATTTTATTATATAAATTGACTGTTGTCTGACATACTTGATTAGACTTTCAGTTTGTTTCAAACTTGGGTTTACTGGGTTATCTTCATGCTTATGAACCGTAAGTGTCGAACTTAGAAATCGGTATGTATAAGTAAATTTATGGTACTGATAAACGTTTACTTACAATCCAAATACTATTCAAAATCGTTTTTATTCAACTTTATCTTGAGCGTTCACTGTTTTTACTGTTGCTGTTTCGAATATCTCCGATACAATACAATATGCGCCAATCAAATTACACTTGATGGAGAAGCTTTGGAAGATGTGGAAACCTTTACATATCTGTGCAGCATCATTGATGAACACGGTGGATCAGAAGCAGATGTGAGGGCGCGGATCGGCGGATCTTCGTAAGGATAGATCGTGCACAGATCAAATCGCAACTCTACGTATCATTGTGGAACAATCAATCGAATGGAACTCATCACTCTACATCAACTTCATCGACTACGAGAAAGCATTTGATAGCGTGGACAGGACGACACTATGGAGGCTTCTTCGACACTACGGCGTGCCTGAAAAGATAGTCAATATCATATGGAACTCATATGATGGACTAAACTGCCAAATCGTCCACGGAGGACAACTCACCGAATCTTTTGAAGTAAAGACCGGTGTTAGACAAGGTTGCTTACTCTCACCCTTTCTCTTTCTCCTGGTGATCGACTGGATCATAAAGACGTCAACATCTGGAGGAAAGCATGGGATACAGTGGACAGGCAGGATGCAGCTTGACGATTTAGACTTCGCGGGTGATCTGGCTCTTCTATCACAAACGCAACAACAAATGCAGGAGAAAACGACCAGTGTAGCAGTAGCCTCAACAGCAGTAGGTCTCAATATAAACAAAGAGAAAAGCAAGACTCTCCGATGCAATACAATATGCACCAATGAAATTACACTTGATGGAGAAGCTTTTGAGGATGTGGAAACCTTTACATATCTGGGCAGCATCATTGATGAACACGGTGGATCAGATGCAGATGTTAAGGCGCGGATCGGCAAAGCAAGAACAGCATATTTACATCTGGAACTCAAAACAATTATCAACCAACACGAAGATCAGAATTTTCAATACAAATGTCAAAACAGTTCTACTATATGGGGCGGAGATGTGGAGAACTACGAAAGCCATCATCCAGAAGATACATGTGTTTATTAACAGTTGTCTACGCAAGACACTTCGGATCCGTTGGCCAGATACTATCAGCAACAAGTTACTGTAGGAGAGAACAAACCAGATTCTAGCAGAGGAAGAAATCAGGAAGAAGCACTGGAAGTGGATTGGGCACATATTGAGGAAATCACCAAATTGTGTCACAAGACAAGCCCTCACATGGAATCCTGAGGGGCAAAGGAGAAGAGGAAGACCAAAGAACACATTATGCCGTGAAATAGAGACAGACATGAGAAGAATGAACAAGAACTGGATAGAACAAAAAAGAAGGATCAGGACAGAGTGGGTTGGAGAAAGCTGGTCGGCGGCCTATGCTCCATTGGGAGTAACAGGCGTAAGTAAGTCTCGAATATCTACACATCTGTTGCCTGAATGTCATTTTTTCTGAAAAGAATACATTGTGAAGAATCTGAAGATAAAGCTTTCGTGTATACACATTATTAAAAAAGCATAAAAGTGTGTTTGGAATTTTGCTTCTAAGCAAACTAGGGCTTAGTCTACACATGGTTCTTCTTACCGTCAGACATGTAAATTATTTTATCACTGATTTTGGTAGATTTACCTTATGAAGTTGTGCTATGAATCAGGAGTTTTGATTTACGTTTATCACTCATGGATTTAATAATTCGGCCATAGACGAGATATGAATCAAGTATTCATCACAGCTGTTATTATTTTTGCACTCAAGAAAGTTCAGAAATATGCGACCACACAAGAAGGTTTTGTTTGCTTGATTAGTCACTCGACTGTACGTGCTGTCTTGATGTGGTGGACGGGCTTCTTGTTTGTAATCATCCAATCAAGTTCTGTTGTCTGGGACAATTGTGGAGAACGGTAAAACTAAAAGCAGCAACCTAAGGTCCAAGGGTGAAATCACACCGCTAACTGTACCGGTGTGTGACCACAGTAAGCTGTTTCCCTTAGACAACCAGCATATGCCGAGATGCCGCCTTCTTACGACTGTAGGAGCTCTAGAAAAGAACGGCCCCACTTTACCCCACGAATTTCCGTCTGTGGCGGTAATACCTTTATAGTAGGGATATAGCATATCTAAAGGTTCTCACAAAAAGACCATGTGTGACTGCCTTCGAGCATTTGTCCTTTTAGTTTTGCGGTTATGTTAGTGGCATCTTAAGTTTAAAAATTCTGTGTTTATTCAGAGGATTCATACAATTAATAGTGTTTTGTTTCATATTCGTTCCTTTAAGAAATATCCAGCTGGAGAGGAGCTCAAAATGTTCCTATGTAATATTGCATTTTCTTTATTACAATGACCCCTCGCTCTCAATCTATTCTATATATCCTATTTTGTCATCTATTTTTTGCTTACATAGACATAGACAAATGTCTCATGAAGTGGCTTGTATTGATCTAACTCCCTTTAATCGTGATCGTGCAATCGCAGCTATTAATGCAGTTTCATCAAATCATCTAGATTCAACTTCATCTTCTACTCTTGATAAATCTGTACCATATTTAGTTGCAGTCGGTTTATGGTTAGGACATGGTCTCGCTTTACTTAAACTTCCTAATTTAGAACTTGTCCATGAAGAACCCTTACCGGAGACAACAGCATCAACTGGCACAGCCCTATTACCACGTTCTGTATTGATTGCTCAGTTGGAGGATATAGCTTATTTGTTTGCTGCAATGGGTGATGGTACTCTATACTTTTATACAATTGATCCTTCAGAAGGTGAGCCTTACTTATTTCCCGTATACAATCATGTTAACACATACTGACTGAATCATATCAGAATAATGGTTGCCTTGCATAATTCCATATATTTATTCACATATCGCAACTTTTTAAAATAAAGTTGTGGTTGAAAAACCAATTTTTCTTTTATTCAAGTGTGTTCAAGTCGTTTTCATACATTCTTTTTAAATAGTAACTGTTCTAAGAAAATATGTTTAATAATGCCTAAAAGTATCGTATACCTGCTAATTAACTTTGGATAATTATTACAAGGAAATTCAAATTCTAACGATCGGGCTAAACAATACTGTTTATGTATAATAGTTTAAAATAAGATTTCAACGGTCCAAAGTTCAAGTCCTCAAGCTAAATTTTAAAAAAGTGCACTTGATAAATAAGTCGCATTAAATTAAATTTTATTTTATTTATTTAAACACATAAATATCGGTAAAATGAGGCACCAGATATATATGCGTCACACAAATCTCATTTGATTTGTGTGAGGGCTGTGATACTGCCCAGGTGCCCAGAATGAAGCAGGTAGTTTTCATAGGGGGCCACACCCGGAGCCTTTGACTTGAAGATCTAGTCCACAAGGCAGTGGAGCATCGTGAGGAGATGCAGTCCCATGGTAGCCGGTAACCAACGATTGATTCATACGCCATTTGTTCCCTCAGGATACTGCAGCCCATGTGCACCATTGGTTTGGGATCAGGGTTTTCCAACTTCCCTAGGTGGATCCTCTGTGTCCACCAACCCGGTCAAAGCTCTGGACATTCGCTTTTCGTCCTCTCAATTTCGTAAACAACATTAATGCCACGATAAGGTAGTGAGTAGGACTTCCCTGGTAGAGGCTGTATACGCGTGGCCATGTGAGAGCATTTCGAGAGGGAGAACGGACTCTCCGTACTCTCGGCCGTACCAGGGCATCTGTATTTATTCGAGTAATCTGCAATTAATTCTATTTGCCAAAGTAGTTGATGGTTGCAATGATTTATCAACTGTAGTGATGACGAGTTGTCAGTTTGCAAATTTAATTTAGGTGTTTATTTATCTACAATAACTTTCAGTTTATTAATTGATTGCTTTCTCCACCGTCTTAAGTATATATTTGAAAATAGTCGATAGTGAAGTAACAAGATTTTCCAACATTTATATTAGTCTGGTCACAATTTGAGTGTATACCGAATATTTGCTTCAAGAAAAATGAGATGAGCAAACTTCAGAATAAAACAAAAACAGATCACATATAAAGTCCTGGAACTTAATTTCTGTCAATATTGAGATTAATGTGAATCATATACAACAGTCGAAATAATGGTACCAACGATAACGAAAGCATTGATCGTAGAGGGTTATAAGTCAGCAAATCCAAGTTATAAAAAGTGTGTAACAATATTAGAACTCAAAATTTAGGAGAAGAAAATGAATGAACACTTTACTATGCTATTGTAGCAGACTTTGCGGCTTGTCACCTAACTTTTGTAGCTCCTTCGTCATTATGGCTAAACTTGAGATATTTTTTAAATTTGACAAAGAAAGACCCACAGTTTATCTAGCGGACAAATAGTGTAGGTCTTAGTTTAAGTCTGTATGGGTCCGTTGCTAGATTTTACATTAGCATCATCTTTACATATAATACTTGTCAAGTTATTTCACTTCACCCTTAATTTGATGTCCAAGATTCGGGCTTAACAGTAACGTCTAAATTGATTGGCAAATAAGTGACCTACAAACTACCTCTAGTCATCTATAATGTTTTGTGTTAATATTTTACATATGAGCATAAAATTTTGTTACACATGAAACCCCGTTCATCTGACTAGTGGTCTTGTCTTTGATATCAAATCAATCAGTGGCCTTAGTCAATAATTCGTTCTCTTAAGCAGCTATCTCAGCCACATATCTTATCATTGCATGGTCATTGGTCGAGATGCCACTCGTTCATTTCAGCACCTACAGTTCGTATTTATTTATAAAACCGTGAAATCCCAATCCATAATGACTTGGTGGTTTCTTTGATTTTGTTCACTTAGTACTGTATATTTTGTTCTCTGACGTTTTTAGCACTTCTGCATAAACTAGTTTATTTTAATTCTTTGTAGATCATGTTTGTTTACGTGATCCCAAGCGTGTCAGTGCAGGCACTGGACCTTCAATGTTTCTTAGACAATGGCGTTCACAACGTAAAGTGAACGTATTTGTTTGCTCAAATCATCCTTGTGTAATATATTCAATTAAAAATAAATTAATATTTGCCAATTTGAACTTGAAAGAAGTGAATTTTATGACTCCATTAAATGGATTATTTTATAGTGACTGGTAAGAATCATACTTTTTTTAATTTTATGTAGTTTAAAGTAAAAAAAATTACAACATAATGATATGCTTGATACTAATTTGATTTTCTCGGTAAACGAACGAAGGTCAATGACAAAGTGACACGATAAGCTAATCTAATCCGTTGTTCCAGGCCCCCCTAATTAGAGGAAGAAGTCCAGAGCGAAGTAGGGGAAATATATTCCGTAAGCAGCCGAGTACAATAATCGTAAGGGGAAAACTCAAACGTATATATACAGCGATAAATTGTCCTTGGGCAGCATTACAAAATAGCACTGTTATAACGTATGCCCTGAGCAGTCTTGGGTGCTATTCGGTCCTTCCTATCTGCCTAGCCCAGCCCGTTAAGTCCAGAACACAAATAACAGCCTCGGCAATATGAATCGTTATTCACAAGCATACTGGGTTATATATACTAACCAAACAGACCCAATTATACCAAAAAATAGAAAAATAACATTTGTACAGTAATTGGCCAATGTGGCTATGGATAGGGGGAAAGTAATCAATAACAATAGTTCAAAGGTCAAAATAAAGGTTATGATAAGAGGAACACGAATACGGTTAGGTCAGTTATTTAACAACTATACAATAGGAAATAGACATATTACATTTGTCCATAATAGACCTCAGATTTACCATTCATCATTCACCAGGGGATATAACACCTCCCCTTTTTGAGAAATCCGGAGTTCATATCCGGATTTTAAATTTCTCGAATTCCCCCTCCCCCACGAAAGACTGTTGGATCCTCATATAACCAAGTTACTATTAATTCGTTATGTTTGTCATGTTTGACACATTTAACAGGGAATCCATTAGAACTGACGAGATCATGAGGATCGACGACATTTGATTTGAGGTCACCAACATTTGATTCTTCTGAAATAGTTCCCTTGAATTTCCTCGGAACCTCATTAGTAGATAATGAATCATTAGGATAATCAGTATCTATGAGAGTTGTATTGGATTCTTGATTATCATTTAATGCATCCGATATTTTTCTCACATTTTTATAAGAGATTTGAACAGGAACATATGAATCAGTAAAATAATCGGGATCTGGCAGAACAATTAGATAATTTTGATCATTAGATTCATTAGAAAAATTTTCCGTATCATGAATAATTTCATTTGGCGCCTCTGCATTCAATATACTGCTCGATTTGCTTCCCATTTCTTCGTGGGCGGGTACTGCAGCAATTTCATGAGCATTTGACATGGCATCATGTTGCTGAGAGCTGGGAGCATCACTGTTCGGACCTGCTAATTCAGGGATAGTGGTGTTTGAATCCACTACCGGGCACGTTTCTGAAACAGGCAGCACCGGACTACTGGGCTGATCATGTAGGACTGTTACTGCTGCATCTAAATTACTGTTTTTCGCGGATTCATAGAGGCTTTCCTCTGCATATTCATTTGTTCTGTAATCGACTTCCAGTTCTATACGCAATTTAGAAATCAATGCGTCAACTTCCGTTGCACCCCTAAAGCATGGGTGATTCAGCAGCGTCGCGTGTAACTTGTCAATGAAATCCAACTGACTCTTTTTAAAACGCTGCTCTTGTCTCTGAATTAGCAACTGAAATTGATCGGAAGTTAAAGCCATTTTTTTTTACCCTGTCGTCAGTTGTTATATCGTATGGGCCCGTAATTTATATGAACAAGCGATTAGAGAGGAGTGAATTTATTGATCGGATGCAAATGATACTTGGAATACGTACGAGCAGTCTTGATTGCTGTATTTTTTTCCAGAATCCCCGTCGAAAACTGTATACTTTTTTCTTTTGCGTACCAAAATCCCCGTCGCCACTGTTATAACGTATGCCCTGAGCAGTCTTGGGTGCTATTCGGTCCTTCCTATCTGCCTAGCCCAGCCCGTTAAGTCCAGAACACAAATAACAGCCTCGGCAATATGAATCGTTATTCACAAGCATACTGGGTTATATATACTAACCAAACAGACCCAATTATACCAAAAAATAGAAAAATAACATTTGTACAGTAATTGGCCAATGTGGCTATGGATAGGGGGAAAGTAATCAATAACAATAGTTCAAAGGTCAAAATAAAGGTTATGATAAGAGGAACACGAATACGGTTAGGTCAGTTATTTAACAACTATACAATAGGAAATAGACATATTACATTTGTCCATAATAGACCTCAGATTTACCATTCATCATTCACCAGGGGATATAACAAGCACACTCAAAGATACAACGGACCAATAGCATTTAAGATATTTTACAAGTGAGAAATTCGACTCGAAAGTGAAAATAGCGTTTTTGGCGCGAAAACGAAGAAATTCAAATTTTAAAAATAAAATTACAATATTAGGCCGTTTACCAAGTAAGTTCTGGGGATTTAACATTCCCAACACATAAAAAAAATGAATATCATCAATCAGTCAGTCATTAACAACGTAGAACCCTGGTACATATATCCCTCGGTTCAAGTTGTCACGTCATATTAGCAGAACAATGATCAAGATAAATCTCAGAGTAAGTGGCGGGAATAACAGTCTTACTCTCAATAAAAAAAGGTATAAACAATATATTACGCGAAAAAAATAGGATAAGATGATTATAAAACTCAAGATTCAATGGAAAGCAAAAAGTGAATGCAACTCTATCGTTTTGATCGATTCTGAGTTTTTTCACCTATCATCTCCCTTACCCCAGATTAGGATAATTGCATAGGCGAAAATGACATCAACTTTATCATAAATTCAACTTATTAACACTGGACAGATAACTCTGATCAATTCATTTGAATATTTCAGCTATTGGGTTATAAATCTCAAAGTCTGTCATAAATCTTAGTTTGGTTGCTTTTTTATCTACAGGTGTGTTTACATGTATGGCTACGAAGCGTTTTATATGAATTTTGACTTGTTTAATAAATTTCAGTGGCTTATCATCTCGTCCTAATATTAGCGCTACAGACTAAAATTCTTGTAATCTTAATTATAGTCTGATAAAATAAAAGGAGCTAAGATACCTCAAGTTCCGCCTGTTGGTGATCTGCATTTTTTAGTAGTTATTATCAATTTTGACGAAAATGTTTTGATTCATGTGTTATTGACTGTTTATCTAGCTTTTTAAAAACACTTTGCGGAACGGTAGCTCATTAGTTAAGGCCCTTAACTTTGGGTCATTCAGTCCCATGTTCTAACCCCACTCTGCCTAACTCTGTTCGGACGACCGGGTAATATCCCTCACCTTCATACTTTGAGTGTTGCTTATACCTGAGTACCTGGTAAATGTGTTAACTTATCTTAATACTTACACTGACGACCGGGTAGACATTTCAAAGTCCCAACGTTGAACCCTTTAATCTCAAAAACTATTATTTATTATGTTGATGTATAAGGGCATTTCTTGCAAACCTAGATGTTTTATTATTATTTCAATTCACTTTTAAAAGCCTATGTTCGCGATTGATATGGTACCGTTAATCTTCAAGCACACCCGTATTCCCTTATATAATACCCACATACATTCCACGGTGATCATCACCGATCAGAGAAACAATTAGGTTTTCTAAATGTGTCATCGCTCTTTGTCATCACTGAGAGTAAAAATAATTGGGGGTTGTGCAAATTTGTATTGTCAGTGTTGTAACGCGCGATATTCGTAAGCTGATACTGATAAGCACTGTTTTCATACACAAGCTTACGTGCTCTAAAAAATGACGAATAGTGTGAAGGGAAGTTTATTTGGCCAAGTGCATTTATGTACATCCATGACTATATATGTTTGTCTCCCCCAAAATATTCCTATAGTGGTTTGTGACTTTATCCCTTGAAAAAGAAAAACATTTCTTCTTAAATCACATGCACTTGTCATTTGGCGATTTCTGATTGACCCACTGTGCCAGTTTGTCAGTACTGTACCAAGTCAATCATTTGTATTATTTCGCTCTACTGAATACTAGTCTTCACAGAGAATCCCGAGTCCTTCATATTAGTCGTCATGTGTCAATATAAATTGAAGTACTGAAAACAAGAGAGCATTAAACTACTGTTTTGTAATAGTCTAGGATTCATCAAATGCCCGCAATGGTTCCTACTCCACGTGTTGAATCGAGGACTTTCAGGATACTGAGTGTAGATCAAATGGTACTGATTTCCAAAATTGATCAATTTGTATATATTTGGCAGTTTCTTTTACATAAAAAGTCCTATCTGTTTTAATGTTATTGCATAAATCATATTAATTGTTGCCTTCGCATCTTAATGCACTTTTTGTAATCCATCCAGCATTGCACTGGTTACTCCAACAGCACTCATCATTGGATCAGTGGATGAAATTCAAAAACTCCACGTAAGAACTCTGCCTTTAGAGGAAACACCGAAACGTCTTGCATTACAGTCAGAAACCAGCAGCTTAGGTGTTATTACATATCGTCAAGAAATGTTTCAAGAAGGTATGGGATTCAAACCTGTTCGTTCATCGATATCTCTATCACAAAAAATTCCCAAATCAGCTAGCCGACTTCCAAAGACTGCACCATGTATGTTTCCAAATACTATAATAACAATATTACAGTATTTAGTATTTAATGTGTAACTTATGAATGTTTTTCATTAGAAAATGGCATATATTAATCTATAAACGTATTTATTCAACTTGCAGTTTCATCTGTAAAGCGAATCGCTAGCGATTAATGGATTGTTTTATAAGTGTACTATTATGTTTTATGTAGTTGGAATCATGAGTCAATTGAAGCTAGACCACCATGGAAAATCTGGAAGCACTGGACAACCGTTTCGTCTTATCATGCAACTCCTCAGCAGTGCGTATCCACGATCTCGCCTCGTGAGATTAAAACTCAGAACCTATCAGTCTCGCGCGCGAGCGCTTAACCACTAGACCACTGAGCCGACATCCAACGGTGTTAATGTTTTATTATGTGTTTCTGAAGGGAGTTGTTTGTAAATAAAACTGAAATTCTTAGTGAAACAATTATGATTTATTTTATGTTCTCTTAATCTAATGAATTTCACTCCAAATTTGGATTGAGGATAAGATATATCCCAAAACAAACCAGAACAAAATATCCAAAAGCAAAAACAGATTTTAAATGAAAAAGTCGCAGAAGAATTTTCAAACACTGATTATTTTAAATAATCGAGACAATTCACTAAGCATGCCTCTCCCTCTCGAAATGCTCTCACATGGTCACGCGTATATAGCCTCGGCTAATGAAGTCCTACTTACTGCCTTCTCATGGCATTAATGTTGTTTACGAAATTGAGAGGACGAAAAGCGAATGTCCAGAGCTTTGACCGGGTTGGTGGACACAGAGGATTCACCTAGGGAAGTTGGAAAACCCTGATCCCAAACCAATGGTGCACATGGGCTGCAGTATCCTGAGGGAACAAATGGCGTATGAATCAATCGTTGGTTACCGGCTACCATGGGACTGCATCTCCTCACGATGCTCCACTGCCTTGTGGACTAGATCTTCAAGTCAAAGGCTCCGGGTGTGGCCCCCTATGAAAACCACCTGCTTCAGTTTTGGCACCTGGGCAGTATCACAGCTCTCACACAAATCAAATGAGATTTGTGTGACGCATATATATCTGGTGCCCTTTTGTACCAATAGTGATGTGTTTAAATAAATAAATAAATAATTGCCACTCGTTAAGAGTATGTTCTTCTAACGGAAAATTCATTTCTTTTAACGTTTTATATATATTCACATAATTTTCAAAAATCTATCTATTTATCAAGAACTAATTTAGTAACTAAAGTTCAACTTGACCATCCTTATCTTATATTTAACCCCGAAATTGTTCAAATTGTCTTAGAGTAAAAGAAGTCGCTTGTTTTTAGTTTTACATGGGATTTATTGAAAATAGTTCTTTAAATGATCTCACTTTCTGATCATAACAGTCTTCAGGAATTTCCCACCGTTTGCTTATAAATGCAAATTACTTTATTTATATGCAAAATACTTAATTTCAATGATTTCACGTCAAATATATGTTTATCATTATTTTCTAGCTTCTGTCTCTGCTACTGAACGAAAGTTCCGTGAAATTGAAGTTTCATCTCTGCTTATATTCAATCAATCTAATTTGGAAATTCAATTTGCTCATAATTTTTACTTCAGTCAAACACTAGTTGAAGTAGCTGTCAGTATAGCTTCTGTTCAATCTGATATTCATAATGGACCATTGTTTGCTGTAGGCACTGCTTTCCTTGTAGAAGATGAAGTTGAACCATCTAAAGGACGAATTCATTTATTCCGTTGGGATCCTGAATCTTCTAGATTGGACACAGTTCTAGTACATGATGTAAATGGTTCTGTTTATCGAATAGTGGATTTTAATGGTCGTCTACTAGCTGCTATCAATAGTTCAGTAGGTGTATATCATTTGGCGATTAATTTCTCTCTTTATTTTTATCGTTTGTTTGTATAATTATCTCATCTATGTAATGTTTGTTTACTGCATTTTCTTCTGTCAATATGCTCTCTGTTCTATCATTTAGATATATCATGAAAATTCAACATTGATTAAGTGTGTTTTCTGCTTAACAAACATTCAAACAGAATCCGTCAAAAATAAAATTTCCTAGTTACTTTAAACAATTTCGAATCTTTAATTTTCAAGTAGTTCAAATACAATGGTTGATTGACCTGTCATGATGGTATACACAAATTCATTCTTTAATTTCGACGGACATTTTGATCATGTCATTACTTTTCGATTTCTTGTTAACTGTTTCTCATCGTTTTAAACATATCTTTACTATGTGTTAGCAACTTAATCCATCAGCTGAAGCTGATAAGCAGATAAAAAACGATAACGGTATATATACCAACAAAAATATCACATTCCGTATTCCATAGTCAGTTGGTCCGTCATCAACAAAATGAATATATTAAAACAGTCGAAACAATAAAGTCCACTCGACTATCATAACCAATGGTTGAAGACTCGGGGTGACAAGGCTCAGAATCGGTCACAATGGCGTCTGTGTATATTCTCTTTGTCTTCCTTTAAACTGTGAGATTAAAATTGCTTTATATATTTTTTTCTACGAACTAATTCTTTCTTCCTGTACTATATTCTTATACACAATTAACTGCTTCTATGAATTTTGTGTTCATCATGTTGTGTTAATGAGATATGACAACTTAAACCGATACATATATCTGTCTGGTCTTGCGTTGCAGATGACTGACAGAATAAATGATAATAAGCAAGACATTCGATGTACATTTCAAATAATTAATTTTATGAAGAAGAAAATCTATTTTCATTTCGCCTATATTCGTTGAAACTATCCTTTTTTCTTTTCTTGTTTTTCAAAAGGTACGACTTTTTGATATTAAAGAAGATTCTTTACGATTAGCTTGTAGTTTCAATGAGAATATCATCGTGCTTTTTCTTCGTCGTAAAGGTGATTTTGTTCTTGTCGGTGATTTAATGCGTTCATTAACATTGTTACTATTCAAATCAAATGTGAATAACTTTGAAGCTGTAAGTTTCGGTTTTTGTTTTTTAAATCTGAAAATCAGTTACATTATTGTTTTTTTTTCTTTTTGGTACAAACGGGCACCAGACATATATGCGCCACACAAATCAAATGAGATTTGTGTGAGGGCTGTGATACTGCCCAGATGCCAAAACTGAAGCAGGTGGTTTTCTTAAGGGGCCACACCCGGAGCCTTTGACCTAAAGGTCTGATCCACAAGGCAGTGGAGCATCGTGAGGAGATGCAGTCCCATGGTAGCCGTTTAACAACGATTGATTCATACGCCATTTGTTCCCTCAGGATACTGCAGCCCATGTGCACCATTGGTTTGGGATCAGGGTTTTCCAACTTTCATAGGTGGATCCTCTGTGTCCACCAACACGGTCAAAGTTCTGGACATTCACTTTTCGTCCTCTCAATTTCGTAAACAACATTAATGCCATGAGAAGGCAGTGAGTAGGACTTCCCTGGTAGAGGCTTTATACGCGTGGCTATATGAAAACTTTTCGAAAGAGAGAGGTTGAACTCTCCCCACTCCCGGCCGTACCAGGGCATTTGAGGGCTTTTTTTCTTTCCCATAAATTGTTATGTTTTTCATTACTATTATTATTGTTATTATCATTGACATGAAAAAATTAGTCTAATTTTAAATGTACTACTTTTAAGCTGATGTAATCAATGTTGAAATAGGCTTCAACTAATCCTAGTGTGATTATATTTAGATCCTCCTTAAATTTTGGTATTTCTTTCTAAATTACAAGTTAATTTGTTACTTTTCAAATTGAAATTTGCATAATCCTAATGTGTAATGTTTATGATAATTAAACTTTAAAAGCATTCTGGATTTAATCTTTTTTCAAATTTCACCAGTTCTCTATGGTTCTATTCTTTGTATGTTTTATGTATCAGCCTTTGTATCGACGTATTTTTTTATTATTACTTATATAATTTTCTTACCTTTCATTAAATACTATTGTTTATTTCCGTGGATCAGTGTGAGTCCATCATGCTATGACTCTTTTACTCAACTCTTGGCTTCCCGTAAATAGAGTTGATAGTTTCCTGAAAGTGTTTATTTCTGACTAAGTTATAACACAGATATATATATATATATATATATATATATATTAAGTTTTGGTGTCCCTCTTTTTGTTAATTCTGAACAATTCGTTTTAAAGGTAAATGATACTTTTATTCCATACTAGATTGGACGACATCGTCATCCTCGTTGGACAACATGTATTGAAATCCTTGACGATGAACATTTTCTTGCTGCAGAAGTAGAAAATAATCTTTTCGTCGTTTCAAGGGATCTACCAGAAAATACTAAAGAACCAAGTTTTCGTGCTTTATTATCATCATCGAGTGACTCATGCGTTTTACCATCATTATCCAATCAACTACAATCCAATAATGCTTCATCATCAAAGACCACCGGATTATCAACTCAACCTGATAATACTACTAATGATAATATTGCTGCCTCTAGCACTAGTTCTAATACAACTTCTATGAGTTCAATATCATCAGTAGCAGAGGGTCGAAGTAGTAGTACACAATCAACTCGTCATTTCCTTGATTCTCGTCTAACTGGCAGTAAACCAAATTCTAGTGGTGTATCTGGTGAAATGCAACGTCTAGTTGATTGTGCTTATTTTCATACAGGAGATTTTGTCAATGTCTTTGTACGTGGTAAGTATTTTTTTATTATGCAACATTTTACCAATCCAATTGATTCATTACTCAACTTTCAATTATGAAGTGAAATGGTTTTCACAACCAAGTAGCATTTTTATTAATCTGAAACCTATTATGGCAACATGTACTAAATTAACCAGTTGTACTTTCAAAAAGAAATTCATTAGTTGGACCTACTTTTCCCTTACCTGATTGAGTAATGCTACAATGTGTTTTACCAGTTAAACTTTTGATTTCAGGTTACTTTTCAACATCTATTAATTTCTCAGTCTTTCTGGGTCATTCGAAGTGTACATATATTGTGTCATTTTTTGTCGGATTAGTGGCCTAATAATCATTGCATTATTTTCGGATGTCAGAACTGTTTTGCTGAACTGAAATCATCTCTAAAGTTGTATGATAGACGACATACACTTCTTAATTTTATGAATATATTGAAAATCCTGGTACAAAACACCTCAGAGTAATAGGACATACTGTTTTGGTAAAATAAAAACCAATAGTTTAAGTTAGTCTGCACCACATTTGGCACGATCTTAATTTCATTGTGCTGATGATGAAATCTTAACCGATTTCTGTTGTAACCCAGGCTTCATCCCAACTTTAATCATCAATACATTAATAATCATGTTATGTCAATCAAAGTGATTACTAATTAATTTGATAATCTTTATAAATATGGCAATGTAGATTATTTGTATTATTTCCGTTAACATTCATATCTGTTATTAGACATTGAAAATTAAATTATCCCGACAACTGAACTCATGTATTATTCTAGTGTTTCGCTAGAGGAACATTTTCGAGGTACTCATCAAAATGTCACTTGAATTACAAAGTTTAAATATGTATTGAATCATCTTCATTAATTGTTTATATTATCTAGGAATGAGTAAAAATCTCTAGTTCTTATCACTTGAAGCTATTCTCCTTTAGCTTGCCTGAATCATATTTGGTACCTCTGTTGTCCCCATTGAGAGTTTCTGCCAGCAAGTAATTGTTGTATATAACTGAACTGACCAATTTAATTTTGTAAATTAAACATGGAGTAACTCGTGTCGTATAGCTGTTTCGGTTTGGGAACCCGGGCAGTATTATAGCCCACACAAATCAAATAACTTGTGTGGCACATATGTATTAGGTACCCTTTTGTAGCAATATTTATTTGTTCAAATAAATAATATAATAATAAATGAATCAAAAGATATACTTACTGTAGCTCGAAATGATGGAAGCTGGATTTGAAGCTTACTGGAGGTATCAATACAGATTCAGGTTTGTGTAAATAGTAAATCATCGCAAACTTCGTCGCCACGTTCCAATAAACAGTATAAAATCATGTAAGACATGCACTGTGGCTTGGATTACTTTGAATACTACAGAGATTTATGTTGTTATAATATGACTACCTGCATAACTTTTTATTTGTGAAACCGTAATGCGAATTAAGTTTGAAAATATCTGCAATAATTTTTAACTACGTACGTTTTTTTAAAGGTAATCTTGTGCTTCAGAATGCTGAAGAACGTTGGACTGCTGTTAGTTATCCTGGTCACCTTTACGGTACTGTTAACGGGGGTTTAGGGCTTCTTGTTCAAGTTTCTCCAGTTTTATTTGCGTTTTTGAAAGAAGTCGAGTTTCGTTTATCAAATCTAGTTGTACCTGTTGGTGGATTTTCACATGATACATGGAGAGCTTTTAAAGCTGATCGCGAAATTAAGATGGCGCATAATTTCGTAGATGGTGATCTCATTGAAACAGTTACAGATTTAAGCATGGACGACAAGGCTAAATTAGTCAAAGGTTTACGAATACCGGTATGTAACATTCTTTTGGTTTGATCATTACAATTTATATAATTATCAACACTATTATTTCAGTTACTTACTTACGCCCGTTACCCCTCATGGAGGAGCATAGGCAAACCATCAGCATTCTCTATCCAACTTTATCCTGGACAATCCTTTCCAGTTACTATTCGTCCCTCTGATGTTTGCTTCCGATTCCTGATGTAGCGTGTTCTTTGGCCTTCCTCTTTTCCGTTTCCCTTCAGGATTCCAATTTAGGGCTTGCCTCGTGATGCAGTTTGGTAATTTCCCTCAATATATTGTCCTATCCACTTCCAACATCTTTTCCTAATCTCCTTTTCAACTGGAAGCTGATTTGCTCTCACCCATAATAGGCTGTTGATGATGGTACATGGACATTCAGTATCTTGTGTAGACAACTGTTTATAAATACTTGTATCTTTTTGATGCTGGTTTTGGTAGTTCTGGAAGTTTCAGCTCCGTACATTAGGAATGCCTTGACATTCGTATGGAAGATTGTGACTTTGTTGTTTGGTTTATAAACAGTTATTTTGAGTTCCATACGTTCTTGAGGTGTAGGAATACAACCCTTACCTTTACTTGTGCATCAGATCCTCCTCGTTCGTCGATGATGCTGCTCGGGTATGTGGAAGTTCCTACACCTTCCAGAGTTTCTCCATCAAGTGTGATTGGGTTGGTGTTCTTCATGTTGTACTTGAGGATCTGGGTTTTCCCTTTGTGTATGTTGATGTATACTGCTGTAGAGATTGTTGTTGCACTGTTCGTCTTGACCTGCATTTGTTGGTGTGTATGGGATAGAATAATTAGGTTATCTGCCAAGTCGAAATCGTCTATTTGCATATAAGTTGTCTATTGTATTCCGTACTTATCGTGAAATGGAGAGGTATTCGTAACCCAGTCAATGACCAGAAGATATAGAAAGAGTAAACAGTCTTGTTTGACTCCGGTCTTCACTTGGAATGTATCTGTGATCTGTCCTCCATGTACGACTTTGCAGTATAGTCCGTTGTATGGAATCCGTATTACTTCAGTGGACCTTTATATAATTAGTGAATTGCGTGTTGCTTCACTGAAGTGTTTCGACGTTGTCGTCGGCACTAGCAGCGTGACACTTTTTTAGACCTGGTTTGATTTATATCAGCGCTATTCTTCTGTGTTACTTTTTGTGCGAAATTCAATTACACTTTTTTGAGTACTACTACCACCGATCTCAACTCTCAGTACAAACTGTTGTAGGTCGGAACAAAGGTAGAAGGGTCGAAGAGAGGTTTTATCAAAAACTTGTGCTCTTCTGAGTCGTTGACGACCAACCAAATCAAATCTAAACTAGGCGTGCAGAAACAATGGTTCTAACCTCTCATCCTTCCTTGGTCCGAACTCCCTTTTGCGAAAGGAAAACTATTTCAATCTTTAACATCAAGGTCCAGGTGAATATGCTCAGAAGACATCACTGACAAAGAACTATCCAACCTCCCACGTATACTCACCAATAATGAGTGTCCATCCACAATTGTTGAGCGAAACACGAGACATACCACAATCTGCAAGACCTCATGGAGTTCCTAACAAATCATTAACTGTTGTTTTGAATCATGTTGGCAGGAGCAGACTGCCGGTCGAGATCGATCAGGAACCTATGTAAGTGACCATGACTGGGAGATTTCTACGCCTTTGAACCTTACATACTGTTTGGGTTTTAGACAGTGTGTGAATCTGCTTGGCATTGGCAGACATATCAACCTCAATCCGTTAGACGGTATTGTGGGCCAAATATAGCAGCCAGAACAAACATGTAGAAATAAGGGACGCAAGCATGTGGGAATTATACCAAAAACTCCCGGTAGAAACAGCAAGCCTATCTGTTAAGAGTCATTTCTCCTAGCGTATATGGAGGAGTCAATGTAATTGTTCTTGGGAATGAAATAGGAATCCTTTATAATGGGATGTATTTATGCGTGGGACGAATTCGTTATGCTGTCTATTTACCTTCGAGGCTAATAAGCAGAATCTGAATGTTATTGTTGTTTGCATTTTTTTAAGCGAAATTTCGTATTTTGCAGGTAAACATGAATGAATTCGGAACTGCTGGTTCAACGTGTACTACTGATCCTGAAACACGAGAGTGTACTGTGGAAGATTTAGTCAAAGTTGTCGAAGAAATGTCACGTCTTCATTAGTAACCAATGTGTAGCAAAGAAATCATACTGAATATTTATATCGATTTATTTATATTGATGCAATTGTTACCATTCATTGTCTTTACTTTTGCCTTTGATGATGAGATCCGCTAGATATTTTTCCACCTAATTATCCCAAACATTTTAATTCTGTACATGTTTCCTCTTTAATAATGCACTCTTTCATTTGATGTAACGCTCATATAAATATACTAAGATAAAGTTTGTCAAAATTTTGTCCCATCCTTCACTACATTGTTGGTGTTAGGATACTGCTTATATTTCTTTAAAAATCAAATATATTGTTTACACCAATTTTTCTTGTCCTATGAGGTATTAAGTTTACTTAAACATTTCAGAAACTGGGTTTACAGATAATGACATGAGCACAGGCGGTTCGACTGATATATTGTGACTAGTTTAGGTTAAATACTCACTCGGACATTCAATGCAGTACTGTGGTATGCGCACTATGGCAGTAGAAGTGCGAATTTAGCAACTAAAACCTAGTCTGACGGTACGTATTAGCTTAGGGATTGCCGATTATGATCTAGTCAGAAAATACCGTTCAGCTTCCGAATATAATGTAATTTATACACTCGCAAGACTTTGTCATCAAGTCTATAGATGTACAGAGGATCGGCCATAACGCCCAACCATATTAGCTACAGTCAGATGAAAAAATTAAGTTCCTAGAGATCAGGGATACTTCATAGATTTGCTAGCTGTAGCAACATACTTGGAAGATGTGAACGAAGAGGGACTTAGACGGCGGTAGGACAAATTTGATAGCGAGTAGGATGAATACGTGATATCGGGTATTCAAACGACCAACAACTCCTGGTTGGACATGTGAGGAGGAAGATTAGTGCCCATGATTTTATAGCCTTTAGATAACCAAGTTCAAATAGCAGCTCCAATCTAACCATGCAGAATCTTGTGACATCCGGATCACTTAGTATTCAATATACGCTTCAAACCTCGTCGCTAGCGCTAAGGAGTAACGTGAGAAAGCATCTCGGGAACGATGTAAAATAACGTCTCACGGTTATGAGCAGATACTTTAGTCATAGAGGTTGGAAGTTCACGGGCCACCCCTGTTGTTGCCAGGCATCACAACTCCGCTCTCAAGTTCGAGCGGTGGGACTAATGGTAGTACCGCTTTTGAAATGACCACCAGTGTTAAGGTACTTAAGAATCATTATTCCAAACAGTGTACCTAGATATGATTATTGAGTTGTCAGAAATTCGAAGAAAACAAAGTGACTAAACCAAACCGTATCCTTGACTAATCAGCTTAGCTATTTCAGCTAAAAGCTTCAGCGGAAAATTCAACCGTCAAAAGAAAACCTGTCGAAGTAAACAATAGCCGAAAGCAAGGAATAAGGCTAATGAAGTCGCTTCCCTACACATAGATTTCAGTGAAACTGAGAAAAAACTTTCGAACAAAATTCAGCGGCTGATTAAAAATGATAGAACGGAATACCTCTCCAGCTACGGTTATCCTGGAGAACATAACAGCGCATGAATACAGACAAGGAGATATGTTCGGACAAGAAACACTACTTCGAGCCACCATACTTGGTACCTTAATAGTGACTTGAGCCCAGCGATGAACGTAAGCACTAACAATCGTTATAGTATCGTACGACCTATGAAAAAATATATCTAGGATGTGCGTTCCGCACTGCTTTTTACTGAGTCAGCCACAACGAAGGGCAAGACACATACACGCACCGGTCTAGGTTACCATATCTCATTACCACAAGATCCATGGAAGCAGTTACTTCGATGGTAGTAATATATAGAAGAAAGATTGCATATAAGGATATGATGAAGGGAGAACGAATCAGTTCTTAGAAAGGTATGGATTAAAGTTTGCATTTACTGACATGGCTCAGACCAAAAGGTAGTGACTTTATGAGCTGATGCCACGTTTTGGTTTGGCCGCTCTTAGCTTTCTTCTAACCATTCCCAACACTGAGACTGCAAGTTATACATGCTTTTCAACCACAGCATGACCCTACAATTGCATTTTCATTATAGTACAATTCAATTTGGTGTAAATTAAAAAAAAACCGTTGTCCACTAGAACTTAAGACTGTTTAAGGCATTCCCAAACATTTTATTTATCACATGTTACGTATCCAGCACTGCTGCTGGCTCAGTGAAACGATAGTCATTACGAAGAGGCTAGTTCAACGAAAACTGGATTGTACATTTCATAATATGTTGACAGCATATGTGTCGTACATTTATGTTTTTAAGCAAAATAATGTAAAAAAGATAGTTTTAATACATATGTTAACAAAGAAAATTACATCAATTCTGGCTGGTCATTACTAACGAGCATACGAACATTTTATAATACAGGGGTTGCAGTGAATCACGCTAGGGGAATCCACTACTTAATATTGACGTATTGACTGGGAAATGAAAACGAGTGGTAACCATTACCAGTATCGAAAGTGAGCCAACCAATGTTAGGAACAGTATTCCAAGACAAAGTCAAGGTGACATTATCATTGCCAATTAATCCGTAGCCATCATCCCAAAAATAATACTTTGAGGTCATTTTTTTGTAAACCAGTTCAGCTTTTGATCCACGCTTAATGATTTTGTCCCACAAAACAACTTGATTTAGTTTGTTATCTGCGGACTTGTATTCTGCAGAAAGATATAAAAACAGTTGTTTTACATTCCAGTTGAACAGGTGATCTAAAGAAGACTGAAGGGAATTAATCGAAATGGATTCTTACCGATAAATCAATAGTTATTAAACCCAAATCATTCTGATGACCGCTGTGAAGAGTGTAATCGTCGGCTCGATCGACTATCGCACGACCAACGTTGATATCAACAGAAGCTGATGGTCTGATGCTTACAGTAGACAGAAAACAAAACAACATTAATGCAGTATACGCAGTGAGAGTGAGAGTCAATAATGTACTACATCTTGTCATGATTGAATGCATTTTGCCCCGAAAGTTATTACGATGTACCCGCTATGACGCGTATTATGACATAAAGCACTCGATTGTATACAGAGAGTTACTAAAACAAATCCAAGTCAATGAAAAAAAATCATGATTTTTGATGACAGCAAAACGAAGACAAACCTTCAAGAAGCCTATTTCAGAAGGCATGCAAGTGTTTGAATCTACGTGACTTGAAAATTTAAGTATGCTACCTAAGTTTGGGTAATTAATGGAAGGCTTAATCATCGATTTAGATTTTCACATTGAGAACAGAAAGGCTGACATTTTATGCTAGCCAATTTTTCTAAGCTTTCATAAGTGTCTAGCATTTGGCATGAATGAGTCAATGTAAGGTGAGATCTTGATATCTCCGGCTAATAGTTTTCAAGGGTTGCTGGCTCGTCATGAAAACCTGCATATCACGGAAATTCTATTCATTCCTGGCTTGTGAAGCTGCTTGATGCATCTTATAAGTTCTCTTAACTCACTAGGAGGGAAAGACGATTTATCAAATCCAAAAATGCTTCTTAGTACTCTGCACTTTAAAATCAGACCAACTCTTAATCTGAGGTAGGACTGTGTAAGGAAGTCTAACTTTGAAGTTGCGGTGATAGCTACTTGCTGTAAACCTTCAAAAATATCCCGGGTTGCCTTTCAAACAGAAGCAGCTTGAATACAGTCTTTAACTTTGCACCTCGCTCAGATTATGTACACCGAAGAGAACATACTCATGCGGCAGAAGTACGCTTACACTCTGGAAAATTTACCTGGTTATCACATTGCTGCTGTTCGTGAGGTTGCCCTCAACCTCAACGTATCTGACGTTTACGATCGTCTCAAGGAGGAGATCCGCAGACATTACTTTTCATCGAAGGAGGACCGCTTGAAGACATTATTAGCACGTCATCCCCTGGGTGATGTTAGACCGAACCATCCCTCTCAGGACCCACGATAGCCGATCTCGAAACCGTTAAATAATTATGGCTCGAATCTCTAACAGAACATATACAACCAACGATTGCTGCTCTGCTCGAGGATACACCACTTATTCAGGTGGCCCTCATAGCAGAAAAGATAATGGCAAGGACTAGCACCTGAGACAAATGTATAGTTGCCTCAACGTCACGTTCGAAGGTAGACCTCGACGCTAGTCACCGTTTGCCACAAGGTGATGGAGATGGCTTTATTCATATCCGTCTCGATTTCCGAGGCCGATCAAATATACAAAGACCCTACGTCCCCTTAGCCAGTTCACACTTCCGTAAAGCCGTAACTACTCGCCCTAAGCGGGCATTTTTCAAGTCACGTCAAAAGTAGATTTCGGAACCGGGTACTGGTTCCCACGTGCTTTTGGGTCAGGTGCCCGTCGTTGTCGACCCCCTGCTGATACAAGATGGGAAACCATCTGTGTCGATGAGTGAATGCGGCCACACTCGCCGGCCTTTCACCTCGGGTTGGCCGTTTATTTTATGTGCACGATTATTGCAATGACACTAGGTACCCAGCAAATACAAGTGTCCAAGTTTCCGTCGTACCTATTGGCAACAGTAAGTCTGAAGCTGCAATGCTTCGACTACGGGCTGCAAATGGCTCAGTCATTTTTTTCTTTGGTAGACCACAGCTTACGGTCAACCTGAGCAACCAACGACAGTATCTGCGGACGTTCATCATTGCCGATGTTTCCACAGCCACACTCGGTATCGATTTCCTACATCACTATGAATTGCTATTCGATTCACGTAGGCTGCAGCTAATCGATACTTTGACGAACAGTTAATTCATTGGCCTTAGGGCTCACGCAAACGCGCACCGAATCACAGGTGCATTTCATTCACGTGACAATATATTCCACGCTCTATTCCAGAAATTCCCAAAGTTAACTAAACCTCTCGAGTAGATTCCGTCAGTGACTAATCGTGTAGTACACCACATAGTCACCTGACGACCCCAGTCATGGCAAAAACTCGAAGACTGGCACCAGACATGATAGCTTTCGCTAAACGTGAGTTTGATAATTTACTAGGTACTTGTATTATTCGTCTTCCTCACAGTCCCTGAGCCCCAACTCTCCATATGGTACGCAAAAAGGATAGGGCTGGTTGGAGACCATGTGGAGACTACCGGGCGTTAAACGTTATGATAGCTACCCCATCCCCTACATAATATCACGGCATCACTCCAAAGGTTTATCGATAGCATAGTTGGAGAATTAGATTTTGTTCATGTCTATATTGATGATTTGCTAATCGCATCATCAAAAGTAAATGAGCATTATCAGCACCTAACACTCCTATTCTAGCGCCTTTCTGATAACGGAATAATAGTCAACCCCGACAAGTGTCAACTTGGGAAACGGAAAATAAAATTCTTAGATCATATTATTAGCAAGAGGGTATTTTACTTTGTAAGGACAAAGTATGTACAATAATAGAGTACACCGTACCGTCCATACTCAAATAATGGAAGGAATTCCTCTGTTCGGTTAACTTCTACTACCTAAAAGTGCACTTCGAGAACACGAAAACAACAGTTAGTACGAGACCTTACCGTTAGTCCTCTTTAGTATCAGAACTAGCCCAAAGGCAGATATTCAGTTTTCCGCTGCTGAGCTTATATACGTCATGACATTGCGTCTGCCTGGGGATTTTTCACACCACGGAGCAGTAAAATGCTGGTAAATCAGACTACGTCCAACGATTGTCTGAAAATATGCGAACACTGCCTCCGGTGTCAGCTCGAATACAGCATCGACAAGTCGCTCTCCCTCCGGAGTAATCTACCTGTCCACATGTTGACATACGGGTTGATTCGGTATGCAAACCTTTGCAACAGCCTTACGAAGGAATCCGAATATGTCTCGCATACGCATGGTCTCGAAGGCTGTAGTTGTGGTCGCTTGTGGTTTCTTGATTCGATGTGGTTACGTCCTACGTCTGGTACTAACCCCCACGAACCCGATCCTTAGATTATGGATACAAACCATCATGGTGTTGCACGCTAACTTGAGCAACAAATATGGCATGTTATTCCTGGTACAGTCCTTAACGAATGACCTTCGGTGACAGCTCGAGGATCAACTATCGCTTCCTGTTCGTCAACCCTACGATCATTTTTTTCCGATCAGTCCCGCGAACTAAAACACCACGTATCGAAATTGTAAAATCTTTCAAGTGGGCTGCTTCTGTAATGGCCTACTGTTATGAAGAGAAGACGATTGGTATAATGGAAGCAAATATTATTATAACCAATTGTACCAGTGATTGTTTTACTGTACTTGTTTGTTTAGGTGTGCACGAACTCGCATACGCTCGGTAGTTCCGCTTGTAAACTTTGGCACGATCTCGGTATTCTTTCGATACCGCGAGATCGCCAACAAATGTATCCTATTATAATCGTCAATTGGCTTCTAGATTTTGGCCTAAGGAGGGATCAAACTCGATTTGTCGCGCGCAATTTTCCTGTAGTGATGATCATAGGTAGTTGAGACTCTATGCCTACTACAGATGTACGGCTGCAAATTAATTTTTCCGCTTCCGACATAATTTTGTTATGTTCGAGTTAGCTTCCAAACATGGAAGGACACGAGATCTTGCCTTTGTGTAACAGACACAATGAGGGTCAGAAAGCTTTGCTGACGAACAAAACCGCTTCAAAATTAGACTGTGAATAGTTAATAATTATTTATTGTCCTATAGGAAAACTGAAGACATTTGACTGATTAAAACTGTTACAGTGAATATCAATAAGTTCACTGCATTTTTGGATTTGTTATACTTAGCTTCTGAACTTGTCTGTTTATATCTTCGACTTCAGACCTTTCGATTTCATTGTCTTTAGTTGGGTATCTGAGAGTTTTTTCTCCGGAGACCTAACAAATTGACGGTTTGTCTCGTAATTGCCATGATTATTATCAGAACTAATTTCGGGTCAACTAATTTTAATTTGCAAATAAACTTTGGTGCTTGGTTTGAAGTTTATTTCCGTTGTTTTTGGGATTGGATGTTACATGGAGATTAATCTACCGTGTTATGATAACGGAAGAGAGCAAAAACATGGACGTAACAATTTCCGACACGTCAGGTTCTCACCATTTAGGAAACCCTGATCAATAATTTACAACGTGGATCTACAAATGAGATGAGGTGCAAATTTGGTCATTGAAATAATAAAATCAGTGAAATTATATGACAGAGTATTCACCCAGATACATCAGCTGGTTAATAAGTAGGTTCTTTGTGATGAAACTGTGGAATAAGTTCACTGTTGTTACTGGCTATCCAAAAAATGCAACTAGTACAAGGGAGAAAAAGATGAGGAGGAGAAGAAGGATTGTCACATCTGTCAGCGTTAGATAAATAATCGTAGTAAAATACGTACAACGGCTATTAAGGCCTTTATTGTAGAAAGATTTCCAATATAAAGTATGATGTAAGAAGCACTTTGAACTCATGCTCTGGTTCTTTAATTTGAGGTCAAAATATGATGCTAGCACATCTATTGTCATAGGGTCATCTCGAAGTCTATTTCACCTGTGAATAAAGTTGCATGTTGAGTCTGTTTGACATAATACGGCCGGTAGGGTATTCTAAATGACAGGAAACGTAGGTAGGAAGACTTCTTCCCTTATGTTTGATTCACAATGGTGTATTTTGACTGGCGTAGTGTGATTTCTTAGTTTGTAATTGGACGAAACGGTGAAGCCTAGCATTGCATTTGAGGGGTGTAGTAATTAATGTACGAGCTCGAAGTAAAATTTAAGGTTGAGCTTAACTCTCCTTACCCGTAAAGGTTTATACCTGACTTAACTTTGATCGCAATCCGTTTCTAAAGTCATTTTTGTGAGGTATCGCCTTGTTCCTTCGAATTTCAACTTGTCGCTTATACGAAAGCTACTGAATATAAACGAACAATATTCAAGCACTCTACAGACACAGACTCTATATGGTATTGGCCCGGATCCACGCTTGTGAAAATTATGGATTATACAACTCATGAGTTTACATACCCTCGAGCTGACTTACGTTATTTGTTCGGAAACATTTAGTCCACTCGAGTATCTCAAGCAGAGGTCTAAAAGCGGTATCGCTTTGGGATATAGGCATATCAACCACTTCAAAACGGAGTTATAGCTTGTTGCATCCGATAATAATCCAGTCGCATTTATTGATATTAGAATGAAGCTGGCAATTTTCACATCAAACCGCCGCCTCACTTGATGCCTATTGTATGAAATTAGCAGTGTTGTATGTTCTGCCACTATGGCATGTGTAGACTACTTTTAGGTCACCAGCCTAAAAGAATTTCGTTCCTAAGTTAATGCAGCTACAAATGCTATCAATGTATATCATGAATAAGAGAGGCCCTTGAATAATCGCTCCTTCAGTCCAACTATAAAATTGCAATGAGTTGTAGCACATTCAAGCAGGT